TCGCTAGGTGATCACCCATCCACAATATACCCTCAAGTCGTCACGCGAAAAGAAAGCCAAGCAGACCAGCCTGCTCCAGTCGAACTCTGGTCTTAGTACGTGATCAGCTCACCACATCATCCAAGCCCTTGCGTTTGAGTGGAATCGATGAGAGTCGGTCCGGCGACTTGACACCTGAACCTACCACTCCACATTTTCTATGTCAGCGCCTGTATTCCCTTGCCATCCTCCTAATAGTCCGGTAGTTACTGCATCAACATCTCCCGTGGCCTCTTTCATGGGATGATCGGCTCCCGTACCTGGTTCGCTATTTTCACCCCAGATCTCGTCATACGCCGGTGGGTTCATGCTTATATCTCCGGTGGTGTTCGCCGACGAGGTTTCGATGATCTCCCTGCAGACCGGGTTGACTAGTCGATCCTTCAACGCGTCATTGACGTACACCAGGAAGTAAGGCGTCGGCGGGTTTTGCTGTCCATCGTCCTGGAAGATTTCGTCCAGGTTATCCACTTCGGTGACATAGTTGTCATTGTATTTCCTCCAGACTTTCCGCTCAAAGTCAAAGATATAAATGTAGTAATGGCCGAATGAGACCGACCCGTGATGGACGAATACCGCGTACAGCCGATACGCCAGATGCTTGTAATCGGCAAACTGACTGGAAATCATGGCCTCAGTCTCCTTGATTTGGTCTTCGACATCTGGGCCAGGTTAGCACTATGTGGGCAAGTTCGACGGGTAGGAAGAGGGACGTACATATCAAGTCAGCCTTTGCTATTTGGGAGAGCTGATCAAGCTCAGCCGCCGTTCGGGGGTCAATATCAATAGCTTCCCCCGCAAATTCTGGCTCATTCTTCATACAGATTAGGTCGTCGAGAATCTCCTTCGCACTGTTGAGTAGGCCCGCCGTATCCATGCCGTCGGACTCCTGGGTTATGTATTAGATATTTCGACTCACAACAGGTGAGATGAGTGGAACGTACCGACTGGCGCAATAACTCCGCACGACGCGCCTCGAGCTCTCGGAGTGAGCTTTTCAATTGCCAAGATTGCTGTCGCCGATCCAGGAACTCGGGCTGCTGAGTATCCATGTACCGATCGAGATAGATGGTTTCCTTCAGTCCAAGATGGTGAGTGGATTTAAAAGAGCGCTTCGTCGCAGGATCAAATTGGACTCGCTGAACCTGAATCTGAAGTACTGGTGGAAGCTTGCTAATTGCGCCATACTGCTCAGCCACAGAATTCTCGACATTCACTTTCTGGACGTCAAAGGCGCCGTCAATTGCGGCGTATATGTCGCGAGGACCAGATGCAACATCAATCTTGATGTCAGCCCACCATTCTTCCTTGGACCGTATACCTTTCTCTGATGCGATGTAAGATCGGGTGCGTCCGTAAAACAGACTATTGTGGACAAGAGTTAGTCTGAAAGATATCCTGCCAAGAATGCTCGACTCACTCTTTTACTTGGTCGATCTGCTCGCCATCTGGAGAATGTGCAATAGGCCGGATAGCACATTGGCTTTGGAAAAGCACGTTGTTGATAACCTCCGTCACATCCTGCTGGGCACCAATTTCGACATCCTCTATAAGCTGCTTCTGGGCATCAACTTGTGGAGTCGGTCGTGGAGGCACCGGCGGTGGTCGGCTGGACGGCTCAGGTTGGTCTATAGATGTTGTATCGGAAGAAGACACCTGGGCAGCTGACCCATTCGGTTCATCCTGTACATCTTTCATCTCAGAATCACCCGGAGGTTCGTTCTCCTTGTCGTCAAACTGGGATGTCTTGACGTCGTGCTTAACACCGTCGGAGACAAGAGTAGCCTCGCTATCCACATCACTGGTTGTTGATTGTTTAGACGCCTCACTTTCGGTGGCTGTCGGTTTCTCTGTCTCCTTCTCTGGAATCAGCTGTGGGGGACCAAGAGGGCCTAGGACCGGCATGCCATTGATTTCACCAAGAGCACCCGCGGGTCTGTATGCTGAGATTGTCGACCGGCGACGGATCGCTGCTTCGTTAGAAGGACTGATCAAGGTTAAACGCGCTAATTCCTGGCCTGGGATGACATAGGAAGACGACGAAGTGATCATATCGGAAAACAACGTTCGCAGTTCCCTTAGAACTGTCACAATAGTGTTAAAGTCCGGTCATTCAGATGATGAGAGCCACACTCACACTTTTGAGAACGTTCCACCTCCTTTTGGGAGACTTTGCGAGACCCCACCTGCTTCCGACTCAAACTCTCGTCGCTCAAGTCCATCTTGAAATTTTCAAAATCCAAGACCATCTCCCTATATGGACGAACTGAGAAGTAGAATTGCAACAGGCTGTTGAGGTAGCATGTGTTTCCGATGTTCTGCAATCCTACCGGCCACTCCGACATATCGCGGTCCGGCTTTGTATCATCACCTGAGATCATACTGCTCAGCAAAGGACTATTCTTGTCCTTGGCAATTATACGTAAGGCTTGATTATACGTGTCAGCCTGTGCTGGGGCTTCATCGACACAAATCGTATAGGCCGCCATGATGGCGGCTTCGTCGACTGTGCGATCAGGTATCTGTAGAAGACGGTAGGCATCACCGATATCCATCTCACCGCTCGTCATCTCGCCAGTCTTGACGAAGTGTCGGAGAGCATCCGATTTTCGCGCCTCGGCAATGAGTTCAACTGCACGTCGTGCGAGGTCTCTGCTTGACGGGGTATCGTTGACCTAGACTGGAAATTAGCGTGCAGCTGCATGCGGCCACTGAGAATTCTGTACCTTGGCCGTGTACATTGCCATTATGAAATCGTCGCTGGTTCCATCGCTGACACCAAGGTAGACCTGGGCCTGTTCAACAGTCGCCACTCCTTTACCCAGTCAGCTGCTAGCCCCGAACGCTTTGTGTAAGGTAATCTCACTGTCTTCGGCAGCTGATTTGATGCGCTCGCTACGCCTACTGTCACCTATCCTCCACAATTGCCTGCGGGATTCAATTTCCTGGGTGGTGGAGCTCAAGTACGCATGGAATGTCCCGATTATACTATCTTCGGTAAGTCGCGGGTCATCATGAGTCAAGCCAAAATACTTGTAAGCATCGGCTACATCGTCATCGGTGTATTTGCCATCGGCATAGGCTACCTGAACAGCCTGGTCGATAGTGTTATGTTCAGGGCCAGCTCTGAGACCTCCAATTTCTTTCAGACATTTCAAATATGCAGGCATACGCGCAGGGTCTACTGCGACCTGTCGATTGAAAGCCTCGACAATTGACTGGGACGACATATCTTCCACAACACCTAGATCTTCATAGTATCTGGCCGTTTGTCAGTATATTCTATCTTGATGGATGAAGCACGGGCAGGGCATACGGCGCAGGTGGCATTTGGAATTCTTCGATACCTAAGGCCTTCTGGTCTTAAAGCTTGGTAAGTCTGCAGGTTCAAGAAAGTATCTCAGCTTGACTTACAGTCCTGGGCCTCCAAGGCATAGAGGAGGTCATCTCGTGCTGGACGATGAGAATATTCTAGTTGATGGCCCTTCTTCTCCAACACTGGCCGTTGCTCGATTAGTGCGGAAAGTTCATGCAAAACGTCATCGAGAAAGATTTTGAGTTGATCCTGGTAGGGATTTTCAGCCCAAGGATTAGGACGCGGAGGGTCCCAGAATCCCTCGTTCTATGTAGAGTCAGACATCAATGTTGCGACCACTGGCAGACAAGTACAAACCTTGACAGCAAATCCTAAGAACTCTAACAGGTCTTTGCAGGGCTTTCCCTCAACACCGAAACACGTCATGAATCTCTTGTTGATCGCTGATATGGATTTACCTTGTTGGCTGGTGAGGAAGGCATTGCTGATATATGCGCGCAGGTTTTCCAGCACATTGATGGGCTGCGGCCGAGCTATTCCTTCCAGGCGCTCGGGATGTGCTGCAATTGCCTCGTCCGCTCGCTCCCGCAGCAGTTCCGGATCCGTCAATAGTTGTACCCAGTCAGGATGGAGCACTGGGGAGACAACCCGTACTGACACCACCACCGGGCACGTGAGGTAGGAGCAATCATAATGGAACGTCTCTGCAGTCTGGCCCTTAGGTGTGACCTCCTCGGCCGAAGCACCCCCTACTTGCCTCCCCGATTTGTATACCAGGTGATGTATGTGGCCCGGCAAGCTTTGACTGCCAATCCCCGGTGTCGAGGTCACGACGACCTGCAGGTGGTACCGGCACTGGGAGCATATCGCCGATACTTTGATGGGGTTGCCCGAGCTGCTTCTCTTCTCTGGTTGAGGCAAAAAGCTTTGGTTTGGCTTGGTCACATAGGTATGACGGCAGGCTGAAGGCGATATGAGTTCCGGCGGTCCAGTATAGTAATCCGGAAAGGCCGGGGGTACATCCGATAGCAGGTTGCGGCCGGAGCCTGGAGGATGAGCCGGGTCATAGTCATGGAGATCTTGCACAAGACGCGGGGCAGTCTTGCCTGCAAATAGAGTAAATCATGTTAGCCCATATGCGCATTTGCTTTCGATGCTCCGCTTGTGGGGGAACAACGGTGCGTACCTGACCTCGGCGGAGACGACATGAGTAGGCTCTAATGAGCTCGCAGTCGCCGGCAAAGCTAGGCAAAGGATCACTGAGGCCGAGATGAGCTCCGTCGCATAAAGTCAGTACTGTAGCTCAAGTGGTGGAATCTTCCCTCGGATCGGGATGATTTACTAGTTAATAGTCCTGCCGTCATTCGACTTTATTGGAAACCGACAGCTAGTCCGTTAGTTGTCGTCACAGCGGGGAGTCACCGCGGCAGGTGAAGCAGGCGGGCGGCAAGTTGACGATGACGGATTCACCACGTCCAACACAGCCGGCTTATGAATGTCAAAAATCAGCCTCCGAGCGGGCAGATGGCGCTGGAGACAAATGCCCGCACGCCAAGAGAGGAAAGCAACGGCTTTGGGCATACATCTGATGCTCTGGTCAAACGGACTCGAAGCTGGGAAACCGGGGAAGGCGGTCGAGGGCGGCAGAAAGCGCGAGGCCCCAAATTCATCGAATCTCATCTCCGTCCGGACGACACTCTGAGTGCCAGCCACAGCCCATTCCCAATCCTCAACCGCCACCATGGCTCCGCATACTGAAGAGCACTACCATCCCCAGGATGCGATCTCGGCATCGATGAAGGCCACCATGCTCACTGGTGGAGCTGGTCTTTTCGCCTCAGCCGTCCAGAACACTCTGACTAGACAGAACGTCGGCCCGATGGGCGTGTTCGTGCGGACTGGTGGCACTGTCGGTATCTTCGGTATGATTGCAGTTGTGGCCGATTGAGCAGCAAGTTCGGGGTGGATGATATGCTGACAACTTCCGGCCAGCCGCAATGGGAGGTACCTACGCATTCGTGAAGACCGCATCCGCCAACCTTCGTGAGAAGGAAGACCACTGGAACGTCGCTCTGGGAGGCTTCTTCTCCGGTTCGATCCTGGGTCTCCGAGGTCTGTTGCCCGTGATTTGATCGTTCAATTGATGAACATGGCTCTGACAATTCTGCAGCTCGCACATTCCCGGCCCTTCTGGGCTACGGCGTCGCTCTGGCCACCCTCACGGGCGCTTTCGAATACACCGGTGGATCGTTGTTCGGCCAGAAGAGAAACCCCGATGTCGATGAGTTTGAGCGCCGCGAGAGGATCCGGACGACATACAGAATCCCCGCGGAGCAGACCTTTGCTGAGTTGGGAGAGGGCCGAGGTATGTGCATCTTGCGTGGTTTATCCACGGAGGAACCCGACGTTGCTGACCCATTTTACGCAGGTATCTACGCTCCCGGATACGCCGAGAGACGGGCCGAGAGGATCAAGGAGGCGTACGGTATTGAGGTTCCCACATCGGCTCCTGCATCATGAACCTGGTTTTGTTAGATATCTCCTGCGCAGTCCCTAAATTCTCAGTCTCGTTGTGTAAAACTATCACATTATTTCGACGCCGTTCAGCTAGCCGATGTGGCCCGACCATCAATGAATTTTCCATTCCCGTTTTTACTCATGTGTCAGCGATACCTTCTGAGAAGTATATGGACCCCGCTAGAGACATGAGCGACCGAGTTATGTTGCCGAAAATAGATATGGCGATTTTACTGGATATTTCCAATGCACGGCATAGTGAGCTGTCCGCATGGTCGGTCACAGGATATTGACTACAACATAGTCAAGCTGCGAGGGGCAGTTGTAGCATAGCAGCGGTAGATCAGCTGCTAGGTACCTCCGCTAGCTGTCTAGCAAGGAATGGACAGGTTGAGGTCACTGCAGGGGCAATGTAACTTTGCTTTTTCACAGCCTTCTACGGAGGGTTCCATGGGGTCGGTGAGACAGCAGATAATGGAGGGATGGGTGACAGTAACACCACAGACTCCGCCGATAAGTGTTCTGATACCAGCTGCTGGGATCGATGCGCGCAAGACGGTCGGCGGGGAGCTGAACCCACCCAATCTGAGCCAATCACACGCCCGGCTTATCCAATCCTAGAAGCACGTCTGCCACCAACCCCGATTCCGACGGTAGCAGTACAACCACGCACTAAGTACCAGATAGTACTAGGATGCCAGTGGCGGGGGGGGAAGCAAGCAAGGAGACACAACCACTGCAGGACATGTGTATCTAGAAGTTCCAGCCGGTTGAGACTGGGGATACGGTGCTGGGTTTCTGTCAATCTATTGACGTTGATACAAGGGGTGCACGATAATCCATGCAGGGGAAAATATGATATCACCTCCCGGGGGCCCTTAAACCACACGGAGGCGTCGGATCGACTGGACATGGTGATGCCGCTAGTGGAGGCTTCATGAGAGGATGGATTAAGGAATAGTCTTTCGCTAATTTCTGAACTGTCAATCTATGCATCTTGACTGTCGATACTCCGTAAACCTCGGATGTACATAGTGACACTGACAGTCTGACACAGTGTGAAGCACTAAGCATGTACTAAATCTCGACCACTCCTTCGTCCGTAGATTAGACTGTCTAACGACTACGTCAAGTAGATTGCCATGGGAACGACGGCGGACTCACCATTGCGTTTGACTTAACCAGAGAGGTAACTGGGTTGGGTAGCCAGTGCAGAGGCCGGGAGTACCCAGAGTTTCCATACAAAGTACTCCAACCTCCATTGTCGAACCCCATCGCAGGGAATTCATCCGGATCGACATGAACCTGATGAACCGTGCATGACGTCGAGGGTCAAAGTGGTGTCGGACAGTCTGGATTGCTGCCTCGACGATACCCGAAACGGGAAGACAAGACTCCGACGATCGCGCGGGAGACTCCTTTTCTCCTACTCCGTACTTAGATACTTGCGTGCGTCTGAACTCTAAAGGGTGATGGGTGATGGGTGATGGGTGATGGGTTGCCATCGGCAGGAGGAAAAGGAAAAGGGGGAACTCCATCGAAGCCATGGAGAACGATTGTACCGGCGCTAGAAGTATTACTATAAGGATTATTATTATTATTATTCCCGCTGAGGGTGGCCTGATTGGCCCAGCGGTCAGTCCCCGGCCAAGCGATTTGCACAATCAGCCAATCAAAAATCACCACTGCCACACCCACCAGCCCTGCCCGTCCCGATGAGGTAAGTGCAGGCCGTACAAGCCACGCTCGGTCCGGCAAGTCTTCAGTGTGACTAAGGTTTCTCTCAGCTGTAGACAGTAAGGCAGAATGATTTCCCTGGACCGATGGAGGGCCGGAAAGGCGAAGTCGAGGGGACGAGGGTGGTAAGAAGGTAGGTAAGATCTGGTTGATGATGTTGACGATGGCGGTGATGACGCTGTGCCCGCCAGCTTCTCCTGTCCTGAACAAGGGAACAGGCAACGGCATTAAACCCACTTCCAGTGTATCTGACCCTGGGGCAGATCCATTTATTAAATCCATTTCACCCTCATTTCCGTGCGGCTATTTTTATATTTGGTGATTATTATCGGTCCCATTGCGGTTCCTTCTGGAAAAGGAGGCCCTTCTCATATTTCGATCGACCACGACCACAGCCAGACTATCTCCCGCTAGATAGATATACACATTGTCACATATCTACACCTTTCATGGTCTGACGCTCTTTGGGTCGAGTCAGGTCTGGTGAAGTCAACTCGGGGCCGGGGATTCCGTTCCAACCTCTCGGGGCCTTGGGTCGTCATACCGTCACCGAACGACAACAAGAGAACGAACGACTGGGTGCTTTTGGTCCGGCGTAGACGTCATCCGGAACCGGCACTGGATAATAACTCACCATAACCACCACCACCACTCCCTCCCCTTTATCCCCAAAAGTTCCAGGCTTCCAGCAGGAGTATCTAATCATAATCATATTGGAGGATTCGTCGTGTTCTCCTGAGACTGTGCCATCACCCCCTCCCCCCTCTTTGTCTCCCACACGCCTGCTCCGTCACTGGTGGTGCCCATTCTGTTTGCACTTCTCTCACTGTCTCTTCTCTCATCTTGGTTCAGTGGGGCCCAATCTCCTTTTCAACTAAAATATAACCCCCGAGGCGCGTTCTGATCGGCTGCTGATTATTCCTGCTGCTGCGCCGACTGCTCCGGCGACTATTGCGAGCGCAATCGTACTAGTCTCACCCACTAGACCGTCTGCAACGACGAACAGCACCACCGTGCCGGTCCGGATAGGAGTGTCGCTCCCTGTCGCTCCCTGTCGCTCCGTTGCTGGCTCATTGTTGCCCCCGCAAACAGTCCGCCCCAGACCCTTGGGCCGCGAGTCGAGACTCCAAGTCAACTTCCGGCTGGTCGCTAATTTCCACCCTCAATTATCCCCCCCCCCCCCCAATTACCCCCCAACCTGCACTGCGAAGTGCTAGCAGTCTCAAGCACAAGCACTACGTACCTTACTATCCAACTAGATCCAAGTGGATTCGCCATCGCCCTCCTTTTCTTCCCTCCTATTCTCATTTCTTTTTTTATATCGCGTTTCATGATATATTATCATTCCTTCCCTTATATTCTTTATCACGGCCCGCATCCGGAACTGACCTTGCAACCACCGATCGCTTGATATCGACACACGGGCCTGCCCTGCCCTGCACCGCCCAATTGTTCTTCTCGCTCTCCGTTGTCCCTCATCACCGCCCCTCTCTCTCTTTCACTCCTGCCCAGCCATGGCTATGGCCGTCAGGTCGCAAACGCCAGTGCAGGACACTTATGGCTCCATACCACACCCCCCCGATCTGCTGTTGAATCGAGGTTACAGTGTGCGCTCCAGCTCCAGGCCCAATTCCATTGTCGCCAGCACCTCCGGTTATCTCGCGCACGGCGCCAACCCCGAACCCGCCCCATTCACCCATAACGGCCGCTTTCATGAGGAATTCGATGCCGCCAGTCACCGTGGTTCGCTAGACGGTCGTCCAGTCATGCAGCGTTCCGCCTCTCAGATGTCGCAGTCCCGGTCCGCAACTCCAACCCGATCCAGCACTCTCAAGAAGAAAGCGTCTTTGAGCAAGAGGAGCAGTATGCGCCGCAGCGGAAGCAAGCGCAGCTTGCGTGCCGGCAGCGTACGAAGCCTCGTCCTGGGCGACAAGGAAAAGTATGGGGCCGATGGTGAAGATCCGAACAGCGCTTTCTATATTCCTATTCCCACCAATGGGAACCCCACAGAGGTTCTGGCGAATCGCTTTCAAGGTTTGTGCGCGTCTCCGGGCTTGGAAATCGTGGTTTGCTGACTCGCAGTAGCATGGCGCAAGGTCCTGAAGGACCTCATTATCTTCTTCAAGGAGGTCCAGAAGTCCTACGAAACCCGATCGAAACTGTTCCTATCAGCATCGAACATCATGCAAAACACATCCCTCCCTCCCACTTTCCTCAAATCCGGCGGTCTTTCCGATGCGACCGACATCTTGCGAGACTTCCACCGACAAGGGTACTTGGAAGCGAACAAAGCCGCGGAGGTGGAAAGCGAAGTTGTCAACCAGCTCATGGGCTTGCGAAACGACCTGCAAAAGAAGACCAAGGAAATCCGGAGTCTGTCGGGGGATTTTCGAAACTCCGTAGATAAGGAGGTCGAAGCTACCCGCAAAACGGTCCGACACCTGCACGAAACGCTGGGTTTGGTTGACAGTGACTCCTCGGCTACGTCCGGCAAAGGAGATCCGTTCATTGTTCGTTTGGGTGTCGACAGGCAGATTGAGAAGCAAATCGAGGAGGAGAATTATCTGCATCGGGTATGAGAACATAGAGCATTTTGACCCTGCAATTGGAGTACTGACCACTTGCTAGGCATTCCTGAACCTGGAACACTCCGGTCGCGAGCTCGAATCCATTGTGGTTGGCGAAATCCAAAAGGCCTATAATGCATATGCCAGCGTTCTCAAGCGAGAAGCCGACGAGACGTACGACACTGTTGAGAAACTGCGCGCGGGGCCGATCTCGATGCCTCACGACCACGAGTGGAACTCGTTTATCGCGAACACGGACGAACTGGTTGATCCGCGCGTTCCTCTTCGCGATGTGGAGAACATCACATACCCGGGCAGGGATCATCCCGCCGCGGTGGAGGTCCGGTCTGGGATGTTGGAGCGCAAGAGCAAGTACCTGAAGAGCTATACCCCCGGCTGGTGAGTCTCCTGGTCTCCTAGATCCTCTGTCCCACGGTGTGGCCACTAACCAGCAATAGGTATGTTTTGTCTCCAACGCATCTGCACGAATTTAAGTCGGCCGATCGAGTCGAATGGCAACAACCGGTGATGTCGTTGAACCTTCCGGAGCAGAAGCTGGGGTCGCACTCGCAGCCAGACTCAACGTCGCACAAGTTCATGCTCAAGGGACGACAGACAGGGACCATGCACCGTGGTCATTCCTGGGTCTTCCGCGCCGAATCGCACGAGACGATGATGGCCTGGTATGAAGACATCGAGAGTCTAATTTCGAAGACGGGCGAGGCTCGGAATGCATACGTGAGGCAGCATATTCGATCCGCAAGTGGCATGGGATGGCGGAACAGCAGCGATGGGATGGACGAGGATGAAGCAGACCGGACGCCGTACTCAGCAGAGTCGGCAGTCTTGCACCAGGAACGTCCGACGTCGCAGCCTCGCCAGCCGGGCGGGCGTTTCCCGAGTGACGTGCAGATAGACCGCCATTTGGAGGCTCCACTGTCGCCATCCAGTGGGGAGAGTTCCGGCGAGAGGGATCTCTTGGCCGCGGCTGGCTCGTTGCCTGACGGTCGAAATTCGTTCAGCAACGCCGACGTCGAGATGGGTGAGAACCATGCTGGGCCCTCTGCCGGCACTCCCGTGGAAAGACGGGATAGCTACTATGACAGCTGGATGGGCACGTCTGACGCCGCTACTCGACAGCGACAGTTTGCCCAACAGGGACAGAATCCAAACGATAACCGGGAGCCAGCGGGGTCTGATCGAGGGAGCGCGTCCAACTTGTATGTGGCGGGAATCGGGGCCACGAACTCGCGCGACCCTTCTCTGACTCGCCAGCGAAACCGCGGCGAGAGCACATCCACGGCACTCACAGCCACGAATGTAACTGACTACACTCATACCACCGTGCCGACCTCGATTGACGAAAGAGAAGAAACCAGTGCTCAGCCTGATGGGTTCGCGGTCGATGGCTTGGGGTTGTCGAAGCAGCAAACGGCAGCCTCGGAAGGCCCCTCTATTCAGACAGCCCCGAATGGACCTGTCACAACTGATATGGCTGTCTCGCGCAACGGGTCTGTCAAGCGTCCTCCTGCTCAAACCAAGGGCAGTGTATCAACGCTTGAACTACAGATCCCGGGCCATTATCCGCCAGCTGGCATGGCCACATCCTAAGCAATACGCAGCAACCACAGTACCTCTCTGCCTGTCGTTGAGGACGAGTCTGATGCTGTTACTCTTTTCATTTGTCACCGAATTTCCTTTGTTTATTTCCTTTGTTACTTTCCTATGTACATCTTTCACGCATGCATGTGATGATGTGGTGCATCTTCTCTCAGAGGGAAGACTGCCCACCTTCAAACAGGGGAACTGCCAAGGTCAGGCTATCATTGTTTCGATGAACCTACCAGGACGCACCCCACACATTTTACATATCACTTTACTCGGCGTTTCCCAATGTGACAGGTGGTGGTGACAGGTCGACGGATGGATGGACGGACGGACCGGACGGACGGTTGGATTGATCAAGGCGTCTGGGACAACTTTGGATGGATGGATGGATGGCTGGCTGGTTTCGATTTCCCTGCGTGGTTTTCTTTCGCTTGCATTTTCGCGTCATTTCGTTTGCTGATATTTCTTCTCTTCTTTGTACAATATTCCCCCACCATTTATATCCGTTTCTGATCTGATTTCCATCATTTTATCTTGCTTCAGCTGGTTTGATCTGGGCTTATACTTGCTTTTTTCTCATTTCTTTTTCCTATTCGCGCGCTTGCCGTATTACCCACTTGCTTGCCTTACCTTGCCTATCTTTGATATTCGATTCTGCTTATCAGGAGTTTGACTCGTCGGACGGGATCCACCAATGATCTTGATTTTTATTTCTGTTTCTATTTCTATTTCTCTCTTTGTTCAACGGACCTAGCTCACGAATGAATTGAACCAAATAAATAAATCACTTGATTAAATGGAATTTCTCAACCGTAGCACGATACCTAGACCTACTAGTACACATACTCCTTCCTACATTCAACCTATATATACAGTTGCTAGTACTAGTATACGATATACTGCAAAGTACAACTTAGTACTTAGTTCACTCATTCATCCCTTCATCTCCAGCTAGCTCTTCCTCCCTCACTGAATGAATACAATCCAGTCGTCGTGGATATACTAAGAGAACTGGACTGAACCGACCGGACCCCTGCATCACCCAGCTGTAGCTTCAATATAAGTCTCTCCCGTAGCTGGTTTCTCTAGTATATGTAAGATTGAGATGTTGTTCAGGGTCAGTTACGCAATTGTCGAAAGGGAAGAGCTGGTATGTACCAGACATGTGACGGGGCCTTCAATGTATCGAAGACGAACAGGTAAAATGATTGTAAAGTATATGACGAGATGATATTAGAATGTTCGAGTTCAGATCACGCACACTGCCAATGACAGACCCTCGGGTATAACGCCTACCACTTACAAGCCTACAGATAGGATATTATCAAAGCAATCAATCAATCGGTCAAAACCTCTCCGGAGCCGCAATTTCGCGAGGCCACCGTCCAAACGCAAAAAACAAATCCACCAGAGCCATCCGCCTGCAATTTTCAGCTTGAACCACATGCGATTTGTCCCCACGAGACCAGATCGTCGGAGAGTAAATAACAAAAGTAAGCTGGATAGCAACAAAACATCATGAGGTGTGTGTGTGATATGAAACAAAAGCAGACGCCAATCGGTCATTCTCTTCTTGATCTGGAGTGTTACATCGCAAACTTTTTTGGCCTCGATATTCCTCCTGAAGCAAAAGAATCATATGGTAGTGTTACATGATCTGATCCTGCGTGATCGGAGCAGTCGGCTCAGTGCCGTCCATGGGCTCGCCAGGTCCGGGGCCCGCGTTCATGTACTTGACAAACGTGATACCCAGGGGACGACCGCCGTACTGGTAGCCTGTGAACTTGGCTGCAACAGGATGTCAGTAAAAAGGACCCCATCGAATCAATCACAAGACCTACCGATTGCAGTCTCTGCAGTCTCTCCGTTATCAAATTGAACTACACCGGTGCCGCGCGAGCGACCATTGGGCTCGTACTGAATTTCAGCGCGATCAACCTTGCCGATAGTCGAGAACAAGTCCACTAGATCCTCGTTGCAGGTCGACCAAGGAAGGTTGCGCACGTAGATGACAGCACCCTTGTCGCCGCCAGAGGTAGCAAAATCGGTGAAGGGGTTGGGAGGCACCGAGGCCATGCCCTCGAAACCAGGGCCACCACCACCGGGGTAACCGCCGGGGGCGCCGCCGCTATAACCACCGCGGAAACCTCCGCCGAAGCCACCGCGACCACCACCAAAGCCACCGCGACCACCGAAGCCACCGCGGCCACCAAAGCCGCCACCAAAACCGCCACGGCCACCAAAGCCGGGTCCGGCACCGGCGAAGCGATCTTCACGAACCTCCAGCGCACGTCCTTGCCAGTCGTATCCGTTGAACTGCTGGATGGCATTCCGGGCATCCTCGGGCGACTCAAATGCGACGATACCAGAGCCCTTGGGGCGGCCCGTGGCATCGGTGTGAACATCGGCACGGATCACAGCGCCTTGCTGAGCTAGAAGGTGAGACAATGTTAGTCGAGAGGGCGGCCGGCAATGGATAGGGGAGGAGGAAGTAGAGGTGGTTGAAGATGCTCTGCCGTCCAATACTTACCAGCTTGGCGGAAAAGATCCTTCAAATCTTGCCAGCCAACGTTGAACGGAAGCTAAACATCCCGAGTGTCAATACCTAAGCGCGGTCGAGCATGATATCAGATTTCACATGGGGGGGAGCAGGGGCACACAAACATTGGATACGTAAAGCTGGCGGCCACCGGCACCACCAGGAGGTCCACCCGGACCACCAGGACCACCGAAGCCTCCGAAGCCTCCGCGACCAGGGCCTCCGAAATCTCCACGAGAGGGACCTCCGGTGAAACGAGGTTCGGGTTCACGATCCTGCTCACGTCAGCATTCCCTGTCAATCCCTCCCCAGGGGGGAACCAGGCGTAATGTACCTCGCGAACATAGACGAGTCGTCCCATCAGGTTCTGGTTGCTGAGGGTGTTGACAGCATTCTGCGCTTGATCCCTGGTCGCGTATTCCACAATCCTATGGCAGCGGTCAGCAGGGTTCGGAGGACACCAACGAGGCAAAGACAGATGTCGACTCACCCGCATCCCTACAGTATCCCGGACGGCCAGGCCCAGCCCGTCAACCCAAACAGTCCATAACAAACGAACCAACGGGGGAAAATCCAGAAACACAAAGGGAAAAGAAACCAGCCACACTACGCATTGGCGCCCACCTTCGACATTCCATTGGGAAGCAGTAAGACATCGGCAAAAATAACTTCTCCAGCTGTTCGAGCGATGCGGAACGTCCCCCACCAAAGTCAGCCACAGATTCCAGACCGGCGAAAACGCATCACACCCCCGACAACACGATATGACCCTGCTCACCCTGTCTCATAAAGTCTTTCAGATGATGCCACTTGACATCGTAGGAGAGGTTGCCCACGTAGACGCGACGGTCTTGCTGGGACGACTCGCGCACGGCTTGCATCATTTGTTCTTTGGCGACTGCGCGATCTTCGAACGAACGGGGGGGAGGAGGGTAGCTGCTGCGCCCACCGTAACCAGAAGCAGAATGACCACCGGAAGGGCCTTGGGTCGTACTCATAGGCGAGCGAGAACGACGGTCGGAGCGGCGATAGTCGTCACGACTGCGAGAGCGACTGCGGGGCGAGTACGAACGACGACTGCGTCTGGGACTACGGGAACGACGACGGGGAGAACGAGACCTCTCGCGCTGCGCGTGGTCAGTGTCGTCAAAGGCAGAGGGAGACATGGACGAAGAAGAGCGAGCGCGCGAGGGGACGGGTGGGGGTTAAAAGAGAGGCAGAAGATGAGACAAAGTGGGTAAGGAGATCAGCGCGCAAGGTCCCTAGGGTGGGTGTGGGTGGGTGTGGGTGGGTTGGTTGGATGAGAAAGACGAGGAATCGGCGATGGGGAATTGGGGGGGGAAGGTAAAGTTAGGTGGTGAGAGAGAGAGAGAGAGAGAGAGAGAGCAGAGCAAGGCAGGAATGGGATGGGACTCGATTGGATTATTGGGTCCGAGTTCCGGGACGGAGCCAGAGACTGGCCCGGTCAGGTGACCCGGTGCTCGTTCGGGAATAGCGCCAGACGCCAGGCCGGGGGTACCCTGGGGAAGTCACGGGCGGCCCAGGCACCGGCTCATCGAAGGGGATTGAGGGGGTGGAGAGAGGGAACAGCCAGACAGTCAGGACATTTCAAAGCTGATAGGCACGATGCACAACAAAGAATCATTCACAGACTCCATCGAAGAAAGAAAGCAAAGCCACTGTAAAGCGGATCGTGGAGAGGTGTGGGTGATAGTAGTAGATAGATAGGAATGGAGCCAACCGCGAGGGAGTGGGGATGACGGATTCCCGAACGTGAGCACCGCCCAGCATTGGCAGCTGATGGATCATGGATGGCCTGTCCACTGTCCAGTGTCCACCATCCCCAGTCCAGCTGGTCGCAAAGCAATCCCTTCCGCCAGGCCACCCCAAACCACACCCCCCAAAAAAGGCACCGGGTTCCAATAGTAGCTACAAGCGAGAACACTGATCGGGAAAGCCCACTTACTTGATAGGGTCGATAGACGTCCGCTGTAGATCCGGCCTGGATGGTAAGCCACCAAATCCACGGTCGGGATAGAACAAAGCAGAAGATGGGGAGTTACTAAAGTACGAAGAAGAGGCAGAGAAGAGGGGGAGATGAGATGGAACGGGAAAGGGAGGGGGTAAGAGAGAAGAAAGAAGATGGAGGAGGAGGAAAGAGGCGAGAGATAAAGGAGGGTGACGGCGGGAGGGGGGAAGAAGAGTGGTGGGCGGGCGTGGAGGATTCGGGGGACGAGCCAGCCAGCAGCAGGGAGCGAAGAGGGAAAAAAAAAGAAAAGACAAGACAAGAGTAAGGCAAGTTCCAGCCCGCGTGTGTGTGTGTGTGTGTCAAGTCAGATCCAATCCCATCCCATCACCTCCGCCAGCTGCAGCGCTCTCGAGGTTGGCTGCCTGTCAGACCGTCCGGGACAACATGCAGCACGCCGTGTGATTGGCCTCCCCTCGGAGCGCATCCGCAGACACCGGCCACTGAGCGTGGATGTTCGTCGCAGCAGAGGAATGGGATGTTGTTCTGACTCGGCATGCCCGCCCGGTGACAACCAGCCGTCCCTGCCGGAGTGGGAACCCGGCCCATGGTGAGGTGAGGATGCCATGGGGGGCATGATGATGGTATGTGCAGCCTAGACAAGGGGGGTTGAGAGGGGAGGGGGGAGGGGGGGACGAGACATCCCTCCCTCTGGCTGGACACTCATGTCACCGGTCATTCCCATCCCGGGGAAGAATGTGAGGCATCCCGAAGTATAAATCCAGGCCAGAATTGGAGGGGAACCGAAGGATATGTGGGCAGCATGTACATAAGTACACCGGTTTCAAGCCTTTGCAGATGGCAGGTGGATCAAGAGAGCAGCAACAAACAATCCGGGGGAAGGTTATCAGGGTCGGGGATGGGGTCGTAGAGAAGTGCATGGTAAAGAAAGGGATCTACCCACCCATGATAATATTATATTTGATGTGGATGAGGAAAACCCGGAGAACGACACTGGGAGTGGAGGGAAGATGGTAAGTGAGGGGAATGGTCGAGGAGAAGGATGGTTGATGGGGAAAGGGAGCTGGTGGTGGTGATAATAATAATAGAGAAGACGGATGGGGGGAGGGTCTGGATCGCCTTCCAACTGTCAGAACTCAGAACAAATCGGAAGGAGGGGAGGGGCCACTGGCCAGGCGATGGGGATAAGCAAACGAGGCCCGATTCTGATCGAGTCCGACGAGCTGGCAAGGATGGGGGTGGTTTAAATAATAGAGCAGTGGATATGAATTATGAAGGATGAAAGAAGGGAGGGAGTGATCATTACCTATTGATAGATACACAGCACTGACACTCTGACTATCATCAACATGGAGACATTCTGTACCGGGTACAATCCCGCGGAAATCATTCCATGGATTGCTGCGATCAACACTGAGCAGCTGGCAGGCAGCCTATCACAGTGGAGATGCCATTGTTGCATAGATCATCAGGCACAGGCAGTCAGGTACAATTGATCCATCGCTTCTTTCACCTTGATGAGACTGCTGATTTCCATCTACCTACTATCCATGCATGACTCTAAATACCACATAGAGAATACAGCATACGGGAACGATACCCACATGACAGTACCCCATACGATTGATGGATTAATGTTTATTGACCCCATACGGAGTACTCCATCCATACACTTACAGAGCCAGTCTCGAGACAGCCCCAGACAGTCAAGACACCACCAACTAGCTAACCAACAACCACCATAAAACCGATCCATAATACCGATAAACAGAGCCTGAATCCTAGTAGTAGACCCAATCCACACTTCAATTCTAATTAACCATAACTCCCCAGGAACCCTACACCTATCTAATCAGACATAACCGACCACAACCGCACCCCGTCACCAGCCAATCTTGGCTCCGCTCAGGCACCGCTTAAGAAAATCCTCCGCCATCCATCCATCCATCCTCACCTCCATCTCCAATCTTCGTCTCCTCAATCCCAATCCCAATACCCTCCGCAAACCACCACCACAACCACCACCACCATGACCCGTCCACAACCCTCCTCACCCTCTCCCGGAGGTACCTCACAACCGCCACCACCACCACCACCACCACCACACGAATCACCTTCACAAAACAACCAACAACATCCCTCCGCTCTCCCAACCACACCACCACCTCCGCATCACCACCCAAGTACCCCCCTCATCCGTCCCTACCACTCAATCCACCACCCCTCCACCCCCACACCTACACCAATTCCCAAACCACCATCCTCTCCGCCGCCCTCCACCACGTCCCAACCCACGGCTTCACCCGCAACGCCCTAACCCTCGGCGCCCGAGACTCCGGCTTCCTCGACGTCTCCGTGCAACTCTTCCCCCGCGGCGAACTCGACCTCATCCTCTTCTACCTCGCCAGCCGTCGAGGCCTTCTGCGATCCAAAGTCGAAAATGACAATTTGCTTCAGTCCGCGCAGGCCCAGTCAGTGGATGATAAAATCAAGGTTTTGATTATGGAGCGGTTGCGTATGAATGCTGAGGTGCAGGATAAGTGGGTTGATGTATGTTGCCATTTCTTTATCTACATCCCTTAGAGTTTCTCGGTGGAATGTGGAATATAGGTTGTCGGCGCTGTTGGGGAAAACACTAATGATATGTGTGTGTTGTACAGGCACTGTCGATCATGTCCCTTGGAGAAAACATCCCCATGTCGTTGTCGGAACTGCACGCTCTCTCGGACGATATTCTCACGTTGGCTGGGGACGCATCTGTCGATGCATCGTGGTATTCGAAACGGTTGGCAATTGCGGCCGTTTATGCGTCGTCGGAGTTCGTGATGACTCGGGATACGAGTGCGGGACTACATGACACGGAGGAGTTTTTGGGCCGGCGGTTGGCGGATGCGAAGGCTGTTGGGGACAAGTTGACCGGGGTGAAGCAGTGCTTAGGGTTTATGGGGACGACGGCGGTGGGGTTGGGGAGGAGTTGGGGATTGAAGATCTGAAGCTGAGTGTGTGCATCAGATGAGATGGTTGTGTTGGGATGTATGTACTATTATTATATCATTTGCTTGCTTGCTTTTTTCCTTCTCGCAGTGATGTTACTGTATAGATATGTACAAATACAACGAGACCGTGCTGTCAGGATTAGTAGGCTTGGGCTTTGGCAATCTCCCGCACGCGCTGCTCCAACTTCTCCATCCAGCCTTCTGGTCCGAACAACTCCCGCACGGCTTTCCGGTTAGGCGCCAGATCCCACCAAGGCTCACGGGTCGACCGCTGGCCCTCGACCCGGGCCTTCCGCCAATGACTCCGGAGATCGTGGTCGCGCTGGTTCTTAATCGATCCGAGAAGACTGCATGTGCGGCGATTGGGTTCCACGCCCGTGACCTCCATATCGCGGAGCAGGGACACCACACCCGGCAGATCATGACAGCCTCGCCAGTAAAAGTATATGAACTCATTATACAGGCCCGTCGAGCCACCGAGGACTGCCGAGGCACGACCCATGGACTTGATCGTGGCGCGGAACTGGCTAATAAGCTGCGAATCCGGATGGTGCAGATTCAACATCTTAAACGCAACGAGCAGCATCTTGGGATACAACTCCGTCACAACAGGCTCCAAAGGCACGCAAGGAGGAACGGCAAGAAGAGCCTTGGTAGGCTCGTCGCCAGCGACCTCGCCCTTCATGCCCAGCAGTCCCTTCTTCTCATCATCCAAATGTCTCAGGATATTGAAGATCCGGTTCTTGCACACCTCCCAGATCCCCGTATCTCCCTTGCCCTCGTCGATGGCCTCCCACAGCGCCGCCTCGATCTTCACTGATTCCCGCGTGATGACTGCCTCGATGGCCCGATCTATCGTGATCTCCTTTGACGATACCATCTCCGCCATCTCGTCGTCCGTGTACTCGCCCGTTTGAAGCTTCTCTTCGATCTCGGTACTCGCCTGCATGGCTGCAGCTTCAACCTGACGCTCGGCGGAGCGCGCCTCCGCACGCTGGCGCTTCTCTTTCATGTCCTGGAGCACGGAGTCAAAGATGGCGGAGATTTGCGACATTTCGTCCATTTCTTCATCGCGGAGGGCGGGTTTCGCGCCTGGAGTAGAGGAGTCAGGCTGTGTTTGACCGCGGCGCTCGGTGCCAAGTTGTTCGAGCAGATTGCCGAAGATCTGCTTCTCGTTGCTGGTCATGGTGAGGGGTTTCTGGGAAGCGGTAGATCTAGTGGTAGTCTGCTGAGGGGTGATGGCGGCGGCTCTCTTGCGAATATAGCTCTTCCGTACTTCTCGGGGCTTGTCATCTTGGGGTTCTTCTGTCTCATTGGCGGCGTCATTGGAGGTCGAGTAGTGCTGGGTGTGTCGCAATGAGGAGAGAGATGCACCGTTGAGAGTGCGAGTTTGGTACAGGAATGGGACGGGCGAATTGCGACTTGCGAGGGCGAGCCATGATCGAGAGATTCGGGCGCTCATTGTTGCAGGGGTTGGGGATACAGTCAGTCAGAGGGACTGAGAATAAAAATTTCTTGTCACCCCCCAAACCAGTAGCGCTTGATCGAATCGGTCGAGGTGAAGGTAAATCGTCGGAGAGATTCAGCCGGTCTAGCGGACGGACCAATCGGGCCCGTTTCTCGCATTAATCAATGGCACGTGACCACGCGGCGCTCCGAACGCGCTGGTGCGCCGCGATGGCAAAAGCCGTCCTGCGCCCATCGACTACCATTCGCAACCCCAGCAATCCCTAGTGCGCAGATATTCCCTCAGCGGAGGAGCGAACAACCGCCCAAGATGGTTAAAGAAGAAATCTCCGAGTTCGAAAAGCAGCGGCTAGCCAACATCGCTGAACGCGATGCGCTCCTCAAAAAGCTCACCATGGAGGCGCAGTCTTCCGGGCTGTTCCCGCCCAAGATGCCCAAACCGGCTGCAAAGGATCAATCTCGGTCTAAGAAAAGGGCGCCCGTGAAGAAAGTCAAGGAGGAGACTCCGCAGCCGCGCCGCGTTTCGTCCCGTCTGAGGGGTATCGCAGCGGAGAGCGAGGTTGCGAAGCGCAAAGCGGAGGAGGAAAACGAGGCACTGCAGGCAGCGGAGCGCGCAAAGCGTGTCCGCAAGTCAGATAACTTCTCATTCAATGAGATGGTGGTATATGGACAGAAGCTGTCAGGGGATAGTCTGATCGGGGTGGACGTGGTTACGAAGGGCGTTGCGATCCCGTACCAGCGAACATTCGGCGACGACGATATCCAAAAGACGACGGACAAAGATCTAAAGGCGCTGAGGAAGGAAATGAACGGATTGAAACTCTGGGAAGCATGGGAACCCAATCGTCTGTCTACCCTTTCCATCCCCTTTCCAGACCACTCAACTAATCACCCTTCCTCCAGGCATCAAACTCACTCCCGAACGAATCTACTCCATGACCTTCCACCCCACCGAATCCAAACCACTCATCTTCGCCGGCGACAAACTAGGCCACCTGGGTATCCTCGATGCCTCACAAGAGAACCCCGCCTCAATCAAGCAGGAAGCAGACGACGACGAAGACGAAGACGACGACCCAGACCCGGTCCTCACGACCGTGAAACCACACACGCGCACAATCAGCGCCATGCACATCCACCCCTCGAAACCCACCACACTCTACACAGCCAGCTACGACAGCTCCATCCGCGCCATGGACCTAGAGAAATCCACCAGCGCAGAGCAATACGCACCGGAATCCACCTCCTCCGACGAGCCCATCTCCGGAATCGACATGGCACTCGACGACCCTAACGTGCTCTACTGGACCACACTAGACGGCGAATTTGGCCGTCACGACATCCGCACGAAGCAACAACACACCGTCGCAACCTGGCAGCTCTCCGAGAAAAAGATCGGCGGGTTCTCCCTCTACCCCACACAACCACACTACTTCGCAACCGCGAGTCTAGACCGCTCAATGCGCCTCTGGGACCTGCGCATGCTCCAGAAGGACAAGACCAAAGACAACACCCCAGTCCCAGTCGGTGAACACTACAGCCGATTATCCGTATCGCACGCCGCCTTCAACAGCGCCGGACAAATCGCGACGTCATCTTACGACGATACGCTCAAGATCTACGATCTAAAAGCAAAGGGCCTCTCATCCTGGGATAGTGGGCATACACTCTCCGAGGACGAGCTAGGACCGGATACTATCGTGCGGCATAACTGCCAGACAGGAAGATGGGTTACTATGTACGTCCTTCCTCCTCCAACCTCCTTTTCCTATTTCCTACCTACTCTCTCATAATCCCAAGAATACTAACAATAGATTGCAGTCTCCGTCCCCAATGGCAACAAAACCCGCAATCACACATTCAGCGATTCTGCATCGGAAATATGAACCGGTTCGTAGATATCTACAGTGGATCAGGGGATCAACTGGCGCAGTTAGGCGGGGATGGGATCACGGCAGTACCGGCCGTGGCTGTTTTCCATCGGAGTAAGAATTGGGTTGCGGGGGGCACGGCGAGTGGGAAGATTTGTTTATGGATGTGATATTAATTCGTCATATTGGTTTGACTGTTGAGCGGGTGTATAATTATCTATGTATCTTTTTTTGTATGGGATGGGATGTTGGAATAGTGGCATAGGATAGAAAGAGGAATGGTCTAAGGTGGAGTACTCATTCATCTATGCCCAGAGAAAAGGTAGACGCTATTTACACATGAATCACAATCGTAGACAGCCGGCAGGACTGGCTGTCTACAATCCATACATCATCCATGGAAGATCATATCCGGCACTCTGCTCAGGACCTCTTGTTTTCCACGTAAAAACAGCCATCAGAGCAGGGTATCAACACCATGACAAATGCTTTCCAAAAACAACCGGCGGAAGAAGTGATAGGGAGAACGAACGTTAAATCATGGGCACATGCGGAGGGAACAAGGAAGTCGGAAAATAAATGTAAAGGCAGAAAATTTACACCAGAAGATGCAGGGATTTCACTCTAGGAAATCAAGCTCTCGTGTTATACACAGAGATAGCTGCCCGCAAGGTGTGAGTGTCACCCGTCTGCAGGAGCTTCTCCGATGAGATCCATTGGGATCATGTAATGGGCTAAACAGCCATTGAATGTAAAGGCAGGGTTTCTTTCGAGAGAAAGTCGCCAGGGGGGGGAGCAGATGTTCGGAATCACCATCTCGCCTCAATAAACGGGCCTGTATCGGGGATCGAAGGGTTGCGTCATGACTCGCTTCGCTGTTCCTCACGCGATTGCTGGGCCTGCTCCCGATCCTTGGCTTTGCGCCGAGACGGAGGCACGAAATCAAAAAACCGGTATTTACTCGACGTCTCTCGGGTAATGCTGGACCGGCGGGATTTTGAGGGCTCCTGGTCAAGCGAATAGGTGGAAGAGTTCTTCGAACTGCCGGTGCTGTCCCGGGGATCAGCCCACCGCGGTATCGAGAACGGCACTCTGCTCTGGTCCCACGTGGCGGACGATGAGCTGGGAGGCGTGTCCTCATCCGCCTCGGGCGCGCAATCGGTGGACCGACGGGGGAGAGAGGGCCTGGAGGCGAAATAGCCGATTGAGTTGCGATGGCTGCCTGTAAGGGATGTCGACCCCGCAACCGCTGCCTCCGTGGCCGGACTCGTAGGTTTGGAGCTCTCATCATAGAAGGTTACCGATCGTTCCATCGAATCAACCAATTCTTCCCATTTGACTTCAAGGCTTCCGTTTGGACGCTCGGCTTGTTCTGCACGGCTCAAACATTCCTTGGTGCGTTGGTAGAGACGAAGAGCCATCTCATGGAACTTGCTGACCGCCGGATCGATATCCTCTAATTCGCTCAGTCTCTCCGGTGCAATTTCGAGCCAGATGCTAATCAGGTTGGCAAAGCTCCGCGCGTGGTCAATCAGGAAAGGGAGACTAGGGAATCCTTCGCGGGATGTCGGGGGGAGGCGACCCAGAATTTGGATGGGTGTGGCATAAGAGGGCGTGACGATTGGAGCTGGGCGATCGGCCGGAATAGCGCAAATGGAGTCCACAAACTGTTTGAAATCAGCGCGATTGCTGACTAAAAATTTGTTCATCGGTTCCATCCAAGGCTCCTTGCTACCGAAAGTAGTCATATTGGCCAGGCCTTGCAAAGCCTTCGCGATCAGGGTCAGGGTGCGTTGGGCGCGAGGGCGCGGGTGATCTGCGTGCATTAGAACGAATCCAGCGGACAACGATGGAGAAGAAATACCTTTGAGCAATCCAAAGAGTTTCGGATTGAGGATTGCCGGACAAAAGAACCGCAGGAAGAGAAAGCCTGACACACTACTGTAGGTGACCGACCGAAGGAAATCGCCGTAGCGATCCTCTGCGCAGGCCCGGATGTGCCGAAAGATGAGCCGCAATTCGGCCGGGCATCTCGACGAGGAGCTTGCGATTGCCTTCCAAACCGCGGTGCTCAGGTTGATGAGATTCCTCCAGTTGCGGTCCAGATCATCCGACCGGTGGACGCGGGAGGGATCAACCTCGCACTCCGGGTCCGTTTCATCGATATCGCGAAGCCGCTCCCCAATGGTTTCTTCCAAATATTCTTTTCCTAGGCGACGCATATGGTAGTCAAGCGCCTTGGTGAGTAGGGAGTTCCCTCGAAAAAGCAGGTTCGCCTCGACAGTAGCAGTACGGCCCATATCCCTGACGAGGACTTCCCTTTCTTGACCCGATTCCCGGGAGTCATTGGAATGAATTCTCGTGGTATACCTGAGCCTATTGGCGGTCGATTCCTTGTGTAACCCGTCAATCTCGTCCTCTACCAACGCCGATATCCACTCGACGGTCGTGCCCGACACCTGGTAGATGTTCAAAAGTGCATCGGACAACTGATTGAGTTCCGAGGACATGACTTGAGCCATGTTGATGGTGAGGCCGTTGGTGAAGGAATGCAGAATTTCAGACATCGGTGTATACTCGTGCGACATGAGAACGACCGTTTCCTCCATTCGAGCTCTCATGAGCATCTCACCGACTGGTTGGTCCTTGTCATCTAAGATCGGCCACCATTTCTCGGTTTCCACTCCTGGCTGCAGATCGTCCAGCTTCAGATCCACCCTGCCGAATGTAGCGTCATGAGAGGACAACTCAACATCGTCTAATAAGCGGTTTGGATTGTTGTGCTCATGGCCCAAGGCATAAGAACCATGTGCGATTAGCGTCCAATCCTTTTGTGTCGGATTGATTGTTTTAACTAGTATCGAAACCTGGGACAGGACGGGCGGGAGATCACTGAAGATAAAGTCCTCTCGCCAAAATGGGTTGGCTGTGCGGTATTTGACCGCCGTTTTGGCCCGAATTTCCCCATCAAGGAGAACTTCAGTATAGTAATCGCCCACGGCAGATGTTGGGGTGGAGTTGCTATGCGATCGGGACTGCTTCCGGCTTCGCGGGGCCTTCTCCGCAGCTTTGTTTCGTAGTAGTTTGGCTTCCGTCACTCTCACACTAAGCACCCTCTCGATCCTAAACATATCTGCCATGGAAGGAGCAGCGGCATCAGCCGACCCGGACGCACTTTTAGGGTCATCCTCTGTACATGTTTCAGGGCCATAGAGCTCTGGTATCGTAAAGGCGCGCAGGAGCACAAACCAGACCTCAAACAGGACTCGGCTTTCCAGGGCTAGGTACACAGGTCGGGTGATGCCGGACGCAGAGTGGACGGCATATTGGGGATATATGGCAATGCAAAATTCATCTTCCAATACCGAAGAATGCAACTGCTGCACGGCACAGCGGGAGAGTTGAGAGAGTTGGACGCAAGTCACGAGCGTAATGTCTGATTCGGTATACAGCTTGAACGCACCGTTTTCTTGTAATGTGCAGCTGACTCTCAGCCAGGACGCGGAAAGTGCTCTCTGCTGTCGATATGTTGAGACTCGACGGCCAGAGGAAGGTCGAACGCCAGAGGCACTTGGCCTGTCCCACAGGAGCATCTTACCGACCTTGATGATCGCCGCCTCCTTCTGAACCGTACTCTCGGAGTTTCGCCGGCGATCAGCCAGACGGCGGTCTCCTATCGCGACCGACTGGGGCTTCGTCATCTTATTCTGAACGCCTTTGGGTCGGATCGGCTGCCAGCATAATAAAGCAGCAAGCCAGGAATCGAAGGTTTCGCTTACATGGGGCCTTAATTCAACTCCTAGCCCGGATGTGAACGTCGATACGCTGAGGTAATTCGTCCGGAGCTCGGGATCGACGAGGGAGCGAACCTGGCACCCACGAAGATCGGGAATCAGGGTCTTGGCCAATGCGGGCTCCCCCTTGGCCTGATATATCAGGCTTCCCGTGGCAACGTTGATGGCGCAGTAGCCCGAGGACCAAGCGGTTGTGGATGCAGTCCGAAACGAAAGAATGCCGTGCATCCTTCCACAAGTTGTTTTCATAAGCTGCAGGATTTTGGACGCATCGGTACTTGACAGCGGGGAAGAGGCTTGATTGGCCGACACGCTCGTCGCTAAGTTTGAACCCCCTGGGTGCTTGCTTAGCCGTGGACGGCCGAGGGAGTGACTGAAATAGGTGGGGGATTGGATCGACGGATAACCAATAGAGCCCGTTGGCTCATCTGGTGTTTTTGGCTGGGTATTTGCAGTGTTGATAGAGCCCAGGCGATTCCGGGCTCTGAAAAATGTGTTTTGGGAGATTTCGCTGCGTTGATCGTCTAGGGTAGTGGTCCGTGACCGCGCGCGCTGACTTTTCATCTCCACATGCGTTTCCTCTTCGTCGCCTGCCGAGTGGTAAGAGTGGTAGTCGCGACGAGATTCTCGATCGGAGGCTCTTGTTCGGGTGGCGGGACGAGGGGAAGCTGCTGCACTCGATGCGAGATACTCCGCCTCCGAGGAAGGCGAGTGGTTGCCAGCCTCAGAATCCGGGGTTACTGTTCGAATGCCTGTGTCTCTGAAGCTATCGGGGTAAACCATCCCATGACGGTCCTTCGAGGAAGACTTTTTGCTGGGTCGCCGTTCGACAGGACGACTGTATATTCCCTGATGGATAGAGTTTCGTTTGAATCCACTTGAACTTTCCGGCTCCATCTTTTATTCCCAACCACGCACGACGGAACCGGCAGCAGCGGCACTCGGGAGAGGTCGCTACAAAATACACGGGACGTAGACAGACGGGGCGGAGACACAGAAACTGGTGATACACTGCGGGATTGTTACCTTGCAGCACGCTGGCACCCAACGTACGCTGCGCAACCGTCCTCGAACAATTGAGGGTCTCTGTCGTCCAATGGGTCGCTAGCTGAACGCATGGAGTCCGGGGTGAGGGAGGGAGATAGAGTCGCACATTCGGTCGAGGCCGTGGCGTTGTGGGTGCTGGCGATGGTGAGGGGGGTGGCCGCTAAACGATTGTTCGTTCAGGGGTGGAAAGGATGGGGGGGTAGTATTGTGGTGTTGACGGTCGTGACGACGATGGCGGTGGGTGGCAGTTGGGGGTGAGTGGGCGGGAGAAGCGCAGCCAATGTGGAAGAAAAGTAGAGGGCCAGAATCGCTAGCAGGCGCGGCAAGAATCCAATCCTCCAACAGTCCAGGTACGGCGGCGATGTCGCTGCTAGAAAGGCATCGTCTGGTATGTTAGCTCGGAAGGAAGGGAGCGATGGTGCAGTAAGCGGGCTTGAAAGAACGCTGCAGCAGTGGTAGTGGTAGTGGTAGTGGTAGTAGTGGTGGTGGTGGTAGAAGTACAGCGAAGAAGTGGTTAGGTAGATAGTTCGGTCGGCACAAAGGTTTGGTTCGACCAACCGCAGCGTGATATCATTGGAATTTGACCAGAGAAGCTTGAAATACGGGGGAAAGAATGGGGGGGAAAGGAACACACACCTTCATCAGTTGAGATTGACCCTTTTATTTTACTTAATTTGCCTCCCTCTGCCGTGCAATGTTGAGGGAACTGATCTGTCGTAGTCGGGGGACCGAAGACTAGGCAGATGAAAGGGTGGATAATTGGTTGACGGATTGACGGATTGACGGACTGCGTGAAGCCAATTACCCAGACGACGTGCGTTGTGAAAGCTGCAGATCCCGCATCAGCATGGATGCATTTTCTGTACGACAGACGGGGTCTGGTCTGGTCGGGGGGAGGGGGGAAGTGGGTGGAAGTAAGCGAGGGTCAAGAGGGAAAAAAGAGGGAGAAGGTGGAAAGTCAATGATCAGCTGGAGGAGAGAGAGGGAGGGAGGTGAAAGCGGGAGGCGGTGTTGAAGTCGTGCAGCGGGACGGAAGAAGGACCAAAAGAGGGGGGGGTGAAAAAGAGGCAGACGACGAGAAGGAGAATAATAAAAGGTGTATATAGTTTAGTTTTCTGGTCGGAATACACGAACAAACGAACAAACGAACAAACCGAAATCCCACGATCTCGATAGTCTACTCACGTTTCACCTAGGATCAGGGATGCTTGAAGGCTAAGGACCGGGAGGAAGGCTGATGATACGACAATGGACGGACCCTTCCAACTCCCAGATGCAGGGGAATTGGACAAACGCCCGGTGATCTCTCCGATTGACGATAGTGGTGTCTATGGACTACCTAGGGACTATGGAGACCTGCCTTGGGAATCCTCCAGGCTTGCTTGGTGAGTTACTACTTACATAGTAGTTGCTTAGCCTGGGACTGCGTTGGTGATCGTTGGCTTCCGATTTGACTGGGTGCAGTTATGGAGTCATGGACCACCCTGAGTCCTGACCGACCCTTTTCTTCTTGACTTCCACCCCTAACTATCTACTAATTAACTAAGGATGGCCTGATGTTCGCACACACGCTGGCTTTTATTCTTGACCTGCAAATTAATTCAACCTGCCTAGTCGTCAATTGAACAGATCGAAAGAAAAGGAAAATTAAATAATGAAAAGAAAAAATTAGAGAAAAATAGGAAGGGAAAAAAAAAAAAAAAAAAAAAAAAAAACTGTTAGGTTCAGGCTCTGGGGCTGAGATCCACCGGGGTGAAAGGCATGCCTATTGAATATCCTATGGAATTGAAATTATTCAGTTTCTTTCCCCTTCCTATCGTCTTATTTCTCTATACAGGAACATCCCGGTAGAAGTACGGAGGTACTTTGTTATCGCCACCGTTCCTCTAGTCACAATTGAGACCTATTCCGAAATGATTTCCTGGAAATATCATCGGATCCCCATATATGAGGCATTGTTTCAGGTCGGGAATAGTCCGTTTTCTTAAAGTCAAGCCTTTCCATCGAGCCGGATGAAGTCAATTGAATCTGAATACACTGTAACTATTGATGGTGAGCAATTAAAACTGATGATTAATTAATTAGCCGGATGGAATGACATGGCCTATATCTCCCAGGCCTAAGGTAGATAGATAACTACGTCAAGACGAGAGAGGCTTGGAGGAAGCGGGTCAAGGATGGTCGATTATCATGACCTTCCAGAAAGGTCCACGAAGACACCACCTCTGGGCTAATGTAGAACCAGCCCCGATAGTGGTGAATTTTATTTTTCCTTCTTTCTTTCCTTCTTTCTTTCAGTCTTCCCCGGCCTCTCCCTCTCTTGCAGTAATTTGCTTTTTTCCCCTTTCCAAAACCGACTAGCCTCCCCTGTCCCTTCGATTACCATTCTTTTTCGTTTCTATGTACAGGATGTATTTGCTATTTGCGCAGAGGGTCGTACCGAACCAAACCATGGCAGAAACGGTAGTACAATGATCAGGCCGACCATTTCCAGAAGAGACCCAACAGGGTACGGCAGTCAGATCCGATGGACTAATGATTATCGCCACTGGGATCCTTCCCGCCTCCCCTGTAGTACTACCCGACATTAGATTATATTAGATTGTGATGGCTGCTAGTATGCTCCGAAAGTGGCAGCATGCCTACGCATGACTAGGCTCACATCATGGCGGATCGCAATGATCGTGTTCTGCACACCGTTGGCTGTGGCCAAATGGTCGGCAGTTTGCAGGTCATTAATATCATTAATATCACTGTTGCATTGCGTATTGCACTTGGCCAGGCTAATCGTTGGCACTACTGTAGGCACGGTGGCCTACTACGTACCTGGTTGGTCGGTTATCGCGATCTAATTGGACGAGAATCGTTGTTGAATTAGTAGTGGAATGGCCAGCATCAACCTGGAGTACGTTAATCTCCAGAGTCCTGGGATAAGCATAGAGGAACAAAGAATGAGACGTACTGCGTATTTGTAAGAGAAGCACAGCACTTTTGAGTCTGTGGTACCGTCATTGACCCAGCGATCGTTTCACTGGGTGTGGATCATTCGGGTAACCAGTTGATCATGTTCTGGGAACCCCTCGGGCAATCAACTGTTTCTCACTTACTCCGTGGTCAGTACTATGTATGGAGGGCATCTATCTTCACCGGCCGGGAGACGGAGTCAAGGTGACAACGCCGGCCTGCGGTGGGACAAGAGGAATTTGACCAGAGGCCAACGAGGCACCACGTATATTAGAAATGGCCTTCCACTCTTCCAGAATGGACACCACCCCGCACGAGCCACACCGGCTCTCAAGGATCTCTGGCGCTGGAGCCAATCAGTGATCCCCGTCGGCGGCTCATCCCGTCGAGCATCCCACTTGGGCTGACTCGTGTCGTCAGAGACTCGCCGGCAAAATTCCGCGGCCATAGGTCACGTGAATTTTATCAGTACGTAATCGTCTGCTCGCATCAACGCTTGTCCGCTTCCGCTCACATGATGCTGGGCAGCCGGATACTTCTGCCTCAGGCTGCATCAGGCAGCAAAGAATGCTTACCGCTTCCGGGCTAGCAGGTGGGCCAGGACAGCTGACTGACCGCCTGCATCATCGTAGCTTATCACGAGGGTCAGCGGTCATGTCTTCCTCCAACCGGGGGTCGCTCTGACCCTTACCGACTCGACACCTCAGTCAACCGACCTTCTTCAGTAGATAACGACTAATTTGCGCGTCTCGTCTCCTCTCTTCTTCTCAGATTTCTTGATCAGGTCAAGGGCCCACTGATCCTTTGCCTCCCTCTATAGATTCCCCGATCCCCTTCGATCTGTTCCAAACAGTCGATTGTCGCTCTAGGTTCCGAACCGGTGCCGCCGTTTGAATACAGCCACCCTGGGTGCTTCTCTACTCCCTATATAGCCTTTTTTTCCTACCTGCATGGCCCTGAAGTGACCTGACGGCACGGTTCTACGGCCGCTATAATGTACTGATGATTTTATATTCCACTTATTATCCAAGTATCTTAGCCCAGGATGATGACCTCAAACCTCTTGTCCCGTTTCCTCCCTCCCAACGGCTCCCCGTCAGTTTATGAGACGATCCGGCAACATGATTCCCACTCAGACTCGTCCGACATCGAAGAACGCGCAGGCATGACACTGGATGATGATCCCAGAGACCGGTTTAGCGACCGTGAGCTGGAAGATGCTCTGGCAGATGCTGGGAGGGATGATTCGCCCGGCCCAAGCGATCCATTCCTCCCCTCTCGGAGTCCACCAAGGACAAGGGACGATGAGGGCTTCCTAAAGGCCGGCTCTCGTCGCCGCAAATTCAGCCGTTCCGCTCGGATACACGCGCGTTCGCCACGCCATAAACTTGATGATAGCGATGATGACGTGCCTGCCTCTCTTCTCGTGGAAGGAGGCCAGGATGATGATGACGATCTGGTGTCAAAGCTTCCTCCTCCTCCATCTACCCATGACCACCCGAATACAGCCCTTCCACTCCGATCTTCGCCTCGAGAAGACCGGGCTCGCTGGGAAGCGACCCGCGAGCGATTGCCGCTACACAATACCAATCGGAAAGGTCATCAGGGGACCCTGTGGTCAGCTGGATACCCCAACTTAGCCACAGTAGATCCCAAAGAGAAAGCAATGTGGATGTGGGCAAACGTTGAGAATCTGGATAACTTCTTGAAGGATGTCTACACCTACTACCTGGGAAATGGAATTTGGTCAATCCTGCTAAACAGGGTCCTGAGTCTCTTGTATGTCGTCTCTCTCCCAGTTCCAAGCTTGGCTTGATGGTCCAGACTAACAGGTGTCACGCACAGGACCTTTGGATTCGTCGTAGGGTTTAGCATCTTCCTCACCAACTGCATTGACTACCGCAAGGTACGCGGAAGTAGGACTCTGGACGACATCCTAATCCAGAGATGCACCAAGCAAATGTCCATGTCCGCCACCTTATTGCTGTGGCTGCTTTCCTTCTTCTGGATCGGCAAGGCTTTCCAGTACCTGTTAGATATCAGAAGGCTCAAGCATATGCATGACTTCTATCACTACTTGCTCGGAATCTCCGATGCCGAGATTCAAACAATATCCTGGCAGGAAGTTGTCAGTCGACTGATGACTTTAAGAGACTCCAACCCCGCAACTGCAGGTACGGTCTCTGCAAAGCTTCGCAAATTCATGGGAAGCCAGTCCAAGCAGCGTATGGATGCTCACGATATCGCGAACCGGTTGATGCGCAAGGAAAACTACCTGATTGCTTTGGTAAATAAAGACATACTAGATCTGACGCTTCCGGTTCCGTTTCTGAGGAACCGACAGCTGTTTTCTCGAACGCTCGAATGGAACATTAACCTTTGCATTATGGATTATGTCTTTAACGAACAGGGCCAAGTGAGGACATTGTTTTTGAAAGATACCCACCGACGCTCTTTGAGTGAGGGCCTGCGGCGGCGTTTCATGTTTGCGGGCATCATGAACATCTTTGTAGCCCCTTTCATTGTCGTTTATTTCTTGATGCACTATTTCTTCCGCTATTTCAATGAGTACAAGAAGAATCCGTCTCAGATCGGGTCCCGACAATACACCCCGCTGGCCGAGTGGAAGTTCCGCGAGTTCAACGAGCTGTGGCACCTGTTTGAGCGGCGTGTTAACATGTCCTACCCCTTCGCGAGTCGCTATGTGGACCAGTTCCCTAAAGACAAGACGGTCCAGTTTGCCGGGTTCGTGGCGTTCGTCTCGGGTGCTTTAGCCTCAGTGTTGGCCCTGGCATCCGTTGTGGACCCGGAGCTGTTTTTGGGATTCGAACTCACTCACGACCGAACCGTGCTTTTCTACTTGGGTGTCTTTGGTTCCATTTGGGCTGTTGCCCAGGGGTTAGTCCCCGAAGAAACCAATGTGTTTGATCCAGAATATGCACTCTTGGAAGTGATCAATTTCACCCACTACTGCCCGAGCCACTGGAAAGGCCGCTTGCATAGTGACGATGTTCGCAAAGACTTTGCCGTGCTGTATCAGATGAAGATTGTCATCTTTCTCGAAGAAATCCTCAGCATGATCTTCACGCCGTTTATCCTCTGGTTCAGCCTGCCCAAGTGCAGCGACCGTCTCATCGACTTCTTCCGGGAGTTTACCGTGCACGTCGATGGGATGGGGTATCTGTGCTCCTTTGCTGTTTTCGACTTCAAGAAGGGCACCAACGTTATCTCCCAGGGGGACACTGGTCGGCGCGATCCCGCGCGGCAGGACCTTCGGGCAGACTACTTCTCGACCAAGGACGGCAAAATGCTGGCCTCTTACTACGGGTTCTTGGATAACTACGGTGCTAACCCTCGCGGTGCCCACCCCGCCAACAAGCGGCAATTCCATCCCCCTCCCACCTTCCCAACTCTGGGGTCACCATCGGCCATTGAGATGGGCAATTTCGGCGATCGACTCGATCAGACGCTGCTACGACAAGGACCAGCAGCTGGGCTAATGGGCCAGCAGTCTACGTTTGGTGCGCCTCGGTTCGGGCCCGCTGGGTTGGGAGACCATGCATCGCCGGCACCATCAATCCTGCTTGACCCGCATCATCAGCCATCGGCGTCAGGGTTCCGTTCAACCAATCGCGCTAATCCCTATCCGCGCTATAGGGCCTCGCGACCACCTCCCACCATCTCCGACCCCATCGAAGACGAAGACCCTCCGGCGGTCCAGGCTCACGGGGCTGGCAAGTCGCCGCCTGGGGCTGGGTCGAGCGGAGGTGGCATAATTCGGAGTGACAGTAATTTGGAGGATTCATGGCGGATGAACCTGATGGGAGAAGGGGGCGAGGACGAAGATGAGGGAGGAGACAATGTCGATGCCCTTGCCGGAGGAGCGGGCGTTCTGGGACTCATCCAGCAGTTCCAGCGGGTAAACAAGGATAACCGCGGGCGCACGACAGTTGGTATATAACTAGGGGGTGTATGGGGGTGTGGGAATTATTTGCCTGTGCCTCTGTACAGTAGGAAATCTGACTAGTACGGACGGCCTTGGGATCATGGCCCCGACTGTCATTGGAGAGGCACGGACGCTGGAGTAGACACCTATGTAAGGTATAGACAAGCTAGTATTGTATCGTGACATCGGTTGCTCTTCCCTCTGCATACGTTAAGGTTTATTACGAATGGTCTCGCCTTTGGACTCCGCCGGGTGGGCTGGTCCCCCGGCTAAATGGATGGACCAGCTTGGGACTCGGGAGACACCCTTGGGCACGGGGAAATGGGAATACTCATGCCCATTGCCCTACCTCTCTCTAGTCTCTACTACCTTCGTCCTTCAGGGTCTGCTCGCTCAAGCTCCGAAAAGGTGCGTTTCAGGGTCTTGATTTCGAAACGAGGTATGGAGCACATGGTGTCCCCGCCAGCCCCTCGAACCGTAGATACTAGTACTTCTCAATCATCCGGTCATAACGAGATTCCTCTTAAGCAAAGATAATCGGTATACGGAGTACTAAGAATTGAGTTGGCACTGAATTCTCCCAGCTGATTAATAGACCATAGATAATAGTAGGTAGAGGCAGCCCCTGGATAAACTCCGGCAGCCGGGGCGACTATCCGTGGAAGGGTTAGCATGCAGAAATCAATCAAATCGTCCATCAACCTGAATAATACCCACCCCCCGCCCGTCTCGGTAATTACGGGACTCCATCGGGGGGATATAATTAGAAATCACTATGGATCCAGTCCCCTGCAGCCGTCGCTCTCGCTCATGCACCTGTCGGTCGATGCTGTCGATGACTCGATGATGGGATGGCATCCTGAGGATGGGCATGCGTAGAGACATACGTAGTCCAGGGCGAGCAAGAGAGCACACGGCAGTAGGTTGATGGGTTTTATAACCATCCAGTCCAACCCGGGCCTGACAGGCGATCCTCCATCTTTTTCTCCCCCCATCGCCGCTGGAAGTCTGGAACCAGTGCCCGACCGGCCTAGGTATCTTATTTTTTCTAGTATCGACCTGCTGATCCCTCCGTCGCGGATCCGGGGATCTCCTATGACCTCGATCGCCATTGAGTTTTTCCTCATTTCTTTTGCGCGATGCGCTGAACAGGAACTATTGAACAATCTGACATGGATTCCCTCCCAATGGAAGCGTCAAGAGGGTTGAAAGACAAATGAATTGGAGGAATCGGAGTATTCCTTACCCCGGCTATAGTATCCCCCCATTCACAATCCGCATTCACACATTCACCGATAGATGATGGGGCCCTCATCCATAATGTCTGAATGGATACGGAGTATATGGAGAAGTCAATAATAATGAAAGGCCTCCTGATCCCACTGTTTCCGAGCCTACTAGCGCCAGATTCTTGGCCGAGACTTGCTGCTGGATGTGACCGGCGGTTGCATCCGCAGACGGTTCAGGCGAGTTTCCATCCATTCTTTTAGTTCCTCACAATCTCCATGCAGTATTATTATTGGATCGCACGCGGTCTGGCCAGTCCCTGGCGGAGGACTAACTGAAGGTTGTTGTGAGTTGGTTGGTTGTGTGGTCCAGGCAGGGTACTTTGGTCTCTCTCCTCTATCTACTACTACTAGTATCCATCCCCCTCTCATGACCCTCCCTCTCTTTCGCTCTCCAACCAAATCTGGTGCTTTTTCGACTCCTTCTCTTCTCCCTCCTTCTCTCTCACTCGTCCTCACCCTCGCCCTCCCTTTCCCTTTTCTCTCTCTCTCCCTCCATCCTCTCTCTCCCTGCATTAGTCATGACCTAAGAGAGGTTGACTCTCCGCCTCGACTCCATATTCTTGATTCATTTCGTCCATTCGTTTGGTCCACTTTTATGTTGGATCTCGCCCAGTCTGTCGTTAGAGAAACTGCCCCCCTTCCACCACCATCATCGTCATAATAATAATCCTAATCCACTCTCCATTCCTCTTGGTCTTCTCCCTCGGCTTGGAGGCTGACTCCCTTGGGATCTCGTGATCCTTTCTGTCCCTCTCTCCTGCCTTCCTCATATTCCTCCTCCCTCAACCTCCTCTTCTTTGGGACTCGGTTGTCTTCTTTACTTTTTTGATTCTTCTATTTCCACTTGCGATCCATTCTTTCTAATTCATTCTTTCTTGCTTCTCGGTTCCATTCGTTCACCATGCTTCGAGCCCGACGATACCGGGTTCTCCTGGTGTTCGCAACCATCTTCGTGCTCGCCTTCATACATTTCGCCCGATCCCGAGAACAAGCACCGTCCGCCTGGAGTGCGCCGCCACCGGTCGATCGTCATCCCGCGTCTTTCTCTCCAGACCTCCCCGCTGCAGACCAAGTTGACCTCAAGGACTCTGCTCCAATAATTGCCCCTCCTTCCCCCCCGGCCCCCGAGAGTTTCGAGCAGCATTCCACCGAAGAAGCAACGGATCCTTCTACCGAAACTTTATCCGACGTCCGCCCATCGGTTTCCGCCGAGGTTCCCAAATCCTCGGACGATGCGTCGCCCAAAGACAATGGAAGTGAGGGCGAATCTGGTCCGCTCCAGACCAACGTGGGTTCTCAGGGCCAAGGGAAATCGGGAGTCGAGACTCCCGAAGCACCTTGGCCACATCCTCACTGGAAGAAAGTACCAGAACAATATCCTATTGCTTCTGAAGACTTTATCCGATTGCCAGTCGGCCAGTCCAAGACGCTCCCAAAGTTGCAGGCGGATTTTAAAGACGAATCGTCCGCCGACAAGATGAAGCGTTTACAAAGACTGTCAACCATCAAGTCCGAGTTTGAACATGCATGGACTGGTTACAAGACCTCCGCCATGGGCCACGATGAAGTCATGCCTCTGCGGGGTGGATATCGCGATCCTTTCAATGGCTGGGGAGCCACGCTTGTGGACGGTTTGGATACCCTTTGGCTCATGGGCCTGAAGGAGGAGTTCTCCATTGCGGTTGATTATATCAAGACGATTGACTTCACAACCTCCAAGAAGAAAGACATTCCGGTTTTCGAGACAACCATCCGTTACCTAGGAGGCTTGCTCGGTGCTTACGATATCTCGGGACATAAGCACGGTGTTCTTTTGGAGAAAGCTGTGGAGCTCGCAGAGGTTCTGATGGGCGCTTTCGACACGCCGAACCGGATGCCAACGCTGTTTTACAAATGGGCCCCGTAAGTTCAATTGCACCTAGATCGATTCTATGAGTTGTGCATGGCTGATATGTGTTTCATGCAGGGTTTATGCGGCGCAATCGCATCGTGGGGATAAGAAGGCCGTACTTGCGGAGCTCGGCTCTCTTTCCGTGGAATTCACCCGCCTGGCACAGTTGACAAAGGAAAATAAATACTACGATGCCATTGCACGCATTACGAACGAGCTTGACAAATTTCAGGACAACACTCAGTTCCCCGGCTTGTGGCCAATGAGAATTGACGCATCTGGGTGCAAGAAAACTCCGACTCACCTTGATCATGAGGCTCCTCGTGGCAATAAGCTAGGAGAGTCCCCGACAAGTGTTCTTCCGTCCAAAGCCCACCCAACTAAGCCTGCACCAACTGACGCTCAGAGCTACGCGGAGTTCCTGGAGCCCCGCGATACTAGATCGCTGCACGATGATGCCCAACCAGCTGAATACGGCGGTGTCTCTGCTCAAGGATATCCTAACTCAGAGAGTGAATACCGCGCTTCCTTCGAGCAGCAGGCATCTGACATCCAGTGCCATGACGGTTTGGCCGCTCCCGCCTCGGAAAGCGAGAAATACGGATTGGGCGCTTTGGCGGACTCGACATATGAGTATCTGCCCAAAGAATATATGCTCCTAGGTGGCCTGAACGAGCAGTATCGCACCATGTATGAAAAGGTCATCAAGGCAACGCGAGAGCGTCTTGTCTTCCAACCCATGATCAAGGGCGGCCGCGATGTCCGATTCTTGGGCACCGTCACCGTGCCAAAGCCTCCTGGCCGTACGAAGGTTACATACGATGGGGACCACCTGTCCTGCTTCGTGGGTGGCATGGTTGGTATTGGGGCCAAATTGTTTGGTATTGAAGGCGATCTAGACTTGGCCTACAAGCTGACTGACGCCTGCGTGTGGGCATATGAATCCACGAAGACCGGCATCATGCCGGAGCAATTTTCCTTGGTTCCTTGCAAGAAGGGAGAGAAGTGCGAATGGGACGAGGCGATCTACTACAAGGCTTTAGATCCCAACCTGGAGGAGCGCCTGGCTCGAGCAGCTGCGCGCAAGGAGGATAAAGACAAGAAAAAGTCGACCGAGGAGCCTGAGCCCGAGTCTCCCAACTCGATTAAGAAGTCTCACGCCAAACGGGAGCGCGGCAATTGGCATGTCGTTGCAACACCTAACGAAGATCTCCCGAGAAAGGAGGAAGTGGCGCCCGAAAACGTCGAGGAGGCCGAAGAAGAAAAGGTCCCCTCCCACGAGGAGTTTGCTGCCGCACGGATTCGGAACGAGCGGCTGCCACCCGGCGTCACGCGCCTCGTCAATCGCAAGTATATCTTGCGACCCGAGGCAATCGAGTCGGTTTTCATCATGTTCCGCCTCACCGGCGACAATTACTGGCGGGAGAAGGGCTGGGAGATGTTCGAGGCTGTCTCCAAGTACACGCGGACGGAGCTGGCCAATTCGGTCATCGAGGACGTGACTGTAGAGAATCCCAAGATGGTGGATGAGATGCAGTCCTTCTGGCTGGCGGAGACGCTGAAATACTTCTACCTCCTGTTCAGCGACCCGAGCGTCGTGAGTCTCGACGACTATGTGCTGTAAGTGATGAGATGACCAGACTGGGCAGAGGAAAGTGAAGGCTAACCAACCAACCCTGACCGCAGGAACACCGAAGCGCACCCGCTGAAGCGCCCGCAGTACTAATAATGGTTTTGTATGCATGTGCATGTGCAGTATACGTCTATATTGCTGTTTTTGATGCGTTGTTTGAAAAGTACAGATACCACGTCCCCGAGTACATGAGTTGATTGACCCTTCTTAATCCCCTTTTTCTCCACCTTCTGTGATGCTTTCCTGTTATTTCTCTAGCTGGCTTGGGAATACGAGGCTGATATATGGCGATCTGTAATACCCCGGCGACCGGGCTGGGGCATGATGTAGTATAGAGCAGTAGATGTAAACAATAATAACCGCGACCGAGGAAGCGCACGTCGGTTCACCTTGCCATTGAACTCATCCTGTAACTTTGCCTGGATCACATTTTCGGCCCTGCCAGCAGTTCACTGCAGACATGATCGCCCCCCCCCCCTCCCCCCGGCGGGTGCTGGCGAATGACGTACGAAAGCAAGCCCAAGGCTGGTGGACCGCCGCAACTCCCCCGCCGCCTGAGTTGGCCACTTCCATCCCCATTCCATCACTTCGTTCTTTTCGCTTTCTTCCTCCCCAGCACCCCCGCAGCACCAGCCTTGACTTTGCTTCCTCTTTCCTCCGGAGCACCCCCCTAGCTACTCAGCACGGGCGCAAGACGGGATGAGTGCAGGGACACGAACGGCCCGACGAGGACGACTGAGCTGTGGGAAATGGACTTTGAGGTCTCCCTGGAGAACGAGCAGCAATTTTGGGACGGTGAGTTCCGCGGAGCATCAAGCCCCCCATTTCCTTGTTGACAACTTGGTTTACCCCGCTTTGGATCAAATGTCATCTCCCTGGAGACTCCTAAACTAATCGCACGTGCATGTCTTCCGCTCGCAGAAATCCAAGATATCGTTTCCTCCCCTTGCTCCTCGGAAGACCACATCGACAATGCCCTCCGATCTTATCTGAGCCTGGCTACGAAGTATAAAGGTCCGTGGTGGATTATTGTCGACTACTTTCGCTTCCGTGCGCCAGGAAGGAACTGACAGAGGTGGTATAATCGATTAGATGATTATCTTCAATCCGAGTTGGATGTCACACGATGCTCGTATAAATTGCTGGCGTCGAATATCTTCGTCGCTCATACGGACTATGTTCGGAGGCAGATGCTCTATGGATTGCTGCAGGTATGCGACCAGGATGATCGTGTTGGTTCTTGTGGCTGACGATGTGGTGTGCCCATAGGATGACGACCCAGCAACTCTTCACCTGATCGGTTCATTTTTGCTCTTCGACGGTCAGCAGCATGATGTGACTTTTAGGATGATGAATGAGGAGGGCCTGTTTCCCCGGTTATTGGAGCTTTTGCAGGCCCGGAATAGAAAAGAGGAAGAGGGGGTTCCGGCTGGGCTGCATCGACTGCTGATGGATATAATGTACGAGATGTCGAGGATTCAGAGGATCAAAATTGAGGATCTGGGTGGGTCGGAGTGTCTTGCTGTTCATCCGGTCTGGGTTGTTGACTGTGTGTCTGGCAGTTCTCGTGGATGACGAATTCGTCAAGGGCCTCTTTGACATTATTGAGGACCTCTCCTACGATGTCAATGATCCTTATCATTATCCGGTGATTCGTGTTTTGGTGAGTGGATGTGTCTCCCATCCAATGGAATCTGCTAACATGCTTGACAGCTGGTTTTGAACGAGCAATTCATGATTTCGGCGCATGATCCGGTCGATGAAAATGCTCTCATGAATGGCTTGACGAACAAGATCATCAAGATCCTGTCGGTGCACGGCAATCTATACAAGACTTTCGGGGAGAATATCATCTTGTTGATCAATCGCGAAGGTAGCAGTTCCCAGTCGCAGTTTAGGTCAAAGACTAACGCATCGTAGCGGAAACGTCGCTCCAGCTTCTGACACTCAAACTCTTATACCTCATTTTCACTACCCCAAGCACCTACGAATACTTTTTCACAAACGACCTGCACGTCCTAGTCGATATTCTGATCCGAAATCTTCTGGACTTGCCTGAGGAAGCCTCCGCTCTCCGACACACTTACTTGCGCGTTCTTTATCCACTTCTGGCTCACACGCAGCTCAAAAACCCCCCATTCTACAAGCGGGGTGAACTCAAGCAAGTTCTCCGACTTCTCGTCCACGGCCAACTGTCTGATGGCGGCCCTGATCGTGAGAAGATCATGCACTTTGACGAGGTGGACGAGACGACGCGAAGACTGGTTCTTCGCTGCGCAACCGTCGAATGGTTACAGGACCCAGAGCCGGAGAAACTGTCCCACGATGACGATGCGGCGCCGGCATTCCCGGTCTCAGATGGTGTACCTCCCGACGTTGAATTCGGAGTTCCATTGGAGACTTCTCGGACCCTTTCACCCACCAGCACGGTGGACAGCTCGCCCGGGAACCTGTCGCCCACCAGACTGGACGGCCCAGGCTCCGGCTCATGCAATGTAGATGCACACCGCAAGCTCAGCCAAGCGCAACGGCTAGGCATGCACCTCGAGCCCGCGTCGTCGTCCTCCCTCAGTGTCCAAGAAGTAGCATCACAACACGTGAAGCCTGGTGTCATGACACCCAGCCGCAATGATGTCCGTGTGGCCACAGACAGCCCAACGAGCCCGTCAAAGGTGCCAGGCAAGCCCAAGATCAAGCCGCTCCCTCCAAGAACAAGACGTTGGCGCGGCAGGCGAGAGGACGAGCAGGCAGACAGGATCCCCGAAGACGCACAGTCCCAACATACGAGTCCCCTCATTCCACACGCATCAATAGTCGCCGTCAACCACGTCGAACGAGCATACTCCACCAACACAATACCACCGCCCGTTGCAGGTCACACACGCCGCTCTGCCTCCAACCCACCCCCAGCCGTTCCTCCACCCAGACGCTCAACAGTCCCTCACGTCCACGCAGGTCATCACATTATTCCTGTCACCAGCCACTGCACTCCGCTTACCAGCCCATCCCGACCTCCACAACAGCAGCATCACCACAGTGCCAGCTCTCCCAGTACACCAAGCGCCGTTCCGCCTTCCCAACCACCCACCAGCACTAGCGCCAGCACCCTTCATCCCCCAAAGCACGGGCAAAAACCGGAACCCCCTAAAACCCGCCGTCAAGGCCGCGCTAGACACGGTCCGACTGACGGCTCGGATAAATCCCCCCACACGCCAGACTCTCCAGCAGAGCATCTCGACAGCGACCAACAGCAGCAACAAAATGGCCACGCGGGCAGTGAAACCAAGTCCGATGCTACCGTGAGTGTGGAAGAAGCCTTGCAGAATGTTTCTCTCGGTGATTGAGGGTGGAGTGGTTGATATCATTCTAATTCACATAATTCGATCTGAAGTAGCATAGCATAACCACGTATTTAATCATCATCATCAATTGCATCAATACCAGCGTGTTTGTCACTACACATATTTCTCCTTCTTCATTAACATAGTTCATCCTTAATCATTGAATCTAATCTCCCTCCCGCTACCTAATAATCAACCACGGGTAACAATCTTATATGAACCCACCTCATCTCCCCTCCCCTTAATCAATCCACATCACTAAAGCCACATCTAGATACCTACCAAGTATCTGCATTCTACAGAGTATGGAATACCAACTTCAACTACGGAGCCGATCCACCACACCACCCCTTCCCTCTTCTCTCCCCTTTCCACATCTTGCCTCATTGATCTTCAAACTCAAGAACCCAACAATAATCATATCAATAATCACACACGCACAATTCAAAATCCCCTACAGCCTTCTTCCCTTCAACACTAAACTCTCTCTCGAATACCAACTCCCCAAAAATCACCCACCAGTTAACCATCTCAAAACCTAGGTAAGCAAGTAAGCAGGTAGGTAAGCAGGGCACGGAGATAACTAAACTAAACCAGACTAACCCCATTCTCGGAAGCCAGAAAACATCCACCCCACTAACCGAAATAAGTAATACTATCTGGAGCACACACAACCTAGGGAACGGGACGGGTGAAAAAATGGAGGAATTGGAGAGAGGACCGAGATCTATCTAGATCTAGGTATGTTCCGGGGTTTTGCTTCCGTACCGGTGGCGTATATACTAGGTAGGTAGGTACTAGGACTAGGCTAGTACGTAAGTACTAATGTGATGACGACGACGGCTGGGAGTAATTTACCAGATCGTGGAAATTTGACGCTAAGATGGTGTGGGTGGGTTTGAGGACTAGTAACTTTGTAGTACCTCTGTACTCTGTATACTGTATTGTAAGGGGTAATTGCAACGGCTTGTATGTATCATTGTATGTGTGTATGTATGTATGTACAAAGTGGGAAATACTTGAAAGGCATAGCCGCTGCATTCGATCATGGGTTGGGTGTAAGAATCATTGAGGTTGAGGGACTGGCATATATTCACAAGCTGCTGCGGTTGTTGGATTGTTGAAGACCAACATATTCATAACCATATGGCTCGGGCACATAGACAAAAGAACGTATCTAGTAGAAATATGTGGAGGACAAAGATCCAAGACACGATCACGGCCGGCGCGATCAAGCCAAAGCATATCTATGTATGGAATGTCAGAATGGAACCAGATCGCCCACCTAATCTACAAAGTGGAACAATGCTAGTCCCTAAGAAGTCAATGTTTCTCGATGCCCCAGTATTTCTCCGCTCCGTAGGTGCCGCTGGAGTCTTGCTTCCACTGGTCGTCAAAGGCTGTGAAAAGAACCAGTTGATCCGAGTCGGTGAAAGCCTGTTTCAGACTGGCCAGGGCCTTTTGCTGGTTTTCTGGAGACGGCACGGCCTTGCCATTGGGCTGACCGGCATGTGGCCATCCAGACTCTGTAATGAGCGTCTTCTTGTTATGGGCAGCTTTCGAGATCTGTGCGGCTTGGTTCTTGACATACTGACCGGCTTGGTCAGGGGTGTTGTTCGCGTCAAAGAAAGCATGGCAATTAGCAGCGCAGTAATCGGATACCACGCAAAGCTCGGGATGTTGCAGCATAACGGAGAATGTATCAACAGTCACCACGGAGCCTCTGTAGCCTACAGCACGAAGCCTTTTGCGCGCAGTATTCACTGCATTGACAACATCGGCAACCGAACTCTGACCCTTGTTGACCAGTTCGTTGCCAATGGTAATTGTGTGAAAGACAGACCAGTCCCCGGCCGCTGCCCCAGTAATATAGTCAAGACTGGCGGGGAAGTTCTGCAAGTTGAAGACACCAGCGAAAACCTTCAAATTGCGTTGTCGGGCTGCCGTGGTTACCTTTTTTGTCTGGTCACAGTCTACGCCGTAGATCCGTACAAACGCATATTGTGTCAGCCTATCCAGGTCTTTGTTGACTTGGTCTTGGGTCTTGCAAGTGCCATCATCATTGTACGGAGAGTACGAAATGCCAAAGAGACGATCATTGCCTGTTTGCGGGCGGTTGCTAGGCTCAGAAACCGGGAGGGCGGGAGAGAGTTGAAAAGGCACGTCGTCGTCGAGAATCGGCAACAAAGGTGGAAGACTCGTAGGCGACTAGTCTGATGTCAGCTGAATCTCGATCCGACGGCATCCTTTCTGACACTCACGTTGCTTCCAGTTGCAGTTGGGCCCTGGTTGCTGTCCGCAGCATTGCTGGCAAGAACATGTCCATCCTGGTCCACCCAAACGATCACATTGGCAGCTTCTGTGTCACTCGAAGTAGCAAGATCGCGCCTGTCGGCATGGTTGTCTGCATCTTCTCAGTCGATCAGTTAAGGACCAGGCACCGTTACAACCCTACTGGAGTCATACCATAAGGAAGTGCGTTGGCAACATAGCTGAACAGCAGAACAGCAACAAGTTGTATGAGACGCTTCATTGTGGGTGAAATGCGGACTTGTTGTTACTGCACCTGTGAAACTCGACACCAAGACAAAGCACTTGGAGTACCAGGAAGGATCGATCAGGCAAAGCTGTGAGAGACAAATTGGTGGAAACCTGCTCAACGAACTTCCAGCCTGTCGAGGTGCCTCCCAGAGATTCACTCCTGTTGCGACTCTGCCGTGTTGTTGGGCATAGTGAAGAAACTCCCTGTCCTTCATTCTGCGGCACTATTTGTGAAGTCCAGGGAGTGCCGCTATTCTGCTTCTAGACAAGGAAGTGTTCAAATGGGCTAGGACTCGGTGGAATGTGAATCTCATACCTGAGTAGACCCCTTGGTCTCGAGAATGCGCCACGAGCTCAACCAAATCGTTCGCCACACAGGCTTAGAAGACACTGACTCGACAAGCCACCCGGAGAGTAAATAGTGGCCCCTGAGCCCTGTCTTGTCTCGAACTGTCAAGGAAGCAGATATCCCTGTATATCCCTGCCTTTGCGGACAACACTTAGAGCGCAACGTGCGCCACGGAAAACAATTGAACGAAAACACCAATTAATATTATAGAAATGTAAGGTCTAATAATGTCCACTGTGCACGCGAAGAAAATAGGGCTGAACTGGGCAAATAAAAATATCTGCGTAATAATAGAGGCCTGAGGCCTCGACCAACCCCATATTGGCCCTCTGAAGGAAGTATTTGGGTCGCACCAGTCCACAATGCAATATGTTATACAAGAAGGTGTGTAAGGGGGTGTGTTATCACTGATGGAGGGCTAAAGGGCGTGACAGAATAGAATAGGGCAACAGGCGTATCATTGGAGCATTAATGTTCATGGCCACTTCCCATATATGGCCGAAGAGTGTAGTAAGAAAGGCGACTGGGAGAAGGAAAGAGAACTCTTTTTACTTCCGCTTGCTGAGGACTTTCGTGATCGCGTGACGGATGGTGGTTCCTGCCTTTTCGATCTCCTTTCTCGTCAATCCGATTGTCACGCAGACCTTCAAGGCAGGGGGAACAATCTGCTTCGGCTCGAAGTTATCCTGGAGAGTCTTCAGGCGGCTGATGAGAACGCCATTTGCGAGACACTGTAAACCAACAGTCAGCTACTTTTTATGGCATAAAGATCCGGACTGAGAAAGACAGGCACTTACCTCATCGACTATATCTTGCAGCAGGAATTGCTGGTCGTCAAGGGACAGCTTCTTCGCAGCCACCACCTCAGGCTTGAGGACCAGAATCATCATGGGGTTCTCGGGGGCACTGGTACAGTAAACCCAATCACTACGAGGATCCAGCTGAGCCCACATGGCCTTGGTATACTCCCGCAGCTGTGCCACGGTCTCGGGACCGTTCTGGAGGAGGTTGATCGTCGCACTAGCAGTGGTAGACAAAAGAGCGGGGAGTGCCGCAGAGAAAGTGTATGCAGCAGCAGAGATACGCTGGTGGTGGACGATCTCCTCCGACCCAGCGCAAAAGCCTCCTCCTGCAATCAGGGGACCGGCCAGCGAGCCCACAATCATGTCCACCTCCGCCGCATCGACATTCTGGTGCTCAGTCACACCACGGCCAGTTCGCCCGAGGACGCCGAAAGACCAAGTCTCGTCGAGAATCAACCGGAATTTGTACTTGAGCTTGAGCTCGATCTTTATATCCAGTCAGCTTATGTCACCTCGGCAAAACCAGATAGGAGAAGACACGTACAATCTTGGGCAAATCAACCATGTCACCGTAGGATTCAAACAGACCCTCGGTAATGATGAACCGTCTTGTGAGTGGCTTCCTCGCTTGTTCCTTGGTGACCTTCGCAAGGACTCTCTCCAAGTCTTCCATATCATTATGCTCGTACCACCGAACGATGCTGCGGGAGATCTGGATACCCTTGCGAATCGCAAAGCTCACACCCTTGTCCGCAACAATGATATCACCACGCTTCGAGAACGCAGGAATAACACTGGAGATCGTCGAAAATGCCTGCGCATAGATAATGCAGGATGCGGTACCGAGGAAAGAGGCGACATCAGCCTCCGTCTTCATATGAACATCTTGAGTACCATAGAAACCGCGGGGGCCGCAAGGACCGACTCCATAGTTACGGAGAGTCTGAATTGCCTTTTCCTTGAGGGACTCATTCGTGTTGAAGTTGTAATAGTTGTAGGAACCGAGATTAGCGACCGTCCGACCGTTACTCAACTTCGACTTGGGTCCTACGGGGCTACAGGTCACCAATTATTGATTAGCACGCATTCTTGGAGGGGAACAGATCGCAGCAAAGTATACCCAACGATAACCGTCCGCTTGTCAACTTCCATTGCTTCCAGAGGACTGGGCTTTCCCACCAGTGGCTCTGGTGTCCACTCATCTACCAGGTCATCAACCTCATCCTCTGAGAGTTGGACCACGCCAGGTTTGGTCGAATATTTCGGAGCGAGAAGGTAGCGGACCGCAAAGAGGAAAAGAAAGAGCTCAACAGCCGAGCGAATAGGGTCGTTCTGGTAACTAGACTTGACATAACGAAGAAAGATCGCTGAACCGGGGAGACGATGAAACAGGTCTGCAAGCTCATGGAGGTGCTCCGAAAGGAGACGCTGAGTCTCTTGGATATCCATGATAGAAGAAAGTCCACTCAGCGCTCGCGGCGCAAGAACCTGAAAAAGAAATCGGTGAGGAAACCTCTATATTCGAATCAATAGCATCAATCAGCACCAGGCAACAGGGAGGACGGCGGCATGACCGGAGGATCGAAGCGACGCGGCAAGTCCAACTTCCGGGATGGGCGCGGCCCCGGCACGTGACTGGGGCTGGCTCCTTGCAGAGCGGCAGCCTCCGATGAAGAAATACTAGTAATGGTACATTATTGTACTATTCGTGTGAGATTACGAACTGGATGGTTATCCTGGCGGGGCTCAATTTACGACTGGCACTGGACACCGGGCGCATGATATCGGGATCAACAGATAAGCTCTCAAGGCACTTTGAATTAATAGTCAACGGGAGGACTACAGGCAAAGGGCCCTTCTAGGAAACACAGACAAGGAAATTGATGGCAGGCGGATGCAATGAGGCGATACAAGAAAAGCTGGCAAGTCTAGTGACCGTACATAAAGGACTGGCAAACACCGACGATACAAAACAATTGGAAAGAAATTGAACCCATTAATGTTGGCAACTGAAGGAGCATACACGCAGAGTTTCATTCAAGAAAAAAAAAAGTATGAAGAAACGAGAAAAAATAGGCAAATGTATGAGACTCGGCAGCGACTTCAAGACGCTGGTTACTTTATACAGCTCGTTTCCACGTTCCATTTCCGAAAAAAAGAAAGACAGGTAAGATTTATCGAAAAACAATTTGGGACAAGATTAACCTCTAAGAAGATGCAGACGCTGCGGACGGGGTCCAGGCGGAGTAACCGACTGGAAGACCATTACCAGTGTAACTGGAAATGGTATCGTTGTTATCCGTATCCAGGGGCTGCAAGAGGTTCATCGGGATGCTGCTCGTGAAGGTGATACCTTCGTCACGGGCAACCAAGGGTGCGATGAGAAGGATGAGGAAGAGGAACAGCATGGTAAAGTACAAGATCGCAAAACGAACAACTCTTCTCTTGCGGAGCTTGGACTGCTTCAGAGAGTAGATCGGAGGACGGATTTGACGACTAGTCGAACATTAGCAAATGAAGCCACGGGAAGTTTAGATATATGATGGCTGAACTTACCTCGGCCGCAGCCAGAAGAGAATAACGGAGTGGAACTTGTCAACGTAAGGCATGCAGAGAGCAGGCAGCATGATGAAGAGGAGGAGGTGACCCAGGACAAAATCGCCAGAGAAGTATCCCAGCTCCGTAATCTTACACAGGAACTCTCTGCCAGGCTGGGAAAGCGTGTGCCAGCCCATGCTGTACCATTTTCCGGTCCACCATGCAATGTTCGACTGATCATGCTTGAATTCTCTGGTCAGGGCGAGGGAAATGATGAGCTTGTAGATGAACCGTTGGATGGCAGCTGCAGCAATCATTCCCAAGACCATACGGGGCCATGACCAGCTCTCAAGGAAGAACATGACTTCGAAGATAACGAGCAGAATGATGACCGCGATGGCGTGTGCGATGGCGGCGAGGACGGCACCGAATTTCTTGCAGCACATGCTGAAGATAGGTCCCATACAACAAGCCATGGCGAAGAACATCATAGAAACACCGGCGTTGATGGCGATAGGTCCAAACGCGACAATGGCAATCCGAACAACGGCGTTCGAGGCGCGAGCGTTGTCATTGGAGATACCAGTTCTCGAATTGATGTAGAGATAAGGAACCAGACTGACACCAACTTGGATGAGAGGGATGAAGATCTCACTGACGAAGATGTTGGTAAAGCGAGCTCTAGGGACATCACCAGACCCCTTCTCCGACGGAACACCGAGAAGCTTGCGCTTGTAACCAGTGAGACGAGTACGAGACAAGCGGCAGAAGGCGATCCAGGACGAGGCGTGGGAGCGCGAGTTACCACGTGAGAGCCATCTGATGTAATCGCGGTAGTCGATGAAGAAATCGTGCCACGCGAACTGGTGAGGGTTGAAGAGGAATGGGGAGATGCAAAGAGCGAGCAATGAAACCCAGAACCAGATCAGAGCGGCCGTCCAGACAGTGGATGTCGCGAAGAGCAGCATGAGCAGTGAGCGAGCACCGGCATAGATAGAGGGTCCAGCGAAACGAGAGTACAGGACGCCGAACGGAATACGAGCTGTCGCAAAACCACGTCCAGTACCAATGTAACGAGCACCACCGAAAGAAAGGTTCTGGTGGACGGCGTTGGCATAGATCTGACAGACGAACACCTCGAACATGAAGGAGAAGGAACCGAAGTGCTTGGCCAAACGGGTGGCCATGCGCCAGAGACCTCTCTCGGTCAATTCCTGGACAGCCAAAGGCACGAAGGAGATGAAGAAGACGATGAAAATGGAGATGATACAGCGGTTGACCCAGTTGATGATCGGTGTAAGATCAGCACAGTACGTGGGGCGGAGAGGATCGGTGATGGGCAAGTTCGAGTTGTAGCGGCAGGTAATGGTCTCATGCTTCAAGGCACCAAGGTTGATCAGGACAATCATGAACATCTGCACAGACAACATAATGAACATGTTGTTAAGATGGAAACCAGGGTGAGCATAGTAGAAAGACAGGAAGCGATCCAGGGGCAGCTGTGTTCCGAGATAGTAGTATTCTCTTGACAGCATCTGCTCACCCATACCAGTACCGATCTTGGTGGTGAAGTTCAGAATGGAACCGAAACCCAAATCACGACCCTTGCCGCACTGGAAGTATTCACAATGCTTGATGCGTCCACCACGGCACAGGGCAGTCATACCGGCATAAATATCCTCGTTCAGGTGCAGACCCTTCTGAGCCTTGGAGATACCACCACGCGTGGTCATGAAGATACCGTTGAGGAAATCAGGGTGACCATAATGCAGTTTTCCGCCGATCTGGGCAAGAGTTCGAGCGAACAAAGTACCGAATGTCTGTTCCTTACTGGCAGCAACGTCACCGAGAACACCAACATTCTCAGAGAAAATGTATTCACGGGCACCGAGAATGGCGACAGGGGGCAACGCATCAGAGGCAATACCGGGCGTGTAAGGGGAAACGTTGTCAGTGGTGAGTTCCTCAAACTCGGCGAGAACGCTGCGGATCTTCAGGCACTCTTCCAGGTAGTTGTCCTGGTTAGCGTCAATGACCTGGATGTATTCACCACGGTAGAAGATGATCGAGTGGTTCTGGTTGTCCGACTTGCCGTCACCCAGAATAGGGTTTCCGGAGAGCTGGATTCTGAATTTAGGCTTGCGCATTCCGTTGTCAAGAAGCTCACAGTGACCATCAATCAAGGCCGAGTACAGGCGAGGCTCCTCACCCTCTTCGGTTGGCGGTTCCTCGTCAAGGTAAGCGATCTGAAGGTCAGGGTAGGCGCGGAGAAGGAACTCGGTGTTTTCACGCTCCTCCTTGTTGAACTTGGCATAACGCTGCATGGACACGCAGATCTTGAACTTGCGACGCGCCATTCTCTCCAGTTCACGTTCCAGCTTCTCAGAGTTACCACCGAACATCTGAACGACTTCCGGGTTTTCCACGCGGTAAAGCAGCTTGATCGCCCGGCTGTAGTTCATGAAACCAGAGATTGTTCTGTAGAGGGTCTGAGACCGGAGGGAAGACCAGATACGGGTACGCAGGGTGTATTCGGGAGCAGCAGACTTGAAACCAATGCAGTAGAAAGGAAGATCGTCGATCTTGCTCTTCTGGGCATCCTTCTCGTTCTTCTCATTTTCGCCGTTGAATTGCGAGGTCTCATCAGCCAGAATCTTGGTATCCTTGACGAAGCAATCCCACTCGTGGGGGTGGAGCTGCTTGAGGTACTCCAGGAGGGTAACACGAGAATAGGGCTCATCTTCACGGATAATTTCACGCAGCGAAAGAAGGATCTTCTCACTGTAGTGGGGGATGAGAACGGTGAAGGTGGGCATGTTGTCAACCGGAAGGGGTTCAGGCATGGGAGTAGCGACAGATTGGGCGAAGAAAGAGATACGACGCTCAGCCTCACTTCCGGCAGGGAAGAATTCGGTCTTGAAGGACTGATCTTCCTGAGAAACGAAGAAGGTAGGAGCACGTAGAGTTCGCTTGCCCTCCTGTTCCGAGGGGACCTGGTGATACAGCAACTTCTGCACGTGGTCGATGGCCAGCAGATGCTCACGGTACATGGAGATGATGATGGCATTCCAGACCTGCGAAATAAGGACCTTGGGCTTGTACTTGATCTCCATGTCGGTGGTGGCGAGGACCTTCGAGTAGATACGCTTAGGTAGGCGAGAGAAAATGTTTCTCCACGGGGACCAGATCGAGACACCAAGGTAGAAGGACCGGGCCACCGAGAAGATGGTGTTGCAAATGACGTACCACAGATAACTATCGAGGAAGAAGAGGGTCAAGTCCATGAACATCATCAGACCGAGAAGAATCTGGGGCTGGACGTGGCAGAGAACGTTCGGGATGTAGGTGACTCCAGCGCACTGGTGGATCCGCATTGGCGAGAGAATGCGCATGGGATCCTTCAAGGACAGGGTCAGGAAGAAGTAAGACTCGACCAGCTTTGCACCGAAAACACAGATCCAAAGACCATAGGACATCCACATATCGTTGCCTTGCAGGCGAGGGTAACTCGCAGTAAACGTCTGGCTGGCAACGTATTGACGGCCATGCTTCTTCAAGTAACTGCCGAACAAGCCTCCAAGGGGCATGACGGAGAAGAAGAAGAACGTGAACAGGGCGATGAAGAAGTGGATGATACCGATGATGAGACAAATTGTCTCAGTCAGCTTGCTCCCGAATCCGAAAACAACCACACCGGGGGCAAGATTGACGATGAATACCACGATAAGGAACAGAAGACGCTTGCTGAGATGCTGAGCACCTGCCCACCGGCGAGGAACATACATCCACTCACACAGCGTGGCGCAGATTTGAATGAAACTGACGAGAGCACCACCAAAACCAACAGCAGACCAGTACTTCGAACCGGCCGGATGGTTGTCGAGCTGCTGCTGGTAGTTGTGGACGTACAGGGTCGGGGCGTTGTAAGCAGTGAAGAACCAGAAAGCACCAAGGTGAATGACCCAGATACGGTTGAAGTTGGTGACCATGTGGAACCATGACCGCGTCTCTCTGTATGTCTTGAAGAAAGCTTTCTTCCAGTCGACGTCCTTCAACTTGGTCCATCTCTCAGCTGTGGGGACGTCAACCAGGCGGGTCTTGTCCTCCAGCGCAATGCGTTCGATGCCCTCAGGGTACCAGAAGAGCTGGTTCATATCATCGTATCCAATGATCTTGTCGTGGTCACGCTCACGGCGGACGTACTTTCCATCCGAGATTTCATAACCTTGATCACGGCAATACTGGTAGAGAGGCGTGATGATCTCATTCAGATAAGTGAATTCCTCCACTGGCTCTACCCGGCTCTGACACTCGGGGGATGTGTAGAAATCGTCTGCGCACTTGAAGATGAAACAGATGCACTCGGGCATGTACCGAACTTGATTGGCCTCACCCCAGCACAGCATGTATAGTGCCAATTGGCGGATACGATCATGGGGAGACATGCGGTTCATACGAGTCTTCCATCTGTACACAGCGGCTTCCAGGCTGTTATCACCTTCCAATGCCTCGAGATTCTCCTCGACGTTTTCGGGGTTCTGTTGTGCTGCTGCCTTGGCCGCCGCGCGGGCTTTCCGGGTCTTTCGGTCTGCTTTGCCCAGCTTCATGTTGGCGAATCCCACGGCATCGTCCAAGTCCAGGTGGGCGGCAAAGTACCAACGGCGATAGTTGGCATTGTCACCACCGATATAGTCGGCGTGCAGGGACAAGAGTGCTTGGTTGGGCGTCATTCTGGAAGCTCGGGAATCCAACTGTGTCATTAGATGGTCATACATGTTGCGCATGCTGTCCCTCTGGAAACCGAATTTGTTCACCAAGTCGATGAAGATATCTTCAATTTCCTCCTTGGAAACAGGGACCTGGCCATCCGATGCCCAAGCCGGGTAAGGCTCGCGGGAACGCTGCCCACCAGGAAGGGCATTTCCGTAGTCCATGCCATATACCGGGGTAGAGGCCCCGGAGGATCGGTTGGCGCCATAGGAGACTTGCGAAGATGGCGGGCGGTAGCCGTTGTATCCACGACCAGCGTACTGACTGTCGGCATAGCTGTTGTAACGTTCGTCCCCGCGACCGTAGTAATCCATATCAGCGGCTCGCGCAGTTTCCGACCTCATGGTGAAATCACTAAAAGTCTCCGAATCCTCCTCTGAATCACCTTGGCGTCTTCCCCGGTTTCCGCCATTTCCTTGATCATAGTACTGGTCACCATAGTACTCATCCTGGTGGCCGGCATCGTAGTAGCCACCTTCTTGGTTGTATGCCTGGCCCCCTTCTGCATTGTAATAGTTGTTGTCACTTCAGGAAATATGTCAATAATCATCATCTAGTCAGTTTGTTCGCAACGGAGAACATACCCTCTATCGTAATAGCTATCACCGTAGTCATTATGATCGTAATAAGCCTGGCCGTGTTCGTCCTGGTAGTACGAATCGCCATGCTCCTGTTGGCCGTAGCCTTCATCGTAATGCCCTGCTGGATAGCCTGACATCTTGGATAGCCACAATCACCAAACCTTTTAAGTAGCTTCTTGAAAAATCATGAGCCTCTGGATTGCCTGACACAAAGGGGGGCCGTTGGTATGCAGGGTCCTGCAACTTACATCAACAGTGGCCCATTAAAAATTACTCTGATCCGTTTCCAGTGATAGAAGCATAAGCTGATGGCGGTTCTGGCGCAATGGATAGGTTGAGGTAGAGGCGTGTCGAAATGGACTTTTTGGCACAGCGATTGTTCCTGTAGGCACCAGTCCCGGGGGCTGTTCAGCGATGATAACTAATCAAATTCTCTATCGAAACGATCGTTTTGCTTTTGCTCGTTGATTCGACTCGAGGGCGGGGCCGGTTGGTCGTCACTTGAGGTCGTTTGTTGAACGAATGGAAGGGTGAAGTGAAGTAATGAACAAAACACGACTAAGGGGGCGAATGAAAAGCGTCCCGACAGCCGCAGGCCGAACCTGTCTCAGCCAAGAAGAACCTCCCTCTTCTTTCCTCAAACGAAAGCAAGAAAGAAGGAAGGGAGGAGGGTCGCTAGCGGTGCAGAAGTGATGGCGGTACGAAGGGTAAAAAAAAAAAAGAGCGAACGGAAATCCAAAGAAAAAGAGGTCGAAGATCCAAAGAACGAAAGAAGGAAGGAACTAAGAGACGGACGGGGAGGGAGGAGGAGGCTTGAGTTGGACGGTAGTGGTGAAAAGGGAATTGATTGCCCACCCAAGCAGGGAAGAGATAGTACTGGCGCTTCTCCTAGTACCTGGGAAGGGGGGGCCGGTGGTTATTTTGGGATCTGGATCTGCTAATTTACTGCGCGCCAGTCCGTACCTGTATGCGATACCCAGCACTCCTAAAAGGGCCCGGGAAGTGTAAATATGGTAAGCAGCCGGGCCCCGCGAGCCTATCAGCGCCCCCGGCAGCCCCCGATTCACCCTCCATCCCACCTGCACCAGCGGGAAATATCGTATTACCGCACGCAGTACCAAACGCGCGTATCGTTACCCACTTCGCCGTCCAGTCTACCACCACCCACAACCCACCCCCTCCCCGACGCCGCCTCAGCCCTCACCACTAAGATTCTTTGAGTCGGTCGCAGGTGAGGATTACTTGGCAGGGTCTTCTATGATTGGCCTGTTTCGGTGAGAGGTGGCTCATGCTGCCTACCACACTGGCCTACCAGATGTGGTGTCAAGGATTCGAGGTGCCTCAGATACCATGGATGATGGACCACCAGCTGGAGTCGCTGGTACGTGGAAATCTACGTATCTACCTCCTGTTTGCAGTTTCCCCCCCTCACCCTTTTGCCATCCCCCCATCTTCAATATTTGATATCCCGATCCTCCGGACTAGTTAGTAACATAGGCTACCCACTAATAAGGGGCACATCCTTTCCTCTTTTTCTTTTGTGGGAACAGTGACAGCTCGAGGCTCTAGGAGAAGGTTGAGCGGCGCGTTTCCGGCCACCACAGCATGGCCCAGACGGTGTTGGTCGCGGAATCCACGGGAATCAAGACGGCCCCTGAAGCCCGACCCACCGACCGGTAATGTAGAAATGTAGATGGCGCAATGATACCGTACTCATACGGTATCGTAAGTAAAGAGTATCGCCTTTACCGCGATTTACAAAGTTCCTGTTTATGTTGCTTCCGGCCGGCATGCAGGGATAATTGTCCTCATTCCTGAAGCCTGAAGACTGTCTCTCAATGACTGCCTGGCAGACATGGTGGTGGCAAGGTAAAAATGCGTCGCTATGCGATTTCTGAGTGTTTATTATGGTTTCTGTCATTGAGAGCCCCTCCTCCTTGAGGATCTTTGGTTCAACAGCTTCTCCTGGATTCACGGAGTAGTACTTGGTTCCTGGTCCAAAACCTGGCACCCACGGTAGCCCTACCCGGTGTGTGTACACTGTAAGCATAATCATCTCGGCCGTGTTACTGCTCCCTTTTTGATGCCAAAATCGGCATTATTGGCTGAGAAATATACACTGTTCATGCAACGGCCTTACAATATCAAGACAGGGATTATCGGGTGTTCAGGTACTGCGGTTTCATTCTCAATCGACCTTGTAGGCTTGCCCTACTGAATCCCTTTGCGTCTTCTATCCGTAGCCGGCGTTGTATCCATTCGATAGTACGTAACCCGTAGTCGGGAAGCAAATGTGAAGCGCAAGCTGATTTGCCACGATGGGAAAGATGTAGTAAGTAGTATGGACGTGTTCTCATCGTCGGTGATTATTAAGGTAGGTAACATTTCCATTTTTACTTTTTTCCATTTATATCCTCCCCCTTGCCACCAATAGTTCATGTTCCGCGGCTATCTCACATTGACGGATAATCGCCCTAGGGGGACTGAGTATATCAAATGAGATGCGATTATTGACCTCCCGGTGGATAAGAGCGGTTCACACAACCACCTCAAGATAGTGGATGAAAACGGGTACACAGAGGGGTAGATCAAACTTTATAAAGCAACAGGGAGCGGGAAGAAGAGATGCATGACACTGTGGCTTCACGTCGGGTGGCAATCTGGGTCTTGGGATACACTGAGCTGGATGGATGTTCATTCAAGGTTTCTTTGAAGGCTACCTATTCATTTGCAATAGCCCGCAAAGGAATGTTGAATATGGGGTAGATTATGCATAGGTCTGTTTTCATTCCTGGGCGCAAATGACAATAGAAACTCAACGCATACCTATCTATCCCAGCCACGGAGAGCTATTCATGATATTGAAGATGTTGCTTTGGGTCGTGTCTGTCCTCGAACTCCTCTGGGGAGACAGGGAGACACTCCTAGGAAATCCATGGTGGGTTCCAGGATTAATGACGGATGAATCCACAAGATCGCCAGATGCTCCCGACTAATAGTATGGTACTATGTTTAAATATCATTCACAAGATGATGATAGAAATGATTGTCGAGTACTCCGTACTCCGTACCTCAGTAAGGTGTAAATATCCTGTCAGCACTTGTTGTGATACGATTGATTCACCCGGTGTATGAACCCATGGGCCCCAAGTGAAACTTACACGGTTACCTGTCAGCCACTTTACTCGCATGGGCTCCGTAATGCAGCAAACATGCGTTGACACCACATAAGCAAGTGACCCGTTCCCAGATAATGTAAGCATCAAACCACTAAGGTTGAGTGTTCGAGGCAAGCGAACCCCCACCACGATTAGACCCAACTTTCAGCCTTGGTCGCAGTGGCTGTTTTCTTGCTTTTCTTCGGTGCCTTCTTTTGTTCCTTGAAGAATCCGACCAACCCTGGATGCTGATTGGCAATGACGGTTATCTTGGACTCCCGGAAATCCTAACAGATAATCAGGCTAAATGATCGACAGACAATGTGGTCTGCCTTCCCAGCCTTCCGCGTTGAAGGCTGGAAAACCCGGTGGATACTGATTACACACTAGGTGCTTAGCATCCGACTACTTCACCTCAACAGTCTACACATTACGCTCATCGCTAGGAAGGCAGTACTCCGTGGGTACTACTGGCTGAGGGGAGGATCTATCCGTACCAAAAAAGATTCTAGAAGGGTACCGGCCCTATGTAAGGAGTGATGGCCGAACGTGAAGTTGTGCATCCTACGGCGTACGTGCTGAAGACCTCCGTTGTGGATGACATACGTACCGGTACATGAGTGATCAAATCGGCTCTTGCATTAAAAGTCCTACGCAAAGAAAAGGTTTTGTTCCTAAGAGTTTTTCCGCCATGACATGGGCCTGTTCGGGTTGACTGATAGAAACATGCTGCACCAATAACGAAGGGTTTCCAAAAATATGACAATCAGTGTATCGAGATCGAAGCAAGCAAATCCGCAGCCGTGGTTCCAGCCACTGCTGCACCCCGGTAGCTGCGTTCTGAATCTGAATGTCTCATTTTCTTCTGTGGTTCCCCGGTTTGCCCTGCGATGTGGATAAATCGCTAGATTCAAGATTTAAAGATCTAGAGATTTACTTCGATGTCGTAATGTGGTCAACCACCGACGAGTAGACCGTCAGAGGTTTGTAGAACTGGTATTTGGTACTTTTGGACGGGACATGAAGTTAATAATCCCCGATCATGGTACGCCGAGAAACCTTGGACGGCATCTACTGGATATAAAATCCTGCCCTTGCAGGCGTCCCGGAACTGGTCTCTTCTCCGAGCCCCTCATGATCATATGCTTGTTCTAAGTATACTTTGTGCTACCTTCATGGCTTGATGTCTCAGCCAGCTCACCAGCATCACAGGGCACAAGCCACAGGAATTATTGACAGAATCACTCCGAAATCTTGACTTCTGTACCTCACGAGTACTGTGGTATTGCACAGACAGGGAATGGTACTGCAATGCTAGACGAGGAGAAGGATCGAGCATGGTGTGCACTTACCAGACCTGCTTGAAGTTGCTGCCAGCAATGCACCCATTAGGCGGGAGGGTGGAGCTTCTTGGTTGGGATCCGGACAACTTACAGGTTTCATCGCGGCGTCGATGGGCCAATCCCTAAAGAGAGGTGGCGGTGGGATGCATGGGGCTGGGATGCAAGCCGCGGCCAATCGGAGGAGGCAGGCCGACAAAGGCCAACGGGTGGCAATTCCTTGACGCCGGCCAAGTCGATGGATTGAATGGGCCGGCCTGGTCGGAGACGTGGAACCTCTCGAAAAAAAGGGGGGTTTCAGGTTCCATCTCGCCCGACCTAGAACCCCGGCTCCCCCATCATCTTCCTCCCTCGTCTTACAGTACTGACCACTAGTCCGCCAACGGGTTTTGTTACTTCGTAAAGTGGTATCTTTTGTTCCGACTTACACCGCATCACATTATCGCATTATTAATGGAAGTGCCAGGCACTAATGGCCTCCCTATCGAGTCATCCGCCCGCCTCGGTCTATCTATATCTACACACCTACTCTGTACGTCGTACTGTGAAGATGAGGGGGGCTCGACAGGGGGAAGTCTAGGCATTATTTCGCCCGTCCGAGCTCGACTTCCGCAATGGTGAATGTTTATCGGCCTGGAATCATTCTGCTGACGGGAAAGGGAGGGATCATCTTCCTACACCGTCAATTATATGGGGAGGTTGGACTTGAGTTTCCTGCCACCGACGGTCTCAGTTAATTATGACCTTGCCACATCGATATCCTACGCCATGCTTCTCGGTGGTGCTTTGCCTTGAAACTCGAGATCGGCATGTCTCGAGGCAACATCGGATCCAGAAGTGCGGCAAGCTAAAACTTTAATGGCAACCTTACATTGAAGCATACGATAATCTGCGCAGATGCTTTGGGCAGGCTGAGTATAGCACGTCCCCGCATTCGGCGGTTAAGTTGTGGCCGTTGTGGCCCTGCGGAATAAATGCATATGCTTTGGTTGCACAGTTGACGCAACGGCATCCCGAGGCCTGATCACGCGCTGAACTTAGTCCTCGTTGGACTCTGCAATACTGCCGCACTCTTTGTCTCGGACTCGATGATCGTGGTGTGACCTGGATTGTGTGCATGTGCATGTATGGTCTTGGTTGGGCTTGCTTTGGCGACCCCTTGGATGCCACATGAGATAATTGTGCATCTTGGGCCCTGCAGTGTTGTATATGCTGCCAGGATAGTTCCCCTCTGGCGTGGCGATTGCTGCATATGGCAGTAGCCATGATGACCATGGAGGGCACCAGTCGTTGCTCTATGGAATATGCTGGCTCGAATTATCTCAGCGAATCGCTTGAGATTCGAAGCTTTTTGTCGTTGACACTGCGCTTAACTGGCCTTTGAACTGTCATACATGACCGGCAGGGAGTGTATACCCATCCTTGGTTCGGTGCGTGCGTTGTGCCTGATTGGGTTATATAAATCCAGGTGAGCCTATAGTTTGGTATACTGTAGTGATCGTGGTATCCTTTGCCTGGGTCCACTGGGTTTTACTGTTGGCACATCTTTGGGGTCCATCTTCCTTTGTCGTACTCTTTATGTAGTTACGGTTGATTATAATTGTTCAGCCCTTCGGTCTTCGCAGCAGGCTCGCATCATTCTATCTGTAGCTATATGCCTCGCGTCGACCTACGACAACAGCTCGATAATCGAGCATGACATCACGTGTCATGGATTCTGGACAGGATTGCTACAGGTGTTACCTCTACTACCACTACATAGTCTCTCTGCTGCTTCCGGCTGTGCTCGGAGGTTGACGGTGTGTGCTTTGAGTATTGCACCTGCTACTAGCTTGAGATACATACTTTTACCACGCATATGTGGACACGAATGTCTATACACACGGTCCATGCTATGGTGGGTAAAGATGCATGTGCACTATCACATATATTGTGAGAGCCATGCAGTTGGGGGGGGGGGGGGTTGCATGTCTGGTTTCCCACCTATGCGGGAAATTTCCAACACTTTGAGGGGTAGATACTTATGGGTCCTACATCTGAAGTACATGAGGCATCATCTCATGGATTATTGACGATCTAAGACATTTACTTCTATGTGAATGGCCTGCATATATAGCTAGCCACAGCCATCAACAAACAGGTTATATTGCATGCCCAATCCTGAACACACTGAAATAGTGAAACATCCATGTACCTTTGGCTTTATATTTGTTACAATCGTTCAGTCTGCGGCTTTTTTATACTAATCTCTTGGTGCTGGAACTCTCTGTTCCTGGACAGTATGTGGGAATCCGACTGGATATACAGTCATTGCAGTAATATTTGTTTCTGCGGTGTGCTTGCATTCCAAGCCTTTAGCTTCTTTCTTGCTTTGATGCGGCTTTGGTCGGTCGTGGGAGGATCCATGGTCTCCTGAGTGGTTTACCAGGCTGTAAACATATACACACCGGTGTAGTGGCAGACACAAGTAAATACAGTCAACAATATGTGCCTTGCTAATTGTTACATGAATGACTTCGTAAGAAGATGGCAGGGTTTGTTCAGCATTATAACTAAATAGAACAAGATAAGAGCCTAGGACAGCAAACAATCGAGATTGAGCCTATAGAGGATATCTCGAAGTGCTTGGTCTTACTTCAATTCAGTGGAATAGGCGTATAAGGCTAATAGTAGAAAGCCAAATATATAACAAGCCCGGGTGGTCTAGTGGTATGATTCTCGCTTAGGGATGGCAACTCGCCTACAAACCCAAGCATATCTGCGAGAGGTCCCGCGTTCGATCCGCGGCTCGGGCCTTGTATCTTCTTTTTGTTCTTTTTTTGCTTGTTTCATGTTCATCTACCGTGTGTATGCATGTATATATATAGATAGATGGGAGCAAAAAAACACATGCGTAAGCGTAATGAACCAGTCTCACCGCTATCCCAATGACTGCGGATTGACACGCCGCGGAATCTTAAACCGAGCCGTTCCTCTGGTACCTGACGTTGCCGTGCCAACCATATCTCTTCACCGTCCATCAATAGTCCTCATCTCAGCACGCTCACACGCAGGTACAGTACATACATCACTGCCATCCCGCAGATAAATCGACCGGACACCGGCAATCTGGCAGGTGCATTCTGACAACTCACACTACCTGCCGCAGAGGTGGAGGGGCTGCCGCCAACATGGCTCGACTCAACCCCGCCAGTCCCGTCAAGCCAGCCAAGCTGCAAGAACGCCGGACACCTCCCCAGAACAGACTCAGTCGAACTGCAACAATCAAGCGCGAGCCCCGGGATAGATCTCAGGCATCATCGGCCTCCCAGAAGGATAATGCGGAGAGGGAACAATGGGCCGCCATCGGCGAGACATGGTCAAAGAGCAGGTCCACGACTACAGCGGTTGAAAGACCGCGGGTGAAAAATAGATTACAAAGGGCAGACACGGTTTCGAGTGGAACATTCGATATATTCTCAGAGAGTGATGGCCTCAGTGAAACCGAAAATAGCAGCTTCTCGTCGTCGTCCCGCTCTTTGTTGACCGAGGACCGAACAACGGACCCTTTGAAGCTCTCTCAGGTCAATTCCTTGTTGCTTCCATTGTCTCACCAGCCGCGCAACAGGTCACCGCGCAAGTCAGTGGGATATAATTATGACAAGGAAAATGATCCCGTTGATGGGGAAGAGCAGGAAGATGAGGGGTCATCTCTCTCTAGGAACTCGTCTACTGCTTCGAATCGACCCGCTGCGCGGACTATAGCCCGGCAGACACCACCGAGGGGCAGGTCTAGGACTAGATACCGGGACCATCAACAACCGGAGACGAAGTCGGACGATGAAGGAGGTGAGAATGGCTTTGACTCGATGGACGATTTCATTGTTAGCGACAACGAAGAAATAAGCTACCATGAGACATCGGACGATGAAACGTCCGAACAAGAAGAAAAACAGCCGACGCCTTCTCCGCCCAGAACTAGAAAGAGATTGCTGAGAGGCAGACGTCCTGATCTAGGGATGGAGCTAACGGTCCAGGACGCTTCTCACAATGGAAGCCTTCATCTGGAACCGTCTGTACCGGCCACCTTGACAAGGGCAGTTCCTAGATTAGACACAAAGCCTAAGAAGTTGTTTCAGAGCGAGCTGGAGGTACTGAAGAAGCTCAATGGCCTGAAGCTAAACCAAGAAGAATTTGATCAGTTGAATCAAAACCCTAATGAGTGAGTAACGGAAAGAGTCTGAGAGGAATATATCATACTGACATCCACAGGGATACCGACCAGATTGATTCCCCGACGAAGAAGTCACAATCAAGCAAGAGTGGTTTGGAAACCCCTCCATCTAGTCCCTCGAAGCGCTGTCTCCCATCCCCAACGAAGTCCAGAGTCCATATACCGCCCACACCGCATCGAGAGAGCGTTGACGCATTCTGGAGCCAAGAGACCACGAACAACTGGGTCGATCAGTACTCCCCATGTAAAATAGACCTGCTGCCGGATTTTGACGAGTCGGAAATCGAGGACATTGATACGGACATCATGCTGAGACCCGTGAAAAAGAATCAGCTACGACTGATCAAGCTAGCTACTGATACAGCGGTGGGAGAAGAAGACTCCGATATCGAAGCCACCGACACGAAGATTGTGCCCAAAACCGCAAAAACATCAAGGACACCCGTCGGGGCACTTACCAAGACACCTAGCAAGACGGCACTGCGCAAAGCAGAGGCGGACAAAAGAAAAGCCGAAAAAGCGCGCAAGCAGGGATTCATCAATAAGAGACAGGCCATGGCGGAGGAGTTCCTCAAGGTTCTCGACAATACCGTAACAGGGGGTCGGATCCGTCGGCTCACGGCGCCCACGGGTGGTGTGTCAATTGTATGGAAGAGTTTCCGGACGACTGCCGGGCGTGCACGTTGGCACGTAGACAACACGAGCTCTGAGATACATCATGCCGTGGTCGAGCTTGGAACATCAGTCATCGATGCCGAAGACCGGCTCATCAAAACCCTAGCCCACGAGTTCTGCCATCTGGCCAACTATATGATATCAGGTGTTTTGAAGGACGCCCACGGAAAGAGCTTCTATCAATGGGCCGACAAGGTCAAGGAGAGTCTCAAAGACCATCCCATCTACGGCCGACATATTGAGATAACGACTAACCATGACTATGATATCGACTATAAGTACGTGTGGCGTTGTGTCGACTGCAGTATGGACTATAAGCGTCACTCGAAAAGCATCGACGTGCGGAAACATCGGTGTGGAACGTGTAAGGGTCTTTTACAACAGATTAAGCCCAAGCCGAGGAATATCTCACCGCTGAAGAAGGCGACGCCTTTTAAAAAGCCCACGGCCGGGTTAGTGAACCAGGCGGCCCAAATTATGAAACAGGTGGAAAAGCGGACGTACTATGTTGATCTGACTGAGTCCTGAGTTTGGGCCGGGGGTATGGAGATGACCTTGATATGTCATGATGATGTTGAATGTCTTGTTTTAGCGATTGACATACCAGCGTTGCTGTTTTTCTTTTTTTGCCTGGTATTGTACAGCAGATGATGCACATTGGATGAGTTGTAGATAGGAATGCAATTGTGTATATTGTTTATGTCTTTGATCGTAGATTGTCTAAGTAAGCAGTGACATGACTTGCCAACTAGACCAAAACCACAGCTGGGTGCTGGTCAGTCCTTGTATGTCACCGGATTTTGAATATATTTATCTCTGTTACCGTGGTGCTTGTGTTCTATCTAGGCAGGTCAGCAAACAATCCGTCTATATAAATAAAGTCGGGGTGCTTTTCCTTACCACCTTCCAGTCAAGCCCACCTACATCTTCAGAATGTTCATCTACATATATGCACAGCATCATGCCCCTTCACTTACTCACCCACCCACCTCAACTAAACAACAAAATATACATATATGGTATCTATCTATATCAATCAATCAATCCCATCGACACCCTTCCTCCCTCCCTTGACTATAAACACAATCCACATAACAACCAAACAACCCCCTTCTCCCCCCAAAAAGAGAAAGAAAGAAAGAAAAAAAAACCTACCCAAACAAATCCCACTCCACGACCTTCAACTCCCGCCCCAAAGCCCCAACCAACGCCCCCATGCCCTCCTCCTCCATCCTCAACTCCTCCCCAGAAAGTTCCCCCCCCGGCACATTCCCCCAAACCACCAGATCAGTTTCCTGCTCTTCCAACCTCACAACCAGAAACCAGCATTTGGTTGTCGTTTCCTTCCACTTAGATGTAGATTTGAATACCGCACAGCCTGTATATCTTCTCCCCTTCCCTTTTTCCTCAAATCCCTTTCCTACTGTGACTCTCGTCGGAGGAATAATCATGTCAAGTTCATCGCCCTCGTCGAGTAGATCATGTAAATGGTAGATTACGGCTGCGCGATCGAGGGATTCCTGGCCTCTTTGTTTCTCTTGGTTGTGAGATTGGGATTGAGCTTGGGAGGGAGGGAGGAGATGCGTGTAGTTGGTTAATGTTGTGAGGCTGGTGCTGGTGGGGACGTATTCGTTGATCTCGTAGATTAGGGTTGAGAGGGTGGTGGGTGAGAGGTAGAGTTCTTGGTGGTCGGGGATTTGGCGCAGTGTGCTGGGGGTTTTTTTTATGGTTAGTGAGTGGTCGTGGGGGGGGGGGGGGATGAGGGGTATTTGGGGTTGGGATGGGGGTACCTTGCGTCAATCCAGTTGTTGGGAATGAGGGCTTTGATGGCGCCGCCGTAGAGGGGTTGCGGGGTGTAGGTGGTGGTCATTGTAGATTGGATTGGTGTGTGGTTTGTGGGGTGGATGTTGGGGTTAGTTGTGAGAGAGGAGGCCCGTATATGTGTAGCTGTTGTTTGGTATCGAGAAGGTTGTGTAGGGAGGAGGGATGAAGTTGTAGATGGATGGTGGAGGGGTGAAAGAAAGCTCAGCTGGGCGGAACTTTTGGAGGAGGATCATGGTGGGGGTGGGGCGGGGTCCCGGTTGGCCCGCGGTATATATACTCTTTATAGTTTTTGATAATATGGTGGGATTCCTAGCACTATCTCGGATAATATATGAGCAAATAATCATAAGCACCTAATCAATCCGAATCACGACCTTCGCAAAATGCTTCTTCTCCTGCAGACGCCGATACGCGCTCTTTGCCTCTGCAAGCTCAAACACCACCTCATCCACCTCAGGCACAATGCCCTTCTCATCGATAAAGCGAACCACTTCTCGGAATTGATTGCGACTGCCTGCAAGCAAGCCACGGACAATACAAGTATGCAGCAGAGCAGTATACAACGGCACCGGCGCAGTGTCTTCGCCGACCATGCCCACTACCAGCACAATCCCGTCGACCCGCACCGCCGCCAGAGACTGGGATAGCGTTTGATTGCCCCCAATGTCAATGACAAAGTCGAAACCGCGTCCGTCGGGAGTCAATTGTCGTGCCTCATCTCCCCAGGCCGGGCTGGTGCGGTACGAAACCACATGAGTCGCACCCAACGCTTTGAGACGAGCTGCTTTCTCGTCGTTCGATGTGGTAGCAACAACAGTGGCACCTGCTGCTACAGCGAGCTGAAGAGTGGCTATGCTGACACCGCCTGTGCCTTGGACGAGCACCCATGAGCCAGGGCCAGCTTCCTTGCCCTTCAACCCGAAGAGGGCGTTCCATGCCGTGGTCCAAGTGCAGGTCAGAGTAGCTGCAGGGAGCCATTCCAATGATGTAGGTGCATGGACAAGAGCATATTCCGAGAAAACTCCGTGAGATCGCAGGGTGCCATGGAGTCCCTGTCCGAGAGCAGGGCGAGAATCGGGGAGGCCAAGGGGAGCATTGTCCCCGTGGGATTCCACCTTCTTAGGGGCAAGGTGTGTGACGACTCGGTCTCCCGGACTGAACTCCTTCACGGATGATCCGACAGCCCCTACCATGCCAGCACCATCGCAGGCTGGAACAAGCGGAGGGACGATTGCCCCATTGAAATTCTGCAAGTATTAGCAACATTGAGCATCTGCGGGTCATAAGGACATACCGCAGGGCTTGCAATCTTCAAGTCACGATAGTTTAGACTTGCAGCGTATATCCTGACCAAGACCTCGTTGGGACCTAAGTCGTGAGCTGATGGTTTGCTGATGTCCGGTTGATACTCGAGGGACGTCTCGAAGCCTTCTTGGCCCGTCAAGACCCATTGCCTGGCCATGGTTCAAGTAATTTGAGAGTACTGAAATATGTACTGCAAATGTGCAGATGTCTTCCATCCTAGAGAGATAGACATAGACGGTATTTATGTGTGGTTGGAAGAGCTTGAGCGCTAGCTCATGTTATACACTAGAATCTGATTTTCCTAATCGGGAAAATCAGATTGAGCCGGCGTGGAGCTGAATCGCTCCGATGATTGGCTTATGGATGGTTTGTCGCAGAGATGTCATTCTATAATTGCATTAGCGCTACAAGATAGTAGTAATATCCAAGTCACATCCGACGGGACAAAAATAGATTACTCACGATTTGAAATCCGCGTTTGTTCGATTGAATCCCTAGCCGTTGCTGTTTCCTATAGATCTTCTGCATTAACAGCCGTGTGATGTAATTCCCTCCACAGGGCCCTGAACCGCCCATTCAGACCGACATCAGTTGTCAATTTCCTCTGCATAATGCCCAATGGCTCATTCCATCCATGAAAATGCATCACTCGCACCGCCCTCGCCAATCGGTCGACAAACCATGCTCTCGTGAGCGAGCCCTCCTCTGCAGCAATGGCCCCAACCATGAGCTGAAAAGACGTCAGATTCATATAGTAACAGCACTTAATCGGAAACCGGCATATGGCATCTTTCAGCTCAGCAGCCAGGAGGGTTAAATGAGCTCCAGACGATGAAGGCCAAAGGAGATAGAGCACGAGTTCGATCGCGCGTGCAGCAGCATCAACCTGTGCATCACTTTCGACTCGGAGAGCCCGCAATTCATAGTGTAATCTAGCCAAAGGCTCTTCAATCTCTCGAGCTATAAAATAGGCATCGAACTGGTGTTGGTGTCGGAACTCCATCAACTCCCGGAGCTGAATCACCCTATTACAGATATTCGCTAGCTTTGAGATTCTCTGACCCTGGTCATCGCCCAATGCTTCGACAATACTTTGATGATAAACGCGCGGAAAACCGAATATGCTGTTGATTGAGTCCCTACCATTCATATCATTAGCGTGAGTTGTATAAGGACCAAGGAGCACCAACTGAACAAGAAAATCGATAAACCATGACGGCACAACAGGCAAGGCCTGGAATTGCCTGGATTTGACAATATCAACCAGTCCATTGATATGAATATTCCAGACAACCTGATCCTGTGTTAGAGCCGCACCAATTGCCATGCTAACAACTGCTCCCAGGACCCCATCCGTCTTAGGCCGCGTAGACGTGATCAGCTGTTTAACTAACTTGACAGCTGTGTATGAATGGTTATCAGCTTGTAATTGCCATGTGCTGCCGGGGGACCATTGTCGCACAGCCACCGCCAGTAATGCTTCGATCAGGGCCGGTTCCGAGGCAATGAGGCTTAACCACGCTTCATCACGGGGGTTTTCTGGGGTATAGTTGCCTTCCAAGAAGGACAGCTCTTGTAGTCTGCGAACTGCCTGGAGTCAGTCATCGCCAATGAAGATGGTGCAGGTATTCATACAGGCACTGGCACTGGATGCTTCGCTGACACTCACCCATCCCGGTCTACCTGACGACACGTCGAGGGATCGTTTAGTCGCAGTAGCGTCAGCAATCCGCTGGCGCCGTTTCGCGAAATTGGTCTTGGTGATGTGCGCCCTCATCCGCTTTGTAGCGGGCTTGGAGAGACTCGAAGCTCCCGTGGTATTCAGAAAGGTGAAGTTGGTAGGCTCCATTGTCAGTGGTTATGTCCTTGGTAGGTTGAGGTCAACAACCACAGGGGTCCAGAGATGAGCCTCAGCCGGGATGGATTATTAATTGGTCACTTCCTACCCCAGATGAAGTGAAGTGCAACGTCTAGCAATACAGCGATCAGAATATAAGCCATGGGATGCATAACTATCTAGGTACTTAGAATTCAAGGCCGCCTTTCTGCATGGCTCACCATAAAGGCCATCAACAAATTATCAACCACCATCAACCACTATTAAATCAATCAACAAGCCTGCCAGCAGTGATCCAATCTCAGCTACATGTCAAGCAGCTCTTCAATATATTCATCCAACGCAACCATCCGAAACCGATTCCCCCATTTCGCCCGGAATTCCTTCCGGCGATAAGCATAACTCGTCACCTGGCTGAAGCTCACCAGCTCCACGGCCCATCCCCGAGTCAGCGCCCGCTCCACCATCTTCATAAACCCGCCTGAGAACTCGGCTTCCGCCGCGTCTCCCGTGGCTAACACAATGGTGGCTGGGTCGTCCGTATCCAACAGACTTTCCAGAATCTTCAGATGCAGAATTTCGTCCACACCCTGCTCAACCCACCGCTCCCCCAGTGCATCGTTCGTTTCTGAACCACTCCCGGGGTCGTGGGGGCCTGCTCGCGGATTCTTGCGGAACCTCATTTGACGAGGAGTCATGTGTTTGACCTTGTGGACCCGGTCGAGGATGTTCGTCTCGTAGCCAAGCTGTTCGCCTTCGGTGATGGCAGCAAATCGGTCAGAGCCCACCAAAACCCTTTTGGCGGTGGGCCGACCGCGCTCGAGAATCAAAGAGAAATTCTGGAATGATAGAGGCAATCGGCGGATCCGTGTTTTCACCGGGATTTTGCGCGATAGCTTCACGGTGTCGTGAAATCCAACCATGATCTGAACCAAGTTAGTGAGTTTACACCGCCACCATAGGACCATACTTACATTGGACATGTCAACAAAGACATGGATAGGATGACAGGTGACATCCGTCTTCTTGGGGTTTAAAGGCCGTCCCACTTGGGTGACAGCATCGGCGTAGTCGGGGAAATTCTTTAGAAGCTTGGTCAAGAGACCAACCCTCCGATCCGCGGCCGATCGGTACGAGATAGGTTGTACGCGGATAGTGCTAGAGCTAGGAGCGTTCTTCACAATCTTCGACGGAGATATCTCAATAGTCTCGTCATAGGATGATGGCGGAGTTTCGTATGGGTCAGACACGGCACCCGCCGTGCCTACCTGCGGAGGGACGAGCGACAGGACGCTACCCTTCTTCGACAGAGGGGGATCAAAGACGCTGAGGTTACCGTCGGATTCGGCCTCCACGGCGCTCTCAGACGTGCTAGATTCATATGCGCGTTTACTTAGTGTAGCATCGCGGTTACCATGAGCGCTCTTCCCGGCTGCGACCTTGGTCTGCAAGCTACGGGATTTAGAGACACCGGAAACAGGTATAGGCTTTGCTGGTGTACGAGGGGGCACCTGATCTGGACCTGCAGGGCTCGCGTGATTATTCAAAGGTCGTTTAAGGATCTCAATCTGTTTGGCTGGTTGTGGCGGCGGGTTGGGTGTGCTCCGTAGGGCTTCACGAGGTTCAACCTGTGGGCGAGCGGATGGGATGCCAGTACTGCCCAGAAGCTCCCAAAGAGAACCAAAGTCTCCCAGCCGTGGAGGACCACCCTCCGCAGGCCTTAAGTCGAGCGCGTGCGCAGCGGAAACGTAAACATCGTTCCTGTTTGGCTCCCGAGTCGACCGAGAAACAGGGACAGGCTCAGGGTGGCGATAAGGAATAGACGGGCTACCGGTACCGTAGGTCGGTGTGCGAAGGAGATTGATCACCGGAGTGAGATCCCAATTTGAAGCTGACTCAAGCGATGATGGCATTACAGGTAGAGTAGCGGGATTGATAATGAGATGATTAGAGTATCGCCGGTCCGAGTCAAGCGGCGATAGATAAGCCAGGCGGGGTTGACTCAATATCCAGACTGACGGCTCGCAGAGAACGTCCAGCGCAAATAGAAAACTATAGGTCAGAATAAAAAAATGAAGAAGAGGCAATAGATATAGAGCAGATCAACATGATGGTCCAGGGGACCTGATGAGAGAGTGTTGGCGCCAAACGCATTGGAAGCACGAGGAGAGGAAGAGCGTCAGGCACGGCGACAGGCAGACTCGGCCTGAAGGCGCTCGCCGCGTGGCGGTGAACAGCTGGCCCAATTCTGCGACTGGCCACCGCCTGCGGTCTTCGGCACCAAAAGGACCATCCCTAATGTGGTATAGTAGATATCGGAAGTCGTCTGAATGATAATCCGAGGAGGCTTGGCGCCGACAATGGCGCTAACCGCAAATGGCTTCATGCAATCATGGAGACGTCATGACTGGGGCCTCCAAATACCACCATCGTACAGGAGTAAGTCTGGACCAGATCGTCATGGCTGGCGCCATTGCTCCGGGTCTGCACAGCGACCGAGGGTATGACCGATGACACGCATGCAAGATCCATCGACCGGATCGAAACCGGGGTAGACCCCTCATGATGACGTTGATTCGCCGGCATCTCTTCCATGGCACCCTGCTTCACTGACTACAACCACATCCACAGACCATTGCGTATGGATTCACAGCCAGGGTTGTCGACGTCATGGAGCAATTTCGTAGAGACTCTAAAGCTATATAAGGGCACCTTTCCACCTTCGTTGACTGTCCTTCATCATCATCAATCATCCACACTTTGCAATCTACAACATCCAATCCAACTTTCAACTACTTCCAAACAAATCCAACAACGACACAATCAACATGTCTGACACCGGTCGCAAGGATTTCACCACTAGTAAGTTGCCTGTTCTCAGGTACCTGCCAATTGCTCGCATGATGCTTACTTCAATGCAGAGGCCAAGGAGGAGATGACTCCCGACTCCACCAAGTCCACCCAGGACAAGGTCAAGGAGAGCTTCACCGACACCACTGACCGTGTTGCCCGCGGCTTCCAGACCGACGACAGCAAGTCCGCTCCCCAGGAGGCTTTCGACAAGACCCAGCGCTCCCACGACAACGCTTCCCACGGCGGTGCCTCCGGCTCGATGTCAGTATCTCCTTGGGACACACCCCGCTATTCTGTCGAAGCATTGAACTAACAGACTCGCAGTGGTGACAAGATCAAGAACGCCGTCGGCCTGGGTGACAACTAACCCATTATCCATCTTAATATGCAATCGTTCGACGTGCCACGCCCAATAGCACTTTCGCGGTTCTGATGCATGGAAATCGGGACATGGAAATCGGGAGATGGATTGGCGGCTCACGGCAGATTGTCTTATGATTAATGAGTTGACGATACAATAGTCTGATAGTATCACCTCTCAATAGGCTCAATACTAGTCAATTGTTTCATAATTAACTTGAAGAAGTCCTATAAGATCAGTAATGTTTACCTGTCAACTAATTTCTCAAACATTGCGTCCCGTTGCCGGGTGAGTTTGTCAAGTTCCTGCTCTAGCTCCTTGTATTGCACCCGAGCACCGGGGATGTCTTTGGGCAGGTCGTGGAACGCCTTGACCCTTTTCTCCAGGGTTTGGGTGCTTTCCAGCATACTAGTCACCATTTCCTCTTCCGCCATGACTTCTTCGAGCGTAGGTCCCTTGACTTTAGCTCTTTGTAGGGAAGCGATCCGATCTTGATACTCGCCGACTTTCGCGTTGAGTAATTTGGTCTCTCGCGTCCACTCGGCAGTTAGCGCGGGGAGATTGGCAGGCGTTTCATACGCTGCGTTGGTCTTGAGATCTTGAAGCTGTTCTCTCAGCGTAGCCAATTCCCTTTCTAAGTAGTCATGTAGCGCCTGTACTTTGGACATCTGATCTTTGGCGCCGAACTCTTCTATCGTAAGGTTAATGATTGATTGGCCCAGGTCTTTCGTCTCTGTGCCCAAGGCTCCCAGCACTGCTGTCGTCTCTGCCAAATCTTCTAGGTTTCGTCTGCCATTATCATCCAGACAATGCTCCACCTCATCCAAAATCTCCATCTTCTGCTTCTCCTCAACCTCCTCCCGGGCTTTGAAGCTCTCAACCGCTTCTTCGCGAGCCTGGTGAAGCACGGTAACCTCCTCATCCGCAGTATCATTGGCAGCAGCCAGGGCTAGAAGAGTCCGCAGGGTATCTTCATTTCGCTCAAATCTGGGAACCGGATTCGGACCGTACTGACGGCTGAGCCAGGCATTGACGTAGGCCCAGTCTTTGGCTTGGATGGCTGCCTGGCGCGCTTTTGCGGGGGAGAAGAGGGGGGTATCCATGGCAGTCGGGACTATTGTCGGAAGTGGTTGGAGAATTGTCAAGATTGAGCGACCAAGGATGGTGTGATAGTAGAAGGATTGGGGCCTTCTCGGAGATGCAGACGGAGTGAAGCCCCGGGGAAAGTGAGGTTGAATGTTGAATGTTGAATGCGACGGATCAACCCGCCGGCCGGGGCAAGCAAGCACGCGGTGTTTATCCGACCGCCGCCTCGGCTCCCCGTCCAGCGGGACAGTCGCAGTGACCATCCCCCGGCCAGACAGTCATTCAGACCAGCTTCCCCCACGATGGCGAGTTATTTCCCTCCAAATGGAGTCATCTCCAACCATGCTTCCACTCGCACCTCTCCGGCGTCCTCCCCGCTTTCACCGCCAATACACCAGCGATCGAATGCCTTGTCCAACCGACTGACAAGTGTACTTTCGGCCTCGTATGCGGATTCGGATATTCGCGATGCGCTGGAGACCCTCAGTCTCAGAGGAATACATAATACGGCAGAGGTCCGACGACAACTGCGCTTGGATGTTCAGAAAGAAGTGGTCGATAGCAATGCTGAGATCGTGCGAGACTTTGGGTTGGTTGCGGAGGTGAGATGCGCCGATGCTGCGAGTCTACATGGATGCTAACCCTGGCCCAATGCGCAGCAATTGAAACGAATTGGTACCGTGATCTCGAATTTGAACCAAACATGCGAGGAGATGCGAAAACACATAGTCTCTGCCAGACAGGAGACGACACCAGTGCTTGAAGAAGCATCGGCGCTGATGAAGCAGAAGCAAGAGGCGGAAACCAAACAACAGTTGCTGGAGGCTTTCACTCAGCATTTCATTGTCCCCGATGAGGATCTACTGATCCTGACGTCCGCCGAAGAGCCCATCGATGATCACTTCTTTGATATCCTCGCTCGGGTGAAACAGGTGCACCGTGACTGTGAGGTGTTGCTGGGGGGTGAGAATGAGCGATTGGGTCTGGAGCTTATGGAGAAGAGCTCTAGAAGCCTGAATTCTGCCTACCAGAAGCTCTACAGGTGGATACAAAAGGAGTTCAGGTCCCTGAACCTCGAAGATCCCCGCATCAGCAGCTCCATCCGGCGCGTTCTGCGCGTACTGGCGGAGCGACCAAGCTTGTTTCATAGCTGCTTGGATTTCTTCGCAGAGGCTCGAGACTATGTCCTGTCTGACGCCTTCCACTATGCCCTTACGGATGCGGTTTCTGGCACTGCAGGTGACCAGAGCGTGAAGCCGATCGAGTTCTCCGCTCATGACCCCCTGCGGTACATCGGAGACATGCTGGCCTGGGTGCATTCCACCACCGTCTCTGAACGGGAGGCATTAGAGGCCCTCTTCGTCGCAGACGGGGAAGAGCTTGCCAGAGGCATTCAGGCCGGTCTAAGCAGTGAGCCCTGGTCTCGAATCGATGAAGACAAGGAAGTAACTTTCGACGGGCAAAAGGCCCTCAGCGACCTTGTCAACCGCGACCTTATTGGCGTCTCTCGAGCCCTACGACAGCGAGTCGAGCTAGTCATCCAGGGCCACGACGACCCCGTCACCTGCTACAAGGTGGTCAACCTCCTTTCCTTCTACCAGACGACCTTCTCCAAGCTGCTAGGTTCCCAATCCAACCTGGCTGAATTGCTCGAGACTCTCGAAAAGTTCACCTTCAAGCACTTCGAGACCCTCATGCAGGACGACGTCAACAATCTCTCAACCGACCACCTAGCCCTTACTCCCCCACCGGACCTCTCCGCGCCTCAATTCCTCCAAGACGCCCTCGAAGTCCTCACCTCTCTCATGAAGACCCACGAGGCCTCATTCGGCGCCGAACCCGTCTCTACCACCCCAGACGACAACTCCACCGCACCCAAGGAGAATCGATTTACCCCCGTCCTTCGCGCAGCCCTGGAACCCTTTCTCGACCTAGCCAAATCTTCGGCAGCGGACCTCCCCAATCCCACCACGCAAACCATCTACCTGACAAACATCCACCTCACAACCCGCACAGCCATCACCTCCTACCCTTTCGCAAGCGCAACCCACCTCTCCCCACTCCAAACAGCCCTCTCCACTCTCCGCATGGACCTCCTCAACATCCAACACCGCTACCTCCTCACCTCCTCCGGCCTCCAAACCCTCCTCACAGCCCTGGAACCTTTCTCCCTCTCATCCTCCTCAGCGCCACCACCCCCTGGAACAACAGACCAACAACCCCCCAACATAGCAGACATCACCACCCTCCCCGCATTCCACCCCTCCGCCCTCATCGCCATCAGCCAACAACTCGACGACTTCCTCCCCTCCGCACTCATGGACGCAACCGACAACCTGAAGCGCGTACAGAGCGCCACCTTCGTGAAGAGCGTGACCGAGGAAGCCGTCGAGGCATTCTGTCGCGATTTTGAGTTCGTAGAGGGTATGATTATCGGGGCGGACGAAGCGAGAGGTAGAGTTGATGTTGTGAGGGGTGAGGGCGATGAGAAGGAAGAAGAGCACGGGGAAGAAGAGGATGAGGCGGGAGACAAGGAATGGGGATTGAGGAAGTTGTTCCCTAGAACTACTGGGGAGATCAGAGTCCTGTTGAGTTAGGCTAGGGTTACTAGTACTAGGTGGAAGGGGGGTTGCTGTGTTGTGGTGTATATATTTTGCAGTGTATAGTTTATGGCAAGTCTAGACTGTTCTACAGTTGTGATTGAGTATGTCTATTTGGTATGGTCTTGATGGTTTGGTATTTAGACATAGAGAGCCTTATAAGGTATATGTTGTAGGAGCAAGATCTATTGAATGGAGCCAGGCCCCTAGATCTGTCGGATCATGATGCCATAGGGATCGCGATCCCGCTCACTGACATCGACAATGCACTCGGCATCGTCGAGCACATCCTTCAGATGTACGCCAGCCGTCTTCAGACCCTCCGCGCGCTGATCTTCCCACTCCTTCTTGACCGCATCCGCCAGCTTCTCTCGCATTACCGCGCGCAGATACCCCCGTTCAGTATTCGAGTGTGCGAGCGCAATAACGACCGAGCCACGCTCCACAGCCGCCAATGCTTCGTGGTGACTCAACTCACCCGTGAAGAGTAGATCCGGAATCTTACCGCCAGTGCCCTTCAGCAAGATGCTGGATCCAGAACCTGGACACACGCCCACGGTCCGGATCTTCAGGTCCTCGACCGAGGCAGTCTGCGGGATAGCAATAGGGATACCGCCAGGGTATCCGACACCCTGGGCGATGCGATCCACGATGGCGGTGAGAGGCTGTGGCTCGTCAAAGGTGACGATGCGACCCATTCCAGCTGACTCCATTCCCTCGGGCACTGGCGCCGGAGACGGGATGATGGTGGTTCGGACGTGAGGGACAGGCGTCGCAGGAGAGGATGGCTGTGGTTGCGGGAATGTGGCGTGGGAGTAGTGCGCTGATGAGGACTTTTGGACAGTGGGCTTTGTGTTGGGCGTGGGGGCGATTGCGCTGGTGACGATGTCGCACAGCCAGTCGCCCATGCCGCCCGGGGTTGCGTCGATAGCGGTGTGCGGAGAGTAGACGCTGATGCCTTCTTGAGCTAGGCGGAGGAGGGTGGATTGTTGGGGGTCGTTGAATGTGAGGGATTTGAGGCCGCGGAAGATAATTGGGTCTAGGAATGAGAGTGTGAGTGGTCGGTGTAGGTAGGGATGGGCGGTGGTTCATCGCATACGGTAGGCCACCACTACTGAGTCTCGGCGGGCGATTGCTTCATCTGCGACTGCTTTGGTGAGGTCAATTGCAAGGAGAGCGGAGTTTCTCTGTCTGCGAGTGTGATCGAAGGGCGCTTCAAGGAGTACTAGGACATAGAGTTAGCTGGAAATGTGGTGGTGAGCTAGATGGGCTGGATGAGAAGCTTACGGCCGGTATTGTCCCAGCTCTTATCTGCCAATGACTCTGGGTAGCTGTTATATCGAAGGGGTCAGCTGTAAGAAAACTAGGGCTGCCAATGTAGTAGAGGTTCGGAAAGCATACAGCTTCCGCATGGAGCTCACCACGGCCCGCGTGAATGGCGACGAGGTGGGGGCTGATGCAGACATCGTGGAATATAGGCGAAGGGGATGCCGGAAAACAGAGTTCATAGAAAATGCCGCTGTGCGTCGATAAAGTATTTGATGATCAATGCGAGCCCGGAATGTTTGATAACCAGTGCAAGTTAAGCTCGAGGAACCCCGCGAAGGTGACACAAGATATGAAGCTTGAGAGAGAAGCGATCGAAGCGATCGAAGCCGAGGAGCTGGCGCCACAGCTAATCTAGTCCGCTCCCGGACTAGTTCCCACTAGCCACATCGGCTGACCAATCCGTTTCTTACGGTACGGTACCGGCAGAAGGAGAATGAAATCCAGCATGAGGAACTCCGTCATCCTCCATCGGAAGAAGAAGCATCACCGCGCTGCCCACCACCCTGACTCAAATCGCTTCAGCGACACTTGGTCGCCTGACTCATAGTATAACCCAATCAGCGTTACACACCCTTATCCTATAACCCCCCCCAACCGAGGATCCCGTCCCGCCCGCGCTTGATGTACTCCCGCACCACTACCCTGTTGAGCAGAAGCTGCCGGTATCTTCTCCGCACCCCCGTCCATCACAAATCACCTTTCTCGATTTCCGCGCGCTCCTTCGCGGCAGTGAACGCAGCCATGGCCGATGCTACTTCGAGCGTTACGGCAGACTCGCTGAAGGCCAAACTGATCGACCAGTTGCAGGCGCAACATGTTGAGATCGAAGACTTGTCGGGTATGGAAGAGCCGTGCTGATTAATTGCTTCCCCCGTGCGGGAATGCGCTATAGCTACAATATTTGAGGTCCCGATGTTGACGATAAGTCTATAGGTGGTTGTGGACAGGCTTTCCAGGCCGTCATTGTTTCCCCTCAGTTTGAGAAGAAGACCATGCTTGCCCGCCATCGCCTGGTGAACTCGGCCCTGAAGGCGGAGATTGCTGCCATTCATGCCTGGACGCCCAAGTGCTACACTCCGGAGCAATGGCAGGCGCTGCACCAGGGCTAGGTTCGGACCGCAAGAATCGGAGGTGGATATATCCTGGGGGTTGACATGCTCTCTGATGGCATGCCGTCGGGCGTTGGGTTATTCGACATCATGGCTTTGCGCTGCCGGTTATGACTAATTTTTTTCGCTGGCTATGGTTTTTGCAAATAGATTTATATCAAAACAATTATTATGATTCACTGTCATGTATAGGAGCCTAGATATATAACAGTCCTGGGTGTGCTGGTACCCGGAGCTGGTTTAGCCCAAGATCTTCTCGGCCGCAGAGACTACCATCGTTATTAGTAACAAACATATGGGGTGCTTATAGCTGGAGTCGTACCGTCAAGACCGATGTTGTCGGGCTCCACGAAAGCCTCTTTGACCTTTCCGTCCTCGACAACCAGCGCATAACGCTTGCTGCGGTTGTTTCCGAAGATCGAAGCGCTGTCGAAAGTTACATCAAGAGCCTTGGAGAACTTGCCGGAGGGGTCACCCAGGAAGCGAATCTATAGGCGGCGTTAACTCGTGACATTGGGTATCTCGTACAATCCGATATAGTATCACTTACGCCGCTCTTGCCCTCGGGATCAAGGGAGGAAGCCCAAGCCTTGGTCCTGTCGTCGAGTTAACCAATAAGCTCAATTGAAAGTAGCCTCGTATGCGACTCGTGACTTACACGAAGGGGTCATTGACTGCAACGACGAAAACCTGGCCGGCCTCCTTAAGCTTGGGATGCTTGATGTATCCTGGGATGTGAGTGCTGGAGCACGCGGGGCCTAATGATATCCGCCAAGGACGGGGGAGTTAGCAATCCGGCCTCACGGGAGATTTTCAGTAGCGGCGGCCACTCCTTTCCTTTCCTTGCCCAGAATGACCGAATCAGCGGCGACAGGGACACGTACTGAAAGCAGCCGGCACACCAACAATGATGCCCTTTCCTTTGAGCTCCTTGGCGAGGTTGACCTTGTTACCGGGCGAGTCCTCGACCAGGACGTCCAGGTCGGGGATGGCGTCCCCCTTCTGAACAAAAGCCGGCGCGGTGCTGTGGAAAAGGGCCCTCTGGGACAAGGCGCGAGGGACACCGGCAGTAAGACGACGAGCAGCAAACATGGCTAGAGGAGGAATGAATGACAATTCAGGAAGGAATGTGTTGCAGGGGAGATTGGATGTTCCAGTTGGGAGGAGCCACTGGAAGTTAAAATAGGCGATGGAGGTGGAAGAGAGAAGAGAGAAGAGATGGGAGGTGGATGGATGATTGTTGATGTTCCTGAGCTGGTGGATCTCGCAGCTTTCTCCAGAATGGCTCCAGTCCGGAACATTATTTCGTCATGGTCGCTTTCGGCTGCAGCGCCCGGACGCCAGCCGCCGAACGTGGGGACTCAACTCGCTGAGCATGAGGAGATTGATTAGTGATTGGAAATTTTGATATTTGGATAATTGACCCTGAGGAGATAGGAATGTTTTGCCGTAGGATGTGGTGGCCAGTCATGTTGGTCTCACGCAATCGTCCACATGAATGGCTAACAAGCTCAAGATGGCAGATGCCATGCAGAAGGGAGATACTACTACTACTACTACTACTACTACTACTCCGTATGTAGTAGATATGTAGATAGTAGATTCATGTCTACGGATCCCCCCGGAATGTAAGACGGGGGGGGGCAAGATGGAGATGAGACGACATCGAATCAATCATACCGTGCGGACATGGACTCCGGGGATCCCATGGACCAGTCTCGATCGCTGGCTCTGACAGCCTTTGTTTTCCCGCCGACGGACAACCCTGCATTGTCTATCTCGGACTGCAAGGGTTCGTTCGCAGCATTCAGGTGGCTTTGGACCGGGGATGGGTCTGGACTCTGGCGACTCTTGCCCATGTAAAACCTTGGCTGGTTTGATATTAATGCCATAAAGGGCTTCACTGGCGTGAGAGGAGTGAAGAGAGACAGGAGTAATCGACTTAGCAGTTGGGCACTGGCTTTAATCATATTAATAGTACCAGCTCCCTCAACTAGTACCATGATGTTCGGGAGGTGGCGCATCCATGATCCATAGTCTCCTTGTACTAAATAAAGAGTCGCCCCAATCTCTATCATATCGGTTGGCTTAACTGGGAAGTCCTGGGTTGGACATCGCATGCTTGTCTCCGTCTTTCTTTGTCTTGCAGCATCTCTCGATGCTCGTATCGTCGGCTATGCGAGCGAGGGATCTGCATCCAGTGCTGCAATAGATCACCCCTGAGAGGAGTCGTAAGTATCTGTAAGTGTAGGGAAGACAACCGGTGGTGAGATCATGGCCTGAGACCTGGAGACCAGGAGGTAATGCCTCCTCCTCTCGTACGACTGACTGTGGTTACCGCGGGGTCCGAGAGAATGAAGCCCACCCCTCCTCCGTATACCATTGTTGATCGCCGCATACAATCCAAGGCCCCTCCACCCTGGGTAGCCTATCTCCATGGCTCCCCCCCATCCTTTTCATGCATGGGTTCTGCATCAATCGGGCGCACTGACAGCTATGGACCGGTAATTCCGCCAGAGCAAGCTGTGGGTACCTAGTGGTCACTCTGGCTTGACTGCCTACCTTACTTGGGGTGCCTTTGCACTTTGGGTTTCCGTTGTTATTATTTTATTATTTTATTTTATTTTTCTTTTCCTTTCTGTCCTGTTCATACCTGTTGGGAAGGCTGGGAAGGAGGGGGTGGTGGGATAGATAGTTGCTCGTAAATATTATTGAGTTGTCTCTTCCCATTAGTTGGACCCGATGCTCTAAGATTTAGTTAGCTGGCGTTAGCATGGGAATTCTCCTCTACCCCTCCTATGGGATCTCCTTGCGTGAGGTCATCCCCCCCAACCATTCTGCATGAAAAAAGCCTCAAGAAGACATACCCGACAATGAAAATGGAGAGCATTTAGATAAAAATGGTCAGATAAGAATTGCCGTGGAAGGGAGGAACCCCAAACGATATTAACTCATAAAAAAGGGACGATGTGACAACCCAACCGGTGGGTGTTGTGGCTAGTGACCACGTACTTAGTCGGAGAGGGGAGAGGAACCCACTTGGAGACAACAAGATTTGATAGATAGGTACCTAGCCAGCAGCAGAAACACCAGACAGAGAGGCAAGACAGACAGACAGACAGACAGACAAACTTTCGCTGAGCGGTTGAACGTGAACCTGATTGCCAAATGGGCGCAAGCCATGGAAAGCCAATCCCAGAAACAACCCACGTCTTTTTTCCCCATCCACCACTTCAGCCAGCAGCAAGCAACTAAGCAAGCCCCGGCGCCCCCTCTTCTTCCCTCCCTCGGTCTGCTACCTAACTGACTAACTGACTAACGGCCAAATGAGAAAGAAAATCCTAAAAAAAAAAAAAAAAAAAGACCAAATCAAATCAAATAAACCCAAGAAATCAGTCCCATCGGCTCGACTGGAACTAAACCCGAACGGAGGGGACTAATTAATCCCCATTCCTCCTACTAACAGAACTGACCTTGAACTGACTTACCACCACCACCATCGCTCGACCACGATTACTACCTTACGGTCGTCTTTTTCTTTCTCCCCCCATTCCTCTTCTTTTCTTCTTCCTTTTCTTGTCTTATTATTACTCAGTTCGTTCACCAAGATACCTAACTGATATCGCCACCCGGGTTAAATTGACGACTGGCTGGTTCTATTTTCCCCCGTCCTCGCCGTTTCTCCAAGCCCTGCGACTTGTTGAGCCTGTTGCTTGTTCGATCGGTCGCGACCCATCTAGCCCACGATGGACGGTGGCCAGACCTCGACCAGCGCCGCCCCCGCGGGCAACTCCAGCGATTTTGTAAGTGTCGCCCTCGATAGCGACCATGTGAACATCATGATCTCACAATTATTGTACCTGATTATACTTCGTTTTGCTAACAATATGTGTAGGTACGGAAACTCTACAAGTGAGTGTTCCCCTTTTACTCCTCCCCGTACCTTTTCTTCGCTTTCAGGGTCCGATTTCTCGCCCTCGGCTTTGCCATCTTACCCTCGGCGCGCTCCAATCTTTCGTTGCGCCTCGTTGAATCCCCCCAAAACTTCGCATGTTGACGTGACCCGGTATCACTGACCTGTGTACAAGAATGCTGGAGGATCCATCGTACGCGGAAATTGTGCGGTGGGGCGACGAAGGAGACAGTTTTGTAGTCTTGGAGGTGCGGCGACCCTCTCCGGATTTCCCCCCCTGCGATCGCAACCACCGTAACTGACCTACCACCTGCGATCTGCCAGTGTGAAAAATTTACCAAGACTATCCTCCCAAAACACTTCAAACACAGTAACTTCGCCAGTTTTGTACGACAGCTGAACAAATACGATTTTCACAAAGTGAGGCAGAATAATGAGGAGAATGGACAGTCGCCATACGGTCAGAATGTAAGGATTCCGCTCTTGTGGCGGTCGATGCGACAGCTTCTAACTGCGAGTCCAGGCTTGGGAATTCAAGCATCCGGAGTTCAGAGCGAACAGCAAGGAGTCACTCGATAATATCCGACGGAAGGCCCCGGCTCCGCGCAAACAGACCCAGAGCACCGACGACTCGGTTCCAACACAACAAATAGATTTGCTGAACCAGCAGATTGTGGCACAACAACAACAAATCCAGCACCTGTCCGACCGGTACGCACAGCTGACTGTTGACCACCAGCTGATGCTACAGGAGGTGTTGAGGGTGCAGAAAACCGTTCTCAACCATGAAAACGTTATCCACCAGGTCATGACTTACTTGCTTTCTGTTGATGCCCGTCAAAGGCGTGACAGCAAAGCGACTGCGCCTTTCCAGGCGCAGGGTCAAGCAGGCTCGACCTTGAGCCCTTCACAGGTCGCGTCGATGGACGATGAGCCATCGTCACCCTTGCAGCATGCCTCGAAACTTCTAAATGATATGAATGCCGAAATCCAGTTCAACTTGGCTGGTCTGGAGTCGATGGGTGAGCCACCGAAGACGGCGGCGGTGGTTGCCACGCCTGCCCTAGAAGCTGCCCCTCGTAATGGTGTTGCGCGCCCCCCGCCAGCAGCCACCAATCCAAATGCTGCCATGGTCTATTCGAAGATCAACGGTGACATCGAACCCGTCGTTTACCCCGTAGGCGCCACTAACGGCATCGATCCGATGTACAGTGAACACGTCAATAATGTCCCGTATCCCATGCCACCGAAACAAGAGCTCGAAGAAAGTCGCAGGCCGTTTTCCGACAATAGGAAAAAGAGCGCGAATGTGGATCCCGGTTGGGTGCGCAGCCCGCATATCCTGCTTGTGGAGGACGATGCAACGTGCCGTCAGATCGGTGGGAAGTTCCTCTATTCGTTCTCTTGCGTCATTGACACCGCGGTACGTTGTGTTTTCTCGGAGAACTAGAGAATGTGTCTACTAATGGTGCTACAGTTTGATGGCCTGGAAGCCGTAAACAAGATACAGGATGGCTCCAAATATGATCTCATTCTCATGGACATCATTATGCCCAACTTGGATGGTGTCTCGGCCTGCCATCTCATCCGCCAATTCGATAGGACTCCCATCATTGCCATGACTTCTAACATTCGGAGTGACGATATCCAGCTCTACTTCCAGCATGGTATGTCCGCTACCATTTGGTCCCCTTTTTGCGACCCTCCCCCGCTAACGGTCTTTGTAGGGATGGACGATGTTCTTCCCAAACCCTTCACCAGAAAAAGTCTTCTGGATATGCTTGAGAAGCATTTAGTTCATTTGAAGACGATTCCCCAAAGCATGGAGGCTCCTCCATCTGCAGCAGCCGCGGTTACGATGGCTGCGCAGAGCTCGGCTGCCCAGTCGGTCAAGGAGGACAGTTCTCCTGGGCAATCACCCGCGACATCAATGACTAACTGGCAATCGCCGGGCCAGTTCCAAGGGATGGCGACCGTGCCCCCTAACATCCAGCAGGTCCAAAGTCAATATGTTCCTGCTGCCCCAGCTGCAGCTGCATATGCTGTAGACCAAAATGGGGTTCAGTATCCGACACCCGCCGTGGCGCTTACTACCGCGGCGCCTGCGGCCGCCAGGCCGCAACCCCGCCGGCAGCTCTCAGAAATGTCCAGCGCCGCTGAGAACCCTAACATGGCCAAACGACCGCGCATGTATTCCCACCAAGCACAGCCAATGGTCAACCCCATGCAGGCCACGCGATCAGGCTAGGTTCAAGGCCTTTTACGTTCATATATCTCTTATAACTCCACAATGCCGAATGATCAATTCATTCCTTCCCGCCTCCCCCATCTCTCCCCTTTATACCACCATGCCTCCTTGCCTTACGATCTTTATTTTCTTATGAAATCTTAGCCGTACGATATCGTTGTCTCGGGGAGTTGTACTGCTTCTATATTTATTTTTCAAAATTTTCTCGATATATCCCGGTGTCTGGGGCGTTTATTGTTACTTGCATAGGTTGCGGATCGTCTTGCGGCAAACTGTTAGGTTATTTCGTTTCTACCGGATGGCCGGCACAGCCAAACCGGCCGGTACTTTGAGGGTGGCATCCATATGCCTTGGTTTGGAAGAAAGGACCTTGGGCTGCCAGCATGTAGTGTTCATCGCTTTCTGTACGCGTCATTGGATCTGATTAATTGTTGGGGCGCTCTGTACCTCTTTGTTGTGTGGAAGGCCAATTTGCGGTGGGTCAATTTTAGCTAAGCATGATGCTCAACAGCAGGGTTGTTGGGTCGGGACGTGGGATTCTATAGAGCCAAATTCAATCTATTATTAACTCAATCGCGAGCGCTTAAATCCTCTTGACAGATCGATCGCAGTCAGGACCCGTAACCAAGGACAAATTGGACCTGCACGCCCACACGCACAGCAACCTCTGGGTCTGAATAGCCACCAACCAGTTGGGGATCATACGATACAGCTTTTGATCCGCCCACCCGATCTTTCTGCTACCCACGATCTTGCGTTCATCAGCTTATCCATGTCAGATAAGGTTCTAGACCGTCGGTCCCTGAACAAGGGATATTCCTTCGAGTCTATGAGGGCCCAGGCCCTGGATGGTGTTCTGGACTCTTGGACCCCCAGCCGGTCAGCCACTGTGGCTGAGAGCCTGAAACGCCAGTAAATCACGTGACTGGTACTCTCACGTGCCAGGCGGGCAGCCTGCGAGTGGGGGCTAGCAAACAGGACAAACCAGCGAGGTGGGATGAAGTCTGACTCCTCCGCCCGAGGAACGGGCTTGGCGGAGATTTTGCGAGTTGACGCGCTTGGTGAACCGTTGTTGGATTCTGCGCATTGTCTGGGTGATCCCTGGAGCCTGTTATTTCCTCTCTCTGCTGTCTTGCCGATTTCCTATACAAATCATCCGATTGAGACGGGGAAACCTATACCTCTTAACCAACTTACCTACCCGATGTGAGTGCGCATTGTGTGCCCGTCCATATTTCGGCGATATCATTGCTGACTGCTTTTTTGATAGATGGGCCCGAAACAGAAAGGCGGTGCGGCGAAGAGGGGAAATGCCACGGAGGAGGTGGAGGAGACATTGCAGGCGGTGGTATGTTGTTTGGAATCGCAATGGGAAACGATGTCGGTGTTGGTTAATGGTTCTTTGTCCTAGGTGCTTGCCGACACTTTCGAGACGAGATTCGAGCCATTCACACTTGAGAAGCCTCGCGTATGTCTATCATCATTGATAAGCGACGGAGGTAATTTTGAGGACTGATGCAGAGCGATTTAGTGTCTCTTGCCACTTGCGAACACACCTTTGATTGAGTATACGCTCGAGTTCCTCGCCAACGCCGGTGTCGAAGATGTTTTTCTGTACGGCGGAGCGCATTCGGATCAGCTGGAGAAATACATCAAGTATGTGATTTCACTGTGGGGGGTGGGTGATATTTCAGGTTGGCGATTTCGGGACTGACAAGGAGGCTTGTACAGTGCGTCCAAATGGAGAGCGCCATCATCGCCGTTCAAGCAGTTGACTTTCCTCAAGTCGACGTCAACATCGGTTGGAGATGTCATGCGCGACCTTGATGGCAAGCATCTCATCACTGGCGATTTCATCGTGGTCAGCGGCGATGTCATCAGCAACCTGCCGATCGAAGGCGCGCTAGCAAAGCATCGTGCTCGCCGTGAAGCCGACAAGAACGCGATCATGACTATGATCCTGCGGGAAGCCGGCAGGAACCACAGAACCAAGTCTTCATCTGTCTCGCCCGTCTTTGTTATCGACCCTACCAAGGACCGTTGTCTACACTACGAGGAGATCGACCAACACTCCCCCGAGTCTTCCCGTCTGAACATCGACGCCGAACTTATCACTACACACCAGGAGATTGACCTGCGCCAAGACTTGATCGACTGCAACATCGACATTTGCACACCTGATGTTCTGAGTCTTTGGTCTGACAGTTTCGATTATCAGACTCCCCGGAAACAGTTCCTGTTTGGTGTGTTGAAAGACTACGAATTGAACGGAAAGACTATCCACACGCATATTGTGAAGGACCACTACGCAGCCCGGGTAAGGAACTTGAAGGCGTACGATGCCGTCAATAAGGATATTATTTCGCGGTGGGCGTATCCTCTGTGCCCTGATACAAACCTGCTTCCCGGCCACAACTACGAGCTTCGGAAGGGAAGCCTGTATCAAGAACAGGGCGTGACGCTGGCTCGCTCGTGTGTCATCGGTCGGCGAACGGTCATCGGCCAGGGCACGAGTATCGGAGATAAAACGACAGTGAAGAACACCGTTCTCGGACGGAACTGCAAGATTGGCAAGAACGTCACTCTGGATGGTGCTTACATCTGGGATGGTGCGGTCATCGGGGATGGAACGACTGTCGAACAAGCGATTGTTGCTGACCGGGCGGTGGTGGGTAAGAACTGCACCATCGAACCTGGGTCCCTGATTTCATTCGGTGTGGAAATCGCCGATGGTGTAAAGGTTAGCGACGGAAGACGTATAACGAAAGCTCCCCGGGAGTACGACGATGAGATCCCAGCCAGCGAACCCGAGGTTGTTGGAGAGGGTGGCAAGGGGTACGAGTACGTTCCTTATGAAGATGAAGACGAAGATGAGATTGCTAGCAATGCTTCATCTGGGTTGGGTATGTTCTTTATCTCTCTATGGGTTTCCTTACATACTGATTTGCTCTCGCAGTTTACAACATGGCGCACCTATCTCTTTCCACGGAGTCCATCTCGACGCTATCGTCTGAGATCTCCGAGTTTGGTCGGTCTCGTTCCGGAAGTTTCAGCACTACAATGTCCGAAGACGAAGACCAGGACCACTTCGTCCATGATGCTGCGGCTAGTGTCTACGACAGCTTGCGCGATGGCGTCACGTCCGATGTTGTACAGTTAGAATTGGTCAGTTTGCGTATGACAGCAAATGCTTCGGACCACCATGTCCGACGAGCAGTGGTCTCGGCCTTCATGAAGCGTATTCATCAGTTGATGGAGGGTGGCAAGGGAGCCAGCGACGCCATCCGGGAAATCTTTGGCAAGTACAAGGAAATCGTCGAGCGGTCTATGTTCGACCGGGAGAGCAACGCGAAGCCTGACCAAGTGGACTTGCTGCTGCTTCTGCAGCAGGACCTGGTGCACCGCAACCGCGGTGACACAGTCCTACTGTTTACGGCCAAGGAGCTGTACGACCTGGAGATCGTGGAGGAGGAGGCTTATGAGCAGTGGTGGGCGGATGAGCGATCAAGCGCCAGTGAAGAGATGCGTCAGGTGCGTAGCCAGTCCCAACAGTTTGTGGACTGGCTGGCCAATGCCGAAGAAGAAGAGAGCAGCGACGAGGAGGAGGAGGACAGCGAGGAGGATGATGAGTAGATGATATAGATCGCATGGGCTATAAGCCGCACAGCATTTTTTAAGATCCAATGACGAAAGCTTACCACCATAAGAGGAATAGTAATAATGGGCGATGAGTGATGCGCGATGGTGCCTGGGTGGGTGCCTGGCCAACCAGGCAGCGGCCGGGGAGGTCAGGTGTGCCGGCCTAAAAGCAGCAAGTATAATTCTGGATCGTCCTCCTGAGCTGCTGAGCGATTTGTCGCTGATCTTATCCTCTGCTCCGGGTCCAGTCCATTTTCCAATAGAGGTTATCCGGGTCTGTGTGCTAGGTCAACTCGTCCCAGCAGACGTGTGCTGATTACTCCGCAGAGTCGGCATCATCACCACCGTCATCATCTCACTCCGGCGGTGACAGCCGTGAAAAGGGAAGGACAACGGTGGTCTGTGACTACTGGGTATCCTATCTATCCTTACCCTCGAAGTGCACGGCGCTATCATTTATCTCTCTATTGCTGCTCCCGCTTGTTCCTTGATTTCCTCCCCCACAGTTTGGCTCTGTGGTGGAGTTCTTCCACTCCAGCCTCGGGCCCTTCCTGGCTCCTCTGCTGCAATTTGACCCTGCCAAGTCCCTCCCATCGAGCCGCGATCGATCATAAAGGATCTCTTTACTTTTTTCCCCCTGTTTGTCGGAAGGGGGACGCCAGAGGTGACAGACCACTTTGGACTTGTCTTTATTTAAAAAAAGGGATTGTCCGAGTTGTCGAAGCCCCTGAATTCCAGCACCAGCAGCGACCATCATTGCGAACCCCACACCTTGCCTTCCCGTGACGTCCGCCCGGGTGTTAGTGACACCCGCCCCTCCCTTTCGCCCAGCAGTCGAATGAACCTCAATCATAATAATAAGCTATCCACGCAACGATCGGCTGAGGGCTAGTGCGGCACTGTCCCTCATATCCACGCCTTTCCTTTATCATCTTCTACTCCTCCTCCTCCTCCTCCTCCCCCTCCACTCTCCCGTCCTCAGGTGTCTGCTACACTGGTAGGCTGCGGCTGTGTGTTGTCTCGGGAAAAAGAGGTCTCGACGTCCCATCTCGAGGCCTGCCTTTTTTTCGCGTCAGCACATAAACCGGCTTGCCACGGGCAGAACGCTTTCACCACGCCTCCACTCACGAGGAAGAGAAAGGCGGCCGCGGCGACGCCTGTAGATAACCAACCTCGAACAGCCGCCACCAAGGCTTCCGTCGCCCTCTCGCCAGCCGCCACCCGAACGTCTCCTTCGGCCCAGTCCTCCCGCAAAAAGCCCAAGCCCACCGACCAAGATCTGGATTCCGATTCTACATCAGCCACCCCGGGAAGCTTTTCGGTTCCCGTGCGAGCGAAGTCGTCGCCTGATCTCAATACCCCGGCGTCTACCAGCATGGAGTCGGATGAGGACTTCATGAGCGTGGGGTCTAGCCCGGATGACTTTCTGGATACCCAAGGAAGTGACGTCGAGAGTCTCGGAGATGGTTAGTGATCGGATCCTTCTGTTTTTCCTGTGACGTGGTGCTGACAATATGTTGTATTATGGGCAGACTTCGGTGACGATTTCGATGGCGGATTTTCCAAGGACAAGGACATTATTGCGACGAAACGGAAGCCCTACGAGGTCGAGTTCAATGTCTTGAGCCCAGGGGATATCGACCGGCAACAAAATTTGCAGATTAACGAGGTCTCGTCTATCCTAGGACTGCCACCAGAGTCGTCGGCTATTCTGCTGCGATACGGACGATGGAATCGGGAGAAATTGATTGAGTCCTACATGGACCATCCTGAAACGACGCTGGAGGAAGCAGGCCTCGGCACCAACTTTGAAGGAACGCCAAAAACCGAAGTAATACCAGGGTTCATGTGCGACATCTGCTGTGAGGATGGCGATGACCTTGAAACATATGCCATGCGTTGCGGCCATCGGTTTTGTGTGGATTGCTATCGCCATTACCTCCGGCAGAAGATTCGGGGGGAAGGTGAAGCAGCCAGGATAGAATGTCCGGGTGATACGTGTAATATGATCGTGGACTCTAAAACACTAGGTCTTCTGGTGACCGAAGATCTCAAGGAAAGGTGAGAATCCTAAGTGTGCCTTTTGCGATTGCTTTCACACACACACACACACACACACACACACACACCGTTGCTGACTTTCAGATTTAGGTACCACGAGCTTCTTACACGGACATATGTTGATGACAAGGACAACCTCAAATGGTGCCCGGCCCCGAACTGTGAATATGCGGTCGATTGTTCTATCAAACAACGTGACCTTCGTCGCATTGTACCTACGGTGCAATGTGACTGCAAGCACTACTTTTGCTTCGGGTGTACCCTAAATGATCACCAGCCGGCACCCTGTACACTGGTAAAGATGTGGCTCAAGAAGTGCGAGGACGATTCGGAGACGGCAAATTGGATTTCGGCCAACACGAAGGAGTGTCCCAGGTGTCACTCAACGATTGAGAAGAATGGCGGATGCAACCACATGACGTGTCGCAAGTGCAAGCATGAGTTCTGCTGGATGTGCATGGGACTGTGGTCTGAACACGGCACCAGCTGGTACAACTGCAACCGCTTCGAAGAGAAATCCGGATCAGAGGCCCGAACTGCGCAGGCGCGATCCCGGGCGTCGCTGGAACGCTATCTCCACTACTATAACCGATACGCCAACCACGAGCAATCAGCCAAGCTCGATAAGGATTTGTATCTCAAGACGGAGAAGAAGATGACGAGTCTACAGTCGCAATCTGGGCTCTCCTGGATTGAGGTACAATTTCTCGACACCGCATCGCAGGCGCTCCAGCAATGTCGCCAGACGCTGAAGTGGACGTATGCCTTTGCATACTATCTCTCGCGCAACAACCTGACCGAGATCTTCGAGGATAACCAGAAGGACCTGGAGATGGCGGTAGAGAGCCTGAGTGAGATGTTTGAGAAGCCTGTACCGGAGCTGGCGAACTTGAAGGTCGACATCTTGGACAAGACGGCCTACTGCAACAAGCGGCGGGTGATCCTGCTGAGCGATACTGCGGAGAATCTGAAGAATGGTACGGCGCTCCTGTTCTTTAGTCCCATGACTGTTGTTACATACTGACTCGTGCTCTAGGAGAATGGACCTTCAATGTGGATTGGTAGACTAGAGTGTATAGAATGATCGGACATCCAACCTCCGGGGACACCCACCACCCCCCCGGCCAGTGGACGAGCTTCACGACGTGCATGACGACAGCGCATATGGTTTCTATCTAAGTCTCACTCTCCGGCGTCCGCGATGTTTCCTGGATGGTCTTTAATTGTATGTATCAACTACTTCTGGGCGATTTGTTGTGTTGTACTCGTTATACTTTTCCATCTTAGCAGACACGATGCGGGACTATGTGAGTTGACATGGATCTTTTCCCTCTTTTCTCTCCTCCCCAAGGTGGGGTGGCTGCATTTGGATTGAACACGTATAGGATGGATGGAGAACCTGTAAAAATCGAAGGTACACTCAGTGTGCCAATCGGGAGATTGGAAGTCGCTGGCTGCTGGGGGTGGTTGCCTAGTATATCTATATAAGCGAAGCTGGTCTTGCTGAGTAGCTAGTAACTATACGAAATATCGAGACGATCCTCGTGATACATTATTGATCCTTACCCACGTAGTAGTAACAAGGGATCCACTATCTAGTGTCAGATCCCAACAACACAGCCAGCCAGCCAGCCAGCGGTATCCTGTCAGACCTTCCTTAGGATTGGGCTCTGCCGGTACCAAAACCAGCTAGAAGAAGAATGGCACTTAACGCCGAGGGGGCAACAAAAGGCGTGAAACTAAAGCAACGGACTACTACCTATCTAGTATCTAGGCATTAATCAGATAAGACGGACGGCAGGGCAGAAGGATCAACATCTGCACGTCCGCGGCGCCTCCGCGGTGGCCGATTCCTCCGTGGTTCGGCGGTTGGCTGCTTCGTGCCGGGGCAGAGGACCACAGCGGGCAGAGAAAATTTTAGAGAGAGGGAAGGAAGGCAGTGATTGGGTGGGAGGGTCTGATTCAAACTGCCTTGGTGGGCTTGTGTTGATTAATTTTTTTTTTTATTTTTATTTTTGCCTAGCATGTGGGAACGGGGGGGGGGGGTGAGTATTCATTACTCATGGGGGTATCTCCGTCATCGGATGGATGGATTTGTGCCTATTTGCCTTGGGTCCTTACTAAGGTGGTCTAGGTCGGGGAAGCTGATTCAGCGCAGCGGTAGGAGAAAAAAAACAAAATAAATTAGGGTTGTTGCCGAGGAAGGAGGATAGATACATGACGGAGATGTGATAGATAGCAGTAGTTATTTATTGAAGATAAGGATGAGGGGAGGAAAGCTAAAGGAAATGACAAGGCTGGGCTAGAAGAAAGACGGAATCAAGAAAGAAGGCAGCAGAGGGAGGATGCCGACTTGCTGGTTGGGTCCCAGTTGCCAGCGACCCAGCAATCATATCAATCTATCAATCTATCTATGAGCCGGACGGACGAACAGGCTGAAAGCTGGGCTGCAGCGGCGCCCCGGAGGTCGCTGGCAAATTCCCCTGCTCTCCGGCGGGCCTCCCGTCTTGATACACCCTCCATACCTCTCGTCAAGCTGGGATTCGGCCCGGCTGGCAGGAGCCGTGACCATACCGAACCGTATTGAACCGGACTGCTCCTTTAGTTCACCTTCAGCAGCAAGAAATTCCCGAGCGTCCAGAATTATTAGTATCGAGGATCATTCGTCTGCCTTCTTGCCAGTCCTCTCCTCTCTCCTTCCTCCGCGGCATTGATACCTCTCCCCGTCTTGTTTCGGGTTGACCCTGCTCACTTCCTCCTTCCTCCTCCCCTCTTGCTCCTCACTTTCCCTCCGTCTGCTGCCTCCCCTTCCGCCGATATCCTTCCTCTCGGAGTCCGTCTTCCTCTCCGCTCCGCAAGCCCGTTTTTCTGCGTCGGCGTTCGACCTTCAGCTCGATCATCCCCCGAGCTGATTACTATCCGATTCCTAAAGTCCCCATACTATCTATCCACTGCAGCTGTGCTTCAAGCCAGTAAAGCTCCATGGCGACCCCCGAGCAGATTCCCGGGCAGGAATATGAGTATGTCGCGGTGTTATTTCCTAATTCTGTTCATTGCAATCCGTTGGCTCGCCCAAGGGTCTCTACGGGGCTGTCTCTTCAACGGATAGCTTAGAGGGTCGGATTGCGCCCCCCCCCCCCGACTCGATTTCGGAGCGACTTCTGAAAGTCCGCCCTCACTACAGCGACCACAACTAACAGTGTTTGGTAATAGCTATGAAGCCCTCCCCTCGAACTACGGCCTAGGCCGGAATATGCTGGCTGGCGCCTTCGCAGGAATTGCAGTATGTGGAACGAGGCAGGCGAATTGGTGCTAGGGTTTGGTTGTGCTGATGGCTGGTGGCTAGGAACACTCTGTCATGTACCCGGTTGATTTGTTGAAGGTACGTCGATTGGGGGTCTCCGATGGTCGGGTTGGAGATGATTCCATTCCTACATCGGCTTCGTGGGTGGTGTGCGGGTTACGAATGGCTCTGGCTAATGGTGGGGTATCGTACAGACACGCATGCAAATCCTGCATCCCTCGACCGGCGGGCTCTACACAGGCTTGACCAATGCGGTCTCCACAATCTACCGGATTGAAGGCTGGCGGACATTGTGGAAGGGCGTCTCGAGTGTTATCATTGGTGCTGGTGAGTGCCGACCATCTCGTGTGCGCGGTCAGTTCAATCGCGGCGGAGGCTGACTTGTATCCTTCCAGGCCCGGCCCACGCCGTATACTTTGGTACATATGAATTCGTAAAGGAATTGGCCGGTGGAAATGTGGATGATGGTCACCACCCCGTTGCAGCAGGTAAGTCTGGTTTTTTTTGGAGTTAAAAGAAATCCGGGTGCAATTGCTGACCATGCCAAGCGCTGAGCGGTGCGTCCGCGACCATTGCCAGCGACGCTTTGATGAACCCCTTCGATGGTGAGTCCCCGCGATACTTGCGCTCCCCCCTCGGGCATTGTGCTCCTGGAGCGTTCGCTGACTGGAGCAGTCATCAAGCAGCGGATGCAAGTCCATGGCTCGATACATAAGAGTGTTGTTCAATGCGCCAAAACCGTCTACCGGACGGAAGGTCTCCAAGCGTTCTACGTATCCTATCCCACCACCCTTTGCATGACTGTTCCCTTCACCGCCACTCAGTTCGTCGCCTATGAGTCCATCTCCAAGGTCATGAACCCGTCGCAGGATTACGACCCTTTCACCCACTGCATTGCGGGAGGTTTGGCGGGTGCCTTTGCGGCCGGTCTCACCACCCCGCTCGATGTTGTGAAGACTCTTTTGCAAACCCGAGGTTTGGCCCAGAACGAGGAGATCCGGTCGGCCAAGGGTCTGTTTAACGCTGCGGCCATTATCAAGCGGCAGTTCGGCTGGAAGGGATTCCTGCGTGGCGCTCGCCCCCGCATCATCTCCACGATGCCTAGCACCGCCATTTGCTGGTGAGTTCCTTCCGCTCCTTTGGCTGGATCCTACGATTATCTCCGATCCTTACGTGTTGGGATTGTTCGCTGACGCGATTATACAGGACCTCCTACGAGATGGCCAAGGCCTACTTCAAGGGCCAAGTGGACAACTAAGCGCAGCCGGCCTCTGCTAACGGCCCGATCGCCTGGTTCCGACTCAAACCAACTCAGCGACCCTTTTGTCTCTGGTTCTGTCCAGACTCGTCTGCGGACCAACAAAAAGACTTATATTCCCAAGAACCCCACGGAAATAGGAAGAAATCACGACTAAAAGCGATTAAAAAAAAAAACGAAAAAGAGAGTCTTGTTGAACGAGAAGCCAAAATCCTCCACCTTACCAGTATCACGTGCGGAGGACGGACCAGATGGCGATGCAGGCTGAAGGCAACCGAGCCACGGGCGGGTTGGCTTCCTGGTCAGCCATCTCATCTCCGTATCTCTCGCCTACACTCCTCTTACTCCTTCCTCTTACTCTACCTCCTCCATTCTTTCCCTTCCGCTCTATTTCTCTCGGCGATGCGCCCAATGGCCGAGACCCTCGGACTTAATCTACGCAAAACCGAGGCGATCACGCACGAGAGATGGACTGGGGGACCATTCTCCGACTCCGAATTGGGAACCTTATCATTCTGACGTGTATTTATCTGTTTTGGACGGGATGCTGTTGGCTGGGCTGTGGACGATGAATTCAGGCCTCCCGGGATGTTGGCCAGTGCTTTTGCTTGCTTGACCGGGGCCCTTGAGACCCCGGGGTATGTTTCATTCGTGCTTCAATCGCGTACTACTGGCGTTGGCATGCAGGAAACATCTGGACGAGTTTCCTTTATCTTTATTATTTTCATTTCATTCCGGTTGATCATCGGCTTGCGTTTTCCCTGCTATTTGGATGTCTAATGTTCGGATACAATCTTGCGGATCTGTATGTACTCTATAGAGGAACGGTATGACCATACACATTCAAGGCCCTGGTCTGAATCATGTCTCGGAGGGTTTGGCTGTCTAAGCGGTGCCATTCTAATGTCGTGGGGCGAAGGGCTGGTAACCAACGACGTCACGGAGAAAACTGGGGGGGAAAAACCGCCTCCGGACTGGCTGCGACACTGGCTGGCCCTGTACGACATGCACCACCACCACCACCACTTGAACTTCCTTCTTTTCTTCTCTCGATCGATCTATCCTGGCTTGCCCGCCTTCCCTCTCTCCCTTCCGTCCATCGTCCATTGCCCAATTGATCTCGTTCACTCGTTTTCTTTCCCCCTCATCTCTTTTCCCTCCTACCTTCCCTCTCTCCCTCATCCCCATCTCATCCTCTTGCGGGCGGGCCCTGCACATTCCGCCAACCCAGCGCCGGGTGCATGATGAAGCCGGCGTCCTCGCTGCAGAAGACCTACGATGACTGCTACTTGATGTGCTCCACCGCCGTCTACTTCGAGGGCCAGGTCCGTCCCCGCGCAATGCCACCTTCCTCTTTCTCCCCTTCTTGTGTGCTCCTCCACTTCCCTCGTCCTCCGAAACTAATGCGTCTCCGATCGGGCGACAGCAAAATGAAGAGGAGGCCTTGAGATCTTGGCGCTCTGCCCTGGAAACGATCTACTATCACAACGCTTATCGAGTCCCCTCCAAGTACACCCCCAAGAACGAGACCGAGCGCGCTCTGCAGGAGTCAATCCGCCAGCTCGAGCTTCAATGCCGCGAGCGGGTCGATCTCCTCCAAGCCCTCCGCGACAGCAGAAAGGACTCCTCGGGGCGATCCCCCCCTCCTCGCACCACTCCCGGCTGGATTGGCGACGGGACCGTCCCCGCGGTCGGATATACCGATCTCTCCAAACCCCCCACCATCCCCGGTCGCCCGGCCCCATCCACTGCCGTCAGCTCCGAGTCGATCAGGAACGATTCCGCCGGTGCTGCTGCGTCATCCCCGGCCATCCCCATCCCCGCACGGCGCACCCAGTCGCATTCCTCGAGCAAAACCGACTCTCGCACCCCCAGCCCCGACCGGCGGAAGATGATGCCGTTCACACTGCGTAACAGCGATTTCAAGAAACTAGGCAAGAAGAAAGACGTCTCCCGTCGGCGAGAGCTGCGGCCGGCCGCAGCATCTCAGGCGGCAGGTCTGGCTTGGGGTAGTATCTACCCCCCTTCTTCATTGCCTGACAAGACCGCCAGCGACGCTGCCCTCGCCTCCTCTCGGTACACCGCCTCCAATGATCCCAGCTTTCGAAGGGAGCCCGGTCCTCTTCGATCCCATTCCGGTGATGGGCGTCCTCCGCGGAGAGTGTCGCATCCAGTAGACGATTCAGATAGCCGTCGCACTGGACGGAAGCTCCGCGCGCCGGACCAGATTGCCCGGCGGCCGCCTGCGAAGAAGTCTGCATCGAGCACTCCTTCAACGACGCCGACAGTATCCAGGCATCGCACACCAACTGCCGAGGTTCAACAGCAATCGTCCGCTCGTTCCCAGTCCGCCTCCGTGGGACCCCGCTCGATAGATGCTGTTCGCCCACAGGCCCCGCCGAAACCATCTGTTAAGCCCAAACCGGTAGCATTGAGGTCTTCCAATCCAACACCATCCTCTCCAGGACCATCTGCAGAGACCCCGGAGTTTTCTAGCAAGCCATCGTCCAAGTCATCGCGGCCGCGAGTCACCCCAGCCTCATCAGCAGACGATGCCTTGGTTCCAGGTTTAGATCGGATGACGGTCTCGGCAGGCAGTCCTGTCCGACCGACACCGCACCTTAAACGAACTGTAACGCCCCCATCGAGTGGTCCGGAGTCGCTAGGCCCCAAGTCTACCGAACCAGACGATGAAGACGAGGAGGATGACAAGGATGACGATGCGTATATGGATATTATGAACAAGCTTCCAAAGGGTGTCGATGTAGCCGCTGCCCGGCAGATTCTCAATGACATTGTTGTCCGTGGAGACGAAGTTCATTGGGACGATATCGCCGGTCTGGATAACGCCAAGAAGGCACTCAAAGAAGCCGTTGTCTACCCATTTCTTCGACCCGATCTTTTCTCAGGTCTACGAGAGCCCGCTCGCGGAATGCTCCTTTTTGGACCTCCCGGAACGGGGAAGACGATGTTGGCGCGCGCCGTCGCTACGGAATCCAGATCAACCTTCTTCTCCGTCTCTGCGTCCACGCTAACATCTAAATGGCATGGTGAAAGCGAGAAGCTCGTGCGTGCTCTCTTTGGCCTGGCCAAGGCCCTCGCCCCATCTATTATCTTTGTCGATGAGATCGACTCGCTTCTCTCCGCTCGATCGTCAGGGACTGAGAATGAAGCCTCCCGTCGGTCGAAGACGGAGTTCCTTATTCAATGGTCAGACCTGCAGCGCGCAGCGGCCGGCCGCGAGCAGAAAGACAAGAAAGTCGGAGATGCCAGCCGCGTGCTCGTTCTCGCAGCCACTAACATGCCATGGGATATTGACGAAGCCGCCCGTCGCCGCTTTGTGCGTCGACAATATATACCTCTTCCGGAGCATCATGTCCGCCAACAGCAACTCCAGAAGCTACTGAGTCACCAAGTGCACGAACTCTCTGGCGAAGACATCGAAGTTCTCGTTCAAGTTACTGAGGGTGAGTCTTTCCCAACATTCACCCACGATCTCACATAAAGCTCAAGACTAACCAATCATAACCAGGCTTCTCCGGCTCTGACATGACCGCTCTCGCCAAGGACGCTGCAATGGGCCCTCTCCGAAACCTTGGGGAAGCGCTCCTCCATACCCCAATGGACCAGATCCGTCCGATCCGCTTTCAGGACTTTGAGGCGAGTCTACTTTCTATCCGACCCAGTGTGAGTAAGGAAGGGTTACAAGAATACGAAGAATGGGCTAAACAATTCGGGGAGCGGGGTGGATAGTTCCTTTCTCTCTAGCCTTTGATAGCCGTGTTTTCATTTTGATGTTACTGTTTGTGTTTATTTGAATGGCGTACCGGTGGTGGCCGGATGGGATTGGTTGGATGCATGCACATTTTGTCAGTCTAGGTTCGGGGGTTGGTTAGGATTATTTTCTCTTTGATTCTGGCCAGACGGTGCATGGTATACTATGGATTGGAATGGATGCGTTACTTTTGGGGGGTGGATATGACTGGCACGGGGTGTGGGTATGGCATCGGTATAGTGGTCTGGAGTCCAGTTCCATCCAATTTTCAAATCAACGCAACCAAACAAACTTGACCAATTCAACGTAATTCATATTATGTGATAGGCTGTATGTATACACTCATCCGGATATGGATAGGTAAGCACATAGCCTCCTTGAAGGTAGGGTAAGAAGGTAACATACAATGTAATCTCACGTCACCACCACCATCCTACCCAAGGCCCTTTTTCACACTACATTACATAGACATGTTGAACAAAGAACCTACCCCTGTCATGACTGGAATGGTCAAATATGACTAACTTAACCCGATTATAACCTGACTTTCTTAAATCAGTGAGGCCAGGGTCATGGTTAGGGTTATTCGTTGTGGCATGGATAGATTACCTACCTACCTATAGTTAATCTTTCTTTACGCCTAGAATTGGACTACGGGTAATGGTGGTCTTTTTTGGGGGGATTTTGGTGGGAGAGATTTCCGTAGGGGGATCTATTACGTACACGAAATAAATTGATGATTAGATGTTAAGATCTTATAGATATTGCATTTTTTTTTTGGATGATTGTAAGGTGGTCAGTATAGACAAAGTTTTTGAATTCTTAACTATTGATGAATATAATGATATTATTGTCTTACATACTAACTGATATGTCAGGAAGAAGAGGGCTCGGTGGTGGTGATTCTGCCAGTAGAACTAAAACGGGGCTCTGATTGGCTGGCTATAGATTGTATAAGATGATAGATAGTACAACATAGTAAACTGAGTGCATTATGACAATTATATGAAATATTTTATTTATATTTGGATGTTGCAAGTGTCACAAATGCTCGTTCCACGCTCTGTTCCAACTCCTGCTAAGCTAATGGCGGAGACATTCAAGGTAAACCCATATGCTCATCACTCTTAGGGTTGAACCCCCATGCTTGGCTACTATCATCATGGACCGTAGCACGTCTCATATCCCTCCTATACTTAGTCATGAACTCGCCCCCGATAGCCCGGTGCATGGTACATGTGTTATCCCAGACGACCAGATCACCGACATCCTTCCACTCCATTTCAATAATGTACTTGTCCTGAGTGGCGTGGTCGAAAAGTCTATCTAGAATCGCCTGAGATTCCTCGGGAGCGACACCCTCCAGGGAGTGTATATGTTTGGCAAGGTAAATGGTAGGTGTATCACTGCGCTCGTGGACTTGGAGCAGCAAGTGACGGCCCATGAAGTAGTCGGTAGGGTCGATGTCCTTGAAGCACTCCGGAGCAGCCAACTTCTTGGAGTGGAGAATGGAGTGGCGAGCGATGTAGTTCTTCTCGTGCAGAAGAGCTTTGAACCCCTCGTCTAGATCACGGTATGCGGCCCTCATGTCAGCGAACGCGGTGGATCCCCCGGTGCCGGGAGGGGGCAGCTCATGGGCGAGCAAGAGTGAGTAACCGGCACACCGGGGGTTGAAGCTGGAGTCGGTATGGAAGAGAGCGTTTCCCTAGGTTGATAGTCAGCTAGGTTCTAGTTCAACGTTTTGCGGGCGATAGAGTATATCTAGGTAACTCGTAAGCATACCTTGTCAGCCTCACCGCGAGGGCTGTTTAGGTTGACGATGGAACCATCAATAGCCACATTGCCCACATCAAACAGCTCGTTGTATTTCAGTCGGTGGAGACGGCCAGCTTTGTTGTAAGGAGTTACATCGTCGAGGTCACCGAACTTGCGAGCAAGCTCGAGATGAGTCTCATCGACCAGGTTCGTCTTTCGGATAACGGCGAAACCATGCTGCAGATTGTCTCAGCTCAGGGTTTCATCTAGTGGGAATTTGGCATGACAGGTGCACTACCTTCTTTACTGCATCCTCAATGGAATGGTATGCCTCGTCAGTGACCCCGTCAGCGAAGTCGAGACCTGTGATCTCTGCCCCGAACCCATTCTTGATGACTTGGATGGTAGGAGTGGTAGACATGATGGCAGAAGAGAAGATCGAATTGCTTGCACGGATCTCAAATTGCAGGACAAGGCCTGAAGAGATAATTCTACTGTACTTATTGATTGTTTTCATAGTATTGGCCGGAACACCTCATTGGCTCTCCCCGTCTGTTGCCGAACCGCGGGATCGTTCCTTCCTTCCAGGCACATCCGTCTATTGCCGACATCTACTTACTGTCCAGATACCTTCCAGTTGTTTGAATTGCTGCCATTTCGTTCCCTTATAGAATGCCGACTATAGCCGAATATCCCTCACAGGACTGTGTCCCTTCTGGCGCTTTATCTTCCAAACTTGCCACCTATTACCGATATATCGGGAATCTCGAACAAACATGACACCCAGCACGCGGAAACGGTCTTATCGTGCATGCTTGCGTTGCTGGCAGCGTAAAAGCAAATGTGACTTGTGAGGCAACTCCTTTTGTTCCTTTGCATCCAAGCTAAAATATTTGGGCTCGTAGAGACGGAATCGGAGAGCCCAAGAAGGCTCCCTGCGTGTCGTGCTATAATTCGGGCAATCAACGTGACCTCACCAAATCCCGACGGGGAGGCAACTTCCGGCATCGTCGGCCGGGGCAGAAATGGTTGCAGGGCTGGAAAGAGTCCGAGTCAATCAATTCACCCCGGCATTCCTCAGGTGAGGGGAGTAGCGTCACAGAACATGTGGCTGGTGATATCCTTGCTATGGACCTGCGGAATCCATCCGACGCACTGCAAATACTGGCAAGGTCCGACGTAAATCACCCCAACCAGAAGGTAGATCTGTTGCCCCAGGCTATTGACGCAGCAGCTTCAACCCAAGCCAATGAGTCTCCAAATCGCCGGAAACATGCGACAACGGCTTTGGACGAATATGAATTGGTCCAAACAGGTGTATTGTGCCAAAGTCTCGTGGCCGAGCTACTCCACACGTCAGTTCAGACTGTTGTCGTTACAAGGACCATCTGGATCCATGAGCTGACGGAAACCAATCAGATACCTCCGCAACTACCACCCCTACTGTCCGATCGTTCCCTCCTACTTCTTGGGACCGTCTGGTATGGAAAGGGTCCAGAAGCAAGATTACTTCCTGCTCACAGCTATTTTGACCATTGCGTCGAGAGATGATCCATCCCACTCTCTCACTCATCGTTATTGCTGGGACCATACCCAACGCCTTCTGGTTGATGTGCTCCTTGCCAGGCCTTGGACCCAGACTCCGAGAACTGTAGAGGGCTTACTTCTTTTAGCCGAGTGGCTGCCCCATATTCAGATCGAGGAGACGACATCCGAGGCAAACCTTTTCAGTGAGGACAGAACCGCTTGGTCCCTTGTTGGCCTCGCAGTGCGTCATGGCTACCTCCAGCGCCTAGATCAAGCCGCCTTCCGAAACACTGATAGCCATGAGTCGATGGAAAAAGTAGAACAGCAGAGGCTTATCTGGGCATGTAAGTCTGCATCTAGACGCGGGGATCCATACTACCTACCGGCTGACAACAGCTCCAGACATCTCCATGACGGATCGACAGATATCCGTCCGGCCCGGGCAGTCATTCTGGTCTCGAGGTCCGTCCCTCGCCGCAAAGTTTACAGCTAGTGACTTCCCAAGTCTCCGACCTCGTCCTGAAAGTGAAGACGATGAAGATTATGCGTCCGTGTTACAAGCTACCATGGAGCTGACTCAAATCTTGCACAACGCCCATGCCGTTCTCTACTCGTCGAAAGAGAGAACAATGGCAATGGTCTATGAAGGTCATTATTCTCAGTACCTTGATGACTTTCGCACCGCTGCCACAACCTGGCACTCAACATGGTACAAAGTTGCGGTATCTGCAAGAATTAGGAGCACCCTGCTCATGATGTACGAGTACATCTGTTTATACACCAACGCTTTTTCCTTCCAAGCCGTCCTGACGAGGACCTTGGGCCCACGTATCTTATCCAACAGGGAGGAGCAGAGAAAGCAGCTGTTCGCAGAGCTATCTTCCACTGGGATCATGTCATCTCCAGATGGTCGATACATTTTCGATGCTATTAGCGCAGCCATAAATTTGTTGTCTTTGATGAATGATCGCGATCCTCAGCAAGAACTATGCTATCTACCGTCTCGTTTTTATCTGCAAGCATTCATTCTTCTCCTTCCCCCTCCACGTCCTTCTTTGAACCATACACACGCACACACACAGCTCACGCAAACAACAAAACATCACCACTAACACCAATTGCCATATAGCTACGGCATCTACGCCGCCGTTCTCCTCCACAAAGCCGAATGCGCAGGCGCATTCCAAACCGGACCTCAACGAGAAGAAATGGCCACCCTAGCTCGGCAATTTATATCCGTTTTAGAGAAGACCCCATCGCCCATCTGTCACCGATATAGCCGCATGCTAAAACAGCTTTGGCATCACCGACGGAACCCAAAACCTGTACCTGTTCACACAGAAGCCCCATTGCCACGAGAAGAAGAAAATGATGACCAATCATGTTTTCCTCAATTCCCGGGGGATCTGTCCATCGAGTGGTATCTTTTCGGGTCGTTTATGCCGGGGGTAGCTGATTCTGGCTTCAGCACGGTGGAGTTGACAGGGTAGGTGGACAGAATCCATTAGATGGTGAACTACAAGAAGATTGGGGAATGGGTCAGCCTGAGATGGAGTATCAGGGGGATCTTTGATATGTGGGTGAAGTAGTATATGTCAATAGATAAGGTAGATGGTTCTCAAAACCCATTAGAATTAGTAAGTAGACTCGTAGTAACTGGGTAAATAAGGTATAGTATGGAAGTATGGGCAGAAAAGATGAAATTGGTAGGAAAGGAAAGGACATTAAACCATCGGTATTTTTCTAAGAAATACTAGACTAGACTAGGGTGAACTATCTACTAGAATGAAACAAGGTAAGACGGAGTAGAGTAGAGTAGTATAGAGAAGTAAGATGAAAAGAAATAGGGGGGGTGAAGATAAGAGAAGAAAAAAAGGGTATATAGATCCGGAAATTGATGGTTGACGATGACAAGCATGCAGGAGGCAGGCAGACAGACACATGATGGACAAAGAGAAGGGAGAGAAAGATGTTGAACGAACGTTCAGTCGAGTCGACCACGATAAAACAAGGCCAAGGAAGAAATCGTTGACGAGCGAAGGTGGTTCAATGTTGGACATGGTGTAGCCTCCGATAAGACACAGGCATATCGGTCATGAGCGAATGTCGGAGAGGTAAAATAGGCGTCAGAAACAGAAAAAATTGGTATCCGGATTCGACTCCTACAACTGCAGCTAGAAAGAAATGAAAAAAAGATAGAAACATAAACCCAAGCCTCGAACAGGCTAGATATCTAGAACCATCACACCCCGCGTCGTCACCGCTCCTACAGGTCTATCAAACTGCCACCCTGCTGAGGCTGATGGTATGTCTGCTGTCCTCCCCAGGGGTTGTTGGCTGGCTGCGTAAAGCCCGTCTGTTGCGGGACGAACTGCTGTTGCTGTTGCGGCTGCTGGCTGTAGAACGGGTTGTTGCCGGTCCGTGTCGCCCGTAACCGATCCAAGCCCTGACCGGCAGAGTTGACGAACGTACCGGGAGCAGTGTGTTGGGATGGGATACGCAGGTCTCCGACGTTTCCGAAGGTGTCCTGGCCTTCGCCCGATGCCAGCAGCGCATTGAGATGAGCGCGGTGCGGATCTTGCATCTGGGGGGACGCACTCTTCGGGGGTCCGAAGCTCTGCTGAGGCGGGGCGAGCGACTGAGGGGCGGTCTGGTAGTTGGCGATTGGGTTGAACTGGGTGGTGACTCGCTCTTCCGCAAGCGCATTCAAAGACGGCGGTCCTGTCATGGCGGGTTTGGGTTGGGGCTGGTGCTGGAACTGCGTGCGCGCCGCAAATGGGTTGTTCGATCCGGTGGGCATGGGTTTCAGAGCGTCTGCTGGGGTGTTGGCGGCCCATGGGTTGTTGGTGCCGGCCGACAAGAAGTTCTCCTGGTGCTGCTGGCTTTGAGGCTGAGGCTGCTGATGCTGCTGATGCTGCTGATGCTGCTGATGCTGCTGCTGCTGCTGCTGTTGCTGCGGGAACACATCGGTGCCCCAAGGGTTGTTCGCATTGAAGGCTGTGTGTTGCGGTTGTAGCGTGGCTTGCGGCTGCAGGAAGTTGTTCTGGGACTGGCCATAGGGGTTGGGGTCAAATGCAGAGGGCTGTCCCTGGAAACCGTTGGTGTATCCATTGGGCATTCCCGTCATCTGTCCCTGGAAACCAGTGGGCTGCGCGTATTGGCTGTTCAGGTAGCCGGTTGTCAGAGGCTGTTGGGGGTTGATGGGGTTGCCGAACCAGTCCACGGCGCTCTGCTGCTGGTATCCCTGGTTGTACCCGGTGGGCTGTGCCTGGGTGACCTGCGCAGGGGCATCGTCAAAGAGTGACTGTGCGTTGCTTTCCTCCAGCTCCCGCTTGCGCAATTCTTCCTCTTCCTTGCTGAGCTTGATTGCCCGGGCCAGATCCTCATCATCCTCGGCCCCTGAGGCTTCCTTGGCACGGCGTTTGCGTTCCTCCTCGGCTTCGTACTTGCTCGCTTCGATCGCCAGCCGGTACTCTGCATCCTCGTCATCGTTGGCCGGACGGCGACGTTCTCGTCGCTCACGGCGTGGCGATTCATGTCCGTGACCCTGGTCATCGAGACCGCTCACGCGCGACTTCCACAGCTTACGGTCGGAGCGCTCACTGCGCAATCTGTCTTCGTCCAGGATCAGGGAGGTGAGTTCTTTGGCGGCAACACGAACTGCAAAGGACCCGTTAGCCAAGCACGAACAAAGAAATTGAACAGCCTCATGAGAAGAGCGTACCATTCTGTCCGACATCTCTGCCATCCTCATCGACGTATTGAAACTCGCGCAAGGTCTTGATGATGTAGACGTTCTTTCGGGCCCAAGTAACGACCAGCTCGGAACCTTCGTGCAGGCAGTAATCGAGGACCTTCAATGACTTGAGAACGTGGCGCCAATTCTTGCCCTTGTCATTCAACCGCTTATCTAGCATATCCATGATCTCGTAGAAGTCGGTGGGACTGTATGATTGCATCGGTGTCAGTTTCCGGGGACGACCATTGGGCCAATGGCGGGACAAGCCTACCTGCTGAACGTCAAGGCAGCAATCTCTGCCATTTCGGTGCCAGTCGGCCCCCAAGGATCATTGCTGGTGGCTATACCGCAAGGATAGAGGTATTAGCATGAGTCTATACAATACCCGATCACGGCCAGGAAAGCCACTCCGACCGACCAGCCACCGTAGCAGGATGCGGGACGCGGACGGGCAGGGCAGATAGGAAGTGACGGGACGTACCATTTCGAACCTTGACTTGGACCGAGGAGTACCCCTTGGTGACATTCTTGACACTGCGCACGACCTTGGACATTGTGGCGAGAGGGTGATAGGGGGAAAGGTGAGGGTAACTAGTACGGAGGGTTCGCAATAGACGCGGACGGGGAAGCGGACCCTATGGGCTGGATCCCTTGGAGGGGTAGATGGAGGTGGATGCGCGACTCGGGGGGATAATTAGGGGGGGGTGGGTGTCGGTAGTGGGTGCGATGGGAGCAGAACCAGCCCGTCTCTCCTTATCGCGCGGTAATGGTGGTTGGCAGTAGTGGCAGTGGAAGTGGTGGTGGTGGTGGAGGAGGAGGAAGTGGTAGTTCGGTGACTAGTGAGAGCGACGGACTGCCAGATGGGCGGCGGCGGCGTAGCGTATGTAAGCCGGCCCAGGCTGAGGTGGCTGCTGCTGTGGCGGTGACGGGCGACGATCCAAGTGACGATGAGGCGAGGGAGGAATTCGAAAAGAATGGACAGGGAGGATAGAATAGGATGGATCCGACGAGGAATAAGGAGGAGGAGGAGGGAGGAGGGGGAGGGAGGAGAGAGGAGAATTGATGGGAGAGTGGAAAGAGGAAGTTAGAGATGGAGAGTGAGAGTGAGTGAGTTAGTTGGTGGTGGCCCCGGAAGAGGATTACGACGCCGGCCTCAGACAAAGTTTATCTAAACCACGGCCGTTTCGCTTCCAATCCAATTTCTGGAGATGCCGGTGAAGAAACGAAGTGTAACGGGTCTGACTCTTTCTAAGCACTCGGGCAGAAATCCGGGGGGAGGCAAATAGGAGAGAGAGGGCGTGGGTACTGGCGACAGTGCCCTAAATAATAATAATAATAATAATCTACATAGAATAAGCAGCGCGATATGGACCAAATTAAACCAGATTACTGTGTAATCAGGAGATAGACCCCGAAATTTTGGCCGTCGGAGCAGCGATGGTGTCATGCCGCTGCCCAAAGCCGACGCTTTCCATCGATCTGATCTTGATGCTATTATCCATATCCATGTTCTCAACATGACACCATTGCTCCCTCTAGTCTCTATCTATCTATACCCCTCCTCCACCATTTTACCCACTCCGCGTCGTGGTCTTCGCCTTGGCTTTGATGCTGGGCCGTCCGTGTGGCGGTGCACCACCGCGAGATTCTCTCCACTATCCACCGACGTCATCGGACGGGGCGCTGCAGCTCCAAGACGTTCCTGGCGACCCTTGCTGCCTGTCCAGAATCTTCCCCCGAAGCAAGGATCCTGTCTAGACCTACGGAGTAGATACCTACATAGTATCGGCCTACTCCGGAGCCTGGTCGACTTTTCAAGTCCATCCACCCCTCCCGGGAGTGACGGTCCAATACGGGGGATATTTCCAGGCAGCAGGATTGGCGCGCCGTGGCTGCCCCGTTTATCTTCTTGTGCGCTGGACTACCTAGCAGAAGCAACCTGAATCTAAATTGAAACCTAAACACCATCGTATCATCTTGAAGTGAATGTATCATTCAATCACCGTACCCGTAGAACATAAACAAAGAAAGAATCTAGGAATTTAAGGCCTCACGCCCGGCTTTGCTCCTCTTCCAGGCTCAGATACTTCGCCTCCGCTCCCTTGATGCATGCAATGTTCGCCCCCAGCTTGTTCAGCGTCTCCACGTATTCATCGTACGGGTCCGAGTCGAACACGATGCCTCCGCCCGCCTGGAGGTAAGCCACCCCGTCCTTGACCATCATCGTCCGCAGCGCAATGCACGTGTCCATCGCTCCCGGAACCTCCGTCTTCCCATCAGCGCTGGCAATATTGTAGCCGAAGTAGCCCACCGCCCCCGCGTACACGCCGCGCTTCTCACCCTCCAGCTCTGCAATCAACTGCATCGCCCGCACCTTGGGCGCTCCCGACACCGTGCCTGCCGGGAAGATCGACCGGAACGCATCGAACCGAGTCTTCTCCGGCCGGAGGATACCCGACACTTGCGACACCAGGTGCTGCACGTGCGAGAATTTCTCCACCACCATCAGCCGGTCCACCTGCGTCGTCGTCGGGTCGCACACCCGGTTCACGTCGTTGCGCGCCAGGTCCACCAGCATCACGTGCTCCGCGCGGTCTTTCAGACTGCTGGTCAGCTCGTTGGCCAACGCCGCATCCTCTTCGGGCGTCTTGCCCCGCTTCACCGTGCCCGCAATTGGGTGAGTGATGATTCGTCCCTTGTCCTCCTTGACCAGCAGCTCCGGACTGGCTCCTACCAGCTGGAAGTCTTCGCAGTCGATGTAGAACAGGTATGGGGATGGGTTGACCGTACGCAGGTGGCGGAAGAGATTGAAGGGGTGGAGGGAGGTCGGCCGGGACAGCCGCTGCGATGGTACAGTCTGGAAGATATCGCCCTTGGAAATGTGCTCCTTAAGTCTCGTCACATGCCGCTCGTATCCTTCCCGTCCGATGTTCGAAGTGTATTCCTGGTTTTGGATGATCGGGCCTTGAGGGGGGAGAGGGTAGTCGGGGCGAAGAAGAGTGTCGATGGTCTTCTGGAGCACCTCTTGTCCTTTGCTGTATACCGCCTCTAGCTCCGAGTCGCTGTTGGGGATGGGGATGTATGTGATGACCTTCACGACCTGGAAGAAGTGGTCAAAGGCGATAATGGTGTCGAACAACATGAACAGCGCCTCCGGGATCTTCAAAATATCCTTGACCGGCCGAGCGGTCTTGGGCTCGAAATACCGCACACAATCATATCCCACGTATCCAATGGCACCGCCAGTAAGAGGAGGGAGGGTCAAGCCGGGCACCGTCGCAACACGGAATCCGGAAAGTTCCTGCTCTAGGAGGGGGAGAGGGTCACATTCAGGGCCATGGCCGGGGCCAGTTTTGACAATTTTCCGGGGGTCTAGACAGGGACAAAGAAATAATCAGCCATGGCCCCACTCCGCCGTACAAGAGCACCATGAAGAATAATAGCATACCGGCACCGACAAAACTGTATCTTCCGATGGTCTCGGTAGTCGCGGCACTCTCGTAGAGAAACGACAATTTCGATCTGAACGGACGACCACGTCAGCGCATGGCATCCTCCCGCGGGCCATTTCCCTAGCCGTGACTCACTTCTCCGCGATTTTGAGATATGCCAATGTGGGGGTCAAGAGGTCGGCCGGGATCGACGTAGTCAACGGCAGGAGGTTTGGGGGGAAAGCCGAGCCCTTTGTCTGAGCGATGACTTCGCTGGCGGTCTCGAGAGACGGCACGATGGTGATCTGCGTGAGTCACATGGGCATGGATCAGTATCGGATCAAATGACTCGCAATTGGAGTTCCGTTGACTTGTGATATCAGGACAAGAGCTGACGGTAGACCAGAACGAGGAGAACTTACAGGAGGCGCCATCTTTACGATTCCGATAGCGATAAATTCAACTTGTGCGGGGAGAAGAGGGGAGAGGAGGGGAGAGGGGAGGGGGCGGATTGAGAATAAAAAGAGTCTAAAGTTCGGGAAGCCGGAGGCTCGGAGTATTTGCGGTGCTGACTCTGGACGGAGTAACTTGGTTCAATCAAACTGCTGCCCCGCGAAAAACCTATCCATTGGTTACTTTGGGAAGCACCAGCAAATCAACAGGATCAGAGGATGTCTCTCGGGGCCAATGTGAGGAAGGCAAAGGAATTCCTTCAGTTCTGCAGCGGTCGAGGGCCTCTGGGGAGGGCCCCCAAAGCGGGCTAGCGTGCCGAGCATAATGTCTCGATCGAATCAGGAAGCATCAGTCGATGCCATGCTCAATCCAGAATGCTAGTCGCTTTCCAGTTCCCGCTTGACCGTCTTTTCGGGGGAGGAGTTGAGAGAGTCCACGCTCATTCCAACGAAGTAATAATAGTACATAGTGTCGGTTGACTGCCCAGAGCACGTGGCCTGCAGCTGGGATACCCCTGCTGCCTTCTGCCCCCCCCCGTCACGCCGGTTGCTGTGGGAATCCTTCCCTCGGTAGGCAGGCCGTACACAACAGCCAAGCCAGATCACTGCTGGCGACGCTAAAGTGAGTTGTTCTGCTCTGGGGCCTATGAAAAAAAAAAGAAGGTTCTCCATCCCATCTCCCACTCTGACAGCTCAAGACACGTACATTCCTGCAGTCCGCGCAGCCTTGCAGCAGCCCGACATCCCTCCTGGCTAGTACTTATTCAAGCACCCTTGTATTTACTGACACGCTTCGGTGGACACAGAACAATCAAAGAATTAGATTATACAACGTCCAACTCTAGCCAGCCATGGATCATCCGCCTCCATCCCAGTATGATGAGCTATCTCCCCCTTCCTCGGTGGCAGGCCAGATCTGGGACATGGCCCTCACGGACCCCGACTACGCCTCCCATATCCTCGACACCGAGAATGCTGCCGCACCATTATCGGCACGACTCACAAGACTAGCACATCTGGCATCGCAATTCAATCCCACATCCAAATCCGACTCGGTCACTCTCCATCACTGTCTCGACACCCTGGAATCCTTGTTGGACCCGCGTCCGGGATTGACTCAAGAAGTTGCCCGGTGCCGTCCCCAAAGTCTTTCGCGATCGTCCAACTCTGCTGCTTCCATTTCTACCACCGACTCCCAGGAAACAACCGATTCCCTTATCTCGATAGGGGAGATGTCGCACCCTCAACTTAAAGATATTCTGGGCGAGGTTGCCGCCCTCAAAGTGGAATTCGACCAGCGTCGGAAGGAGTCGTCGGATATATACGACTTGCTCACCCAGGAACGTCAAGCGCTGGCACAAAGGATCACTGGACTGGAAGAAGAGATCCGGGAATTGTGAGCACCCCGCCTGGCAAAATTCATGTTGTTGCCATGGTCACTAATACATCTCTTGCTTTTAGAAACATGGATATTCTGGAAGACTCTGCGGAGCGTGAAGCGATCCAGGGCACGATACGAGGGCTCGAAAGCTGGGTGGACGAATGGCACAAACAGCGCCTGCTAATTGCGGCAAGGAAACAGGGCTCTGCCTCAAGGCGAAATGGTCAAAGAAGATGGACCAAATGCAAGGCGGAAGATGTTGATGGTGACGGCGAAGCACTCTTTGAAGGCATCACTGGGTGGATGCGTGGATGGAAAGACGTCGAGGAAGTCTTTCGTATCCGGGAGAGGAATCGCAGTTTGAGAAGGGAAGAAAGGCAACAGGCACGGACGTAATACGTATAGAAGGCACTGCGCGGCAGGCTTGGGCCCTTGATCGATAAGAATGAGGCTGAGCTGCTGCATTTTTGGATTGCATAGCCCAAGTGTGAAGGCATGAGACCCTTGGTGCAACGTGCTGAGGGGCTGCTGAGACCTTCCACTGAAAAAAGGGAAAAGAGCCATGGGCAATCACTGATCAATCGGTCCATGAATAAATGGTACAGTGCAAGAAAGAAAAGAAAAGAAAACAATATAGCCACCGTAAGCACGTAAAATTGGCAACCGTCACCTGATTTCCATGAAGACCCAAGCTGCGCCGTTTAGTATGGTCTAATCCAAAGCCATGGGGGATAGAACTAAAGATTATGATGTGGAAAGATATTGATGAGTTTGAGGCAAGGGTGTCTGGTCGCGCTCCCACCACATGGCACGTCGGGGCCTGCCGAGAATCGGGAGCGGAGAGACAAGCGCTAGCAGAAGTGCCGACGCTTGGTTGCAGCACCTGGCTAATAATGCGTCCGGCCTGTCTTCGTCGCAGAAGAATAACGCCAAATGTGTATCGAATGGCTATTTACCATTTTCTTAATGTACTATCGGAAAGTAAGGGATCGTAACGCAGCCGGCTCGCATATCCTCTCGTCAAATCAGCGTTGCAGGTTTACAATGGCCAACTAATCAGCTGCTGTTAGTACAACGTCTTGCTCATTGGGGGGAATGTCATACCTGGTTGCCAAAACCAAAAGCAAGCTTCTTGCCATCGGTATCCCAAGCTAGACTGCGATCCGGCACCGACTCTGCAGTGCCATTGTGCCCGTTCACTATGGAACTGGGCTCCTCTTCTTTTTCCTTGTCGTCGAGCCCTGGTGCCTTCCATGTGGCTAGGGCAGTGCCACCGCGCTGTGCGTTCCAGATGAACAAGCCCTCTTTACTGGCAGCGGCAAGGGCGTACCCATCGGGGGAGAAAGTGCTGGCAAGAGCCGGTGACGAGGGACCGAGGAACAATCGGTGAATGCAATTGAACTCTCTGGACCCCAGGTCAAGTTGCCATACCTTGACTGTATCATCGGTTGAAGAAGAAGCTAGAACAATGGGCTGTGTTATCTGTCCTGCCTGATGTTCCCTGTTGGGCTTGAGTTCGATTGCCGTGATGTCGCCTTCATGCGCACCATCAAGATGCATATCATGGGTAGGAACCCATATCGTAGCATTGGCCGAGGATGCGGTCACTGCCACAGAAGAAGAGCCGGCACTGGCACATCGGATGAATGTCCAGGGCCGGTCGGCGTCGCCTGATGAGAAGGTTTTCGAGATATGAATGCTTGAATCGACATCACATTGATAGACGGTCCCATTACCGCAAGCAAATGCCTGATTTGGACCCAGCCAGCAAAGGTCAAAGACTGATCCGTCGATAACTTGCGGAGAAGGAAATTCGTCGGGTCGTAGAGAATCATCCCAGAGGGCCAGCTCGGAGATTCGGCTGTCCGAAGCGACCACAATCAAATGGGAACCGCTTTCCGCCCAATGCAGACCGGTAATCATCCGAGGAACCTCCGGAAGGAGATCGACAGCATTGCCGGAGACATCATACATGGTGATAGAACCTCGCATATCGTTGTAGGTTGCGACGGCCAGCTTCTGGCCTAAAGGGTCCCAAGCGACTGCCGAAACACAGGCGCTATCCCCTTTGTTCTCCACGAGTTTCTCTTGCACCGGAGCCGAGGTAGATGACAGCCTCCACAAGCTGCAGAAGCTATCGCCGGCTGCGACCACGACGGTAGGGTCCTTGGGGCGCCAAAGGGCGCGGGTCACGTGGTCATCACTAGCCACATCGAGGATGGCGGTGTCGGGTCCAAGGTCGGCGGCCTTGGCGGGGGTGATCTGGACGCCAACGCTGTGGCCGGTGGTTAAAGTGAAGGTCGGCGCCACCGCTGCTGGGGCTGGTTCCTGGTCCTGCGAATCCGGTCGGATGTCCATGCTCACATCGCCGTCACCATCCACCGCCATGTCGGCTGTCGGAGGCGACTCGTCCACCGCTGCTGGTTTGCTTTCCGTCATCACCCCGTTCGAGTCGATTTCCATGGGCACTTCATCGCCGTTGAGATCTCCGCTCTTGCGCGGTTTCTTGACACTGGTGGTAGCTTGGGGTGCCGCTGCCGTTGCCGCCGCCGCCGCCGCCTCGGCCGTCAAGTGACCGTTGATCACGCCGCCATCTCGCGGAACTTTGCTTGTAGGCGAGACAGGCGCCTGGTCTGTGCCAACGCCTGCCTCCCCGGGGCCACTTTGACCCTTTTGTATTTCGAGTTCCAGTGGTGTTGGCCCGAAGAAATAATCAGAAGATGTGAACGACGTAGGATTTCCATCCTGTTGATTCCATTAGTTCTGGTGAACTGTCGACTTGAATACTTCGACAGAGCTGAAATGAGGAAGAAGAAAATAAAATAGCGGATAATATCATACCCTGTCGAGCGAATGCTCGAGTTCATAGTACTGCAGACCCTTTTGAACCAGGGACACTAGAGCATGTGTTTTAATGTATGGAGCAAACGGCAAACTCTGCGGGTCATGATTCCACGCGCGCTGAAGAGTGAGTGCGGCCTCACCATGCCCTGTGAAAGATTTAGTTACCTTTCTCAATAATGACGAGGAAGCAAGTACCTGATTCCTGAAGGTACCTGCATCAGATAGTTAGCATTGAAAGCGAAGCGACAGTAATCCACTATGATGAATAATGGGGGCATGTGTTACTGCAGAACGAGGTTGGCAAGGGAGTCGGATACATACCTCCATATTAGGTAATTGACGTGATGCGAGGTGAGATCGGGTTGTGCCATTGTTACATGTATGACAGCTAGTAAGGTGGAGGGTCCGCTAGCATGCCAGAAATGAAAGGCTTCTCCGTGAAGGTCGACTGGAGGCAAGGCCTGCGAGGTACAATGGTTCGGGGAAGAGGCCGGGTTAGGCTTGGGAGGGGAATTTTCTTGAAACTCTGCTTGAGTATTCCCTCTCAAACAGAACCTGAATGAGAGACAAGAGGTCTCTGGACGAGAGGGGAGGGTCCGGGTGGCAGCAATGCAGCCAAGGCCGTGACAAGGGAGAAGAAACGGTACTTGAAAGGGCGGAGGAAGGTGTAAAACCCAACTAAAGACGCAGGCTGGCGGGATGAAGCGTGGGAGAATCAAGGAGCGCACCAGGGACAATAGACCATCCTAAATGCGCCTTGCAGACTCTGGTTGATGTGAAGCGAGAGACCGGCTTTGGCAGAGAGACAAATTGAAGAGAGAGAGAGAGAGGGAGGGAGGTGAAGAACGAATAATATCGGGGACGGGAGAAATCGACACCAACGTGTGGCTTGAAGATAGCAGACCCGCTAGCGAACTGCAAAGATCGGAGAAGCAACACGCCAGGCCTTTCGGGAGGGAAAAGCGGATGGGACGAACAGACGGGGGGGAAGGGAAAGGGAGGAAGCAGTTAAGATCGGAGCGGATGAAATGATGGAGACGAGACAAGACAGGCCGATGACCCCAGGAAGCGTATGAGGAACTCCCGTTAGTGCTAACTGCTAAGGTAGTTCGAGCAGACCAGCCCAGGCAAAGAAAGGTACTTTGGTGGTGTCGACGGAGACTCGAGACCGTTTAGTCAGTTAGTCAGTTAGTCAGATCAGTTGTCAGTCGTTGGCTGTCGGTCGTTCAGTTGTCAGTTGGTCAAGTCAGTCACTTTCCAGTCAGTCAGTTCAGGTCAGTCAGTTCAGTCAGATACGACCAACCACACCCAACCAGGCTAAGAAGAAACGCTGGGAATTTCTCCAGGCGGCTCTCTGGGACGCTGTTTCAGACGCTGGGCGCAACCGGGAGTGGGCATTTTGGCCTTGACTCGTTGTGGCGTCTAGGCCACGGCTAGCGTGCAGCTGGCCTTTTCCAACCCACTCGGGGCCCCTGTTAACTCACTTGGTCTGCTCTGACGGCCAGCCGATCGCCCACCCCGCTTGTCCTCTTGCGGTTAGCCCGGTGCCGGCCCTTTTCATTGTTCGATTCAGGCCATTGGCTCTTGGCCCTTTTCGGCGAAGGATTTTGGCATTTTGCCCTTTTTCCCTCTTTCTTTCTGGGGGTCGAGGAGCACGGTACCTACAGCTGCTGTCGCTTACTGACTTAGTTTGGACCTTCGTTCTCTGCAAAGATCAAACCCCTCCCAAGGAGTAGTGGTCAATCAGCCTTACAGCAGCTTGCCAATATTTTCTCTATGGCGGCTAATAGACCCCCTCAGGATCCCGGCCGGATCTAGGTCTGGAGGTAGTTCATTCTTCTGCTGGGACGCCGATCAGTGGTACATCCTCTGTAGTAATCCGGACATGCATGCATTATTCTAGCCTGGACCCCATTCCCCGCCGGCAGGAAGCTGTTGTGACCTGTGAACTGGTGAGCAACCTACAAGCTTAGTTGCTTGCTTACTACTCTATCAGCTATCTGGCTGGATGGCTGAATAGCTGGACTGCTTCGCCTTTTCTTCAGGGTTCCACTTGGAATGTCTGCCGGGTGGGTAACCACACTGTAATGTAAATCTCCCTGGGCTGAGCCACACCCCCGACAACTGAGCCACACGTGACCCTGCAATCGGTCTTCCCCTAATTGCCCTTCGAAGAAACTCTAGAAGATTTCGACAATGGCTATCTAGGTCAGACCTGCGTAGTGCTTATTGGGGTACCCGGAAGCTTATTGGGCGGAGAGGCGTTTGTCACTTCGCGTCGCGTGAGGCCACGCCGTCCCTGAATCAATAGGTCAATTAATGATCGTATCGTATTTAGAGATGGCATCTGTCAGCATACAGCAGATCTTCTCCGCACTAACGGAGTACCATCCCCCAACTCCCATACGGATGATGTCCCCCGTCCAAAAGCCAAGGCCATTTTTCCTTGGCCATCCATGCTTCCCGATGACTGGAGGCATGGTTTGCGTTCAATAATTCCACGGCAGAGGCATGAATGGCGGCCTTGCCATACCCTGCCCGGCAGCCAATCAGATTAGCGCGATCCCCGTCCTTGCAGCTTGCCCGAAAAAGGAACGCCCCCCAACGCCGCGGCCGAAGTGATCATCTGGATTGATTTCACTTCATCCTTCCCACTTCTCCCTCCCCAACCCCCGTTGGGCTTTGTCAACAGCCTGCGGTCTAACAGCCGCAAGAGCGTCCTTCTCCACGATGGCGCCTCGAGTCAATATCCCTCCAGCGACCCGCATCTGTCTTATCAGTCTTCTGACCCTCTCCTTGCTGTACAACATCGCCCGATGGCGCCAACTTGACACCACCCCCGGAACGCCGAGCACAACTCCCATCATACCCTATCTGACACTCGTTCCCTCCCAATTTATCTTCAATCCGTGGACTCTCCTTACAGCTACCTTCGTGGAGCAAAACATTTTCACCGTGCTCCTGAACGCGGGCACTCTTTTCTATGGCGGGAAATACCTGGAGCGCGCATGGGGTTCCCGGGAATTCGCCAAATTCATTGTTGCCATCGCGGTGATCCCGAACGTGGCGATTATTCCGCTCTATATTCTAGGGGGTGCCGTCAAAAGCAGCCCCAGCGGCGGGTACGCTCTATTTTCTCATGACGAATGCACAACATCTTGCGCTTTCCCTACTGACTCACCGACTTTAAGCGTAACCCAGATATGCGGCGGTATCTGTATTCAGGCCTCCTTCCTTGTCGCCTTCAAACAACTCGTCCCTGAGCATACGGTAACCATCTTCAAGGGCTTGGTCAAAATGCGAGTCAAGCATTTCCCTGCTCTTTTCCTGTTATTGAACACAATCAGCGGGGTGGTTTTGGGCACGCATGTCGCGGCGATGCTCTCTTGGCTCGGCCTGTTGACTAGTTGGACATACCTTCGCTTCTTCAAGCACCAGCCGGACCTCACTGGCACGTCGACAGACGGACTAGGCATCAAGGGCGATGCAAGCGAGACATTTGCATTTGCTTGCCTCTTTCCGGACATGCTTCAACCGCCAATCGCGTTTCTTTCGGATCAAGTATACGCTCTGCTGGTCGCCCTCAGGATCTGTACACCTTTCTCCGAAGAAGCCATTGCCTCGGGCAACCAACAAGTTCTGGCAAGGGGCGAGGCAGGTCTTCCTAGCCTTCTTTCCAGTCATCGTAACGGAAGAGCCATGGCGAAACGGGAGGAGGCTGAGCGCAGACGAGCCCTGGCCCTCAAGGCCTTAGACCAGAGACTGCAAGCAGCTGCTGCGGGAAGAGTACAGCCTCCCTCGTCTACATTGAATCAGCAAGGATCCACTCACGCCCAGACTCCGACACCCACGGTATCAGCAGGACAGAGTATGTTGGGAGAAACCAACTACACGCCAGACCATGCGTGAACCTGGAGCAAATTTGCGATGCATGGTTTCACGGAGTTTGATTGGTTGTTTGGGATAATATGAAATGGAACAATGCAACGTAAAGTGTTTCTGCCGCTAAGCCTTGTTATCATATACCGGACCCTGGAATTGTCTTTTCGCAAGACTCGAGTCTTTCAATCCATTGCAGGTCATGGCCACGGGACATAATTCCGTGGTTCTTACTGTACAAAATGTCTTGACTCTTCCCCTTGAACAATAATGAACGAACATGAACAACTTATATCTTCTACACGGACATCCAGAAAGTTAAATACTATAGAATAACGTTTCAAGCCTACTTGCATAAATAGTGACTACCCTCAACATTGTCAAGTGCGTCTATACTAGTTCCACAACCATATAAAGGCAGACTGCTCTCGGGCGAACAATGTGTGTAGACCACTGTTGAACAAAAAAGAATTCCCAAAACTACATAATCGAACAGGAATAGTAAAGAAATGCTATGCTACAAGAGACCACCACGCCCAAGTGGTATTCCCACAACCCTCATCCCATCTCAAAGCAGAGGTATATACCCAGAGAGACAACTGACACAATCACACTTTCCCACCCAAACTTCCCCCCAGCAAAATCCTAACAGGACACGAACTCAATCTCACAGCTGCTTCAACTTCTCCACCTCACCTCTAGCTTCTTGCAGCATGCGTTCCTGATCCGCCTTGGCCTGTCTGATCGCAGCTATACGCAACCGATCCTTATCACCCTGTTGGCGCATCTGTTCCAACTTCTGTAGCTCCGCCTGCTGCTCCGCCGAGGCAGGAATATCCTGCGCTCCCGTCATGTTCTTCACCTTCGTCCAGATATCCTTGTAATCGAGGTCCTTGACATCCAAGACGGCCGTCTTCTCTGTCGACGAGGGTGCCGGGGCGTGCTTGTCGGTGACCTTGCCAGCGAGCAATGTTGCGGCGTTGCTGGCCCGCTCGGAGAAGTAGATCGTCAATGCGGCCGGGCCGTCCTGCTGATCGGTCTGTCGCACGGTCATCGGTACCGCCGGGTTGTAGTACTTAAGACGGGGGAGACAGTTGCGCCAGAAATGTCGGGCACCTTGGTGGCCGCCGTAGATCTTGCGGGCGTATGTGAGGTGTAGGCGGGTGATGGCAGGGAATTCCTTGGTCGCGGACGAGGCGGTGGGGAAGGTTGCGGCTCCGGCTCCGACTTGGAGGTCGAGGAGCTGGATATTTGAATGGTATGTTAGCAGGCTGTGCGTATATGATGTGGTGGGTGGGTGGGTTTGTTCCCCGGTTGTTTGATTCCGAGAGGTGAGGGATGGGATAGGGTCGGTGCGCGAGGGTCCGCATAGTTGGGTTGTATCGAGGTTCTAGGGGATCGGGTGATGTTGGAGAAGGAAATCCTACCCTCTGGAAATGGTTCGATTCAGGTTAGTCTCTGAGGTAGTTGGCAATTGGGGTGGTTGTCAACTTACGGTTTTCAGCTTCCGCATCCGCTTGAATAGGTTGACCATTGTGACGGTTGGGCGTCCGAGCTACTGGCTTTGATGGGGGCTTTGTCAAAAGGAGGACTTTCCAAGTCGTACACGGCGGAATTCGGTCTGGATGGGCCGGCGACGGAGTGGTTGAAGGGCTGCTGGCCTGGAGCTATCTCGTTGATTTTTGGGCTCCCCGGCGGAAAGAAAAGCAGCCGATATCAGATCACGTGATGCGTTGCGATGCGGCCCTGCGTCGGAGAGATGTTGACAATCATTCTTGACTATGATGTGACTATGGGGTATATGCTTTGGGGGCTGGGCGAAAATGAGGGTGTTATTTTACTGTTCGTGTCTGAAAGGTCCTCTGCCAATGCATCCAACGCATTGTCTCATTCCAGCATGCACCACCCCCGAGTCTATCCCTCCTTGGTTAAGTCGCCCTCTACGCCGCGATGACTCCAGTCAGCATTGCCATCTCTAGCAATGTTCTTATCTCTGAGTCACAAGTCAAGATGAACGGTCTACTCTAGAGCCCGGACTACCTTCAGCCCCTACCGAAAGGGGTTGGAAAGTGAATCCATCGCGACTAGCAAGGTGCATCCGACCCCAGTTGGGGCAGGCGGTGACTCACGGACCGCCTTTTCCCACATACGGAGCAATTCTTTTCGACCCCGCGATGACTCCAGGCGATCTATCTATATAAAGCTGCCATTCCTCCCCCTCGCCCTCGGGCTCTATATCTCCAGTTTGTCAAAAACAACCTTTCACAACCGGAGCCATGGCAGCCGCCGCTGCATCTGCAGCTGCCCTCGATGATGGCACCAAAAACACCATGAAACTCGAGAATGTCCGCCTCACTTGCCCCTCTTTGTTCCAACCCCAGACCCCAAATGGCCTGATTGAGCTGATTGTGTACTGCCCGTATAGACCGAGAAGAGAGATACCCTGATCGCCATCGAGAAGAAGTACCAGGCCCAATGGAAGGAAAACAAGGTTTTCGAGGTCGATGCCCCCTCCGAGACGGAGGTACCTTACGGCAGCATGTCCGCCGCGGAGCTCCGTGAGAAGCACCCCAAGTTCTTCGGAACTATGGCCTACCCCTACATGAACGGTACCCTCCACGCCGGTCACAGTTTCACTGCCAGCAAGGTTGAATTCATGACGGGTGTGGCCCGCATGGAGGGCAAGAGGGCTCTTTTCCCTCTCGGTTTCCACTGCACCGGTATGCCCATCAAGGCTTGTGCCGACAAGCTCAGGGATGAAGTCCAGAAGTTCGGCCAGAAATTCGAGGGCTACAGTGAAGAGGCTGAGGAGCAGGATAAGCCTGCAGTCGCCGCTCCCACCCAGGAGGTTAAGGCCCAGCAGGAGAAGTTCTCCGGAAAGAAGAGTAAGGCTGCTGCCAAGACCGTGAAGATGAAGTACCAGTTCCAGATCATGTTGGCCATTGGTGTCCCCCTTGAGGAGATCCACAAGTTCGCCGATGCCGATTACTGGCTCCAGCATTTCCCCCCTCTCGCCATCCGCGATCTCGACAGCCTGGGTGCCCGTGTTGACTGGCGCAGACAGTTCGTCACCACTGACACGAACCCCTACTACGACGCTTTTGTGCGCTGGCAGATGAACCGCCTTCACGAGCTGGGCAAGATCATGTACGGCAGCCGCTACACCATTTACTCCCCTAAGGACGGACAGCCTTGCATGGACCACGACCGAACTGAGGGTGAAGGTATCGGACCCCAGGAGTACACCGCTATGAAGCTGAAGGTCAAGGAATGGGCACCCGAAATTGCCGAACTGGTCAAGGGCAAGATCGAGGCAGACGCCAGCGTCTACTTCGTGCCTGCCACTCTGCGTCCGGAGACCATGTATGGACAGACCTGCTGCTTCCTCGGCCCTAAGATCACCTATGGTCTCTACAAGGTCAAGGAGAAGGAGTACTTCGTTGCTACTAAGCGAGCCGCCTGGAACATGGCTTTCCAGGGTTACTTCTTTGACAACACGAACTTCCCCAAGTCCCAGGATCAGCTGCCCCTCGTCGTCGAGGCCCCCGGATCCGCCTACGTTGGTACTCTTGTCAACGCTCCTCTTTCTTTCCACACCGAAGGTGTGCGCATCCTTCCTATGGAGGGTGTCTCTGCTACCAAGGGTACCGGTGTTGTCACCTCCGTGCCCTCGGACAGTCCCGATGATTACGCCACTCTGCTTGATCTTGCCAAGAAGCCCGAGTACTATGGTATCAAGAAGGAGTGGGCTGAGCTGGAGATCTTCCCTCTTATCGACACTCCGACGTACGGTAACCTTACCGCTCCTGCGTTGGTCAAGCAGCTTAAGATCAACTCTCCCAAGGATGTTAACCAGCTTGCACAGGCCAAGGAGCTGGCATATGGTGAAGCTTTCTACAAGGGCACCATGCTTGTTGGTGAGTTCAAGGGTCAGCCGGTCAGCGCTGTGAAGGAGAAGATCCGTAAGGCTCTCTACGAGAGCGGCGATGCCTTCCCCTTCGCCGACCCCATGGGCAAGGTTGTCAGCCGCAGTGGAGACGACTGCGTGGTCGCCTACCTCGGCCAGTGGTTCCTGAACTACGGAGAGAACGACGCGGAATGGCAGAACACTACTTTGAACCACGTTGTCAACACCCTGAACACCTACTCGAACGAGACCAAGAACGGCTTCGAGAAGAACCTGTCTTGGCTCAACCGCTGGGCTTGCGCTAGAACCTACGGTCTGGGTTCGAAGCTCCCCTGGGACCCTCAGTTCCTTGTTGAGAGTTTGAGTGACAGTACCGTCTACATGGCCTACTACACCATCGCCCACTACCTGCACGGTGACCGTTACGGTAAGGAGGCTGGTCTTCTGAACGTGAAGGCCGAACAGATGATCGACGAGGTCTGGGACTACATCTTCACCAGACGCGAGCTCAGCGATGAGCTTGTTACCAAGAGTGGCATTAGCAAGGAGGCCCTGCAGAAGATGCGCCGTGAGTTCGAATACTGGTACCCCCTGGACGTCCGTGTCTCCGGAAAGGATCTCATTCAGAACCACTTGACCTTCTTCCTCTACATCCACGTCGCGCTCTTCCCTGCTGAGTATTGGCCCCGTGGTGTTCGTGCCAACGGACACTTGCTGCTGAACGGTGAGAAGATGAGTAAGAGTACGGGTAACTTCCTTACCCTGAAGGATGCCGTCGAGAAGTTCGGTGCTGATGCTGCCCGTATCGCCTTCGCCGACGCTGGTGATGGTATCGAAGACGCCAACTTCGAGGAAACCGTTGCCAACAGCAACATCCTTCGTCTCCACACTCTCAAGGACTGGATGGAGGAAGTTGTCAAAGACGAGACCCTGCGTACTGGACCCGCCGATGCGTTCTGGGACAAGCTCTTCGACAACGAGCTCAACGGCCTCGTCCGCGAGACCAAGAAGAACTACCAGGAGTAAGTCACCCCTGTTACCCTTATCATCCGAAGTCGATTTTTCCTGAAGATGTTTTGCATATTCTACGTATTTTGCTACTTCAGAGCCTTCCACGGCCATGAGACAAAAATCACCACATGCCTGATGGACATTCGACAAACACATTTGTTTATTTCTTGCTTGGCTTGCTTTATGTGAGGAACTTGAATTTGATTGATGCTAACTTCAATCTAGCACTAATTTCAAGCTCGCCCTGAAGTCTGGTCTGTACGACTTGGTCAGCGCCCGTGACTTCTACCGTGAGGCCACCACCACGGCCGGCGTTGGCATGCACCGTGACATGGTCCTCCGCTACATTGAGCTGCAGGCTTTGATGATGGCCGTCATCGCCCCTCACTGGTCCGAGTACATCTGGCTCGAGATCCTGAAGAAGGTTCGTACCTTAGGCCTCCGCTATATCCAACTCGTTATCTAACATACCATGCAGCCCTCGACCATCCACCACGCCCGCTTCCCCGAGGTGCCGGAACAGTCCCTCGAGCTGTCTGCCGCACTGGACTATGCCCGCTCGACCAGCTCCAGCATCACCTCCGCCGAGGCCATGTTCGTCAAGAAGCTGTCCAAGGGCAAGCAGACGTCCTTCGACCCCCGCAAGCCCAAGAAGCTCACCATCTTCGCCGCCAAGAAGTTCCCCGTCTGGCAGGAGAAGTACATTGACCTGGTCCGCGAGGCCTTCGACGCCGTCAGCATCTCCATCAACGACAAGGAGCTGAACGCTAAGGTCGGCAAGCTGGGCGAGATGAAGAAGGCTATGCCCTTCGTTCAGAGACTGAAGAAGCGTCTCGTCGTCGACAAGGAAGTTCCCGAAGCCGTCTTCGAGCGCAAGCTGCCCTTCGACGAATTCGCTGTCCTGAGCGAGATGGTCGCCGCCATCAAGCGTGTCACCGGCTGCAAGGAGCTCGAGATCATCGCCGTCGAGGAGGGTGGCAAGACCGGTGAGGTTATCGGCACTGGTGAGAAGCGGGAGGGACTCATGGCTGAGAATGCCGTTCCTGGCCAGCCTTCGTTCACCTTTGCCAACATTGACTAGAGATGCATTAGCATTTTGGCTCTATACAGATTAGATATGATGGTTTTGTGAAAGACCTATGAAATAGCATTTTCAATGATTTACGTTAGATATATGTTTCATGCTACGCCATTGTTTAGTACTATATTCGGATACATGATATAGATGGGGATAACCTGTCCCCCAATATCTTACCACATTCCGTATTCTATGACATTATCCTAAATGCAAAACATCAAGATCAATTACTCACCTTCTCAATTTCAAAAACCCAAACACACAACCTAGATTCGAACTACCTACCCACCACATTATTACTAACACCCTAAGGAATCCACCAACTATACACACATCACCCCAAAGTCTTAAGTACTCCAATCATCCTAAACAGCACCCCACCATTAGCATCATACCACAAACCCCGACTCCTTCACATAGCCCCCCCCCCACCCAAGAGACAGGAAAACAAACGATATCTTACCTTCTCAACCCCTCCCTCAAGACATCCTCCTCATGAGCAAAAACAAGTCGAAACCACCCCGGTTTCTTCCCATGTTCTTCACATGGATGTAGGAAGACGCCTGCGTTGACGAGGTTCTGGGCGAGGGCGAATTCGGACGGTGATGTTGGTGATTCCGGTGGGGGAAGGTTAGGGGATAGATCAATGTAGATGAAGAAGCCCGCGTTCCTAAATTTGATCATATATTATGTATGTACATATCTATGTGCTAGGGGTTAAGATGTAGGGGTATTTCACTCACCCTCCCTTGATATACTTGATTCCCTCGCGATCGAGAGTAGAAGTTGCGGTGCGGTATGTCGAAGCGAGAGACTGCTGGGACTTTGCCGTGAAGTCGTGGACGAAGGCGCGGTCTTCGAGGATGGCGGTGGTGATTGTTATTGCTGCCGAGGAGGCATTATGGAGGCGTCTGGGTTGAGTTGAATAACGGATTTGGGTGGTTGTTGGCTGGGGTATACTGACAGGATTGCCTTGCAGGATTGGCGGAGGGGTTTGTTTTGCGAGATTAGGAAGCCTATGTGTAGGCCACCGGATGCGAAGTCCTGATTGTGTTAGGTAGGGTTGTGTGAGGGGTGAGGAGTGAAGGGACATGCCTTGCTGAATCCGTATAACAAGTGTACGAGGTCGGGGTTGATCAGCTCCGGACTGCTGAGAGATAATATAGATGTGAATGGAATGGCAGCTGGGTCTCCAGAGTCGAAGACCGAGGAAGCGTAGATCTCGTCGCTGATGATATGAAGTTGGTGTTTGTTGCAGAATTTGAGGATCTCTGTTAGGGTTTGCTTGGGGTAGCAGCGGCCTGGAGACAGTGTCAATGCTTTGAGCAGGATAAGGTGCTTGCTTCTTGAGGAATGAGATCTATACCAACGGGATTATGCGGATTCACTAGGAGCAGGGCTCGAATCTGAACACTTCTTGTCTGAGCATCTTTGAGGGCTATCTCGTACTTCTCAACAACAGAGGGAGCGAATGCCTCTTCCGTATCAGTATCTGCGTAGACCATCTGCACGCCCGCTTCGACTCCATAGTCGAGCTCGAACCGTCCGTACACCGGCCGACTAACGAGGATTCCGTCGCCTGACTCGGCTAATGTAAATCCAAGCATGCTTCCTATTGCAGTGGCGCCGCTGGTGACAATGACGTCTTCGGGGTCAATTGGGGCGATTGGCTTGAGGACGTCGTCAAGATGTGCTGCGACGGCTGTTTGTAGACGGGCAGTAGCATCGTTCCCAGAGCCATAGGCGACGGATGCTATGTTGAACTTGACCTAGGATGGAGAAGATATTGGTTGGGACTGTGGTTCTAGAAATATGAGAGGGAAGGCTGGAGGTTGACCTTGGTGTTGATGTAGTTGGCTATCTCTGCGCGCATTGGGGCCTATACTACTGTCAGCATATTGAGGCTCGCGACCCGGCTCTGAGATCATATACATGCTCCGCCAATCCGAACGAGATCATTCCCAACGGGTTGGTCTCCTTATCGTAGGTATGTGGCAGGGCGTAGCGCCAAGGAATCTTGTGAAGCTGTGCATTGTTGTTGCCTCGTGATGATAGCATGATGACAAGGCCGCTCAATGGGCTATATATAGTATGAGGGGATGTCCGGCTGGTATGATACGGATGGTTGATCTGGTTTTAAGGGGATGTGACTTGACAAACCGAAGGTCATCAAAGCAATGAATAATGGCTAGCATAAGCAAGCACGAGAAGACGTCAGCAGCGATTGATGGTTGGAGGAGGGAAGGTGCCCACGTGGAAGACGCAGGCCCGTTGATAATCTAGTAATCTGCTCACCACCAATCCACTATTTACACCCCAGCCACATCGGCATTATGATACATTTTTGTTTATCCCTTCTATACACCTGGAAACACCAATCGCTATGCAAACATATACTATACAAGTTATTCATGCTGGGAAGGGATGCCACGACAGGGCTGATATTCAGCCCTGTCGGGCTCGCTTCTCCAAGCCAATGTTCTGCCGTCCTCGAGGTCCCTTTTCACGATTATCCGAGACCTTCTTAGCGGCGACGAACTTCCAGCACTCGATAGGAGGACGGGACCCAACATGGCGGCCGTGAGGGCTGAAGATCTCGACTTGGAGGAAGGACTCGGAGTCGGCCTCCTGCACCGACTTGGCTCGAACTTGCACTGTAAGCTCGACCCAGCCGCATCCTTCAATCAAGATATCGGTCGACATGACCTTATAAGGTACAGACGGCATCTTCATCTTCCTGTCCGCAACCGCCTTGGCGATGGACCTCGGGAGATGCGATTGAGTCACATCCCATTTCAAGTCGAAAATGCCTGCAGAAGCGATGATTTCGCCGGTACCTTCTTGGGAAATTTTGGTACCAGGATATGGGCGCTCCTCGGCTTGCATTTCAATGGCCTTGTCCGTTCTCGTGAGATGCGCCTCAAGCGGGACGAAGCAAGCGGCCATCACTACGTCGTCAGGGTTCATCGGCGTGATCCTGACAAGACCTCCCCCGAGCAGTAGCGATTGACCCGGCTTGATTGAGTGGCGCTCAGGCTTTGGCCTCTTGGTCATGATCAGATCGCGCTTGAACTTATCTTGAACATGATCAGCCAAATCACCACGGTCAAGCCCCGGAAGGTCAATCATTTCGCCTCTCCCACGGCCAAATGGGATGCGAATAGGAGACACCGTCGTTCCAGGCAAAGACGACACCACCGGGAGGATGGGATAAAGATCTTCCCTCGGCGCCGGAGGTAGAAGACCCTCTGAATCGAGGGCAGAAGTATCGTAATGAGTAGCCATTTTAGACTCCTCTTCACGGAGCTCAATCAGTTCGGCAATTTTCTCCAGATTCCTCGAATCCTTAGGAAAGCAAGCCTCGATGAAACTGCTCTTTCCAACATTAGCCTTGCCAACCACCCAGATGCCACCACCATGCTCCCTAATCTCCTCCTTGACTTTCTTCGTCCACCAGCCCCGCTGCGCACTGATCAGATGCACATTTCCCAGGCGAAATTCCTCATGCGAGAGATCAAAAGTTTTCCGAAGAACAGAGCGTACATACTCCATCTTCGAGTCCGCCTGCTCCTTGGTAGCCGCCAAAAGATCCGACCTGTTAATGATAAAGCTTATAGTCGGCATTTTCTTCCCCGCCTTATACTTATAAGTCGCCGAGCGCCTATTCTTCGACCTCGGATCCATAACTCCCAGCGTCTCGTAGACCTCCTTAACAACCGACATGGGGAAATCCGCCGCATCAACCACATGATAGATCCGATTATGCTTATGAGGCGACTCATCAAGATACGCCCGAAGAGCATCCATAGTCGGCGAAACAGCAGGAACAGCCTTATTATGATGCAACAGATCATGGCATCGATCGCAAACCTGCACCGGAACCTTCGACTTCTCCAGATATTTACTCGCCGTATCTGCAGCCTTCGCAAGAGAAGCCCCATCTACACACAACAACAACAAATACCTAATTAGCAACCTCATCATCATCAATACATCAAGACATGTGCAACACCACTTACATTTCGGCTTCGGAGCAGCATCCCCTCCCACATCTGTCAACTCAAGATACTTCTGGATCTGACCCGCCGCTTTCTCTCCCTCAGCTTTGACCCCAGACCCCTCATCCTGTCCCTCAATCACTTGTTGGGTTTCGGTCAGGAGCTTCCGCGTCTGTTTCCTAGTTTTGCCATAGTATCCGGCCTCTTTGGGATCGACAGTCTGTCCATATGCACCGCATCCGGGACAACAGACAGGGAGAATATCGTCGATGATCTCGGTCGATATAGCGCGTAGTGAGAGACTCGTGGACAAGCTGCGTAGCTGGATTCGGGGTTCTGCGTTGTAGACGGGGAGGACTTCCGGGCGGGAGAAAAGAGCGGTTCGTGTTAACGTCCGTGAGAATTGTGAGAGTCGGCGGAGGGATTGTGAAGGGAGACGGGTCGGTCTGATCCCTCGTGGGATCATGCGCCCGAGATATGGCGACATGGTGGAGGTTTGGGATGCTGGAGGAATTAATGGAGGAAGGAATGCGACAGGAACAACTGATAGTGATAGCGGTGATAGCATCGGTGGTCCGCGCGGGCGGCCGGAAAAAGTTGCCGTGGCGAACTGGGTGGACAACCATCGAATTGTGTAATGGAAGCTGTTGGCTACTTTGGTTGCATGGGATGTTTTGTAATAAGATCATAAGAATATTATTTTCATAGAACTTGTACGCTAGCTATGAAGCTTAAAACAACCGTGCTTCACAAACCATGATATGCATGACGGGCGAAGCATAAGAAACCTGAACCGTGACCGTACTCCTTAAACCGCATAAACAATATCAGAACTAACCAAGCCTAAGCCTTCGCTTTTCCCTTTCCCTTAGGATCATCAACCGGCTCCTCCTCTTCCTCTTCCGAATCGCTCATAAACTCATCATCCTCATCAAATCCAGCATACCGCCTAGGCGCAGCACTGCGAGCCGGCTCCGACGGCCCAGGCGCATCCTCCATCTCCTGCTCATCATCACTGTCCTCCTCCGAGCCGGAAGGAGTATTCTGGTCGCTTCCCTCGCTAGCACTCGTACTGGATCCGCCCAAGATCGTATCGCGCAGGTTATCCGTCCACATGCCATCCTTCATCGCCATAAGAACCGCCTCTCTGGCCTTCTCGTTCATCTCCTCCTTATCTTCAATCCACTGTCCATCAATCTTCTGCTTGCCACCTCCGTTCTTCAGCTCCTCCTGACGCTTTTCCGCAGCCTCCACAACAGCCTGCCACCGGCGTCGACGCTCCTCCTTCTCCTTCTTATCCATCTCAGGCTTCAGGGCGAGGTACTCGGCCAATGCCTTGGCTTCGTTGACGGTGCGCAGACGGCGGCCATCGAGGTTGCGACTGGAGCCATTGTCGTCGCCTTGGTTGCGCTTGCGCTTACTTGACATGCGCCCACCGGCGGCACGAAGCTGGGATCCGAAACCACCCTTTCCACCGCATAGGGGAACGCTGAGGCGGAGGGGGAGGATGGAGCCATCGGTGTAGGATGATAGCGATTCGGAAGAGGGAACGAGTTGCTTGTTGCTGGTAGTGGTCAAGATCAGGGATTGGAGGGGTAGCGTGTGAGGAAGGTATGAGGTGATCTTGTCGGTCAGATCGGCGATGCTGGACGATGACGGCAGAGAGAATGAGAGGGTTGAAGGAAGTGAGAGACCGGGGAAGGTCGACAGGAGGACGTTGACGTTCTGGGACGCCATTCTGAGGAAGATTGATATCGTAGTTTAGATTGGACACGTAGTGGAATTATGCCGTATAGTTGATAGGTAGTCGGAAGTACTGCAACTGTGTCGCTTGCTGAAGGTGGAGTTGACGATTGACGGCTGCAGGAGAGAGGCGCAGTTCAACTTCAGATGCGGAGTGTTCCCGATAAGGCCCTGGATGACTAAGGGGAGGAAGGAAGGGTTTGCAGCCTCAGGCCGAAAGATGCATCATGCACGTGATGCAGCTTATCCGGCTAGCGGAGCGATTAGGGCCCCAGCCCTTGGAATGCTTCCCGATTGGGAATCAGCGCACTTTTTCCCTCGAGCCAGCCGCTCCACTCACATCATCTACATTTAAACCAAACCACCCTCTTCATCGCGTTGTCAGAGCGATTCCCCGAAGAGCGCTAGGAACTCGCGACAATGTAAGTGTTGCACCTACTATTAGCCATTGAGCCCACCTATGACATGTAGCTAACTCCCTGACCCAGGCTTATCCCCAAGGAAGACCGCAAGAAGATCCACGAGTACCTCTTCCGCGGTATGTGAACACCACCACCATACATCATCCACCGCCCGGCCCCGGGGTCGCGCGACCTTCGATCGATCCATCCCGTATCACTATGGAGGAGGAATAGTCTCGCTGACGGTTAGAACAGAGGGTGTGCTCGTGGCCAAGAAGGACTTCAACCTTCCCAAGCATGGCGACATTGACACCAAGAACCTCTACGTGATCAAGGCCCTGCAGTCCCTGACCTCCCGCGGCTATGTCAAGACCCAGTTCTCGTGGCAGTACTACTACTACACCCTCACCCCCGAGGTATGTTGGATCGTGATATGATATTATGTGGAGGTATAGACACAATTGGCTGACTGGTGGTTTGTTATAGGGTCTTGACTACCTCCGTGAGTGGCTCCACCTCCCCGCTGAGGTTGTCCCCGCCACCCACATCAAGCAGCAGCGTTCCCACGCTCCCCCCCGTGGCATGATGGGCGGTGAGGACCGTGAGCGTCGTCCCCGTGCTCCTCGTGAGGGTGGCTACCGCCGCCGCGAGCAGGAGGGCAAGGAGGGTGGTGCCCCCGGCGAGTTCGCTCCCAGCTTCCGTGGTGGATTCGGCCGTGGCCGTGGTGCTCCCTCCTCCTAAAGGGTGTCGCCTGCTGGTCTTCCAAGGGCTTCATGGGATTGTTGCCAGTGCGGCTTGAGTAGGCTTTGAAAGAAGTCAGGAAGAGCTGTGCTGTGCACGTCCTGAAAAGAGGTTATGCCGACTACTGTTTCAAATTTATGAATAGTTAGGATTAATGGCATGATTTCATGAATTCATTTTGGACTCTTCGTAGATATGTAGTGTTCGCGCGCCTGTTACTCTTATTGATTGATACAGGATTTCTGCAATAAGAGGTGGCTATACGAGTGCTTGTGGTTGAAAGGTAACTATTTCGCGAATCTCTTCCGATCATAGCGGATGACCGCTTGCAGAATGACCGATGTACCCGTTGCGCAGTCATCTGCAGAACAGAACTCCTCCGGATGATGGCTCAATCCATCCTTGCAGGGCACAAAGATCATACTGGTTGGGACTCTCTTGGAAGTGAAGACACTGTCGTGTCCCGCACCGCTCATGATTGTTCGTGTAAGGGACTTGGGCTCTGCAGCGTTGACGTCCGCGACAACCGCCTCTGCGGATTGTTGCACGCAATCAATGCAGTCAGGGTGGAACTTCACCGCCGGCGAATCAAAGTCGAGTCTCCATTCTACACGGCAAGGCTTGCCAATACCCTTGCCCTCTTCCGCAGCGATAGAATCAAAGTCCTTTCTCAATTGCTCTTCCACAACCTGGACCAACTCGCTTTCTGGACCGCGGATGTCGAGACTGAAGCTGACGAGACCGGGAACTGTGTTCACACTGCCTGGCTTGGCCTCCACAATGCCAACGCTGGCTAGACAGCCGTGGGAGGAGGCTACTTCCCGAGCACGCACCATCATACGAGCGAAGGCATATAGGGCATCTGCGCGGTGTTCGAATGCAGTAGTACCCGTGTGGGTGTCTCTACCGAAGATTGTGAGGTGAAACCAGCGGTAAGCCTGAACAGCAGTTACAACTCCGACATGCTGGCCTGCGGAAACAAGGTGAGGTCCCTGCTCGATGTGCAGTTCAAAGTGGGCTGCCATGGGTGTTTGCTTGTATGAGCATGGGACACTGCCTAAGTAGTTGATCTTCTCCAACGCAGACTTCATGGACTCTGGGGCAGAAGCTGCAGTAGGAAGAGATGCGACTGTTGGGACTTCTTTGAGTTCATGTGCTCGTGAAAGAGGAATGCATTCCGCCCAAACCCCGGAGGACACCATGCTGATGGGGAATCGAGCACCTTCTTCGCTATAAGGGAATTAGCCGTGCGTGCTTGAGTGGTATAGCCATCTGCGCCTTACTTTGTCCAATTCACAACTCCGATGCCACCTTCAGTTTCCAGCCCCATCTCGTCAATCACTTTGAGCACTTCGATACCGGAGAGCACACCCAAGATTCCATCGTAACGGCCACCAGTCGGTTGCGTATCCAGGTGGCTGCCGATGAAAGTGGCTGGAACATCTGTCCGTCGTCCGGGGCGAACCGCAAAGATGTTGCCCATCTCGTCCACCGTGATCTCACATTTCAAAGCTTTTGTTGTCTCGAGAAACCAGTCCCGTACTTGCTTGTCCTCTTGTGACAATGCAAGACGCTGCATACCAGTGTCCGTGTGTCCACTAAGTCGTCATTAGAATGAGTCTTGGATCCATGGCAGAGCGGAGTCCTGCTGTAATAGGGAGCTTCCTCTACACTAATCTCGAATACGAGTATAGCGATTTCAAAGGGTGTTGCAGTAGCACTTACTCTCCCCAGCGAATGCCATAACCCCATTGGCAGCTATGATGGAGGTCATTCGCAAGACGCTCTTTATTGGCTCTGAGAGCAGAGACCTCAGCCTCGGTTAAGTCTGTGGATAACATGGTATGATTCGAAGTGACTGAGAAGGCTCGACGGAGAGGTGTAAAAGCGGGTTCCACGGAGAGCCGTCTTGTCTGTTTAAGAAGTAGCCCAGGGACCCTAGCAGCTAAAGGACTTCGATACGAGATAAAGGCCATCATGTCAATTAGAAAGGCGCCGATAGGGCCATAGTTGGAGACGCCTCCAGATAAGACAGCCCAATCGACGTCCTGATAAGATAGCTGGTGGGGTTTAGCTGGAGTCTCGGGCTTCTCATCGAATCAGATCCCAGTGAACCTGCGTCCGTCAAGCGATACGATCCGTTGATATACTCCGATTCCCTCGGGTCGCTTATAATTTGATTGGGGTAAGGGTGATGTGAAGTATCTCGGCAATGGAAGAGGTGCTCTGATAGTGAGGGGTATGGAACCTTCGAGTGTCACATCTACCCCATTCAGGGTGCCGGTGCACGCAGCAATTGCAGTAGTACCTACTGCGATGTTGAACGGTCAATGATGCAACCAGCCCTATATCTGTAGACTGTGGACAAAAGCGGCAGTTGGTTTTGATATAGAGAGTATGTTATGTTCAATAGATAGCATAATCGGTGTCGCGTAGAGTTTAGTGCCAAGATGGTTGGTTATCCATCAAGAACGCAGACAAGGATCAAGTACTGCTAGAGTCGAGGAGATGACGGGTGTTTGCTAAAGTTGACGGAGTTCTCGCACACGAGACTTCCCATACCCAACTACGGGGTACTCCGTAGATTCTTTCAATTGAGAGAAGCAGCTTGCTGTAGTCATGGAAAGCTAGCCGAGCCTGTCGCCAGTGCAGACCGGTCTTATGGACACGGCCCGTGGCAATAAAGGGAACGCACCGCTACCATGAAAACCAACGATTAATAGGCCGAAAAGGCTAGAAAAAGTGAGAATATAGACTAGCCATACTTGTACAATTGATTGACAAAAAAAAACAATAAAAGTTCGACCACTATGTCGATAGGTGATTCCAAAGATTGAGGACAGGAGTATTCTGGGCAAACCACGGTCATCTCTGGTAAAAGGCAAGAAATGAGTTCTGAGCTAGTTTGTCCCACTCCTCGCATATTAATCCTTATAGTGCTTTATATCCCACCATCCGCTCCCCCAGCAGCAGCGGTTCGATCCCCGTCAACGCCATCCTTTTTCCTCCCATTGGAACTATTTCTCACTTCGGCGCGCTCCGCCTCGCAATCTTCAACCCCGCATTCGGTCATCGCGACACCTTTTGACTTCCTCCTGACAGACATACATCCCACCGCCCAACGTATATACTAGCTCCACCTACAATATGTCCGCCGCCTGCATTTTCTGCAAGATCATCAAGGGTACGGCGCTCTCCCTACCTCCCTCCACTATTACAATTCCGTCCCTTGTTCTCCAACCGCGCCGCCCGCTCAGCAACGGTGCCAGCTAACCCCCACCATAAAAATAGGTGATATCCCTTCTTTCAAGCTCTTCGAGAGCGACAAGGTCTTTGCCTTCCTTGACATCCAGCCCCTCAGCCGTGGACACGCGGTAAGTGTCACCTCCCCGTGAACTTCACATATATCCATTCCACCCAATTGATCCCCGCACGACGCCCTATCCCTATTACCATAACAGTTCTTTAAAAGAACCATCAACATCAAAATCAACCACTTTTCCCCCTTCCCCCCCCCCTATAACACACCCCATCATCTCCGTATATCTCCCCACAAACCAATTCAAGCTAACACCAGTCTCTCCCGAACAGCTCGTGATCCCCAAATACCACGGTGCTAAGCTCACCGACATCCCCGACGAAGATCTGCGGGAAATCCTGGTATGTACAAACCACCACCTCCCCCAATCTCCAAATCCAGAGGGACCCCCTAGCGTCCTTTATATGCAGACCCAAGGATCCAAAACGAGGACCCTGCGAGCCCCATCCCCGCACAGCCACTAACGCATCAATAATCCCGCAGCCCGTCGCAAAGAAGATCGCCCAGGTTACTGGCGCCGAGGACTTCAACATTCTGCAGAACAATGGTCGTATAGCCCACCAGGTTGTGGATCATGTAAGTTGACCCGCCCTGTGCCGGGGGGATCAGTTAAAGAAAGGTAGAGAGTGGTTGGCTAATGTGGATTTTCTTGGGGTTAGGTTCATTTCCATATGGTATGTTATCTTTTCTTCCTTATCTGTTCGGACAGGTGTCGAGTTGGGGAGAGGGATGAGAGAAAGTATGTATGATGCTAACAAACCGAATAATAGATCCCCAAGCCCAACCAAACAGAAGGTCTCGGTATCGAGTGGCCCGCCCAGGCTACTGACATGGACAAGCTTAAGGCTTTGTTTGAGGAGCTCAAGTCTAAGATCTAAAGCAGGTAGTACATACTAAAGGGGCGTCTTGCACAGAGGCGTTTATCGACCATGTGCTACGGGTTTGATCTCTGTTTGTACAACAGGAAATCCAGGCTAAAGAGCAATACACATGTGCTACGCTGTAGAAAATGGGGATGTGTAAGACTACACCGTAAGTATGAGCAATTCATTAACGCGAAGTTCATTGCTCCATAAAGAATGAACCGCGATCCAAGTATACATGCTCCATCCCAGACAAGTAAAAGCTGTATTTACATGCCGCACAGCGTGAGCGTTATTATAACAAGTACCCTCTATCAACACACTCTAGCCATCTATAGTATATTAAGGCCGGCGGCACATCACTCGGCCTTCTCGCCGCTAAGTGCGTTGCCGTCGACCTTGCTCTTGGTGGGATAGAACTCGATCTTACCTCCACCTTGGATAACGTCCAGTCTGTCATATAAGGAAGTGGCTCGTGCATATGGGTCAAGCTCCCAGTACTGGGCCCTCAGCCGTTCGATCAGGCCCTTTCTCTTGTCTACCACCGCCTTAGCGGTGCTCTCATCCTTCTTCTTCGCCGAAGAGATCCATTCGATGGTGACGTCTTGGAGCTCCTGGGCGAGCTGCTGCCTTTCGGCCACCAATTCGTCGCGCTTGGCCGTGTCCTCCTGGAGCTTGTTCTCGTCGGGCTGAGGCTCAACATACTGATAGGCCCAGTCCTCGTCGCCATCTAGTTCTTTCATGATGCGGTCCTTGGGGATAAACTTCTCGAGATCCTGAACGTTTTTGGTGAACTGGATCTTAGATGCGACAACAGGGTCGAGCCAGCCTTTAATAATATTCCAGATTCCTATCCCCGATGTTAAATTAGATCTCATCATTGTCGTGCCTGGGGTAACAAACCTGAGAAGATCCAAGGAGCCTTGTGGATGAGAACAACCCCGAGACATTCCGGGTAGTTGGCTTCGAAGCACTTGATCATATACTTCACAGGATGATAGTCCTAGAGCAAATTAAAAACGGTGGCAATTTGATCCCGACGAGTGCACATACCATGTTTGCTAGAGAGAAGTCGGTCATATCAAAGACGACACACTGTTTATCCGTCAGAAAATGTTTCCTGTTGGACATGTCTGTATACTCACGGCTGTTTCAACCGGGGGTGCAAGCATCATCCGGGCAGACTCAATGGTATACACAGTGAACCGGTCTAAGGCTTCTGCGTCCTGATCGGCCGCCTTGTGCAAGCGCACTCTGACGACGCAAATTGGTCGTCCGAGTTTGTCCACGCCATGGAGGAAGCTCTTACCCATGCGCATTTGCAACAAGAACTCTTCGCCAGTCTTCTTCTCGGTGGGATCGGAACTCTGGGATTGCTTCAAGGCATGTTGCTCACCGTTCTTCATGATATCCTCATCCAACTTCACATCCAACAGTCTCCAGCGAAGCGTGGAGATCATCATGATCAAAGCTTTTTTGACATCCCACTTTCGTGCCCGCAGGAATCGCAGAAGTAAAGAATCAGGGTTGTCATGCTTGACCATGTTCCAGAAGGTGACCCGGATCTCTTCGGGCTTCATGTCCACAAGGGCCTGCTGAAACTCTTTCGACTGTCCATACTTGTCATCTCCGTCGGTGATGTTGATGGAGGCGAGACTGGAAGTGATGCCATTGGTGGACTTTTCACTGGCGGTATCTTCCTCCTCTTCAATGTTGCTCCGCCCAAAGAGACCGAACCGCCGCTTAGACTGCTTCTTCTTCTCTTGTGGTGCGCTTGAAGGGGTGGAATCACCGGATTGCTGCTGTAGTTGCTCAACAGCATCCATATTGACACCGCAAACCTTCAGCAGCAGGACCCAGAATTCTTGTAGCTTGGCCTCCTGCTCTGCTGTGAGGTTCCCCACAGTTCCGGGCTGTGCTTCCATAGGCATTGTTCTCAGGGTTTCAATGACTCCGAGGAAAGGTGATTGTGATTCTTGCTCGAATTCCAGAGAGGCCGAAACTTCAGAGATATCGCCTCCGAGATTGCGAAATTTATTCTGTATACAGGCCCCTGTACCGATAAGGAGTAAGGCGAGTGTGACTGACCAGAAAGACGAAGCCTGCCTCGATTCGCAAGGTTGTGACAACGGAGAAGTGGAGAAGGGTCGTCTAGAGGGCCGAGACCAAATCAAAGGGGTTCGATTAGAGTCCCACGGTGTGAGGATCTGTGCGCGCCCTGGATGGAGCAGTCTCTCCAACGCAAGTTGGATAGAATTGGCCGAGGGAGGAATTAGACGGCGGCGCAGGAGGGAACAAGCATGCATGTGCTTATTCTTGAGGGCCAGAAGGCGACAGGAGATAGACGAGTCGGATCCCTAGGGACAGGTGCGTCGGTTTTCTTTTCCCTTCGTGCTCGTGGCTCCAACTCGCTAGGTGAACAGCCACCGAAGAGTAAAATGAAAGACGAAGATCCGAGCCTAAATTTCCAGCCGGGAATGCGGGGAAGGAAGGCGAGAGGGAGGAGGCGAAGTGGCAGAACTGAGAACAGACGAGGCAGTCGGTTAGAACCTTAAGAGATCAGGGCTCATCTGAGAAGGCCAGGGGAGTTCGCAGGGGTGGATCCGGGCACAATTGGGAACGATGAAGCAAGCTATCAGGATTATTTCAGTGGATTCCAGGACTGATTGCCAGTCGTGTGCCAATCCAATCCGACGCCATCCCACCAGGGGTCCTCCGGACTAGACGGAAGACTAGTCCTAATTATAGGCCGATTGGCGGCCGCCATGTCTCACCGCCTGAGGCATCCAGCAGGGTCCAGTGACCGGCCCTTGCCCAAAGCGGGGATCAACATCAACAAACCCAACCTTTTGCGATTCCTCCAACCCGCCTGAAACACCACCAGTTGAGGTCTCATATTTGTGACAGCTTTGCTCTTTCGAGCCAGGGTCTTCCCTCAACTGTTCGTGCTTGGCCTTACTTCACCCTCCCACTTCGATACCCAATCTCGACATCGTCATGGATGCGCTTGCCCGCTCATCGTCTCGCCCACGGCCCTCTTCCAGACCCACGACCCCCCTGAGACCCAGTTCCCGGTCGTCAATCCGCGAGGCCCATGGATATGGCAACATCGGGATGGGAGGCTATACCCAGCCTGCCATCAATGCGCTGGAACCTCAGTTCGCAGAGCTTGCGGACTCCATGGCCGATCTCGAGGCGAACTTTATGCACCTTCAATTGATGCATGAGAGCTTGACGCGGTTCAGTGAGAGCTTTGCCAGTTTTCTATATGGGTTGAACATGAACGCGTTCTGCGTGGACTTTCCGGAGGTATCTGCTGCTGGAAACCTAGTCCGATTTCGATTCATCAGGCTGATCGGCGAATACAGGCTCCGATTCCCGAGTCATTTCGAAGAGCAAAGCAAGCAGAGACACAGAATGGTATATTTCTACCATCGCGATAAGCATTATCAAATACTGACACCGGGAGCAGAGGCTGAAGCGGAACAAATACGACCAACAACCGACGCTGATGCGACATTCATGTGAGTTGCTACGTCACTGTTGCTCGATGGGTCTTTCTACTAACAAAGATGATGCGCCTAGGACTACGGACACTTCCTTTATTGAGCATCCTTCCGCCATAGTCTCCTCAAAACCTACAGCCAGGATCCCGGCTCCTTCGCGTGGCACCACAAGAGGATCAACGCGTGGCTCGACGAGTGGTCGCTATACGACAAGAGGCACCAATCGCGCTCGCCCAAGCGCATTGCCCCGAGGAAGGGGGTTGCGATGAAGGCAGGAACCGGGAACCTAAAGTTTATTGGTAGGGTGCAGGCATGCGGAGGCACAAAGACTTGCGCGTAGGGAACGGTTTGCTATTGGCAACCCGCAGAGAAACCTTACAGTCAAGAACGCGCCCCGGAACCTCGCAAGGAACGTTGTTTCTGATAGGAGAAGCTAATGATGGTTGCATTTCAGTGACACAAAGCCTGCCGAGCGACATGCACGACTTCAGCGGCACGGGTCCTTCTGTGCGATGGAACACCTACCTATCCTGAAGTTGTAGACTTAATTTGCCGATAGGCTGGGAAATTTCCCTCCTGGGTTGAAGCCAGGAACTATATTCAGAGCCCGAGAAATGGCCTGAATGAAGGGTGGCAGCATTAAGTGATGATAGAAGTATAGAATGCAAGCGTTGGGCCGTTGTGGCCTTGTGGCCTGGATAAACCTCGAGTAGTCCCCAGAGTGACCCACCCTGGGGTAAGTGGGAACCTGGGAGAAAAGTAGTACTAGAATGTCTCCATCCATTCCAGATGTATGGGGATCAAGACTGGACCCGATTAAGGGACTGGCCATGCCTGGCGATGCCTGCATCTCATGGTAAGTAAGAAAGAAGTAGGTACTAAGTAAGTAACGATCTCGGATCAAATGCAGTCCCGGTTTCTTATCGCCCGGAGCCGCGGTCGACCCTTGCCTAAAAAAAAGATCTGACTCGCTTCCAGCGCCTACGGTGCCTTCGCTCAAAGGCATCTTAGAATTCTTCATCCCATTCCGGTCTGCTTGGCTGGTGCCTGCCATTCCAGGTCCATCCTGAAAGAATCGCCGGCGTGAGACAAAGGCCCGACTGACAGACTGGCCGTAATCCCCTCCGATCCCGACTGCGGAACACCCGGTGGCTGCGGAGAAACACTGACTGCTTGCTCCTTTTACTATCTACTATCTACTATTTAGTACGTGTGTCGCTCGACATTCCATTGCCTCGGCGGGTTTGTTATTGGCACATCCTTTGAAGGTGCTTTCTCTCTTCATTCCCATTGGACCCCCAGGTGTCCCCTAGTAACACACAACGCTGATGTGACTGAGACCTGCAGAGTCCTCGAGGGTGTTACAATCCATGGATTCCTTCTTTATCTGCAGTTGACCTGCTGGACATCTACTTTGTCTACTTTCCTAGCACACACTCTTTCATTCGGCTCGACGGGGAGCCTCATTCTAGACTGGGCCAAATAGGCTTCAGTGGGATCTTTAACACTACCCTTATCATCCCACTCATTTCAACCACACCTTCTCAAATGGCTAGCGTACACTCCATATCACTCCTCTCAGAGGCCGCATATGGCTGCGGTATGTACAGAAGATGCGAGAATCTGTCCGTGATTTTTGTCCCATTACTGACCCGACAAAGAACATTTGTCCGCACAACTGGGACAATGTGTGAGCACTGCTGAGCAGTTCAAGACCGCGTTTATCAAAGCACATAATGCTCTCAGCAATTTTCCACGCCCCATGGACTCGTCTGTTAAGCAGAACGGTCGCCTCAAGGCCAGGGGCCTTTTGAAGCCTAAGTACACCTGCTTGACATGTTCTGAGGCGATGTCAATAGGCGACCGGAAAGCCCATGCCGAGAAGACTAGTCATCAGTTTTGTGAGTGGTTTTTCTCTTTTGTCTACCTGCATCGGCTAATCATCTGCCAGACATGGATTCTAGAGGCCGCGCACTGTACTGCCAGGCTTGCAGGGATTTCGTCTACGACCACGGTTTAGAACGGCTTCGCTGCTCAACAGCGGAAAGCACTTTAGAAGGTAAGCGCCTGGTTCTTCTACTGTACTCGTCACAGCACTGACATGAAGAAGTCGCCCGAAAACGTCGCTTTAGCAATAGCTCTGCGGACGAACTTTATATTCGCAGTAATGCTAACAAGCGTCCATGTGCCAAGCAAGGCGTCAGGGGCTTGTTTAACCTAGGGCAAACCTGCTATCTCAATGTCATTCTTCAGACACTTCTGCATGACCCAATACTCAACACCTACTTTCTTGGGAACGGTCATCAGCCACACGACTGTACTGCCTCTGACTGTGTGGGATGTGCAGTTGCTGAGGCTTTTGCCGACTTCAACAGCAGCGACAAAGCAGAGGGTTTCGCGGCTCTCAATCTTCTCTTGGCGACATGGCGCGCAAGTCCTGTATGTTGCCTTGGCCCTGTTTCCCATCAACTAATGTTAATGATGGACATCTCAGACTTTGGCGGGCTATCAGCAACAAGATGCTCATGAATATTACCAGTTTCTTGTCGACAAACTTCATGCTAGCACTGAGGGACACCGAGAAGGTCATGAAAAGGGCTGCCCTTGTTTCTTCCATAAGACCTTCTACGGAAAACTTCGAAGCAGCGTGACCTGCGACAAGTGTGGCAATGTCACGCGAACGGATGATCCTATGGTGGACCTCAGTCTCGACGTCCAGGTGCAAGCGAAGAAGCGCGCCATGGGTGGTATAGGAGTATCATCGACGCCTACCCTAAGTGGATGCCTGGATAGCTATACGTCCCCGGAGAAACTCATGGCAGGCGTGTACAACTGCAGTCACTGCGGCGGAACACCCCAAAAAGCAACCAAGCAGTTGCGAATCCGCAAGCTGCCGGCCATTCTGTGCATGCAGTTGAAGGTAGGATCCGCTCCGTATTGATCAGTAATCGTGGGTCTATAAACGTTTACTGACCTCATCACAGCGCTTCGAGCACACGTTTTCAGTCTCAGAGAAGCTAGAAGGCAAGATCGACTTTCCCTTGTCTATCAACATGCTCCCCTATACGACCGTCCCACATGCCAAGGTTGATAGGTCAAGATTCATTTATGACCTCTCATCTGCCGTAGTCCACAAGGGCAAGCTTGATGCGGGGCATTACTATGTCTACTGCCGTCAGGGCGACGAGGTACGTTCTTCTCCTCGTGTGCCTGATACTCCCTGATACAACACTCACTAACCTGAGCTATCAGTGGATGCTTTTTAATGACGACCAAGTCACAGCTGTCACGGAGGCCGATGTCCTCAATGCTGATGCTTATCTCTTATTCTACAATCTTCGATCTCTCGCTTCTGCACCGCAATAGAAGCGTGTACACAGCTATCATGGAGACTGATGTCCTCAACGCTGATGCTTATCCCTTAATCTACAATCTTTGATCTCTCGCTTCTGCACCGCAATAGAAGCATGTACACATACAATTCTCGTGTACTACTACATCATATCCGGCGGTTCATCTCTCGCATTTGGTTTCAGTTCAGCGACCCGGAGTCATGGCAAGGAGTTGATTGTCTGTTTGGTTGCATGCTCGTCTAGGCGAGAGGTGGCTGGCAACTTCCATAGATGCAAGACCTGGTGTTTGGCTTTTTTAATTGCTTAGACATAGTGGAATAGGTTAGCGCTGTGCTTGTTGAAAGACTACAGTAGAAGGCATCTGCGATAGGTTCATGCATAGCTGTTTAGCTAGATTTCAATACAGTATTGCCTTATCGTGCCATTGGCCTTGTCAGGCTTGCCCTGATGAGCGCCTAAAAGTAGGATATCTGTACGATGTGACGCACAAGGTCGACACCTAGACTACGTGTCCTACACCGGGGCTGGCCATCGGATTCCGCAGTCGCACAGGGAGAAACGCGCAATCGAGCATGCGCAGTGACATAGCTCATGCAGACTACGCCCACCAGAGCCGCACTATGAGAAGCAGCCCTCAATGAATCAAAGTTGGCCTTTAACACCCTTATCACAGAAGCAAAAATCCTTAGCAAGATTTCCTCAATTCATTCGATTAAGAATTGGAAAAAGAAAAAGGCTCGACATGACACCTTCGGATAAAATTGTCAACACCGGCATCCGCGCAATATTTCCCTCTCTTCCTCTAATTCATCATATCTCCTTCAACACCATTTTAATTCATTCCATTGAAGCAAGCCCGGACGGATTTTAGTTGCAGGTCGGTCGGTTCAGGCGAGAGGCTATCGTATCCCTCCACCATGGATTGGTACCGAGCGCCGAGTGCGTTAACGAATCGTCGTGAATAGGAAAATGGGATCGAGAGATTCGATTTAACGGTACTGGATTTGGTGAATAGGGTGTTAGTGAGACCATTTCTTTCCTTTTCTTTCTTCTTCTCCGCTCGTATGTGAATATGTGGGTGATATATTGTTCCAAATTCTTTCTTTTCCGATACTGGCATTCCCGGTTCTTTGTTGTTGTATTTGCTTTTTCTTCTTTTCATATCCTCCTTCCCATGCCATTGCGAGATGATGTAGTGGTGGTGATGGTGGATGATGGTAATGGTGAGACCAACCTTGTGGAAACCGATGTCCTGGGACTTCTCACGGAAGCACTGACGGCAGATGTTCATCTGAATGCGGAAACCCCCGTTAGCCAACACATTCCCTAATCCCTATGCGCACGTCCTTCTTATTCAACCCAGGAGATAATTTGATATCCATACCCCGTACTTGCGGATGAGACCGGCGCGGTGCGTGCAGACACGGCTATTTATTTTCGACATCAGCTCATCATCATTCTCATCGTCCCATATCAATCCCAATCGTCTGGAGAATCGCGGTTTACACACCATCCACGGGAGCCCTTGCCGAACCTATACGAAACAAATCCATTAGCCACACACAAATCACCATATCTGTCCGGGAGCGATAATTCCTTACTTGCGGGGCCGGCTGTACCAGACGGACTCGTGAGTCATCTTGAATCTGAGGCGAGAGAAACCTGGGGATGAGGGTGTTTGGCAGGCGGTTTGTCGTCGCTGGGCGTTGAGGGATTGAACGAAAAGGTTAGGGTCGAAATTCCGTTGTGTGCTTTCCTGTTTCCGTGATGCGGGCTCGGACCATCTCGCTTGAGTGCGGCTAAGCCCTTTTGGAATGGTCCGGTCAGGTGATGCCGCCGCTTTCTCCAAGGTTGCGGGTGACCCGATCAGTTCTTCCGCTCCGATCTATATACTCCACTTTCCTGGTCTTTCCAGTGCGAGGAAGTCCATGAGACTCTTGATTCTGCTTGCTTGGTGCTGTCGCACTGATACGATTATATATGACTGTCCCTACGTCTGAATTACGTCGCAACTACATATAGCCAAAATACCATATACCATTCATCATCATGTCTACTCTGTATCTCTACATGCATGACAGAACCCATGAAGCGCAAACCATATCCCCAAGCATGAACACAATCCCACGAAAGGCCCGAAATAAACCCAAATCTCGGCATCCTGATGAGAAGGAAAAAGAAAAAGACCTTTACAGCCACTCAAATTCGCATCATACATCCGATACGAGGTACATTCCACCGTAATGCAATTCCATCTCAGAATTAGAGCTAATCCTATACACACGGATCTAAGCCTATAGACACATAGGTGAATAAGCTACTTCGATTTTGATACGGACAGACAACAGAAAGCAGAAAGCAGAAAGTAGATGATCTTCTCGGAAAACCACCACCTTCTCAGTAACCATACGTCCCCGATAGGTGTTATGTACAGATGCTAAACCTAATGACAGGGGGACTATTCTGCATGTTTCAATGGACCAGAACAGTGACCGTACGGTCTAGATACGGTATGTATTTAAGGACCGGGTAGGTAGGTAGTAGGTAGGCGTGGTAATCTTGGGACCCTGCAGTGCGTACAGCTACCTACCTAGATAGGTAGGTACTGTAAGCTAGTTGATTAGCTGATACCCATCCCCATCCCCATCCCCATCCTCCATCATGCATGCATGCATACATAAGCGGGAAAAAATCATGCAATATGCAGAACTACCCAGAGCATATACACACATCTAGAAGTAATATAAAGTTATGTACTCGCGTACCCCCATTCCTCATCTAGTACAACAAGGAAGGTAAGTACTATTTGATGATAATCTATCTACCGAGTATATCATAGGAACTTGGAATCTATTAGGCAAGAACCATAGAATCCTAAGTAAAGAAGAAGAACACAACATTCCTTGAGATCTTTCGGTGGTTATTATGGGTACCTATCTATAGGGTCAGACAATCCATGCATCAGGTCTAGAATCCAAATACCAATAGGTGATGGTGGACAGCTTTAGCAGCCATTACTCAATTGCGGGATTACCCGCTTCCTACCGACCTACGTATTCAGCTTGCACCAAAGGAATATGTAGGTACGTAGTTGGATAGCTCAGAAGATGAGGATTGATTGGTGTGCGAGTTGCGGTGTCGGTGTCGGTGTCGGAGATTAGCCCGTCCCTGTCTCTCATGGATCGGGCTAGGTATCTACCGATCTATCTATTGCCTATTTGGTAGTTCCGTGCCGGGGGTTCCGGGGATTATTATGTTGCCATACTATGATATAGTATTGGTTTGTGGTCTGGGACTTGAGTCAGATAGGATGACGCGGTGCGCAAGGGATCCAGCCTGGTTGGGTTCTTTCTTTGAGGTGGAGTTAAGGGTCGAGAGCTGAGTGCTGTATAGAAAATGAGCTAAAAAGGACTGCTGGTGGTTTCTGAAGGTGGAGTATGGCCTGGAGGGCACGTAAATTTTGGTATATGTGAAGAGATGATAGGGTTAGTATTGTTCATCATGATGAGCAAAGCGTTCCAGGCAAGAGCTCTTTGCGAAGCTCTTTGTTGCTATACTGGTAGCTCTTCATAGAAGAGAGAGCTGTGTGGGAGAGGAAACCTCTCGATATAAGAAGCGTATGACGCTGCGCCTACTCCACACGGTTATATCCGAAGTCCCGTCGGGAGGAAGCGAGACACTGTCTAGATAGACATGGTTGTACTCCGTACATTGTAAACTAATGCGCCATATCGGCTCGAGATAGTCGGTGAAGTTGCGACATGGGCATCATAGGACAGGAGTGGAGTTGCCGGTGGAAGTTCTCGAGCTCCTAGGTATACTCGAGAGCTATTCCTTGGACCCTACCTGGCCCGAGACAATCACGGTTTGGTGCCTTTACCTAACTGGGCCATCTCGCAGGAAGCGGGTATTGCAGGAACCCGAATGTTATGATCCAAGGTGGCTGGGTCGATCATTGGCTATACTGCTCTTTATACTACCCCCGATTAGTCGAATATTAAGAATGCAAAGCATCATGAGGGCCGGTTAAAGCGGCAAGATCGGAGAGAGGCCGGAGAGAGCGGCACGGAAATTATCGTCACTTGCCTAGTATGGCCAAGTGTAGAGCCATGGTTTGGCCTGCTTAGAAATGCGGTCGTGAAGAATTTGCGGACGGCGCCCTCCGGCGGTTTTGCTTACCCCATCAATATAAAAAATTTTCGCCAATCGAACGACTTGGGCCAAAGTTGAAGCAAAATCCACATGGTAGGAAAAGTCTTCGACTTTACGAGAGCCCTGGATGGTCGATCGGGGAAGTGATTGGACAAAGCATCGGAGGGGGGGGTTCCACTCCTACACAGTAGGAGGAACTGGACGCAGGATGTCGTAATTCCTATGTGGAAGGGAAAACCCTGAATAATGCTGACATGTCAGTTTGTTTATCCCTTTTAGGTGACGCGCGGGCAACGAGTGGAAAACATCAAACCATGCCAGACCTCATCCATTCTCCGTATGGAATTGCTGAAGAGCGCAACGCGAGCCGAGTGAGCCGGATGTGCCGAATCAAGGTCATGGGATTGGTTTGATCTTATCAGGCCTAAATTTATGGCGGGTCCACTGGCGATGGTCGGCATGACAGCACGGATGTCCAACATTCCAATACGGCAATGATTGCTGCGCACCTGGTAGGCTTTTGCGGGGAGACTCGCCCATCACGATGGCGGTCTCGAGAAGAAGACAATAGCCATAGTGGACAAGTCATCTCTATCCAACCATTGTTAATCTTGTCAGGGTCAAGTACTCAAGACTTCATGAAGAGCTATGCAAATGATGCCAATGACGTCAACGACCCGACCACCACATCAGATAGATATCAGATCCATCGTGTTGGGCGTCACTGGCGATGAGTCAGTGATGGTCATACGACAATGCACAAGTACGGGTGCGGTGGGCAAGAACTAGAACTGAAACGGGTAAAGACTGAATAAAAATCAGAAGAGGCTCGACCAAACCTGGGCCAAAGAAGCCGTGCAACTGGCGAGAGATCTCCGGGAGACGGATATGTGCGTGTGTGGAAAAGTCAGAGGTGCGTGGGAGTAAAAGTGACCAGAAAGCTCCCTGGAGCATGGCGGTGTTATGCCGCCCGGGCAGTTCACACGGCATACGGAAGGCCGCGGATGTGGATTGCAAGTGATGGAATTACATCCGGTGATGCCAAGCCACGATCGTCGGTTGGGTTGTCAGATGAGGACACTCGTAGGCTGTAGAGTCTAGACACTAAAGAGTCAGAAGCACTCACAATCACGGGCACAGACAGGACGCCTTATTAGTTATTACACAGTAACATGGATGGGCTAGCAAAGCCCAACGTGCAGGCCCGCCCGGTGGGGTTTGGTTTGCTTCCCGAGGGAGGATGATGGATGATTGCCACTAAGCCGGTAGAGATCGACGCTTGTTGGTTGGTGGTGGCTACACGGTCCCTACTTAACTATTACTCACCTACTCCAGATAGATACTATCTACTACATAGAGACTTCATATGGGACCGAGGAATAATAGATAGGTTACACCACAGTGGCACAGAATCGTGCTAGATAAGCCACCGCTCTTCTAGTTTCAGGATCAGCCATCCGCTCCCCTCTTGGGGTTGTATACTTAGATAGATAGATAGCTGGCTGTCGCTTCCAGACCAAGATCGTCGCCCGAACCTAATGTTAGGTCGGCGCCAGCACATCCTCCGTCCGTACCTGGCCATCGCATGCACCGCTCACCTCGCTTGTAGCACCGATCTTTAGTGCCACCGACCATCTGCGTCGCAGCGTCATGCTACACTGGCATGTGCCTGGGTTGACGATCAGCCCACCAGAGCTTGACAATGAACATAACTCATGGGCCAGTTGGGTACATTCCAGCTGGGCCACTCTCCAATAGAGCTGGACTCACAGGCACGGAAGTGCGCCTACATCCACCGCAGTTATGTACTTGTGTAGCCAAAGCCAACACAACTGTCGCGGGATGGTTTGAGAAAAATCCATACGTGAGGGATGTCTTCCATAAATGGGACCGATCGACCTCTGCAGAAAGAGGGGTCGTGATACGACCTATTTATCACGGAGGACACTTCCTCCTTGAGCACATTCCATACAATGTTCCCTCCAATCCTAGCTCACAATGGTCTGCTGCAGCGATTGATTGATTGCTCCGCACTTGCGCGCACTAGTAGACAGGACACTACCATAGTATGGCGTCCCAATTCCGACGTCTCTCCTCCACCCTACCGCGTATGTAAGGGGAGGCAGGACTGAAAGCATGACCACTATCGGTTGATGTCATGAAAAGTAATCATTTCGTTTGCTTTCACGGAGTCAAGACAATCATTCCCAGACAATAGCCCCTACAAATAGCCGCCGGGGGCAGTGACCTCGTCGCGTCAAACAGTAAGCGATTCGTCTGCTTATTGCGTAGCATACGACCAGCGGGAAGACGAGATCTAAGATTTGGGCGTATCGGAACCCCTGCATTTTGGACTCTGGTTATACACCCCGCGATCGGATGATGCTTGCACCATCCACAGCTGTCAGCCAGCGGCCAGGGAGGGATTGATCCGTAGCGCGAGTGCTCTTGTTTACCAATAGGTACGGCGTGGGGACAAGGTTGGGATCAACGGTGTATAGGGCATAGGCCATTGTTGGGGACCGGGATTACTACTCCATGATGCTTGCAGCCTTGTTGACCCGTTCGGACCCATCATCACGGTGATCTCTAATAGATAGTTCTTTGTTTCTGGGCTTGCTGGGGTTCTTGTTGACCCGCGCCATTAGTAATAAAGCCGTGAGGCCGCAAGAACAAGAACCAGAAAGAAAAAGCCCCGAAAAGAGGCGAGCAGGATCCCGAAGCGGATGGAATGGTCCGCTCTAGGCCAGCCGCTAAAGCCCGGTACCTTGGGATGAGGTCATTTCCCACGGCGCCGTCAGCGCGCCGTGACCTGGATCTAAAGTATCCTCCCGGTCGCTCCGGACTTCCGAGAATCAATCGTGCCAAGAATCTGTGGTTTTTTCCCCCCCCTTCTTCCTGTGACCATTCCAAGGGTGCATGGAAAGTAGGTACTTATGTAGATTGAGAATTCACTCTCCGGACGGTGCTCGGGTTGAGGTGACAATTAACGATCACTTAGGCAAACTCATCATGAGTCAGAGGCCTAGAGCTAGTTATAAGTACTCAGTAGTATGTGAGAATGTTGGGAAGGAAGTAAGACGAGAGGAAGAGATTGGCTGACAGGCGAAGGAAACCGAAGGACTAAATGTACTAGAAATGGAAGGAAGTCAAAAAAAAAAAAAGAGAGAGAACGAGAAAATAAGGTTCCAGGCTTGGAGGGCGGTGATTAGTCCAAAAATGATCTGCTCCATCGCTGGATGAGTGGTACCAGCGTTCCCGGCAGACACCTCATGATGACGCTGTTGGAAAGCCGAGGAGCAAGCTATATCACGGCCATGGGAAGATGTAAGGCTTCTAGCAACCATGTATGAACTGTGAAGGTGTCCAGCGCCTGTCATCGTTTGATGCAGCGCCAGCAAGAACAAGGAGCAACCCGATCCGCAACCCGGCCAGGACGACATCCACCAGCGTCAAGCCCAGGCTGTCGACTGACAAGGTCCAACAACGAATTAACGACGGACTGACTGACTGGGCTTCCCTGCTAGCGCGAGGGTGCGAGTAACTCCACTTTCGGCACACGGAGCTTTGGGAAGCTCCAGCACGCGTGTTGTTTCCACGGCCGCTCGGCCTTGTCGCATCCTATCCCCGCCAGCTCCGAAGGAAGGAGAGCAGCGACACAAAGCGAAGAAAAATAATCATGAGTAATGATTGAAAAAGTCTCGCGCGACCCTCTCGCACCCCGGTCTTCTGCCTTCCGTCTCATCTTCCCGTGGTTCACCGTTGGTCGGCTAGGTTCCCTTGATTTCTTCTGCCATTCTTATACTTCTGCCCTCCCCCCTTCCACGACCGCCGTCTGCTTCCATACTTCAGCCCTATCGACCTGCTCCGGCGGATTTCTACGTACTTCCCTCTTCCACCAGCTGGTAGCCGCGCCCATCCGCAACCCAGCCCCTAGTCCATAATTCCTGCCATTTTGTTCGCAGCAATTGGAGCTGGAGTTGGCCTTGCCTTAGAGCTCCAGTGCTCTTGACATCCACTTGTCGCAGGTCGCAGGTCGCAGAAGCATAATCCTGAAACTCCTGCCCGTAAAAAAAAAGATCCCCTCATGTGGCAGCGAGCTTCCCGCGCCGCGCTTGCGGCAGCTTTCTTCCTAGTCTCCATTGCGAATGCTCTTCCCCATGGTGATGACGATGCGATGGACATGGACATGAGCCATAGTGAATCTACTCAGGAATCACACACAGATGACGATAACGACTCCCTCATGAGCTATTTCGCGTATGGAAAACACAGCGGCGCAATCGTGGCTCACATTGGTCTGATGATTCTCGCCTGGTGCTTTATTCTGCCAACAGGTATAGTTTCATTTTGCTACTTTCACAGGTCATGTAAGCTGACGCTTGGAAACACCAGCGGTCATGTTCAGTGTTGCGCGATCACGTTTCGCGCTGCCGTCGCAGTTCCTTTTCCTGGTGTTCAACGCGGTGGGATTGCTTGTTGGAATCATCTACAACAGCCAGACCCCTGGTCTGTACCCGAACAACGCTCACCACAAGATTGGCTGGATCGTGACCTGGGTCATGAGCGCGCAAGTCATCATGTCGTTAATTTTTGCCTACGCTGGCAGAGGCGAGTCGGAATCGAGCTCATATGAGCGAGCGGCCTTCCTCCCTGTCTCTACCGATGAGATGGCTGAGAATGCTCACACCTACCCAGCTGGTATCCGTCATTCATACCGTTGGTCGCGCGACAGTGGACAGGGTACGGAAAGAAACTCCTCTTCCCTCCACAGTCGCCCCAGTTCGCCTTCTTGTTCTTCACCTTCGGATGAGTATGATGGATTCGAAAAGCCCGAGGACCCGATTCCTGAACATTCGTCCCAACCACGCGGTTGGTTCCGCGTCCCATTCTTCGATCGCTTCCTTGCCAGCCGTGTGCCTCGTATGGTCTCCAACCGGGGCCTTGGGATCATCTCGATCATCTATTCCTTTATTGACAGAATAATCTTGCCGTTTGGCTTCGTCGCCCTCACGACCGGTGGCGTGACTTACGGTGGTCTCATGGTAAGTCTCGAGCTTGTAGGATTGTGTAGGTGACGCCGGCTAACGTGCGATGCAGAGAGGAAGCGAGGTCTTTAATGGTCTTGCCCACTTTATCAAAGGCGGCATCTTCTTTTGGTACGGTATTCTTACACTCGGACGCATGCTTGGGTGCTGGGCCGACCTTGGCTGGGCCTGGAACGTGAAGCCGTCCAGTGCAATTGTCGGTAAATGGAAGGCCAAGATCCCCTCTGGTGAATTCGTCGAGTCATTCGTGATCTTCCTCTATGGTATCACCAACGTCTTCCTGGAGCACCTCGCTGGTTGGGGTGGCGCATGGACTGCCACCGATCTCGAGCATGTGTCCATTTCTATCATGTTCTTCGGTGGTGGCCTGTGTGGTATGCTTTTCGAGTCGAAGCGCGTCCGAGGTTGGTTGAACAGCACGGTTCTGCAATACCCCTCCCACATGAGTGCGCACACGTCGACGGATACCGCCTGGCAGCTCCCTGATACTCAGGGTGTGTCGCTCAACCCCATGCCTGCGCTGATCATTCTCCTGCTGGGGATGATGATGGGTTCTCACCACCAAACTAGCATGGTATCCACCATGGTGCACAAGCAGTGGGGCAACCTCCTGGTCGGCTTTGCGCTGGCTCGGGGTATGACCTATGTTGTCATGTACCTCAAGCCCCCGACCTCCTACCTTCCATCTCGTCCGCCGACGGAGATCGTTGCTGCTTTCTGCTTGATGTCGGGTGGCTTGGTCTTCATGCTTAGCGTAAGTCGGAAACGAGGACTCCAAATAAAATGCAAGACAGCTTTGACTAACTTCGGTGATAGACCCGTAGCGTGATCGATTTGTTGGAGGAGTACGACCTCGACGCGATGTTCGTCTTCACGGTCACCATGGGGCTGACCGCCTTCATCATGGCATGCGAAATCCTGTGCATTGCCATCAAGGCCTGGGCGGTGAAGCGGGAGTCTCGCCCTGCGCTGCCGCCCTTCCAATTCCCGGCCTCCGCCTGAGGCAGTTGACAAAAACAACAAAGCCCAAAAACATATCTGCTTTCCACAGCATTATACCCCCTTACAACATCGACTTTCTTTGGTCTGGTGTCAGAACTCGCACATTCGGGTGACGAACATAATACGACCATATATACCACGGCCCTGTTCTATGACTCTTGTTTATCTCTGATGTGTCCCCATGTTAATGACCGATATCCCTGTTATGGAAGAATAATGAGAAGGTGATTGATGACTTTCCTGGATCTATCGATATAATGAATTGGCAAATACTATCTCAACTTAAACTTTTACTCTTTTGTAGCACATGTAATGTGATTGGTTGGGATCCAATCCCGATGCCCCTGCCCTGGCGGTGCCTGGTTCTTGCCTCCATGATCGAATCACCCAGTTTCGGGTGCAATTCAATTTGCATAGTGCATACTCTCCAATTCATATCTATTGCCATACGGAGGACATACTCCATACCAGCACAGTGGAGGTCGATCCCGGTGTTCACTGGCTAAGTCCGGGCCACCGACAAAAAGCTTAACCAGAAAGCGCGAAGCCCGACCTCGGCGGGAATTGCCGGTCGGCAGCTTCTCGCTAGAGGCATCCCGCAAGACCGCCACTCGGCGAATTTGATATGCCCCTGTTCACCTTCTCCCCAGCGACGGACGGTATTCAGAGTCTGGCTGAACGATTATTGGTTATAGCGCCCGTTCGCATGAAAAGAAACAATGTCTATTAGACTGTGTGATGTGAGGCATCCCGCTTTGTTATTCAAGCATTAGTAATAAATGAGGGGCAGCAGGTGGGGAGGGGCATTTTGAATTGGAGAAGGCGGCTCGAGGTGGATGCTGCTCATTTGGGGCGAAGCCCTGTGGATATATCTAGTCGCCGTTCTCCCTCAGTATTCTTGACATTGAAACTATCCCACTTGATCCTGTCTAGCCACTTTCCAAGACTAAACAACCCGTCACCATGGCCTCTAACCCTCCCGGAGCTTGCTGTGCCCAGGGCTTCAAGCATGAAGGCACCCCTGTTGGCGAAGTCAAGAAGATCAACAACAGTGCGTTGTCCGATTGGATCTCTCCCTCATATGTCCCCTTCTAACGGCACCATTGTCCCGTAGTCGACACCTACATTGTCTACCCCAAGGACAACAAGACCCCCGAGAAGGCCGTGCTCTTCCTGAGCGACATTTTCGGTCTGTTCACCAACGCTAAGCTCGTTACCGACGAATTTGCCAACAACGGCTACCTTTGTGTGCTTCCCGATCTCTTCAACGGCGACGCCATCGAGCCCGCCGCCATGGAGTCCGGCAAGTTCGACATTGGCGCTTGGTTCCCCAACCACCAGCCCACTCACGTCGACCCTATCGTTGAGTCGACGATCAAGTACATCAAGGGAGACTTGGGCGTCAAGCGCATCGCCGCTGTCGGTTACTGCTTCGGTGCCAAGGTGAGTTCTCTTCGGACCGTACCAGTCGTGCATCTGCTAATGAAGCTCGCCAAATAGTACGTCTGCCGTTTCATGAAGGATGGCCAGATCGACGTTGGCTTCAACGCCCACCCCTCTTTTGTCACACACGAGGAGCTCGGCGCCATCCAGGGCCCTCTGTCCATTGCTGCTGCTCGTAAGTCTCATTGCATCCCTTGAACACATTTCTGGATACGTGAGCGCATGCTAACTCGTTTCTTGCAAACAGAGATCGACAGCATCTTCACCACTCAGCTTCGTCACGAGTCCGAGGAGACCCTGATCAAGACTGGCCAGCCCTGGCAGATCAATCTGTACAGCGGTGTCTCTCACGGTTTCGCTATCCGCGCCGACCTGAGCAACCCCCACTTCAAGTGGTCCAAGGAGCAGGCTTTCTGCCAGGCCGTCGCCTGGTTCAGACAGTACCTGTAAATGCGTGAAATACAGCATCAGCTGCTTCCTCTGTACATGTTACCATTAGTTAATAATGAACCGACATCATGAATGACTTTAGTGGGGGTGAGGAAGATAGATTGTCGTCAAGTTCTCCGTAGAAAGGAACGATAAGCGTTATCGTCCACGTGACCCCGGAGATCCGCGCTGCGAAAAGGAACGGCGAGACCAGGTCAACTTTAAGCCTAGAGGAATAAGATCCAGCCACCCCGAGAAGCACTACTTTAGTGCTCTTGTTCTCCTCGTCGGGGCTGTCTGGCGTTCTCGGTTAGAGTTCCATTGCCCGCCATCTTTTCGTGCTGTCTGGGTCTCGATTTTTGGCTTGTTTCATCCTGGCCTGATTCCCGTCGCGTGTATACCGGAGTTTGCGTGCATTCTTTCCGGCTTCAACCAACTGGTTGCCAATGACTTGCGGTCTATAAGTTCCTATCAGACTCAACAGACATATTCCACTGGACCATTCTATTCGGGTTCGCTCCTTTCTTTTACCTTGGAAGGCTTCGTCAAGTCTCCGAAACCGCTCCATCGCCCCCTAGACTCCACCAGCACTCTCGACACTCACCGTCCGACATTATTAGATCCTTCACCTTCGACCCTATAGTGACGCCTCGCTCTTGATATACGCTACTGTAACTACCTACATTATAACCGCAATCTCGCTACGCTCAAACACCAACCACCATGGCTACACCCGCCGCTCTGCCGCCGCTGCCCTTCAACCCGTCTAGGGTACGATCTTACGTCCTCCGTCTCCCTCTGTTCACACGACTTGTACTTTTAGCGATCCTTGTCTTTTGGTTGCTCGAGTTGCAGACCGTGTGGAGCGTGGTGCAATGGGGGTCCGTTATACCGGAGGAGATTGGGTTCGGTAGCAGTATGTCTTCTCGGGCACACGTGGCCTTGCAAGTATAGCTAGGTTCTGACGCATGGGACAGTGTACCGGCTCAACACGTATCCTTTCATCCATTTGGGATTCTTCCACACCTTCTTGAATGTGCTGGCGCTCACGCCGCTGTTGGAACGCTTTGAGGCCGAGCACGGCACATTGACCGCCGTCGCGCTGTTTATTGGGCGTAAGTCTGCTTCCTTGGCGTTTTTGAACGGATAGGCAAATTGAATTAGGTGTGCTAACCTGGGCGTTCCCTTATAATAGCTCTCTCCACGCTTCCGGCGGGCGCTTATATCCTGGTTGAGAAGTTTCTCTTGCACAGGAATACCGCTATCGTGGGCTCAAGGTGAGTGCCCTATATTGCGTCGCAATATATATGAAACAGGCCCTAATGATCTTCAGTATCTGGGTCTTTCTTCTTTTGGGCTCCGAGGCTATTAGGACGTTCAAGTCGAATCCCTACTTTAGGTATATACAACCACAAATTTCTCCTTGAGGTTTCTAGACTAATGCAGCTTTAGCCTGGGGACGACCAAGATCCCCACGTGGACGTCGCCCCTGTTTGCCTGTGCTCTTGTCTCGATTCTTGTGCCGAACACGAGCTTTCTTGGACATCTGTGTGCTATCTTAGTTGGGTACTTGCGTAAGTATGCATCTTCTGTAAACTTAGGTTCGCGGCTAATTCGTGCTCGTCAGTCGGACTTGGATTCCTGAAGATCTTCGTTCCCCCGGAGAAGGTGCTTAGATGGATTGAAGGCAAGCTTAACCTCCTTGGTAGACTGCCACACTACGTGTCAGTGGACCAAAAGACGTACGGTCGTTATGGTGTCCTTCCAACAACGACCACCGGTGGTGAAAGGGGAACCCCGATGAGCTTCCTCGGCTCGTCGCAACGCCTTGGCCCGTGAGAAACTAGGGCCTACCTGGAGAATACTTTCTTGTGCATAATTAGTTAGCATTATACGGCATTCAATAGTCCCCGCAATTTTGTGGGGAAAGCAAATAATAATGGATTCGGCATGAAGTTGTGCAGGTGGTCTATAGCGGTCAACGTAAATTTGCGGGCAGTCGATTAGTGCTCCGTAGCGGCTGTAGACATCCCGGACCGTCAAGCATCACCACCATGGGACTAGGTCCCCGAATGCCTCACCTCCCATGGCCTTGAAATGTAAGTTACCCCCTTGAATGTATTATGGAGTCAAATCTATTCCACTGATCCCACCGAATCCGCTTCACCCCTTTCCAATCCCAGCTACCCACCCTGATCACCTTACCCCGGATTGTCGCGAAGGACACCTCAGACCAGACCACGCTGACAGAGAACAACTATAGCTGTGATCCGCAAGTTGCGGAGTAACCCCAACTTTCTCTTCGTGCATCTACCGCATATCCTTTCATTCATCTGCATTGTCTCCGGCGTCGTCTGGTTGCTCCTCCTTCCCCTCAACGATTACTCCCGGCAAACCTACATCTCCGAGAATGCGCTTCTGCCCGGTCAAGTCCACGCCTATTTCTCTGGCAGCGAGCAGCATATCTTTCGTGGATACAAGAAGGAGCTAGAGGGCATACTAGCAGGGCAGACCGAGGATGGACAAGAAGGGTGGAATGACAAGTTCACCCCAGCGTGAGTTATTGAAACTCCGCACCGCCAGTGTATTCGATAAGGATGCATTGCTAACTGGGTATGGGTGTCTGTCAGGGTGTCGGATAAGATTCAATCAATTCTGAAAGCCACCGGCCTCAAGGTTGCCACTCAGAATTACGAGTACACGTCGTCCGGTATCAAACACCAGGGACAGAATGTCTATTCAATTATCCAGGCGCCGCGTGGAGATGCCACGGAAGCTATTGTGCTAGTTGCGGCTTGGAAGACGGTGGATGATGAACTGAATCTGAATGGTGTCACTCTTGCGCTGACCCTGGCGAGATACTTTAAACGTGGGTGGTTTCTCCTCTTGGTGGTTATAGGATGTTTGGTTTGCTCATGAAAATGGCTGCAGGGTGGTCGCTATGGTCGAAGGATATCATCTTCTTGTTTCCACCGGACAGCAAAGCAGGCACGCAAGCGTGGATCGACGCTTACCATGATATGCAGCCGGCGTTTGTGCAACCCCTGCCGTTGAAGAGCGGCGCGTTGCAGGGCGGCTTGGTGATCGAATACCCGTTTGACCATCGGTTCGAGTCCCTACATATCCTGTACGACGGCGTCAACGGCCAGTTGCCCAACCTGGATTTGTTTAACACGGCCGTGTCCATCACCGGGGGCCAGATGGGCATTGGAACAAATCTTCAGGAGATGTGGGATCATGATGACAGCTACGAAATGCGACTGGAAACTATCATGAGGGGAATGGTCAAGCAGGGCTTTGGTTATGCGACAGGCCCGCACAGCAGCTTCATGCCATATCACATTGATGCCATCATGCTCCAGACGAAAGGCGACGGCTGGCAGGACGAGATGGCGCTTGGCCGCACAGTTGAGAGTCTCTGTCGCAGCTTGAACAACCTCCTGGAACATCTGCACCAGAGTTTCTTCTTCTACCTCCTCATGCAGACCAACCGTTTCGTCAGTATCGGCACGTATCTTCCCAGTGCAATGCTGATCGCCGGTAACTTCACCATCATGGCAATCGCTTTATGGCTCCGAACTGGCTACTATCCAGGCCGCCAGCAAAGCCCTCAAGCCTCGAAGTCCACGAAAGAACAAGCCGCAACTGCAACAGAAAACCGCGACGACAAGCAGTCCCCGGCCCAGACAGACGCCAGCAACATCATCGAACGTCAACTCGCCCTCCCACTCACCCTCGTCGTCGGCCTGCACCTCCTCGGGCTAATCCCTCTCTACATCTTCAACAACATCTCTCACCAGGTCCGCCCCCTCTGCCCCCAAACATACCCCCCAACTAACACACCCCCACCAGTACTACCCAACAGCAACCTACACCAGCATCCTCGCCAACATTATCCTCCCCCTTCTCCTAGCAGCCATCCTATCTCACGGCCTCAACCCCAAACCCCAGCAATACCTCCTCATCAAATCCTTCTCCCTCCTCATGCTAGGCCTCTTTCTTTCCACCCTCGCCACTCTCAACTTCTCCCTGTCCTTCATGATCGGACTCCTCTGCGCACCCCTCACCTTCGTCAACCGTATCAACCCGCACACCACCTCCCGTCCGGTCCGGTATATCCTTGCCATGCTGGGACTCGGACTCCTGAATGTGCTTTCCCCGTCTGTGCTTCTCCTAGCGGCGTGCAGTTACTTCGGGGTTGATGTGGAGACCGTGCTTACGCAGGCGGCCTTCGGATGGGATGTTTGGGGTGTGTGGACGCAGGTGGTTGTTTGGTGTGTTTGGTGGCCGGCTTGGGTGTCGGGATGTGCCTTGGTGGGTTTTTCGTTGTTTAGCTCTTAGATAGTAGGAATCGGGCTTATCGGTTGGGGTTGTGTAGCATGAGTAGAGGGACAAGTGGGTGGATTGTTATGTTATCATTTCAGGTTTGTATTTATAGGTATAGGTTTTCGAACTATATTAGAAGGTGGCGGGTGTTACTTTCGTGGATCTCAATTATAATGAGGTTTCTAGTACTTGTTCGTACATATATGAATGTGGTAGGTACTCTTTTATTACCTGAGCCGGGGACTAACATAAGGGAGAAGAAGGGATGGAAAAGGGAAGAGGGGCAATCTATGCAGCCCACACGTCCTTTCCAACGCCCTCGATCCAGTGGCCCAGCTGGTTGACGCCGGCATCCCAGTCCTTCAGTCTGTTCCGCATGCCCTCGATCTGCTTCATATCCAGCACCTTCGGCTGCACCCAGTTGATCTGCGCGACCTGGGCTACCTGGTCAATGGCACCCTTGAGCAGACCCAGTGACAGCGCCTTCATGATTAGATGTTCGATCTCCTGGGGCTTGACCTTCGTTTCGGCGGAGATGGCCGAGAAAGTCAGGTTACGGTCGTGCGGGGGACGACGGAAGACCATCTCCGTCAGCGCGGACAGGGAGATCTTCTGGTACAGGAAGATGCGATGCTGCGCTAGCAGCTGGTTCTTAGAGATGTTTCCGGCAAGGACGTCGTAGGCGGTCAGGTCGCCACGGTTAAAGGCGAACAGAAGGTCGCGCAGCCAGCTGTGCGGCGTCTCGGTGAGGGAGTCCAGGATCGGGTGCAGGAGGAGTTCACCAAAGTTGTAGATGGTGTCGGAGACGAGGGCGGCCACACTGAGGTTGTATGCGCGGGAGACACGCTCCGCTTCGCTGAGGTCCTCGAGATTAATGCAGGCGAGGTAGAGGAGTGCGTTCTTGTAGAAGGAGGCGAATTCTTGTTTGGCCTGGAGAATTGGGTGCTTGGTTAGTGAATCTCGGGTGGCGGGTGCGGGGAGGCACCTACGTGATAGTAATCCGCGTTGACTTTGTAGAAGGATGCATGCACGACGGTCTCCACGGAGTCGAACTTGTCCAGCACTTTCTGGCATATCTCCAGGTCCTTCTGCGCGCCGTTCAGATCTTGTAGCCGTTGCTTGACGTTGGCGACATCCGCAAGGGCGTAGATGTAAGCATCTTGTGACTCGGGCTTGTTCACTTTGTCTGCCAGAGATGTGAGGAAAGAGAGGCGTTCTTGGTCATCTGCATTCAGGAGCGTTAGCGAGGACTTCGGCTCGGCATGGAGCTATAGGTCGATATGGCGGGATACGAACCGGCACACTCTGTTGATGCCATCAATCCCAACGAGACAAACTTGAGCTGATTGATTCTGTCGGCGAAGCTGAGAACGAAACTCTTGAATATCGGTAGTCGCTGGGCAGCGCTCTCTGGTAGGCGGAAGAACTCGACCAGGGAGTCCGTAAGCTGATGCCATAGTTTGCGCTCCCAGTAGTCTTCGAAGCTTAGGAAGTAGGCCTGGCTCTGCTCGGGAGCTTGCTGCATCTGATCGGCGAGGAAATCGGAGATCCGTTGGTTCTCCATGGTTGCGGAGGACTCGGGGGTGTGATGGACGGTCTGGGAAGGGATGGATGGAAGGTCGGAGGATGTGAGAGGGCGAATGGATGTAATCGGGGCGAAGATGGGGCAGGGAAGCTGATCTGAAGATGGAAGCGGAGCTGGTCGTGATGGAGCGCCGTCGAAGCTCGGGCGGTGAGGCACATGACATCGCCAACGACATCATCCTCGCCGGCCTCCCATCTCCTTCTCGCCGATTCACAGATCCCAATAGCGCGCAGATCTACTTGAATTCCAAGGTGGTCGCTAAGACAGCTTTGGGAATAGTTGGGACCAAACATCTAACATGATTGCAGGACGACAGTCAGACTTTGGTCTGGGCCCAGATGGCCTACAAGATGTGTCCGATATGTCTCCGAGCTTGCCATATCCGCCTACGTTCAGGCCGATCGTCCCTGGACAGTAAAGCTATAAACATGGCCAATTTGCACCTCGAGCTGTGTTCTCCTGTAGTTCTAAACTGCTCTGGCTTTCCAACAGCTCCCAGAAAATCTGAATCTTTCGATAATATCCATTGTTGTTATCATCTAAGTTGAACATTTACATCTCACCATGGCAGAGCACACCGAGGTGAACCGTCAATACTTTGAGTATGTACATAAGGACTTGTTATGCCTCAAGCATTGCGACTTACAGATCACAGGAAATTGGCCAAGTCCTACAAAACCGATTTTCAAAAGATCCTGGAGGCAATATGCAGGCAGGTAGATAGTCGCCGTTCCTGGATCAGTGACACCTGGACCGACACAGAGGCCGGGAATGGAAAGGAGATCAAGATGCTGGAGTATGCATGTGGGCCTGGTGCTGTCTCTTTGGTAAGTTGCTATGCCTTTACCTAGGTGCTGTCGAAGTGAGCAATATCATGAGCCTCAAGCTAACATTACTGTAAGACATTGGCACCCTTTGTTTCAAAGGTTGTTGGCTTGGATATCTCGGAAGGGATGATCGACGAGTACAACAAGAATGCTCAGGAAGCGGGCTTCGGAGACAAGATGACCGCGCTCAAGGGCGACCTCTTGGCCGAGACTGCTCCAGAGGAGCTCTCAGGGCCCGAGTACTTCGATTTTGACATCGTGGTGGTCAGCATGGCTCTCCATCACTTCGAGCGGCCGGATCTGGCTATGGCCCGCTTCTGCGAGCGGCTGAAGAAAGATGGCGCGTGTCTTATCGTTGATATTGTACCAGCCGACGACGATCACCACCACCATCACCACCACCATCATGGCCCTCATAAGGTTGAGCATGGTTTTGGCAACGCCGAGCACACGGTCAAAAGCCATGGTTTCACCGAGGAGCAGATGCGGCAGCTGTATGAAGGCGCAGGGCTAACTGGCTTCAAGTATGAGATTATGGACGAACAGGTTGTGTTCCATAAGGATGGGAAAGAGTTGATCAAGACCCTCTTCATTGTTCGTGGACAGCGAGCGTGAGATGAATGGATTATAACATTTCTTTGTAATAGGAGCTCAGATGAAAATTGAGCGCCTGCTAATACCATTTGAAGCAAACAATTTTCTTATTTTCAATTAAATCCGTCCCAAAAGCTCTTTCCATGCCTGTTATACTCCGTAGGCTCGGTCGATATGACGATGATGAGCGCCTCGGCCAATCAGAGTTCTCGAATAGTCAGACGCGATCCGGTGTCAAGTCTTCGGTCGGCCACCGAGCGCGTTTCCATGCTGGAACTGGATATGTGAGTGGATTAGCAGAATCGCCAGTCTGGCCTGAATGTAATTGGCCCCTTGAAATCTGGTCTTGCATTCTGATGAGGGAACGACGAACAGTTGAAGGGAGCGAGGTGCTGACCGAAAGGGGACTAGCGCGAGAGTCCCGTGCCAACTCCAGGATATTCGGGACCACGACTTTCGACCAGCTGCAGCAGCACAAGTCCTGACGTCGAGCTCCGCTCTCTCCCCTCTCCTCCTTACTGTCCATCGAACCTCCGATCCGGACGCAATTCGGTGGTCTCATCCGATTCGCAAATTGAATTGAGACCATGCAGACGTCCCGGGCTGTCAATTCCGCCATGGGCTCGAGGGCCTTTGCCCCCGCCCCCAAGTTCCAATTCCAGGCCCAGCGCCGGAATCTCCAGGATGTTGCGATCACTAGAACTGGAAAGCCTCTCCTGAAGGTCCAAGGTGGACGGTAAGGGCGCATGTCCCGATGTGGCGGAGCTTCATGATGCTGACGGGTCTCTTACCACAGGTCCTCTCTGGGAGGTACATCGCCCTCGTTCTGCCCCCGCCGGGTTCGCATGCTGTCAGACGGCTAAATCTGCTCTTCTCTAGGTCACACCGCGACTGTCTTCGGTGCCACTGGCTTCCTCGGTCGTTACATCGTCAACAAGCTCGGTATGTTGGTTAATTGGTCGGCCGGGAGCACAGAGATTGACGCCGTTTAGCTACGCAGGGATGCACCGTTGTCGTCCCCTACCGTGAGGAGATGACAAAGAGACACTTGAAGGTCACCGGTGATCTTGGCCGTGTCAACTTCATTGTATGATAGGCACAATCCGCGCTTGGGGGGTCTGGTTAAGCCCACTAACCATGTGGTTTAGGAATACGACCTGCGCAACACTCAGTCCATTGAAGAGGCTGTGCGCCATTCCGATGTCGTCTACAACCTTGTCGGCCGTCAATATCCTACCAAGTCAGTCACCAGGACCGAAGCCGTGGCGAAGCGCCGCTAATCGCTTTGCAGGAACTTCACCTACACCGATGTCCACGTCGACGGAACGGAGCGCATTGTTGAGGCGGCCGCCAAATACGATGTTGACCGCTTTATCCATGTCTCTTCCTACAACGCCAACCGGAGCTCTCCTTCCGAGTTCTTTGCGACCAAGGTCCGTGTGTCGAATGATGTAATGGCTGTTCACATGCTGATTGTCGTAGGCCTGGGGTGAGGAAATCGTCCGCTCCATCTACCCCGAGACCACCATTGTCCGCCCTGCGCCCATGTTCGGTTTCGAGGACAACCTCCTCCACAAGCTTGCCCGTGCGAGCAACCACCTCACAGCCAACCACATGCAGGAGCGCTACTGGCCCGTTCACGTACGTTAAGAGCAGCGGATCTATTCCGGCAGATGCTAATAGATAATAGGCCATTGACGTCGGTGCTGCTCTGGAGCGTATGCTGCATGACGACAGCACTGTGGGACAGACCTTCGAGCTTTACGGCCCCAATAACTACTCGACTGCCGAGATCGCTGAGCTGGTTGACAAGGAAATTGTCAAGCACCGCCGCCACATCAACCTTCCCAAGGCGGTCCTCAAGCCTCTGGCTTACTATCTGAACAAGTACCTCTGGTGGCCCACCCTGTCGGCTGACGAGGTGGAGCGCGAGTTCATCGACCAGGTGATCGACCCGAACGCCAAGACGTTCAAGGATCTGGACATTGAGCCTGCCGAGCTCAGCAACCTGACCTTCCACTACCTTGTAAGTGAGATGCACTCGTTGAGTGGACATTTGGCTAACGATGAATAGCTGGGCTACCGTAGCGCCTCGTACTACGACCTGCCTCCGGCCACGGAGCGGGAGAGACAGGAGGAGAAGAAGTACCTGCACGTTCTCGACGACCAGTAGTCTGTTTTTTTAGTGTACATAACCCTACTAGACCCATTATTTCGTTTGTTCCTGGCAGTGTAGTGATACTGTAGACTATCAACATCAAGTTTCCGTCCATCAGTCATAATGATTACCGGGATGCATCTCATCCCACTCGGCTTGTAACAAAGCGGTAATTGAAATACAAAAGGTTCCAAAACTCCAAAGTAATACAAACAATTCAGCTTTTCCTGTCTCCATGAAGCTTTATATCCACCCGCTCTAACCCCAAAATCAGTCATAGCATACATACTCTGCCCCCAACCCCAACTCCCCGTCAATGAAACCGTACATCATAACCTAAAAGCGGCACCGGATTACACCTAAACCGGAAATGAGTAGTCCCGTCCGGTCCCTCCCTCACCTATCCAGCCATTCTATCTAGCTACAAGCTATACCTCCCCCTCCTCCGCACTCCTCCTCTTCCGCACCCACCACCATCACGACAATGGACGAACCAACCCCCTCAATCCTCCTCCTAAAAACCAAATCCATCCCCAACGACGGCTACGACGAATTCTTCATCCAAAACAACTACACTCCGACCTTCATCCCCGTCCTCGAACACCACTTCCACGTCCCGAACCTCCAATCCATTCGCTCACAACTCACCTCTGGGGCGTTGATTCCCGGCCCCGGGAGGAAATATGGGGGGTTGATATTTACTAGTCAGAGAGCTGTGGAGGCTTTTGCGTCGGTGTTGGGGAAGATTGATGGTGTGTTTGATTTCCCCGCGTTGCCCCTCATTATTGTTGTTACTGCTCGTGCATATGTATACATTCATATGTATACACGAGAAAGAAGCAGAAGCAGAAGCAGAAGAAGAAGAAGAAGAAGAAGAAGAAGAAGAAGAAGAAGTATACTAATGAGTAAATCGACGAATAGGCGCAACCAAAACGCAACTCCAAACCCTCCAAATCCCAATCTACACCGTCGGCCCCGCAACACATCGAACCCTCACATCGCTGATCCTTCCCCATTTACCGAAAGCACATATTCATGGGAAAGATACCGGGAATGGAGAAAATCTAGCGCGATTCATTTTGGAGCATTACAATTCGCTATATCCTGACCCTTCATCTTCTGTTGCCAAACCGCCCCTCCTCTTTCTTGTCGGTGAACAACGACGAGATATCATTCCCAAGACGTTAATGGATGATGGTCTGCCTGCCGCGGAACGGATCGGTGTTGAGGAGGTAGTGGTTTATGAGACCGGTGTGATGACGGGGTTTGAGGAGATGTTTGGGGCGAGGGTGGAGAGGGAGAGGGCGGTTATAAAGAGGATAATAGAGGAGGGGGATGGGGAGGGGTGGGTGGTTTGGGTGGTTGTGTTTTCGCCGACAGGGGGAGAGGGGATGTTGAAGGGGTTGGGTTTGTTGGGTAATAGTCAGGGTCAGGGTCAGGGTGGAAGTGAGAGGAACGAAGGGGGGGAAGAGAGGAGGTTCTTTGTGGCGACGATCGGGCCGACGACGAGGGATTACCTGAGGGATAAGTTCGGGTTCGAGGCGGATGTTTGTGCTGAGAAGCCGAGCCCCGAGGGAGTGGGGAAGGGGATCGAGAGGTTTATGAAAGAGTGGAGGGCCAAGAGGGGTTTATGAGGGAGTATGAAGTGGGTGGGGGCTGTATGATAGTCGTATACCCATAATTTGTGCTAAGTCATGTTTCAGGTCTATATTGCATTCAAGACGCTAACATATGGACGAAAATTCAGGAGCTGGACTATCGCTGAAACTGTCAGACCACTTTCCACATCAACATCAACTCACGAGATGCCGCAGTCAATGGGCCAATCCAACAAATTATTCCGCCAGGCCGGAGTGCCTGTGGCCCCGCCCGTTCTTCCATGCATCCTGGTGGTATGTGCATACGTCAACTCCGTCCCATCATATCAGGCTTTGCCGTCTGTATTCCATGTCAGGGGTGTATCAATTGCAATCGGTTCATGAAGCCGTCTACCGCATAATCTCCTCGTAGATTAGGACTGCGTGCATGTCAGTAAGGTTCGAGATCACAAGATGCAGGCACACTAACGCTTCAATTGCTCCTTGCTGAGCGCGTCCTTGTTCTTGTCAAAGTCGAAGAACCCTTCGGGGATCGGTGGCGCTGTCGGCTCATCATCGGGGTCGTGGTACGGCTCGAGGTACGGATGGCGCAGCGCCTCTTCGACGGTGATGCGCTTCGCTGGGTTGAAGGCCAGGAGCTTCTCCAGAAGATCCAGTGCCAGGTCGTTGCTCTTCGGGAACATTGCCCGGAAGGGGATCTTCTTCTTGAAGGGAAGCGAGCGAATGTACTCGCGGGCCCGGCGAGACTTGATGCCGTAGTAGTCCTCCATGGTCGGTGTGCCGAGAACATCGAGAATCAGAGTTAGTTGGTGGTGGTCTGTCATTCAACATTAGTTCTGCTGCCATGACACCAGCCCTATCCACTTACAGTCCTTTCCGGGGAAAAGCGGCTTCCCGCTGAGCATCTCTGCCAGGATACAACCAACACTCCAGACATCAATAGCCTTGGTGTATTCCTTGAATGTTAACATGATTTCCGGGGCACGGTACCACCGCGTTGCGACGTATTCCGTCATGAATCCCGAGTTGTCATCGGTCGATGCGGCTGACCGGGCCAGACCAAAGTCACACACTTTCAGATCGCAGTTCGCGTTGAGGAGAAGGTTCGACGGTTTTAGATCACGGTGGAGGACGTTTGCGGAGTGCATAGCTTTCAGCGCACGCAGGGTCTGGTAGATGAAATATTGGCAATGGTCGTCGGAGAGGTCTTGGGTACGAATAACCCGGTGCATATCCGTTTCCATAAGTTCCTAGATACGTCAGTCTACCTTCTTCAGGGTTTCTGTAATCGAGCGTACCTGGATCAGGTACACCTCGTTGAAACTCTCGTAGTTCCGAGGTCTTTGGATATCCAAGATGGAGATGATATTCTCATGGTTGAAGTAGCGCAGCAGTTTCATTTCACGCAGGGTTCGCAGGCAGAACATAGAGTGATCGAACGGAGTGATCTTCTTGATGGCCACCTTTTGGCCGGACGGCTTGTGGATAGCAGAGCTTCGGTTCGATTAGCAACAATCAACGACTCTTCTGAACAAGACTCACCATACGACACCGTAGGCTCCCTCGCCAATGACGTCCTGAATCTCATATTGATCCGAAACGTTGAAGGAGATCTTTCGTGATCCCCCTTGAGGGGGTTGTTGCACCATTCTTGCGGTATATTAGAGCTAAACAGATGTCAGCCGACGTCAATGACCGCAGATGTCGATGTGTTCGGCCCCTTGCTCGGTAGACTATCTCATCACACCTCATGGATACCGTCTTGAGTGAAGCGACCACGGTAGGCCTATTCTAGGATCGGATCCGCTGTGGTAGGAGTCTGTCACATGCAGCAACAAGGGTGACCCATAAGTAACACCGACACCAATCACACGTTCAAGTAACAGACACCGGGCATAGCGCTTACAGGAGGGCCCTCGGTTTGTGTTGGGTGTGTTGGTGGCCTAAGTAGAACAACAGCGCATGCTAGGGCGCGAGTGTTGGGCGAGTGACAGTCGTTCGGGACCTGTCAAGGATCGGAAGCGGGGTACAGCGCGTGTCTGCAATCGAAACCACAGGGACCCGCAAGTTGCCGCCAGGTGTTCCGGAGGCGCTGTACGTTCGGATGCGAGGGATCTAAAGCAGGATCGCGGACCAGGGCGGTCGATAGTCAGACGCAGAGGCAGAAGGTGAACCGTTCAGCAGCGCTTGCGGTGACCGTCTCTGATATTCTGGGGGGAGAGATGAGGATGTCAGTGATTGAGACCGAGCACGAGAGGAGGGCCTTTTTGAACCATCACGTCAAGCCAGGATGGTTCCGAAAAGGAGACGGGACTTACCAATGTTGAGGTCTATTTTCACTCTCGTCTGGTGTTTCACAGTTCCGTTCTATTTTTAATTCCGTTGTATGCGTTTCCCTCTTATCATGTGCTGTGCATCCCGCGATGGTCAGTTTCAAAGGGTTCTTTGAGCTTCTCGAATGGCCAACAGAAACACACCAGGGGCAGTTTGAGGCAGCAGCGCAGAGCTGGGGGTGGAAAAAAGACAGCAACAGTTGGAGAGATGTGGAGGGGATGGAGAGACACAAGAGCAATAGTCAACGCCGTAGTAGGAATCAATCAGGGCACTAGTGTACGTAGTAGGAAGTTAATAAACCGGGCGCGGATCGGCCAGAGTGGGGTGGGGCAGCGATAGAGGGGAAACGAGATGAGGAGAGCCAGGGAGCAGCGGTGTCAGTGAAAACCCTCCAGAAGGTAGGTAGGTAGGTAGAATAGAAGGTCAAAAAACAGTCTTTGGGATTCTCCCCTTTCTCTCGCTGCACATCACCAACGCAAAGAAAGGCTAGCCAGAACCTACCCAATCTCAGGAATCAGGATGCGTAGAGGGCCCCGAAACGTGGAGCAAGTTATCGATAGAGGGAGGAGCCGACCCAAGGAACGAGGGTCGATAGCAGATAAGCCACGAGAGGGGTCGCCGCAGTGGATGGAGTCGCCAGGCCAGGTCGAATAATTATAGCAACGGTCCAACAATGGTTGAAGCAGTGGGAAAGCCCGAGAGTTAAAGGGGGGTTGGGAGCAACGCTGGGATGAATCAGCGGCAAAGGCTGATTATTAGTTAGTTAGTTAGTTGGTTATTTAACTATTGAACAGTTGTTAACTAACACCACCCATGGATGTACCGTACCGTACGTGTGTGCCTGATCCATCTTTTCCGGTCCACCAGGAACACCACCAACTTCTCTTCACCCATTATCATCATCAATAACAGTAATGTAGCAAAGCAGATGAGAATCCCACCTCTAATTTCCTATATGATCTATCCTCCAACCAACCTGATGACTCTCCCCCTCTTCTCCCATCAATCCCAAACCCGGCTTCATTTCATCCTCATTAGGTATTGCCGGTGGTCCTCCCCAGTTCCAACTAGTTCGACCCCAAACTACGGAGTACTACTGACTAGATACTACCTACCTCCTCCAGGCAGTCATCGCATACAAGCTACTCAATCAAGTAGGAGAACTCTCTCCAGACACCTGCCAAGTCTTCCCCCCATGGCCCATCCACCAGCCCGGACAGCCTCACAGTCGATCAACCTGGCCCTCCTTCATCCTGTCATCTAACGTGGCCGTCAATCACCTGGATGGGGCGACCCCTCTCGGTTCCCCTCTGGCTCGGAGACTACGTCTCGACCAGTGTTTCAACGCTTCTCCGCCCAGGCGAGACGCACAGCGCCAACCTCACACACCACGGGTCCCACGGGCCCTCGCCCAGGATCTGCTAATCACATTCACGCTCACCACCGCACAGATAAATTGGACACCCTACCCTCTCCAAGTGGAGGGGGCAGTGCCATCACGCTACTGCCCACCCGCCCTAATTCATCACAACTCATCACATTCTCTCCCTCTGCCCTTGTCATGATTTCGCCCGTGGGCTGGTGACTGCTCCCATCCTTCCGCATGTTGTACCGTCGTTCTGGTCCCCCATTCGCCCATTCCTTCCAGCCATGTCCCCCTGCCCGCCCATACTAAGCTGTGATCTAAAGTTTACACTGCATGATCGGCCAAACAGACGCCCGGGCCAATGCAAGTTCTCGCTATCACAGGCCCCCCTGGCCCAAATGTAGCCTTAGTTGAGTTTGTAACCTTGTTTTTGCCGGAGGGGGGTCAACAGCCAAAAGTGGAGACACGGAAATAAAGAGCGCATAGGTACTCCGTACTTATGGTCAGGTACCCCAAACGGAAATGACTATCGATGTGTTGGTTTCTAACGGTGTGTGCGGGCGCACTTTAGACCTGACCAAATAGCGTAAGAACCAGGCTGGGGCTACAAGGCGCCTAAGTTTGCAGCAAGTATCCCTGATAATGCAGGGCATTGGATAGTATAGGCCACGGGCAAAGTCCTGTGCCGTAATTGCATTCCAGGCAGACACCGAACAGCAGCAGAGGGATAATTTACAACGACACCGCCAAACAAGACATAAACACTGGGAATGTATTGAAGTATCTCCGTATAATTTACCAAAATCGAGAAGCTTATCATTACTGAACAACCTGTAGGCGTGTTCAAGCTCGTCAGTCCGATTGACTCCAGTATGAACTAGGTGTCGATGACGGTAGAGCGCTTAGAAAACGGGGCAATCAAACCTTTTCCCGCAGCGAGCCCATCCATTGCACCAGGCTGACGCTCTGGTCAGCACGGTCCTCAACCAGCATGGTCTGCGCCCATAAGCGGAGACCAGGCTCTCCGTCCTCCTTGACCACATATAGGTGTGGCACCGCAATGCTGCCAACCCCCTTCGACCGGTGATCCCGGCTCTTCTCGAGCACCGCCCGCACCCGCTGGTTAAACTCGTTGTCGACATCGGGCAGGTTCTGCTTGCCCACCCGAAGTTGCGACTTATCCGACAGACCAAAGACATCTTCGATCAGCTGAGGGACCGCATCGCGTCCGACCCACAGGAACTGTGTCTGGCCATCGTCGATGAGGTAGAGACCATAGGGAACAATACGCTCGGATGCCAGGTTGATCGGTGGAGGAAGGACAATCTCGCCGGTCTGCTCATCGGGTAATCCGGCCGTGTCCGGCATATCGTGGAGGGAATACATCTTAGGGTAGATATACTGCATGAGGAGAGGGAGGGGAAGCGTCGAGAGCAAGCAGAGAGCAGCAGAGCGCATGTCGGTGGGTATTTGCGCGGATTTCCGAAGACCAAGCTAAACAATGTCAGTCAATCGCGACCAGACGGTCCAACTGGGTTGGAAATACAAAGGGGTCTTACGTTTTTGATCATGGCGAGGAATAGGACTGGCAACCCTCTCAGGTTAGCGGGGAACTGGAGACCACCGCCGCTGACGCTGCCTCCTGCCAGTTCTTTCCGGTAGGTCGACAGCAACTCTACGGCCTTGGCCTGTAGAGCCTCCCGGGCAGGTTCCAGACCACTTCCAAGCGCCCGCTCAACGGCCTTGTGGCTGAAGTACGTAGCAACTGCTTGTTGATCCGCGGAGGCGTAGACATCGGCCAGATTCTGAGTCGTGGGGAGTGCCAAAGTCAACACGCGGATTCTCCTCTCGCCGTTGCATGTAGTGTGCAGGACCGCGGTCTGCAGGCAGACAACGGGTTTCGTGACGGTCTCGTCAATCGCGACTTCAACGACGTACGCTTGGTCGCGGGGGAAGGCAGGGAAGGCACACAGATCGGAGCTGCGGTTGAAGAAGTTGCCGTAGAAGGTGTTCATACGCAGACCCGTGGTGGCACGGACACGGAGCACAGCCTCCAGGCCAATCTCGGAAGAGAGGTAATCGGAAAATTCACGAGCAAACTTGATCGCATCCTCCGGACGAGCGGCGTTCCATCCGGGATAGAAGTAAGTCTGACCACCGGTGTATCTGGGCAGGTTACTGAGAGACGCAACGTCCTGATATTGCGAGGAGAACAAGAACATATCAACTGAGACCTGCGACTTTGAGCACTCGACGGCGAAACTCTTGTAAAAGCTGTTGGCGGTCTGCAGCAGACTGCTCTCTTTGCTAGTGCCAAGAACCTTCTTGTCCTCTCTCATGGTCAACGATCCATGGCCGATGTTAGGCAGAGACGAACTGAGAACGGTCATTTTGCCTCCCACGGGAGAAATGAGCTTGTATCCAGCGCGCAGGGCAGATCCCATGGCGCAGGAGTTGCTCTGGTTGTTCTGGAACATCTCTTGCAGCTTATCGAGGAAGACCTCAATATTCTCACGGCATTCGCTCAGAGTCACCAGAAGATCGCCGGGAATGGGAAGGAAAGGCTCATCCAGATCACTGATAACCAACATCCTGGGGTCTGAGTTCTCCGATCCATCCCTAGGGATGCTGAAGTAATGGAGGCTTGAGTCGACCGCGATGAATCCCAGTCGTGTCCGACGGTCCGCATTAGGGATCCGGTCAAGGCTCTCCTTAATGCACCGAGCAGTCGTGGCTAGAAGCCCGTTTGTGACAGATGCGTAACTCACATCGATCAAGAAAAGATAGACGAGCGGCTGCGGGGGGCGGACCATATATTCCTGGGGAGCAACGAATTCAACGACTGCATGGTTGAGGTCGGGTCTCAATGACCTGTCCGCCGGCTTCTGCAGAGCGGTGTCCCAATCAAAGGCCTGAGGTACGTCGTTTGTCAAGTTGCACATGTTGCAACGCCAGCGGTGCCCATGGTCGAGGAATGTCACGAAAGGATTAATGTAGGATCGGCAGCGGCGGCAACGCGAGATGACTTGGTCGGGGACAACGGGGACCGGGTCTTCCGAGTCATGAAGAGCTGCGTATGGCTGGATGACGAGAGCGAACGGCAACTTCGACTTCTTCAGAAGTGAGTGTGTAGTTGGGACGGCATTCAGGGTTGAGCGAACGTATTTCGGAGGGCAGTTGGCATAGGGTCCAGGATAAACGCTAGTCTGCCAACAGGTCAGCAATCCACTACTTCGCAACCAAAGACACCCTGAAGACGTACACCGGGCGGTAGAACAATGGGAGGTGGCGGGTAGTCGAGCTCGGCAACATTGAATGGCTGAGTTAAGAGATCGGTTGGGTAGAGCTGGTTGAGGGGAACAGCCCGAGGGGCTTGAGCCTGAGGAGCTTGAGCGACCGGCTGCGGTGGCAGGAGGTGGGGATCAGTCATGCCCATTGCACCAAACTGCTGGGTCATCTGTGCGACTTGAGGGCTGGCAGGCGCTCCATATCCTGGGGCCACAGGCTGCATCTGGGCTGGGTCCGCCCCATACGCAGGCTGCTGGTATCCCGCAGCTTGTGGTTGCGGCGGGTATGCTCCATAGCTGCCACCGGCCGGCAACTGACCCCCTAGGGCAGCATTGGCACCGGAACCGAAATCAAAAGCTTCTCCGGCATAGACTCGCTTCTTCCGACCTCCAGCTTGGCCTTGGGCGGGGGCACCAGGGGCCAACCCCGCGGGCTGTTGAGTGGGAGATCCATAACCGACAGGCTGACCGTACCCTTCCTGGGGAGGGTAGCCCCCTTGCGGTGCTGCCATGGAGGATTGTGTGTGTTTAGCGACTATTAGGAGAGTGGTTTGTGGTTTCCCGAGGGGTCGTTAAGGGGCGATCTCAAGGGTGTGCGAATATCGGGTAAATCGCTATAGGCTCACTGGATCGTCGGTCAACATTCAACATGGATGGTAGAAAGGGGAATGGAGGCTGGGAGGTGTGCATACTAACAACCAATAATTTACCGGATCGCAAGCACGCAACTGTTCCAGTTCCAGAAGTAAAGCACGTCAAGGCCACACTCTGGGAGCAGACGAGGTGTCCAGAAGGAGTTGGGGTAGCTGTGGGAGCGGAAAGGCGACGATGAATGATGGAGGATGGTGTACGGTGGCCTTTGCGGCTGCCTCGCCTCGGCCAATCAGCACCCCGCGGCCTAGCCGACTCTCAAACACTTGCTGGAGGCGGCCACTGGCAGCACTGCGTTGGTGGACATTTTGCAACAGGGTGCATCACTGTACAAAAAGAAAGATGAAGGACATAATGAATTGTCCAATTTGCAGATTCTGGTGGTGGTAGTGTTGTGATGGTGATAGATACCTGGAGCTGTGTGGGAGTGCGGCATCTGCCTGGTACATATGATCTCATACTCACCCAAAAGGAGACTTCACATACCTATCCATCTCCTGCTTACCATCTATGTACTTACTACTGTCAGCTCCAACATGAGGCCAATACCCTTTACAGGTCTCTTGAATACACCCTGCTCACTATTTTCGTACCCTTTATTGATGACTGACTTCAATAACTCCTATCAAGCGCTTACACACAGTGATATATTCTATATTGCTGAATGGCTTTGAAATCACATAGTAACTGTACACATGATTCTTGAGTGGCATAGGTACATTCATCACACACGGGCATTCCGAACCCTGATTCTGCAAGTCAGAAAAAAGAAACAATGAATGAAAAGAGCCTGAAAAAGAAAGCATTGACGATGCACGAGATTCCACCCCGAACTGGTCGGGTGGGATGCCTGGGGTCGGCGAACGTGGGAGGTTGCCGTGCCAACAACGCTGACCGCTGGCAGTCGCACCACAACGAAGCTATCCCTGTTCATTCCCAGTGGGCATCTCCATCTACAATCCTCTTGCACAGGCTTCCCCGCCCCCAAGTTGCTTTCTGTTGTTGTTTTCTGCCTTGCTTCCTCTGTTTTTTTTATGCTAATTGCTCTCTGGAGTACATCCATTGAACGGGTTGTCAATTTAGCGATCGACATTTTCGAATTTCAAAGTGCGAGATACGTCGACGGCAGCTTGACCTGCAAGGTTTAGCTGCTCATTTTCGGTCTCTATTTGCGACCAGTCAACATCATTCTTATGCGTCCACCATAAGTCTTGATACACCAATTGATCGATAGGATTGGGTTAGGCGAGGATAGGACGAAGTCCCGAAATTACATCTAAAGCCTTAAATCCGATTTCACACAACCTATACACGATGAGCGTCCGGGTAGTTGCGCGGGTTCGTCCTCTTCTGAAATCGGAACGGGAGTTGGATGTCATCCTGCGTACGGGTTCATCAACCCAGGCAGTGCCTGGCAAGAGCGACAAAACTTCCGAGGAGAAAGGAGCACTGGCGGCTCTTAGGGATAGGGATACCCTCGTACGGATCCCAAACCCGAAGAATGAAGGCGAAGAGTACTCGTTTCAATTCAATGCTGTCTATGATGCGGAGGCTTCCCAGCAGGAGCTCTTCGATGCAGAGGGTTCGTGACACAGCTAGTCGCCTCAAAACGCAAACAATATACTGACCAGTGCGCAGTTGCTCCTACTGTCAAGCACCTTTTCAACGGCTTCGATGTAACGCTATTCGCATACGGAGTCACTGGGACTGGAAAGACGCACACAATGCGAGGCGGTAAAAGCCTGGCTGATCGTGGCGCCATCCCCCGCCTCCTGAGCAGTATATACAGGCGCAGCCGAAAGATGGAGAAGGACAGTGGCGGAGAAACCTCAGTCAATGTCTCCCTAAGCTATTACGAAATCTACAACGACAAGGTCTTCGATCTATTTGAACCTCCGGAAAAGAGAACACTGGCGGGACTACCTCTTCGAGACAACGGCGGGAAGACAGTTGTCGTGGGTTTGACGGAGAGGCCGTGCCACAGTCTGAAGGAATTTGAAAGCCTATATGATCAAGCCAATACCAACAGATCCACATCTGCGACGAAGGTTTGCATCCGCACTGGTCACTGCAGCAAGTAAGCAAGATACTAACGTTGCTATAGCTGAATGCTCACTCATCGCGGTCTCATGCCATCCTCTGCGTGCGGGTCGCGGTCAGCACCGGGGATAAAACGCGCATTAGCACTGCATCTGCTATTGACCTTGCTGGCTCTGAGGATAACCGCCGGACAGACAATGATAAAGAGCGCATGGTTGAGTCAGCTAGTATCAACAAGAGCCTTTTCGTCCTGGCTCAGTGCGTGGAGGCAATCAGCAAGAAGCACTCGAGGATACCATACCGAGAGTCGAAGATGACGAGGATTCTGTCCCTAGGTCAGAACAATGGGCTCACTGTGATGATCCTCAACCTTGCGCCGGTCAGGTCCTATCATCTGGACACAATAAGCTCGCTCAATTTCGCCAACCGCACGAAGAAGATCGAAGTGCGCGAGGTGGAAAATGAACCGATGTTCAAGGGGCCTCCACGACCGGCGCCGCGTCCTTCGATGACTACCCAGCGGCAACCTCTGCGACCACTGACAGCTTCGGTGAACGTGAACCTTACTACTGTAGTCAAGGACAAGGACACGACCAAGACACTCGAGAAGCCTGCGAAGGCCTTCCATGTCTATTCGGATAAATCACACCCGAGAATCATGGCGCAGTTCAAGAAGCCCGACGCCCCCAAGCGAACTTCTCTGAGCTCCGATATCTCGCGACTTTCATCAAAGCCCACTCGTCTCACCCAACCTGCGCACCAGCCACAAAACCATTACGATGATATCTCCGCGGCTAAGATCGAGGAGATGGTGGAGAAAAAGGTTGAAGAAATCCTGGCTGTACGAGCAGTCAGCGAACAATCGAGGCAAACGCAGGTCCGCGAACTCAACAAGCAGGTTCAACGGCGCTTGGAGCTCCTTGAGCAACGTATAGAGGGCACCGAAGACGCAAGAGCTGAAGGCTTATCGTACTTGCTCATGGCCAAGCAACACCAAGCCCGTGGTGAGGACAGTTTCGCGCTGAGGATGTACCAGCTAGCGCTTCCTTACTTCCCTAATAACGAGAAGCTATCCAAGAAGATCTCCACCTTGAAGGAGCGCATGCAGGGCAAATCCCGCGAGGACACCGACACCACCGGCACCATTGCCATTCCAGGAGCAAAGCGGGAGCTTGGCAGCATGCTGTCTATCAAGAAGCAACCCGCCAAGACCAACCTCAAGCGTTTCGCCGAGGACTCCGACGCGGACTATGAGGAACAACAGGAAGAAGCCCTCGAACAATTCAGCGACGAGGACCTCGAAGAAATTGCTCATTCAAGACGCAAGAAGCGCACGAGGACCAAGACCCCTATGGATGATGACGCTGATATCAATGAGCAACCGCCCTCCCCCAGAACCATCCACCTCCTTTCCATCATCAACTCCCGAGACATCAGCCAGATCAAGCTGCTGAAAGGCGTCGGCGTCAAGAAAGCCGAGGCCATCGTCGACTGCCTATGCGAGATGGACCAGCACACAGCCTGTCCCGACGACGAAGCACGTGTCCACATCAACAGTCTTGCAGAATTGAGCAAGCTCAAGGGCGTCGGCCTAAAGAGCGTCCAAAGCATGCGAAACGGAGTCCTGGTCTAAACAGTACAGGCGTTGATTGTTAACAGCTGCATTTCCGGAGTCGGGGACATCATTTATATATACATTTCTGCCTGCCTGCCTTGTTGCATTTCCTTTCTGATTGGTTGATATCATTCCCTGGGCTGCCTCGTTCTCGTTACGTTTACCCCTTCATTGTACTTGCTTTCTCTATGTGATTTGTCACTGCCATCAAGCGAGGGTGTTCAGGAGTTGAGAGAATTGAATTGTCTGGCAATCTGCTCTGCGTGATACACATTTGTTTTGAAGATACTCTGTCTAAGTATAGCATGTATATAGTCATACCATAGCACCGAATCGATAAGATGCCCACCGTACATGATTCTCATTTTTCCTTACCCACCTCTCTCATGGTCTACTATATCATCCTCCAACTTCCCCTCCCAACCCCACCCTATACCCCAACCCCCTCTATCTCACCACACCACACCCCCTCACCAACCCAAACCAAATCAAATCAAATCACACCTTACTCCAAACTCCCCACCCCATCATCCTCACCTTCGCAAGAAAATAAAACCCACAACCCGCAAACATCACCACCGCACAAAAGATAAACAATTTCGTATACGACCCATGCAACGGATCCGGCAACAAAGCCCCAGCAATCGGCGTCCCCGTCAACGCAGCAAACGAGACAATGAAGAAATACGTGCCGCTGCGGACACCAATTTCCCGGATCTCAGAGATCTGAGCTACCAGGGCGGGGGCTAGGGAGACGACAGTGCCGGAGGAGAAGCCGTAGAGGGCGCTGAAAACAATGGCGGGGGCGTTTCCGTGGCTGGGGAGCCAGAGAGCGACGACGAGGATTCCCGACAGTAGGGTCATTAGGATCATGAGGTTGAAGCGGCCGAAGAGGTCGGCGAGGTAGGTGGGGATGATGCGGCCGGGGGTGCTGGTGGTTTGTTATTGGGGGGCTATTGAGGGACTTGGTGGGGAGGGGAGAGGCTTACCTGGCGGCGTTGAGGATGGGGATTAGGTATGCGGCTAGGGTGGAGGACATGCCGTATCGTTCGGCTTGGGAGGGGATGAATGAGAAGGGGAGGAACATGCCCCAGAAGAAGCAGAAGGTTCCGGCGGTGGTCAGGATGAAGGGGAGTTCGCGGAGGGGACGGATGAAGTCCATGAGACGGAATTGTTTTCGGCGATGGACGAGGCGCGATTTCATGGTGAAGTTGGTGATGATTAGGAGGAAGAGGATTAGGAAGCCGCAGATTCTCATTGCCCAGCCGAAACCGAGGAGGTTGAAGAGTCGGGTCAGCATGATGGGGAGGATTACGCCGCCGAGACTGGCGCCGCTGGTCGCGATGCCTAGGGCGACGGCGCGACGTTGACGAAACCAGGTGCTTATGGAGTTGATGCTGGCGTGGAAGAGAGCGCTGGTTCCTATGGGGCTGCAGATGCCTTGCGCCAGGAGGATCTGGTAGTATTCTGTGGAGATGGAGGTCATCATGATACCGAGGACGTGTAGGATGGTGCCTCCGAGGATGATGTAGCGTGGACCGTAGTTGTCGAACAATATACCTACGAATGGGCCCTATGAGTTGGTGAAAGCTGCGTGTCAGCGATTCCGGTTGATGGTGGTTCGGTTAGGGTTGTAGAGAAACGGACCCCGAAGAACATCATGAACGTCATTAACGAGGTGACCCATGTTATTGAGCTGGTGGACAGGTTGCTCAGCTGATGGGTTTGGTAGTAGTCGATGAATATACCCATGCCTAGACTTTCGTGTTAGCAACAGCATTTCAAAGCTCCTAGTATTGGATGTATCTTGTTAATTGGAGCCTTAGATTCGAGTGCACCGACAATTAGTCCAGCCAAAACTGACGAACATGCTGCAGAACCCTCCCACGACAGTCATCCATGCTGTATATCCGCTATCGGGGGGTCCATCGATTGCTGGCTCCTGCTGGTCCTGGGAAACGGCGCCTGGTTTCTCTGAAGCATCACCCGCTTCACCATTCGTTTCATGCTTTCCTCCGAGAGAACACTGTCTGCTGAGATGCAGATGCTCGTTTTTAATCGCCTCTGCATCTTCGCTGGTGCTTGAAGCAGAGACTGGCTCATGGAGGGGCTCTTTAGCATCTGTTTCGATTGTATCGCGGACTGGATTGACCTCGTTGGGTTGCATTGTCATTTCTGCAGCGAATAGGATCGCCGCCCGTACTCCGTACACCAAGAGGCAAATGTATTTATCCGATTTGAGCGAGCAAGAATTACTCCGCAAAGACCGAGGGGGTGATGCGAAGCCCACGAGAATTCAATAGAAAGATCTGGGCCTTGAGTCCAACGATAACAATGTGCGGCTCGGGATCCACACAATTGTGGTGAGGATGTCAAGTAAAAAGAGTCGACCAGCGGTGTGTTTCCTATCAACATTCCGCCAGGGGGACCTTGGCATGGAATCAAGGAACGTTTTTGCTGTGAGACATTGAAGCGCACGAGGGGGCCCCTTGCGAGCCCTTCATTCATGGAACCCCCACAACTTGTCAGTCGGCTTGTACGCGAGGGCCTGTTGGCTAGGATTTTAAGACAACGCAAGGTAGGAAATGCTTCAATTCGATCCAGATCAGGCAAACATAATAAGTTAGGGAAAAAGAAGTCCCACGTAGAGTAGGTGTGTGATCGGACACAAGCTATTGTCTATAGTACATTGAGCCTGCAATGAAACAAATAAAACAGGTACCTGGATGGTGGGCTCTTGATCTATGCGGTATCAGGCAACTCAATTCTGCCCCGGCTTCTCGAAGATCACCTTGCCATCCTTGGTCATGGTGGCAACGCTTTGAGACGTACCCTTGACCTCATTGGTCAAGGCTTCCACTGTCCTTGATGGTCCTGGTCCAGCATTGACGGACTCCTCGGCAGCTTTCCTATACTCGTCTTCTGCTGTTGTTTGACGATTTTCCTCAGTAGGCTTTGCCGGGCCAATGGTCAAGCCTCTGGGCGCGCTGGCAAGTTCGTTAACTTCTTGAGTGGTCAATACCTCGTTGATACGAGGACCACGGGTCTGTAGAAGAATGGTCGAGGGTCCATCGAATTGAAGGAATAACTGTGTACATTCGCGTTAGCACTTTGTTTGCAGATCTCGCGGGAGGATTCATACCCGATCTCCCCAGATGGTCATCCGAGACCACGTACGGAGCCTGTGGACGATCTTCATGGTCGTTTTCCATGTGTTCGATTCCGACATGTCCTGGATGAATTTGGAGCCCTGAATGAAGGCCGGAAGGCTCTTAAGGCCTGGAACCTGGAACCTCAAGGTCGTAGACTTGAAGCGGTAAGGACGTGGGGGGTTAGAGGATACGGTGTAGGCGACGACATTGCTATATAACGTTAGCAAAGGCCGCCCCCTCGTAACGAAACAGCATGTTTACCTTGGATGAACAACATATTGCTCTCCAGCCTTGAGCTCAACGGAATATAGTTGACCATTGCCGACCAATGCCAACAGTCCTCGACCTGTGACCTCAGAGCTACCCCAGTGGGCAAGACTCTTCGCAAGTTAGTCTAGCCTTTGAGACAAGAGCAAGCCAAGGTCGAACGAACCAAGCTTGTGTTGATAGTCGGGCGGATAGAGAGCGAGCGACCAGTCCATGCAAGCAATGCCCGCCTCTGGGCCACCATCCAATCCACAGAGCCATTCAGGTGAACGACCGCAAAGGACGTATTAGGAGAGCGCACGGAGACCAAGGCTGTCACCGGACTTGCCGAAGACACCTACTCGGATGTCAATTAACATGCAATCGCTCGGGTCTTGGGAATTCCGCCGAACCTTCTGGTAGAGAAATGGTACGCCGACAACAGCCCGTCGGAAGGGTTCTAGAACGCTCAGGGTAGAAACCACCTGCATTGATACCAAAGCCGTTAATCGATGGAGGCGTACAGGGCGGGACGGGGATCAATCAGCCATCGCATACATTGTCCGCTTTCCCACTCAGTCCAACCAAGGTACCCCGTCGGGTGTAGAGATTCTGTGAGGCGGAAAGCGAAACTGATAGGAGGGAGTATGGCGCACCAATGACATCGAATCGTGCATCTATGTTCGCGACTTGTTAGCAAGGACTGCTCGGTTCGAGATGGGTCTGGGAGGCATAGACACCTACCGGCTGATTCGGCGGAGCTAGGGGTGCTGGAGATAGGGAGATGGTCGCCGTTGACCGTTGCTGGCTCCTCCGCTGGCGCAGCGCGAATCTGGACGCATCTGGTCTGCCATCCGCGGCGCAGCGATGCCCCTTGTCGCACCCGCGGCGGGAGGACTCGAGTCCATGACAGAGTCCTCGCGGCGCTCCTCCAGGGTTGAGCGGATGCCATCATGGAGGGGTTCTGCCGAACGAAGTGCAGATGGGGAGAAGCTGAGTGGAATGCAATTGCTCGTCCTCCGCGGTAATTCTTCTCGTCGCCCGGATTCACGCTTCCCGATCGGGTCAAGCGCTGGGCTGCGGCTTGGCACTGGCGAGCTCGATGAGATACTGCGCTTCGTCACACTCGGCTCTTCTCCCCAGCAAGGATCGAGTGAGCAATAACTCTGGTCACCCTTCGTAGTAAGTCTACTGCGATCCGATGGCCCAAAACTGGATGCGAATCTCTAGGTCTTATAGTAGATAGTGGTCTGGTGTGACAGGCTGCTTTACGCTGATGTCATACCTATCTCACGGGTCTACAAGGTAAGTATCCTGAAAATATCTATACTATTATCTAGGAGAATGAACTTCTACTAATCATTGAGCAGTTCCCCATAATAACCTGAGGCGTGATTCGTTAGACTATAGCAATTACTCTAGACAGGCTCAACAAACGTTGTTCGAATCAGTACCGTACTGCTCCACGGCCATAGATTACTTGCGCTTTTTGACTACCGAAGATGACACCCCCAGACCCGGTTCATCAGTCACACGCGACAATTGCGCACGCATGAATCGATTAGGATGGCCAACTGACAATCTTGAAGCATGTTGTTGTGAACGAAGCAAAGGCAGTCGACGGAACGCGCCGCATGCGTATCGACAGTAACGTAATTTACCGGCGTCTTGGAAGGCCGGACTCGAAATCGGCGATTGCGACAGAACTGCGTGCCCTGGTGCTATCGCTGCAGTCTTCCACCTCAATGCTGCTCTATATATAACGCTATCTTCTGGTTCAATCCTCTATGCTAAATCCATGGCCATCTATTCGGAGTGTCGTCAACCAATACCCACCTAATCCACCGCGGTCCTCCATCCCACGCCCTCATACTTTCTCCCCGCCGCCGCCGACGTTTTCCTCCGAACCCGGCGGTCTCCATCAGAGGCGGTAATTCGCGCAGAAGGCCTCACCACCACCACCATGCTCCATTGGCTATAAAGACGGTTCCTACATACCACCGGTTGCTGCGAAGAATATATACCGGCCACAATGCTGCCCAGGGCGGCCCGCTCGCCTTGTTGGCGTGCCTCGGGACGCTTCATAACCCACACTTCGGCCGTTCCGCGCCCAACGTCATGGGCGTCTGCTTCCTACGGGTTGCAACTCAGAGCATTCTCGACCACCAGAAGACTGCTGAAGAGCCAGACCCCTCAGGATCCTGCGGGGAAATTGCAGGCACCGAATCCTAATGATCCGTCCGCTACTCGACCAGGCGCTGCCAATGTCGCGCAGAGCCCGAAGGGTACTCAGAATACCACCGCGACTCCGAAGCGTGACCTGCTCAGCGAAGCCCCGGTGACGACTAAGACACAGAGGAAGGCAGACTGGGCAATTATGAAGGAAATGGCAAAATATCTTTGGCCAAAGGTGAGGCGGCTTCATGGGGTTATAGCGGGGTCGTCACATTGGGTGCTAATGGGGAACGATGCAGGACGACTGGGGAACCAAGCTTCGTGTTGGAACTGCTCTGTCATTACTGATTGGAGGCAAGGTAATTTGCACTGCTTCCTAGTCCTCCTACGTCGGTGCTAATCCTGCACAATAGATCTTGAATGTCGAAGTACCTTTCTACTTCAAAAGCATCGTTGATTCTATGAATGTGGACTTTGCGACCTTTGGCGGGACTGCTTATACGGTAGCAGGCTCCATGATCATTGCCTGTAAGGAAACCCCATATGCAGGGAAGATATGATGTCTAACAATGATCCCCAGATGGTGTAACTAGAATCGGGGCCACCGTTTTCCAAGAACTGCGAAATGCTGTATTCGCTAGTGTCGCGCAAAAGGCAATCCGCAAGGTCGCCCGGAATGTTTTCGAGCACCTGTTACGACTTGATCTCAACTTCCACCTCTCTCGGCAGACCGGCGGACTCACACGAGCAATTGACCGTGGAACGAAAGGCATCAGTTTCCTGCTGACTTCCATGGTGTTCCATGTGGTGCCCACTGCTCTGGAAATATCTCTTGTTTGCGGTATACTAGTATGGCACAGACCTGTCCACCTGTGACTTGGATATTACTGACTGTGTTAGACCTACCAATATGGCGTCCAATTTGCTGCGATCACCACTGCGACTATGGTCACATACTCTGCTTTTACGATAGCGACCACCGCCTGGCGAACCAAGTTTCGCAAACAGGCAAATGCCGCCGACAATCGTGGTGCCACGGTTGCCGTCGACTCTCTGATCAACTACGAGGCTGTCAAGTACTTCAACAACGAGAAATTTGAAGTCGCACGTTACGACAAGGCCCTGAAAGCGTACGAGGATGCTTCCATCAAGGTCACGACATCACTGGCTTTTCTCAACTCTGGCCAGAACATGATCTTCTCGAGTGCGCTGGCGGGGATGATGTACCTCGCAGCCAACGGGGTTGCCGGCGGCAGTTTGACTGTTGGTGACCTGGTCATGGTCAACCAGCTCGTATTCCAGCTCTCGGTGCCGCTGAACTTCCTTGGTTCTGTGTACCGCGAGCTCCGTCAGTCTTTGTTGGATATGGAGACCCTCTTCAATCTACAAAAAGTCAACGTGACTATCACTGAGCGACCAAATGCCAAGCCGATTGAGCTGAAGCAGGGTGGTGAGATCCGATTTGAGAACGTCACCTTCGGCTACCACCCGGAACGACCCATTCTCAAGAACGCTAGCTTTACGATTCCTGCCGGTCAGAAGTTCGCTATCGTTGGACCCAGTGGTTGCGGCAAGTCCACCATCCTGAGGCTGCTGTTCCGCTACTACGATGTCCAGGAAGGTCGGATCCTCATTGATGGTCAAGACGTGCGTGATGTGACAGTTGAGAGTCTTCGCAAAGCCATCGGCGTTGTGCCTCAAGATACCCCTCTGTTCAATGACACCATTGCACACAACATCCGCTACGGAAGGATTGATGCGACCGATGAAGAAGTCCACAAGGCGGCGCAGCGCGCACACATCCACGAGCTGATCGAGAAGCTGCCCGACGGCTATCAGACAGCCGTGGGTGAGAGAGGCATGATGATCTCTGGTGGTGAAAAGCAGCGACTGGCCATCTCCCGACTGATCTTGAAAGACCCCGAGCTTCTGTTCTTTGATGAAGCGGTAGGTTCAAGAATCCGGGTGCTGAGCGCTGGATAGCAGCAGGCTAACAAAATGGACATGTAGACTTCGGCCCTCGACACGTACACCGAACAAGCGCTGTTGCAGAACATCAATAGTGTGTTGAAGGAGAAGAAACGCACGAGCGTGTTCGTGGCCCATCGACTGCGGACGATTTACGACTGTGATCAGATTCTCGTATTGAAGGAGGGGCAAGTGGCTGAGAAGGGATCGCATCGCGACCTTCTGGAGCAGAATGGTATCTACGCCGAGTTGTGGAATGGTAAGAGACCCGCCGATGGATTATTGGGAGGAGCCCGCGAAAGCTAATGTGCGCCACAGCCCAAGAAACATCCCTCGCGCATGACCTGGAATCCGAACGGGCGGCGGAGCTGGAGGGGGAGGCCGAACAAGAGGCAGCGACTCAGGCCTCGGAACGACGACCACGATAAGCAGCCGATAGAGTAGTGCTTGGATATTGTCTTGCTTTCTCTGTTCTTCGATTCTTGGCGCTATAGACTTTTTGGATTGGTCAATGGAATGGAGCACAGTCTTACGTAAATTCAAACTTTGGACTAAACTGCGTGGGAGGCGTGGAGGAGCGCTGGAGACAAGGCGCAATCAATCAAAATGAGTCGTAGGAGTAGCGAACCCGGCGGGAGACCGACTGGAGCCATGGAAGGCCATCTAGACGGAACCACCGGCAAATTCAAACTGGCCTTAGCGTCCCGGTCGGTTGTATCCTTCGAACCAGACGACGACACGATCTGGTACGGAGGGTCCTTCACGAACCGAGGGCGATAAGACGCTGGACTCGGAAGAGATACTAGATAGATAGATAGGTAGCTCATGAGCCAGGATCGAAGGAAGCTGGTGTGCTGATGGTGAGCCCTATGGCTTCTGGATGGATAAATCTGGAATGTTGTCTCCCCGAATCTAACAGTAATAGCAATAAAGATAACCGTGCGTCAGGAGAAGGAAATCTCCGGGCGGGAGTGGGGGATGAAGACTCTGGGTGATGTGTGAGACGCGACCGAGAACATCTGGAAGACTGCAAGACTCAGCAAGAGAGTCGCATTGGAGCATTGGCACTTTGGAAGACCAATAGCGGAAGATCAAAGACGATAGTGCGTGTAGCCAAGGCAGTCAAAAGGACCACGTACCAGAGTCCGTGGAAAGTCAGTTAGGCGTCTAGTGATTCTGCCGGCGTCCGTTCACCATGTCTAGAGACTCTAGAGACTCTAGTCAGGGGTTTGGGGGAACATCGCAGTTGTCTGTGTTGCCGTGACGGGCGTCTAGTAGTAGTGTGCTGGTAGCGGTGCGGACTAGTGCCGTACCTGACGGTGGCCGGAGGGGGAAGTCGAACTGGACCAACCATCGAGGCGGGCTGGCCCCTGGCTAGCCCAAGAAGGCTCAGGGCGCCCCTCCCCCAACCCACGTTGCTCCGTCCACGTACCACCTCTCACTGGTCGTTAGTGCTGCTGGTCGGTGCGGTTCCGGTTCCAAGCAGGCGCTCGACTCGGTTCGATTCGATCGTTCCTTCCTTTCCCACTCCTCGTCGTTTGCCGGGCCTTCCTTCCACATTCGTTGCCTACTACTACTATTACTACCACCGTCATTTCAGTCTCTCGCTCTTTCACTTTCTCTTTCTTATCTACTCCGTACTTCTCTCTTTCCTTTGTCTCTTTCATCATAGTATCATAGTATCTCGGTCTTGCATTTTCTGTTCTTTCCTTGACCGCCCCCCCCATTATTGGCACGTAACCATCGGTGGCTTGATTTCCTGCATAGTTGCATTCTTCTCCACAAGCCTCTCTCTTTATTCCCCTCTGTTGGCCACCAGCCATCCATCTTGGGCACTATCGGCGCCTTATTTATCATTGACTTCTTGACTATTTCTTAGCCCCGGAGCACTATCTTTCTTTGTATGAAGACTTTCCCACCATCCGCCACAACGTCCACTAGCCCTCTGTGTGCTCTTAGTCGGGTCTTTATTACCCCCTCCTCGGATCTAATTCCCTCCTTTTTATCCTCGCCGACCGCCCCCTCTCGTGTCTGCAGTGTCACATCCTCTCTGCCGAACCGTTATCACATCAATTAGCTTTCGTGCAGCCATACCGGAATCCTCAACACACTACTCCATCGCACTACCACAACGCTTGACAAGACCATCTCTCAATCATTCACACACAACCCCGGATATCTCTGGGTCGATTCTACTCCGTTGCGATTGTTACTCGTGAGGCACAAGACTATTTCCAGGCGCCATATACACAATGGGTTTCATCGAGAAGTTGCAAGCAAGTATGTCTACCTCGGCCCCTGGTCAACTATATCACTCCATTACCCTAAAAATCGGCCCCGCAGCGACTGTCCTTGCAAGAATGTAGAGTGCTAATCGTTGATCGTACACAGAGATTGAGCTCTACCGGCTGGAGCAGCGTTATGCCCGTCGCAAACACCGCAGCACGTTCTCAGGGGTCACATACGTCGATGGGGAATACGTCTATGTCAACGGATCGAACTCCTCTTCAGGGACCGTCTCCAAGCACTCAACAGGTAGCTACTGGAAGCCCCCTACGTGGGGCTTGTCCGGCGACTCGCGCTGGCGGTGACGTACTTTCGCGATTCTTTTAAGCGCTGTCCTTTTCGTTTTGCTCGACTATTGATCCTCCGCATTATGTCCATGTCGAGGATGCGACGACCTGACCTTGTTCCATTCATGGGTGAAGAAAGTGAACGCGAAAAGTTCATGTTATCTTTCTCTACTTCCCTTCTTCGGTTCTCCTTATCGGACGTCGAATTCGGCCGCGATGTTTCAAAAATAGCGTTGCATACTTGATCAACCGTTTTGGGTTAGCTCTCGTCTGAGCAGTTGGCTGTCTCATCCGACCGCGACCTGTCTTACCATCAACACGCGTTTCGAGCCATTAGTCCAATGGGTAGCTGGAATTTTCCTCCTAAGGCTATTTTCGGAGTCATTTGGTATCATTTTACTGACGCGGTTTACGCATGATTGCTTCTTCTGGCTGCTGGCACTTTTTTTTTCCACGACTGGTCTTGATACACCTACTCTGTTCTTGGAGTTTGAAAGCTGCAGACTACTTGTACATTGTCACTTTTGTGCACTTTCACATACCCCTCAAGCCCATTAGCGAGTCGTTCTGTGACTTGTTGGTGTACCACTTCTTCACACACCCCCTTTTTTGCCGCTTCAAGGCCCATGCGCCTTCCTGTACATAGGCTATTTCCATTCCAATCAAGAGATATGACGATCACCCGGCACGCCCCCCACTACTCTACATGCTTTATCCGCGTTCTCTGATGTCATGATCTTATTTTCAAGTCCTGTCAATAAACAAGCCTCAAGTCTGACAGACGCCTTGCATCTGTCACTCAGCTGGTATATCACCATTCCTAGAGAGATGCCGGTAAAGCCACTACCACAGATACAACAATTTCAGTATGTGTAAGATATATAGGCATCCAGGCAGGCACCACGCATGTACCTACCATTATCTTCATATTTCAATGAAAATTTATCGCCCCCACCACTCCTAATCTGCCAATCCCATCCGACCCAATCAATCCATTCACCTCTTCGACTTCCGACCCCCAATCCCCAAGCGTCCTAAATTCGACAAACTGGATTTATGTCTATGCGCACCCCCCAGGATCGACGAGCCGGTTTTCGCGGTCCCCGCATCCGCTCCACCGCCGCGACCCTCCGTCGCGTTGTTGTTGCCTCCCCCGGCCCCGGCGATTCCGCGAGGCGTATCCGGAAGAGCGGAGGTTCGTTCCTTGTTACCGCGAGATGGGTCCCCTGTGCTGGATAGGAAGGGGCCGGTTGCGTCTGGGTCAAGGGGCCGTTGAGAGGCGCGTTGGGCCCGGCGGGCTTTTTCTTGAACGGATTTGAATTTGTCGAGGAGTTCGACCCACCGGATGGAGTTTTCGTCGCGCTTGAGGCGGCTTCCAGTTGCGCGGTCGTATGTGGAGGTGGAAGAGGAGGTAGAGGCGGAGGTTGAGGACATAGTTGTTCTGGAGTGGAGTGGGTTAGTGGGTGGGGGTATTTTGGAGGTGGTGATGGGGGAAACTTACTGTCGGGGGCCGGTGTGCAGGAGGCCAATGCTGCTGACGCTGTTGAGGCGGTTCTTGAGTGCCGCGAAGGCGGAGCTTTGGGGGAGGAGCATAAGAACGCCGTAGAGGCATTTGTAGAGGTAGGGGTATCGTTCTGGTTCGAGGAGCTGGAGACGGAGGTCTAGAAGTTCAATTGAGGTTAGCTTGTTGGTTGGGTGGTATTTGTGGGTGCGGAGAGGACTCACAGGTGAAAACGGGCGATTCTAGGAGCTGGACTAACTTGTCGATTTGGATCAACATGTTCACGGTCATTTCGAGTTCAGCGCTATGTCATATTAGTGGGGTTTTATTGGCCTGTGAATGGAGGGGGCGGATGCCTACAAAACTTGGAGCAGGTTGTATGCTTGTTCGTAGGCTTGCGCGAGTAGACATAAGGAGAAGGTAGAAACGGCGTTGTGGCACCACGATCTGAACAGTGCTACGAAGAACATCTGTCCGTCCTGTGGACGATGTTAACTTTCTTTCTTTAGTGTCCAGAGTAAGGGAGCCGTCACCTTTGCATCCAGATTCCTCAGACGCTTTCTTAGGTCCGAAAGCTCGGGTGCAGTTATCAGGTTGTTGTTCAGATTCTGGACCATGATGCTGGCGAATTCGATATCCTTTTCGGCATTAAGTCAATATGATCGGGAATTGGGATTGCTGGGAGGGGGCCTCACCTCTTCCTTCTCGAGACAATCCGCCAGTGTCCGATAGATGCGCTCTGGGCTTAGATTCATGCACAGTTGTCGAATGATGAGGTTCCCTCGCACCTCGAGTAGATGCCTATCTGTGGAGAAGAGCTGGAGGAGGTTCACCATGAATGACTTAAAATAGCTATCCTCGCTGTTTCTGGATATCTGTGATAGAAGCTGGAGGTCCTTGGTGACGACGGCTTCAGCCGGGTCGGACAGTGTCTTCAGAAGAGCAGGGAAGGTTCCATCATTGAATGCGATCACCTTCTTGGGCGCCTTTCGGTGTAGCATTATGAGCCAGGATAGCGCGGCCACTCGGGTGGCTTCGTTTTCGTTCAAAAACTGTAGTGTCAAGGAGCTGACAGACGCGGCATAATCCAGGTCGGCAGGCGGCAGGGGGGTGGAACTGCTGCTTCGGGGGGGTTGCTCGACTGACGCGTCTGGCTGAGACAACTGCTTCTTGGATTCACTGGAGGGTGTCTCGGGAGCTTTGCTGACCGGCGTAGATGATCTTCGCTCAACGGCTTCTTTGCTGTTCGAGTTGTACGCTTTTGCGGACGCCAACTGCCGGCTCTCATCCAATGTATCTTCAGACAAGGTGACGATATACTCCATCAGAGAGGTGTTGACCCGGTTTGCGGCCTGCCGCACTTGATCCGAGCCACTGGACATTGCTGGAAGCACCTGAGTCAGGAGACGAGGAACGAAAGGGAGAATGTCTTCCGGGCTGATCTCGAAGAAATTGTCGATCCAGCGCAGAGCAGTCAACTGCATCTCCTCCACTAAGACGTGTGATGAGTACCGGTCCATTACAATTGAGCGTGATGCCTGGCTTACCGAAAGATGTATCAACAAAGCCAACGAGAATATCTAGTATCTTTGCATAATCAATCTGAACATCTTGTCCAGGAATCCAATCTCCATCAACGTGCAAGCCTTCCTCATCGGTGACAGACCCTGCCTCGGAATCTTCAATCGCATTGTCAGTCATCTCAGACCCGACAGCTAGAGTCTGATCTGTGGTCGTCGCAACGCTCACACTGTCACTTGCGGTTGACTGTCTGGTATCGCTACCTTGGCCTTTCCGGCTGTCTTCGATACCTTTCTTGAGTCGCGCGATCCGTTTGATCTCCGACAGAAACCGATCTAGAAGTGCCTGGGTGGCGACATGGACATCTCTGTTTGGGTCTCCAAGAAATTTGATCAAACCCCCAAGGAATTCCGGCAGATAAGAGATCAACTCCAGGTCGGGTATTGTATCCAACAGCGTCAGCCACGATACCAGAAATGTGCGGGTAAATGCACTGATGACGTGGATTCGTTCTTTGAGTAGGGGTATAAATTTTGGGAGCGAGAAGGCAGTAGGAAGATCAGCATCCTCCAGGCCTTCGGGATCTGTCGCTTGTTTTTCGGTAAGTTGCAGGACGGAGACATGGGAGGCAGCGGATTCCGATACAATGTCCTTGACGAGTCTATCGAGGAGTTCTGCACCGTTTTTGACGGAAAGCTCGGAATCTGAGGCTAGCTGGGGGTGGGTAAGTTGTGAGGCTAGAACAATAGAGACAGAGGAGGTAGAAAGCCCTTACCTTGCTCAAGGCATCGAATATGTCATTGAAGAAAAGTAGTATCTCCCCTTTCGCAACTTTCGCAATGTTGTACATGCTCTCGCAGGCATAATATCTGACGCGCGCATCTTGGTCGGAAAAACAAGCAAGCACCGGCGGTACGATTTCCTTCAGATAAGGAGCAACCCCTTCCTAGCATCCTAGAACTCAGCCCCTGCGCAACCGATTCAGTATGTCCTGGTGCACTCACGGATCCTAACGCTATGGAAGCCGCCGCAAGTCCGATTAAGCCGCCATTTCTCGCGTGGGGTTGATGGACCGCGTAGGCGTAGTCATGGCAGAGCTGGTCGACGATCTTCTGAATCTCCTCGTGTTCGCCCCTGAAAGCGGCCTCGCGGACGACCTTCTCGAGCCTGTTGATCACATGTGAGTTAGCCAGCCGCCACCTTGCCTGACCAAACCTCTTATCGATAATGCGTACTCCAAGGCTCCCTGTTTCCTCCGGTCATAGAGCTTATCATTCAGCGAGCGCTGAATTGAGTGATCCATCGCTCAGACAAACATCGATATTGATTGAGTCACACGCTCCGGGGGTAGTTTAGATAGTGGCTTTCATGGCGTGGAAGCGTTGTCTGGCTAGGCTGGGCGGTGAGGCGACGGTCTGGACTTCGAATCCGCAAGGACCTGTAGCTATTCCCGAGCATCGGCGATGGATGACAGGCGTTGCAGGATAAATAAACAGACCCGTGCTTTTTTTGCCAAAACGGATAGCACCTGTCCGATGGTTTAGCCTGGTCGCTAGGTGGTTGCTGGGCTATCAAGGTGGGGAGGAGTGCCAGCCAGATGCGTTGGCAACGTGGATGGTGTGTTAGCGGACGCGCTGTGACGTAGGGTCAGCCGCGATGGCTCTCGTCTCGTCGGCTTTCCCGCCCGATCGATTCCCATTGTTCTTCCCTAGTGATGGCCACCCCCGTCACCCCCGTCACCCCTCTCCTTGCACGGCAGATCCCCCCGACATGCTCCTAGTCAGTACTAGTCATTCCGTGGAATTTAATTCGACACTCAATTATATTGACCCTGTAAAGTCTAAGTATGACGCCATTGTATCATGGCTTTCTAGAATGAATCCCCAACTCAATCAAAAATAACATACGCTTCCCAATACAACAACAACACATGAACATAATCAAGTACGTTCCAAAGGAATCCAGATCGTGGAGATATTCAGTGGCTGATATACTGAAACACGGCGGAGACATCCCGTTCTCCCGTCTCTTGACGGATCAGCAAGTCTTGGATCTTGCTGAGAAGCCCCTGCTCTCCGTCATTGACAAAATGATTCCAAGTACTGGTGTCACCGTACAACATAGCCGGCGCCTTGATGTATTGTGTCCCCTCCGGTCGGCATCGCTTGCATTTGAACGTGTCGTGCGTATCACTCCGAGTTTCCGGCTTGAATTGGAATAGCTCGCGGAGGGATTCCAACGAGAAGTGCCGCTCAACATCCTCGGCCGAGTCCACAACGCATGAAGAAAGGGACTGTTTATGGGATTGACGCTGGAAGATCTTCTCCTCAATCGAACCGGTTGCGATGAAGCGGTAGACGAAGCAATCCTTCTTCTGGCCATCACGCCAGACTCGCGCCAAAGCTTGCTGGTCGGCGGCTGGATTCCAATCTGGATCGAACAGAACCAGGCGGTTTGCGCCTATCAGATTCAGGCCGCAGCCACCAGCCTTACTGCTGAGCAAGAATACAAACTCAGCCCCGTCTGGGTCATTGAACTTATCGACTAGCTTCTGCCGTTTACCAACAGTCATGGTACCGTCTAGTCGCAAGGAGCCGTACCCTCGGGTCCTGCATAGTTTTTCAAAAAGGTCGAGGGTTTGAGTATAATTGCTAATCAAAACAATCTTGTCATTAGTATCCTGGCGGATGCGTGCTAGCATCCTATCCAAGACCATCATCTTCCCTGAATACCAAGACTTGATATCTCGATCACGTCCTCTCCCTTCCGGCGGTACATAGTCCTCTGGGAAGGTGTACTCACAGCCTGGAAGGTCTGTGGAGAGGTTCAGGAGGTCGGGATGATTGCAAAGCTTTTTCAATAGTCCAATTGCTTTCAATGGCTGACTTCCTTTGCCCCTAAGCAAGCTCCTGATTTCTGGGCTCTGAATAAAGTGTTTGTAAAGGCCCAATTGGAACTGAGACATGTTGCAGAAGACAACATGCTCATATTTGACTGGCAAGTACTTGGACAAAATGTCGTTGGTCCGGCGTATGATGAACTTGTTCACAATACCAGAAAGCTCGGCAAGACGTTCATTGCCTTTTTTGAGATCTTCCTCTGTTCCTGCGGCATCTCTGCCTCTAAGAATGGGTAATTCAAACCTTTTCCGAAAGTCGTTCTGGGACCCCAGTAGGTTCGGGTTTGCGAAGTGAAGAAGAGCAAAATACTCTGAAAGATCGTTCTGGATAGGCGTACCGGACAAAATAACCCGGCGTTGTACATTTAGACTGTTGAGAGCTGTCCATGTCAAGCTTTCTTTGTTTTTCAACCGATGGCCTTCATCGCAAAGGAGTAGCCCGATGGGACTATCCTTTAATGTGTCAACATACAACCGAAGAGTTTCATATGAGATGATGAGAACAGGTCTGACGATAGCTCGCCCCGAAGCGATCGCCCATTGCTTCATCTGAGCGATGAGTTCTGTCTTCGAAGCTTTACCGTCAACCGCAAAGGGCGTGATAGCGTCCTTACCCAACCATTTCACTGCAACTGTTAAAAGATGTATGATCGAAACAGCGGAGCCAACATACCGAGTTCGTTGGCCCAGTTTCCGACCAAACTTGACGGGCAAGCGATGATACACTTCTGTATAGTCGATCTTCCTGCTTCTGAGGATTGCTTGAGTAGTGTCCACATTAATGAGATGCATTGAAGCTACCGGCACCATTAGTCTCGTAGTCCACATCACAGAGCGTTCAGCGTACCGTCTTGCCCAGACCCATTCCATCTGCCATGATACAACCATTTGCATTCTTATCAACCATTCCCGTTGTACAACGATAAAGAAACTGGTTATAGCTGTGTTAGTCGGTTGTTCCAGGCGCACTCCGTACAGAGAGGTGCTCACCTTTACACCCTCAACCTGATGTGGTCGCAGGACCTTAGCCAACCGTGGATCAATCACAACCGGCACTTTTGGCCGGGCTTCAACCTCCTTCTTGAGCCCGAGGATATCTGCCAGGCTTTTGTGCACCAGTGGCTCGTCCAGCTTTGGTTTCTGGTCTTCTGTGGCGCCTTTTGTCTCTTCTTTTGTTCCTGGATCATCAACGTCATCGACCGTTGGGTCATATAGTACTATAGCAAACTCTCCACTCGGATCATGCAGTGGCTTCACGATAAATGTGGCGCCTTGTCTCATGCCAAGCGTGGGTGCTACCCTAGAGCCATTATAGGCGTCTGACGACTTATTGATGAAGGGAATCTTGAATCGTTGCTTGAAGGTCGTGTCTTTGTCTTTGACCTTGAAGACAGGAAACCTGTTCACATCTCTTGTCGCAAGCGCTAAGCGATCCTCATTTGTATATGGCTTGACGCTGTCGTCATCCACAGTCCCATCAGCCCCGGCGTAATTCACCTTTCTACGCTTCCTCGCTGGCTTTTCTGATGCACGCGTAGCAGTGGCCAGTCCTGGACATCTGAAGGGTTTCGACAGACGATCAGCGGAATTTGTAGAAGAGCCGGTTTGCAACGGCTTGGACGGTGTCCTTGCAGTATCCTCCTTTGCCGCTGGCTTTGGCCGGTACCTAAGTACGTTAATTGAGATCGCGCAAGACTCAGAGGAGGATCCAACAAAAACTCACATTGGTATGGCTCTTATAAGTGTTGATGGCTGGTTTTGAAGGTGTTCGGTTGGCGGTTGTGGTCATCAATGATGACCGGCCGTCCACAACGCGTGTTTGCCACAACTTAGCGCGTCACCTGCACTTGTTTGAAACACCAAAGTATCACGTAGTCACGTGAATGAGGGGAGCCTCACCCCACATGAAATGACGCTTCGACTCACCTTCACTTCGTACCGTGCTGAACAGTGAGAGAACCATTTCCCTGTTAACTGACTGAAAGGCCGAGCTCAGCACAATCGGTGTCTTGAGCATTTCTCCAGCATGCCAGGCCCCATAGCCACTTTTTATTAGGGTGGCAATAACATTTATTAGATGTTTATGGTATTAATTGTTCAAAGCCTCCTCTTTATGCCTGCATTTGAGCATATGCAGACTCTATGGGGCTACTATGGTGTTGTGTGGGATGAAACAATCAGGACCAGGATGTTGAAGATATATGTAGTATAGAGGGCGGCGGCATGTATATGAGAGGTCTTGGCCTGAATCAATGATGCAGCAAGGCTGCATGAGCAACTGGCTGCATGACAAACATTTTGCTTTTTCTGTAGCTGTGGGATACTATCTTCACAGTTCCCTTCCAACCCAAAATCAGACCCCCCCGTTGTACGGAGTAAGTCCTAACAAATGGACTCGAGGACAATGGCTTCACATCTGATCCCAGGAGAGAGTTTCTACTATCTCACTTTTAGTATAGCGTCCGGGGTGCCCCTCGAGGTGGGACCCTTTAGTCAATGTAACGCCTGCCCGTCGAATGATAACAACCAAGTTGTGCCTACGACTATGCTCATTATCACCATTTGCTGCTGAATAGTTCATTTGGCACTGGTTTCCGGTCTATGTCTTCCGATTTCTGGGCTGGCTACCTTAGCGGTGCCATAGGGATCATAATCGGAAATCCCCTTGACGTTATCAAAGTGCGATTGCAGGCGGGACGCACTTCAGATACCGTTGCATCAACCGCCCCCCAGCAACTGAGTCGCTTTGACAGCGCCACTTCCCTTGTTCGAGGTTTGCAGCAGCTGAAGCAATGTAGATCAGGGGTCCAGTGCTAATCATTTCATCAGGCGCCGCTGCACCAATTCTTGGATATGGGGCTCTCAATGCGCTACTCTTTGTGGCTTATAACCGATCATTGAAATTCCTGGACACTTCAATCATCGATCCCACAAATCCACAAGGTGTGCCTTTGTACAAAATCTGGCTCGCCGGTGCTGCCGGTGGGGTGGCCAGCTGGACTGTGTCATCTCCTACGGAGTTCATCAAATGTAGAGCTCAGCTTGACTCACGCCCGGGAGTGTCATCCTGGACGGTTGCGAAAGACATCGTCCGAACCCGCGGCTGGAGGGGCCTCTATTTCGGAGGAGGGATCACCTGTGCCAGAGATGCAATTGGCTATGGGTTTTAGTATGCAAAATTCCTTCCCCGGATCTTCCCCGCTATTTCATTGCGGATCTTTACATGGTATTAACATACGCCTTCGCAGTTTTTGGTCTTACGAGTATTGCAAACGCCTTACGGCCTCTGATGATGATGACACGAATATGATGGCCATGAAGATCTTACTATGCGGTGGCATTGCTGGGATTGTTACATGGGCTTCGGTCTTCCCATTGGACATGGTAAAGACAAGACTGCAGGCGAGGACGATTGAATTGTCTCCTGAAAATCGCCCATTGATGCAACCATCAAGCAAGCCATATACAACAAGCTCCTTTCAGATCGCTAAGGAGGCCTATCTCAATGAAGGTTTCAAAGCCTTCTATCGCGGTCTAGGAGTCTGTAGTGTTAGGGCTTTCATAGTAAACGCCGTCCAGGTATGTCAATTTGAACTTACCATCTTGGATAATGCTAACAATGGGTTCAAATTAGTGGGCGACATATGAGTGGCTTATGAAGTATTTGCAGAATCCATGAACATAGAATGCAACCATCTAGAACATCTACGGTGTACTCCGGCAGGGTATACGCATCTCGATCAATGTGCTGTATTACTGCAGCTTGTAAATTAATTTCGTCCTAAAGGGGCCGTGTCCGATAAAGTGGGACCTAGCTATACGATGTTCCGAGAAACGGCAGTTCTGAAGGTGTTACCGCAGAACGGAACCGGCGTACTCCGGAGTCTCCACCCCCACTGGCGGTTTTCGGAACATGTGGTTTCACGTGTTATAGTACTGCGATTTTGGCCCATCGCTGATTGGGTGACTTTCGTCCGCGCGCAGCCAGTAATATCGTCCGTGAAACAACGACGGCAAAAAGGCGTAGATGCGCGAAAAATTTGTCGAGCCCCTTGAGATTAGATACCTTGCCAGGAGAGCTCTCGCAGACGATTTGGGGCTTATGCTGCTTCGCATTGACAGTCGACCAAGCATTGTAATGGCCAATTTGACATCATCGATGGATTCTAGTCCTCCATTTCGACCACGGTCTCATGCGACCTCACGCCATTGTCTGTACCCAAGCCGATAGCAGCCTCAGCAGCCTTTTGTGTATGAGCTTCTTCGCGCAGAATGCGGAGCCTAGGAGAATCGCATAGGTCAGCATTGATCTGCCCAGAAAGTATTTGCGCTCGAAGGCGCGACATAATAGAGAGTTTTGGAAACCAACCTTCTCTTATGGTTCTTGCCCTTCTTATGGCCGACCAGGTTGAATTCGCTTTCAAACCATTTGGAGCATTCGACGCAATAATGCTTGCCCAGGCCTGGAAGATCCTCTTCGTCTTTTGTACCTTTGTATTGCGAAAGGTGCTTGGAGGATTCGATATCAGCGCGGACCTGATCGTAATCTCTGTCGGCCGTATCAGATCGTCAGTACTCTATACAACTTTACGCAGCCCTTCTACCCGGGCCAGATCATTCTTGAAGGATAAGCCTACATACCTGGTCCTGCGCTTGGTCTTGATTTTCCTGACAGCACCCATTTTGATATTGATGACGGCGGCCCAAAAAAACTGCCTGATGGTATTGCCAGTGAGCGTCGCAAAGTCGTTTACCACCGATATACGGAATGAAACTAAGACTTTAGGCGGTGCAAGAGCGGGTCGCTTATCTCAAAAATTCCGCCGTTGTGTGCGTGAGAAGAATTTCCTGAAACACGTTGCTCATTATTGGTCAGAGTCAACTGGGTCTTGGCGGCGGGCCGCGGGATTCCCATCGGTAGGCCTCGGCTCTGTCTCGGCTCTGCCAGCGCTTTTGGTTGCTTTTGGTTGCTTCCGTACGGCCATTTCCCCGGTGTCTGTAATTTATGACGTTCCCATGTTCCGGCACGTTGCTCCGGAAAGCATCGTCCAGTTGCGATTCAGGTGAAATAATACGCTAGCTGCGACCACGTCTCCTTAGCAACACAACCATCCCAAGCGGTCTGGGATTCTTGAGGTCAGATGTGTGGGTATCTGTCAAATCACTCTCTCTTTCATGGGCGAGAGGTTGGACTCCTTTAGGTTGCAAAATCCGTATAATCGGGATTCCTCCACAGCAGTAAGTAGTGACGTCGATGGAGTATTGATGATGTAGGATGTAATCCAGGGCACATGATTGGATTGCATTCTCACATGCCCTGTGCACGCCGCCGCCGCCGCACAGGCTGGTCAGAATTACCATGTCCGAACGCTGTCGGTTTTATCTGGGTAAGGCACTAGTTCGTGGGAGTCCATGGGGTGCATGGGGGCGACAGTACACAGTCGATCCGGCCAAAGTATGCTTTTGAAGGTCACCTGGAGGCTAAAAGACCACTGACAATGAGGCCTTTTCGAATCCAAGGGCAGCCTTACGTTGCCGGGCAAAGCCATTATGGGTCCCGGAGTCGAAAGGGGAGGTCTGCAGGTCGAGCGGAAATTTCAGGTGTACGGTATACATACTGTAAGAAGGGGGTCCCACGGGTTGTCCAGCCACTTTCCTTCTCTCCGGTCGCAGCTACGCATGCGTACAGGTCGGTACTGTCAGGAGCGGTTACGGGTCCTCTTCTCCGGTTCAGTAAATCGCTCTGGTGGAAACAAGAATTCTTTCCCACTGTAGCTTCCTTTTTATCTACTCCATTTTCCCTTTCTTCCTTACTCTTTTCCTTTCCCTTTCCTTTCACACTCCACTCTACCTTTGCTGCTTCGACCTGTTGAAGCTAGCTTTTGCTGCTGTTTGGATTGACTCTCCTTGAATGTGTTTCGCATAGAGAGCTTCCATCATGATCACCACAAGGCTTGCGCGCATGGGTGCGCTGGTAAGTCCTCCTAGACACGTTGCATCCTGGCAGGAAAGCCATCGAATCCCCCTCGGGAATGAGATGCTTTCAGCCGGTGTGCTCTCTATTTCAATGGAAACTAACCTGATCTCCTCCATAGGCCCCTAAGTCCCGCCTTGTAAGCGTTTACCCTCGATCTCGTCCATGACCTCACCACAGAGAGATGTGGAGATGTCACGCATAGAAGCTTGGGAATACTAATAATATGTGCAGATGCTCGGGGCTCGGGGTATGGCCACCGTCGGCGACTCTCCCCTCGACAAGAAGGTCGAGATGAGCAACCTGGAGAAGGTGAGTCGTGAACTTCCATTGTGTCTCGGCTAGCTGCGGGCGGTGCGAGTGCCAGATTTGAGGATATCCGCTAACGATGCTTGCACAGGGTAACTTCATCAACTACAAGTATGGCAACACTTGGATTCTTAAGAACAGGGCGCAATCAAGAGATTGCTCCTTTCAGGTCAATGGGCAGCCAGCTAACATGTCTGCTAATCTTATAGGAAGATGTCCGAGAACCTCGACATCGTTCGTCGTCGTCTCAGCCGCCCTCTCACCTACGCCGAGAAGGTTCTGTACTCTCACCTTGACGACCCCCACGGCCAGGACATCGAGCGTGGTACCTCCTACCTCAAGCTTCGCCCCGACCGTGTCGCTTGCCAGGATGCCACTGCCCAGATGGCCATCCTGCAGTTCATGTCCGCCGGCATGCCTTCCGTCGCTACCCCCACTACCGTTCACTGTGACCACTTGATTGAGGCCCAGGTTGGTGGTGAGAAGGATCTTGCCCGTGCCAACGACATCAACAAGGAGGTCTATGACTTCCTTGCCTCCGCTACTGCCAAGTACAATATCGGTTTCTGGAAGCCCGGTTCCGGTATCATCCACCAGATCGTCCTGGAGAACTACGCTTTCCCCGGTTGCCTGATGATCGGTACCGACTCTCACACTCCTAACGCTGGTGGTCTCGCCGCTGCTGCCATTGGTGTTGGTGGTGCCGACGCCGTCGATGTTATGGCCGGTCTTCCCTGGGAGCTGAAGGCCCCCAAGGTCATCGGTGTCAAGCTCACCGGTGAGATGTCCGGCTGGACTACTCCCAAGGGTAAGTTTCATTCTCACGTAGCTGAAAAGTAGATGGTTATTAACGATAGACTCTAGATATCATCCTCAAGGTCGCTGGTCTCCTTACTGTCAAGGGTGGTACTGGTGCTATCATTGAGTACCACGGACCTGGTGTCAACTCCCTCTCCTGCACTGGTATGGCTACTATCTGTAACATGGGTGCTGAGATCGGTGCCACCACCTCTATGTTCCCCTTCAACGACCGCATGTACGACTACCTGAAGGCCACCAAGCGCCAGCACATCGGCAACTTCTCCCGCGATTACGCCAAGGAGCTTCGCGAGGATGAGGGTGCTGAGTACGACCAGCTGATTGAGATCAACCTGTCTGAGCTCGAGCCCCACGTCAACGGCCCTTTCACCCCCGACTTGGCCACCCCCATCTCCAAGTTCAAGGAGGCTGTTGAGGCCAACAAGTGGCCTGAGGAGCTCAAGGTCGGTCTCATCGGTTCTTGCACCAACTCTTCCTACGAGGACATGTCCCGCGCTGCTTCCATCGCTCGCGACGCCCTTGACCACGGTCTTAAGTCCAAGTCTCTCTTCACCATCACCCCCGGTTCCGAGCAGATCCGTGCTACCATCGAGCGTGATGGTCAGCTCCAGACCCTCGAGGAATACGGTGGTGTCATCCTTGCCAACGCCTGCGGTCCTTGCATTGGACAGTGGGATCGTAAGGACGTCAAGAAGGGTGACGCCAACTCTATCATCTCTTCCTACAACCGTAACTTCACTGGCCGTAACGATGCCAACCCTGCTACCCACGCTTTCGTCGCCTCCCCCGACCTTGTCGTCGCCATGACCGTTGCGGGTTCCCTCAAGTTCAACCCTCTTACCGACACCCTGAAGGACAAGGATGGCAAGGACTTCAAGCTCAAGGCTCCTACTGGTGAGGGTCTCCCTGCCCAGGGCTACGACGCGGGCCGCAACACCTACCAGGCTCCTCCCGCCGACCGTGAGGCCGTCTCCGTTGCCGTCTCTCCTTCCAGTGATCGTCTGCAGGTCCTTGCTGGCTTCGAGAAGTGGGACGGAAAGGATGCTACTGGCATCCCTATCCTGATCAAGTGCCAGGGCAAGACCACCACCGATCACATCTCCATGGCTGGCCCATGGTTGAAGTACCGTGGTCACCTTGACAACATCTCCAACAACATGTTGATTGGTGCCATCAACGCCGAGAACGGTGAGGCCAACAAGGTCAAGAACGCCTTCACCGGTGCCTACGATGCCGTCCCCGCCACTGCCCGTGACTACAAGGCCCGTGGTATCAAGTGGGTCGTCATTGGTGACTGGAACTACGGTGAGGGTTCCTCCCGTGAGCACGCCGCTCTGGAGCCCCGTCACCTTGGTGGTCTTGCCATCATCACCCGCAGTTTCGCCCGTATCGTAAGTTACCACGCACTGACTAGCTCACCCTGAAGCGAACTAACAGCTTGTTTTTAGCACGAGACCAACCTGAAGAAGCAGGGTATGCTTCCCCTTACCTTCTCCGACCCCGCCGACTACGACAAGATCAACCCCGAGGACACCGTCGACCTCCTCTGCACTGAGATCGAGGTTGGCAAGCCCATGACTCTCCGTGTCCACCCCAAGGATGGTGGTGCCGCTTTCGACATCAAGCTTAGCCACACCTTCAACGAGTCCCAGATTGAGTGGTTCAAGGATGGATCCGCCCTCAACACCATGGCTCGCAATGGTAACTAAATCGATGGCGAATGCCAACATGCAAGACGTGGGCCTTGAGTCTCGACAAGCATAGGCTCGTCTGTAAATTATGATACCTGACAGATCTGCTTGCGGGGCTTGGTCATCCTGCACTCGCTCTGTGGCAGACTGTTTAAATGCTGAATGACGGCATTGGGGAAGAAAGCGGCTGCATATGGGACCTATGATGGAGAAATCCCGAGTCGTGTTTCGAAAAATCTAACGAATTGTTTCTGTTGCCGCCTGGGCTTGTTTTCTTTTGTACCCCTGTGATTTCCGGTGGACTACATGGATATATCTTGGTTTTGTTTTATATCATACACTGTGTATGTTAGGGATCGCATGCATACCACATTTCCTTCTGTTCCAATCTGGGTTTATCCTATAGTCAAGTCTCCCCACTCAGGACTGACCGAGCTGCTACTTGCGGCAATGGCGTAATTGGCCTTGTAGATGTTGCCTTTGGCCGGTCATGCTACTCTTAAGGGTGACCTCCAAGTGTGCTGACATAAGGACCTCTTGCTCTACCGAGGCCAAAACGGCTGTGCACCCCGCCTCGGAACGTGCGCCTTCTTATATAACCGATCCATGATCACGAGGGTTGCAGTAGTCGCATGTCTGCTTCATTCTGAAGTCTCTCTCTGGATTGTAAAAACACCAATTGTCTGATCCTCTTTCTTCACGTGACCGACTGCTGCAGCTTTGATCGCTGTCCTAGAGTATTCAGTGATTCACCGCACGTTGTGATATACGCCGGCTCATAGTATATTTCATTCAGACCCTACCTGTGTCCCATCCACAGCGTAATAACATTCCGGTGAGTTTGTGTGTGCTATCTATATTATGAATAGTTCTGTATCCCTTGCTTTCCCTTCACCACGCAGCAAAGTGCGCTTGCTTATTCAAGGTATCCGGCGCAGTACAAACTAGCCGACACTATCTGAAGCGTGTCAGCTGCAGATTTATTTCATTGATACGCTGTCTATATCCTCCAAGGCATGGCTACGCAGCTCGTTTCCCTGGCGGAGGTGGAGAGGCTAAGTGCTTCGGTCGTACGGATATTGGGAGGAAACCCCGGCAAGGTGAGCCAATTTTGAGAAACGGACACAAAACTATGATCATAATCTGAATCAAGGCTTCTTTCTTTTAGTTCACACTACAAGGTGTGTACTCACACCCCCCTGCAGCGGCCCAAACGCATTGCTCTCCCTCTAATACATCGTAGGGACGAATACGTATTTGATCGGCCGAGGACGTCAACGCATCCTCATTGACTCCGGTCAGGGGGAACCCTCCTGGGCAGCCCGGCTCAAGTCACACTTGGCCGAAGAGAACGCAACTGTGCACCAGGCGCTTCTTACGCATTGGCATCCAGACCACGTTAAGGGTGTCCCTGACCTCCTGGAGCTTTGCCCGGAGGCGATCATCTACAAGAATGATCCAGACCTAGGGCAAGAGAGCATTGAAGATGGTCAGATATTCAGTGTTGAGGGAGCAACGCTAAGAGCGTACCATACCCCGGGGCATACTGTCGACCATATGATGTTTGTTCTGGAGGAAGAAGATGCCGTCTTTACGGGCGATAGTAAGCTAGTCTGGATAGTTTCACTTTATGCCCGATGGCTAATCCAATCTTGTTAGATGTTTTGGGTCACGGCACAAGTGTCTTTGAGGATTTGAAAACCTATCTGTTCAGCCTGCAGAGAATGCAGCACCGCGTCTCGGGCCGTGGGTATCCCGGTCATGGGGCTGTGATTGAGAACGCGACGGCAAAAATCACGGAGTATATCAAGCACCGACAACAGCGAGAGGATGAGGTAATTCGGGTTCTCCGATACAATCATCTCGATGTCGCTGATGATGAATCATCCCCGGAGCGCAAACTGTCCTGGACACCACTGGAGCTGGTTAAGGTGATATATAAGGATGTGCCGGAAAGCCTTCATCTGCCTGCATCCCATGGAGTGCAGCTCGTGTTGAATAAGCTGGAGGACGAAGGCCGGGTAAGCAAAGATGGGGGTGGGAAATGGACTTGGAGAGTGAACGGTCTGCGCTTTAAGGGGCTATAACCTACTACGAGATTGAACTGTCTGTTTTTAAGCCCGGTGGGGAAGGTAAAACAAGGTTATAGTCATAGACAAATGAATATTGTGTTATTCCGGCTTTGACACTGGGGTATCCAGGGCGGATTGATTCTCCAACGAGGTAAGACACTTGGGCTGTATAATGAATGGCCTATCCAGTGATTTCCATGCAATACATTCACATGGCAATGATTATTCAATTGAATACTTTCAATTTCGCGTCCTTCCGCTCTTCTTTCTACTTCCCGCTCCTTAACAGCCATCCTTCCAAAGTAAAACACCCCAAGCCATCTGTGGTTCGGACCTTCCGATCCCATCTCGCTCATCCATACAAATCTTTCAACCCATACATGATCCAGTGGTTCTAACAAAAGCATACATAGTCAAGTGTCAGGATGAATCATAGTGTCTTTCAATACCAAAGGCGATGATCTAAGACACACACAGGCTCGATATAGATTACAGTATTATTTCGTCATAGCGTCTAGTTAGTCCAGTCTTAAATCCGGCAGATTACTTTCAAGTCCTGGATAGAACAGCTTGTCCGGCCTGTCTTCTATTTAGGCTGGGAGCTGATATTTCGTTTTGCAGATGAGGATGAGAATCATAGGATAGGAACGCCCGTACTCCGTAGGCCGAAGGTTTCTGTCCTATCATGTGATCTAGTCGTCTTTGTTCCTGTCTCTAGCTTTTTGTTTTCTTAGTAAGATTATAGAGTCCAGTTGCCTGGATCTGCAATAACGCAGGGTATGGCGGAACTGCAGTAAAAGCCCTAAAAGGATCCGGATCATAATTCCAGATATGGGATGAGACGGACAAGGCCTTTTAGCGTCCTAGCTGGAAGGATCATCTATCAGAAGCACTAAGAGGTGTCGTAGTCTCGTAGATCGTCATTAGTACCCCATGGACATGTCCAGTAGGTTCCAGAGATGGGAGCACATGCCCGAGATGTGCTCTCATAAACCAATCAGCTCCGGAATCTGGGATCCGTCCTTTAATTGCCGTGGCCTTGGTAGTACTATAGGGAACTAATCACACATGCAGAGGTTCGCTCGGCAGCCATGATAGATCACTGCTTTGACACGGAGTCCAGACCCTTCGATATCGGCGGGGTAATTCGGGCAGCAACAAGGAAACAGGCTGAAATGGAATGGATGGATGGAGGGTGGGTGCACGCTCGTGTTTATTCTTGGAGAGATCAACTTTGCCATGCAGATGACTGCTTCGACGCCACCGGGCATGTTGGACCAACTGAGTCAGGACGGAATCTATAACAGCCGCGAGGGGTATGGAAGGGTGACATTATTACGCCGTCAATCCGTCATCAGGCCATAGGCTGGGCAAACGAATCAGTTGATGTGCGAGGAGTGGAAGGGTGGCACAAGCATCCTGGTCCTGAAACGAATCGACGTAGGTACCCAGTTGGCGTGGGTGGAGGAGGGACGGAGGGAGGATGCCAAACCATGGCGAGTGTGGGCATCATCAACCGGCGGGGGGGTACGGGGAGGGGTTGTGAGTGGCTGGAAGGGCTCCCGCATTCATCGCGACCGGCGGTGCAAGTCATTGCATTGACACTCTCCGTGACTTCATCGCCCGCCCCGGAACTATTCTGCTCCCGACCAACGCCTTCCCTTCCCTTCAACGGCCCTTCATCCTCCCCGTCTCCTTCCTGCGGAGAAGCAACAACGGCTCTCTGTGAAAGAAGCATCACCAGCAGTTTCGGCTGCCTGCCAGAGTGTGAATCTTTGCCTTCTTCACCACCCACCCACCCCAGACCCTGTCTGCTCTCTGCTCTCTGGCCTGCTTCTCCTGTCGATGAACTTGCTAGTGAGGAGCTCTAGGTGGACTCCGGCACTACTGCTTGCTCTTGGTTCTTCTTGTGCCCAAACCTGGGTCAGTTGGTCCGCGCACCGGGCCCTCAAGTGAGGTCACTCCTTCGATTCTTCCCCGCCGCCGCCTTGGGACATCTTTCTCTACCTAGCACCAGTACCTACCTATTTACCAGCTTGAGCTCTGACTTGCAGAGCACTAGAGAATATTGCCATCCGTGCTTTTTTTTTTTTTTTTTCCCTTTTAACCCACAGGCGATCCCCCCTCCTCTTTCACCGTGCCTCAGCTGCCTTGCCTGGTGCCTGGGTTCACTGATTTTCATTCAATTCTTGAACTGTTGTTCCAAACGGCAATTGCCCTTTTATTTTCTCTTTCAGTCGTTGCTCACTAAAATTAAATAATCATAATCTGATAGCACCCTGCAGCTTACTCCAGTGCCCCGCCCCGGACTCATCTTGTCTTGGTGCCCTTGATCTTTGATAATAATCTCATCTCTCATCCTTTGGGCCGGTTCAGATCAGTCTAACCCCATTTGCACATACATCCCCGACAACTGTCAGCATGCCTTCTCTGGAAAACCCCACTCAGAATGAGGCCCGGTTGCTTCTCGTTTCCAATCGGCTGCCAATTACAATCAAGCGGTCGGATGATGGCCGTTATGACTTTTCCATGTCCTCCGGCGGCCTGGTCAGTGGCCTGAGCGGTCTGTCGAAATCCACGACCTTCCAATGGTACGGCTGGCCCGGCTTGGAGGTCCCGGAGGCGGAGATTCCTGTCGTGAAACAGCGCTTGAAGCAAGAGTACAATGCGGTGCCTGTCTTCATCGACGATGAGCTGGCCGATCGTCACTACAATGGTTTCTCCAGTTAGTAATTCCGATCCCCTTCCATGTTGACGAGACGAGACGAGACTCCCAGCTCTAGTTGCCAAAGTGCTTGCTTGCTAACAGATGCCGCCTTGTCCAGATTCTATTCTTTGGCCTCTCTTCCATTACCACCCCGGTGAGATCACTTTTGATGAGTCCGCCTGGGAGGCATACAAAGATGCCAACCGCCTGTTCGCCAAAGCCGTGGCAAAGGAGGTGAAAGACGGTGACTTGATCTGGGTTCATGATTATCACTTGATGCTCCTTCCCGAGATGCTGCGAGAGGAGATCGGCAACAGTAAGGAAAATGTGAAAATTGGTTTCTTCCTCCACACTCCCTTTCCTAGCAGCGAGATCTACAGAATCCTTCCGGTGCGGAACGAGCTGTTGCTCGGTGTCCTTCATTGCGACCTGATCGGATTCCATACCTACGACTACACCAGGCACTTCCTAAGTGCTTGTTCGCGACTGTTGTATGTCTTGAACGAACCTACTTTTCCCCTACCGGTGGCTCTGTAAATACTAACATTATGGACCTGCAGGGGCTTGACAACCACTCCAAATGGTATCGAATTCCAAGGAAAAATCATTGCCTGCGGCGCCTTCCCGATCGGTATTGATCCGGAGAAGTTCGAAGAGGGTTTGAAGAAGGAAAAGGTCCAGAAACGGATTGCGATGCTGGAGCAGAAATTCCAGGGTGTGAAATTGATGGTGGGGGTTGATCGTCTTGATTACATCAAGGGAGTTCCTCAGAAACTGCATGCCCTCGAGGTGTTCCTCAGTGATCATCCGGAGTGGGTTGGCAAGGTTGTCCTGGTTCAGGTTGCAGTTCCGAGCCGGCAAGATGTGGAAGAGTATCAGAACCTGAGGGCTGTTGTGAATGAACTGGTGGGCCGGATAAATGGCAAATTTGGTAGGTTTCGCGCCTCGGGTGGGCGGTACACTATCGCTGATTGATGATCAGGCACTGTTGAATTCATGCCAATCCATTTCCTACACAAGTCGGTCAATTTCGACGAGCTGATTGCTCTGTACGCGGTTTCCGACGCCTGCATCGTTTCGTCGACCCGCGATGGAATGAACCTTGTTGCCTATGAGTACATCGCCACTCAGAAGAAGCGCAATGGTGTCTTGGTGCTCTCGGAGTTCGCCGGTGCTGCTCAGAGCCTTAACGGCAGTATCATCATCAACCCCTGGAATACCGAAGAGCTGGCAGGGGCCTATCAGGAAGCTGTGACCATGAGCGACGAGCAGAGGGCTCTCAACTTTTCCAAGCTGGATAAATACGTCAACAAATATACAAGGTGCGATCTTGTCTGGAAATGCGAGAACATTGGAACTGACTATCTCGTCTAGTGCATTCTGGGGGCAGTCCTTTGTGACGGAACTAACTCGCATCTCGGAGCGTTCAGCGGAGAAGTTCCATGCCAAAAAGGCGTCTTTCAGCTCCAATTCTGAAAATGGGGAACATGCAAATGGTGTGGAAACTCCAGCAGAGGAAGAGGTGACGCAGTGAGCTTGGTGGCGCTGCAATGATCAATTCAAAATGGGAATGCGTGAATGAATGACTTAGACGTCTGTTTTACTGGTATACGAGCACAGGCGTGGCGAAGTATGGGCCTTTTTTTTCTCAACCAATTTACATTTCGGTTTTTCGTATGGAATCTTACAAGAGTGATCACTGAGTCCAGACCTCAAGTTCAATGGTGTGATTGGGCGTGAGGCATAAGGCGTCTGGTTTTATGTGTATATGGGAGCATTATCTAGATCTTCTTGGCCGTGGGCCTCTCTACTCTTCGTGGTGCTGGGGGTGTCGGTGCTTTGCAAGGGTTCGAAGCATCGGCTAAGTCGATGTCTATCTTCTGAAATCACACATTTGATATATCTATTTCAGAGTTGCATTCATCAAAGAATTGTACCAAGACAGGGTTCAACAGGCTGCGTGGAGAATGGGTGCAAACCATGCAAACACGCCCGAGATTTCACTCGTCCGCGGGCGCGATGCTCCTCCGGCCTGGAAAGTAGCCTTGCAAGCAACTCCCATTGTGGTCGACCGGGGCAATCGCTACTTAATTGTTATCCTCTGAGCGGATAGACATTTTCCTCCTTCCACAACATCCTTTAGGTCGACAATCCGCGTCACTTCCCGTGTCCGGCAGCACCGCGACGTCCACAAACCTCCCCGTCCAAGCCCATTGAACCGGCCGTGCTCCAGCTCCAACACCACTACGACAAGAGAATCCAAGTCCTCACACACACCATCAAAATGCGCCCTACCAACATCTTCCGGGCCATGCAGCCCATCCGCTCCTCCCTGATCCGTTTTACCACTCCCTCCGCAATCACCCCCTCTCTATACCAGCGCTCTATCTCAACGACCATCCCCCGACTCAACGAGCCCATCCCACAGCAAGAAGACACCCAGTCCTCGACGTCTGTCGACACCACCGTCATCCCCTCCATCCGTACCTACCCCTACAAAATTAAGAGCGGCACCGTCGTCTCCGTCGGCCGCATGAGCCGCACCGTCCGCGTCAGCCTCCGCCACACCACCTACGACAAGCACATCCAGAAGTTCTACCCCAAGACAACGACCTACTTGGTGTCGGATCCCCGGGACTCGCTGCGCGAGGGCGATGTCATTGAGTTTTCGAACGGACACCCCAAGACTGGGAATGTGCGTCACGTCGTGGAGCGCATCATTGCGCCTTTTGGAACGCCGATTGAGGAGAGACCGCCTGTTATGACTCGCGAGGAGAGGGATGCGGAGCGTGCGGCTAAGAGGACTGCCAAGTGGCAGAGACGCCAGGCTAAGAGGTTGGAGAATGGTGGGGAGGAAGCCGAGCGCGAGCGTGAGCATGTGGGACGGATTCAGAGATTGATCTCTGAGAGGATGGCTAGGAATGCGGAGGCTAAGTAGTTTGGCTATATGCTAGTCTTCTTGATTGAGGATGGTGTGACTGAATTGGTGTTAGATGATTGACCTGGGGAGTCTTTTTTTATCTCTCTTTGTCTGCTCGTTTATGTATGTAAACTTGTGTGTATATTACTAGCTATTTCTATGGCATATTTGTTGCTCTTGTCTCTTTCTATCTTGGTTCAGCTGGGTTTTCAAGAGTTGGTAATTATGCTGAGTCAAGTACTAGGATACATTATATCCTTAGGATGGGGGATAGGCCCAAAATAGGTAGACAGAGTCCAGGTCTTCCGTTGGTGCTAACTAAATTTCTTCACGCAGTCAACTCCCTTCTGTGCAATTGGTTTGGATAACTGATGAATGCAAAATGCTTGGTGTGAATGATTCCTTATGATGGGTCTTGTCTATGCTTATCGGACTGGTTGACCGACCACATGAAGGTCAAGTGGCAAGAGAGGGAAGCAGAGGGCACGACTATAATTCTTTCGTTTTTCAGGGGGATTGTCTGTGGAGTGGTTGGATTGAGAGACAATCATGAATGATGATGTGATCTCGATGGTAGGTAGTAAGGACTCATAGAACTTTTATACGTAAGTCACCTCCCCCGCTCCTTCCCATGTCAACTTCCACACTCACTCATATACCTCCTGGATAAACTACGTTAGAACACCCCGAGTGCTTGACCAGCTCCATCACGACTATCAGTTCGACAACCACAAGAATTCATGACGCTCTGGAAACGCTTTCTGATATGTGACTATCGCTTGGGATCCGTTGGTTTAATATGATAAGGTTGTGCGCAGGGTGATTCAATAAACTGAAAACCAATCTCGATAGCTTGAAGACCAACCTGGAAAATGCCAGGAGCTGGACCGAGAACGTATACAGGCCATTGACTATTTCTAATGTGCCATAGTATGGCACATTGGTAAATAATGACCCGGAGGCCTTTTCGAATATGCTTATGAGACTGCGGAGACCCAGAGTTATTCAAGTGTCCACGGGAATCTCTACATCATCGACTGAGGAGTTGTAAGCTAGATGATGTTTCCGCATCCTCTTTCAATTGACCCTGATAGTCATCTTTGACATTCTCCAGGAGCTGCTTGGTAGATAGATCTCCGACTTTCTATCGGCTATCTGGACAGCACGTTCCAGATTCTCCGAAATCCATGCTCGCGACATCCAATTTACCCCGGACCAAAACGATGTGGCGCTCAAAGCCACAATGAAGGACGAGCGTGAAATAGTCTTCCACCCCCGCATTCTCCCTTCTGGTTTCGCGAATCGTTGAATCTCGGTGGAAATCTAAATGATAACTCGAGACAAGTTCTCGATCTCGTTTTAATGTGAAAACCAGACGATCATCTTCGGACTCGTGAATCTCTCGATATCGCCATGAGATTTACCGATATCTACCACTCATTGACGAAGATGGCAAGCCCAAGGCCGATCCCTGAGACACTTCTCGTCTGGCAGTCACCTCCCTCGCCTCGTGCAGTTGCGTGCAGCTACTTGTTGCCCTGGCCCATATCCACAGTAATCGGGACTTGGCACTTTCTTTCGTCGACTTCATTCGCTTCGTGTCAGCAACAGGTTACGGTTCCTGGCTCAGTTGCTATGCAAATGCAATTCATTGCAATCTAGGTGACACAGGCCATGGTCAGAGGTATGAAAGAAACTACACAACTTCCAGAGAATAGCTCCCAGCGTTGACAGCAGTCAAGGGGCCTTGATCTCACGTCTAGACGCGGCACCAAGCTTTGAAGACGTCTTCCGCGATTTCATGTCCAAAACAACCAACGCCCACATCCAAAAAGCCATTGCCTCGTTCGAGTAAGATCTAGTAACGAAGGCAAAGCCTGGAAGCAAAGACTACACAACCCCCATTTCACTCCCTCTTCGTTGCAGACCAGAACTGCGTAACTGCGCGTCCCATCAGCAACCGTTCTCACACCTTCCAAGAAAACGGCAGGCACTCACCATAAGTGAACTTCAACAACGTCTCCGGCTGCTCGGCATACAGACTGTCGATGTTCTTCCTTGACGTATGGTCCACATCGAACCCGAGCAGATCTGCCAGCTGGAGCACTTCCTCCGCAGAGAGCTGGAGAGCAGTGTAGGTGCCCCATTTCAGCGCTGTGTACACGTCAGGAGTCACAGGGAAAGTATAAATGGGGGAACAGTAACGCACGCCCAAGGTTAATCCACACCCCACCAGGCTTCAGCAGCCGATGTATGTTGCTCAGGAAGTCAATCACGTTCTCGGACATGTCGATGAAGAACAGCGTGACGACGGCGTCGAACTCACCGTCCCGGGGGAACATCTCCAAGAAGTCGCCCTCGACGAGCTTGACGGCCTTGTTTGGCCAGTGGTCCGGCACCGTTAGGGCGGAGTAGCGCGAGGAGGGGTTAGCCTGATGCGTCCATTTGGTCACGAAGGGCTGCAGGGTGTGCTGGTGCAGCGAGCTCGTGTGGTTCGTTAGCAGATGGTAGGCCAGGATGGAGCCGTAGTCCAGCTCGTTGGCCGTGACGTCGTACCCTGCGTCGATGTGAGGTCGCGTCGTCAACTCAATAAAGATGGATGGACGCACCGAGATCAGCGATATCGCTTGCCAGCCTGCCCATACCGCTCCCAGGTACAAGCACCTTGTTCCCTCTCCCCTTCCCGCCAAAATGTTGCTCAAGCTTATCCAGAACAGGCGGAAACACGGCCTGCCTTTCCTTGGCGCCCTGCGTGCTCCAGTCTCGCGAAAGATGACCAAATGCCAGGTTTACAAGTCCAAACTCCGCATCTTCTATGTCCTCCAGCGCTCGCGGGCCGGTGTGGTAATCCTCCCTCGCAATCTGCGCGATCTTTTCCGAGAATCTGGCGTTCACCTTGATTCCATTCCTGGCTTGCTCGAAGTGTGCAGGGTAGCCGAGCTTGTTGCTTATCGCCTTCTGCGCGGGCGTCTGCTTGGAATACCGCGCATGCTTCCGCTGGAGCACTTGCTCGGCGAGAAACGGATACTGCTCGAAGGAGTTGATGCAGTGCGCCAGTCCATCGGGAAGGGAGGGGTATCTCTTCCTTCTCCCGTCTTGTGTTGCGCGCACGGGTTTGGCGGGCTCGGCGAAAGCTTCGAAGGCTTCTTTGAAGATTGGTGCTGGAGGAGCGGCAAGCGGGGAGGTGAGCGCGATGTGAAGTGCTTCGGCGCGCTCGGAGAGGGAGGAGAGGAGAACTGCAATGTCAGACAACGAGGCGGAGCCACGGATGGCGAGGTAGAGGGGGAAGACGATGCAGAGGAGGAGAGCAAGGAAGGTGCGCATTGTTGTGCTCGTGGTTTCAGAACGGACGTGGGTGAGGAGGGTCGGTTCTTGCTGTGGGAAGATGATACAGTAAGACACTGGGCCAATTCGTGGTACTGGAGATATCTGATTCCAAGAAACCGGAAACTTCACGCGCGAGCCCTTTTATCCAGGGCTTAATCTAAAAGGCGGTGGGGTCTAGTGCTGACCAGGCGCTTTCTTCCATCATGCACAGGCTTTTATTTAATGCTGAAACTATCGCAACCTGCTCTCTGTTCCCTTCCGGGCTGATTGCTAGCCATGGGCTGTTCGATGTTGTTCCTCTGTGTCCTCTGTGTTCTCTGTGTCCTCCCCAGCGCCCACCTCTCATATGCGCAACAACCACAAAAGTGCAGCAAGCTGCTGACACGCAAAGAATGGCGGACGTTGACATTTAGCGAGAAAGCCGAGTGGGTTGGAGCTGTCAAGGTGCGCCCTCCTTCCTCCCCGCAGGTAATGCGTATGTTGCTTATGCTGAGTAGTGCTTGGCAAGCATACGACATGAAAGGTTATCCTTGACAAAGGACCAGACAGTGCTTGAGGGGAAGAGAAGCTTGTATGACGATTTCTCTTATGCACACGCATCAGTGGAGCACAGCGTGCACAGGAATGCCTACTTTCTACCATGGCGTGTGTTCTACCCCCTCCTTGCCTTCCCCAAGCACATACTGACATGAGCGCAGACCGTTGGTTCACTTACCTATTTGACACCTCTCTCCGTCACACTTGCGGGTACAGTGGGCCAACACCATACTGGGACTGGTCGCGCGATCACGCAGACCTGTTCAGCTCGCCAGTGTTTGAGGACTCACCGGAGTACGGGCTGGGCGGAACAGGGGATTGTGATTCCTCCCCTGAGGCAGACTGTACTGTCACCACCGGTGCTTTTGCCCCGTCTGCTGGGAACTTTGAGCTTGCCTGGCCGATCCGACATTCGCTGCGGAGGAACCTAACGCTCATAACTGGCTGGTACCCCCATGAGCAGCCTCAAAACCGCACCCTCGGCCCGGACTTCGTGCGCAACCTGACCGAGCAAACCACTGGCGACTTTTTTAGGTTCCAGCACGCAATGGAACTATTGCACAATCACGTACACAATTTCGTTGGAGGTGACTTGGCAGGAGATTGCCCGAAGGTCTTGCCAGAGGAGGATTGCCAGGGCATGGCAATCAGCTTCACGCCTAATGACCCGCTCTTTTGGCTGCATCATGCGCAACTTGACCGATTGTGGAGTGAGGTACGCCTTTGAACCCCATTCTAGCTTCACGCTTCATAGGTCTGCTGCAGTACAATGTTACTGACATGAGTTGTACAGTGGCAGCGCCACCACCCATCCAACTTCGCCGCCTTTTCCGGCGTGCCCCTAACCCCGTACAATATGACTGACCCACGCTACGACCTTGATGCGCATGCAGATTATCAGATGCCCTTTGACGTTCTAAGTGTAGCTATGACGCCGAGGATGGTGTTTGATACGGAGGGTTGGCCGTTGTGTTATCAGTATATAGATGAGGAGTGACGGGTACTAGACTAGACTGATGCAATATTTTGGAGTCCCGTCACAGAGCCAGCAGAAAACAGGGCTCTAATTAGCCAGAAGATTACATAAAATGATAAAATAAGCATTATACTTCTATGAAGGAATGCCGGCTGTAGAAAATGAGACTATTCACAGTACGGGATGCAGGCAGCCTCTAAGGGCTTGGCAAGGCTGCAGGCGTTGGCGTTGCAGGGATGATAAGGCTGCAGATGTTGCAGGGATCAGGGAGTCTGTGGGACCGACCACCTATGGCCTCAGACAACCGGGGAACGTCCCGGCCAACACCTATGAATCAATACTGATAAGATAGGGTCTTTGCCTGACTACCTATTCTATCACAGATAGCCAATACCTAGCTCGTGGTTGTAGTATGTGTCATAGTTTTTCCTAGTAATAGTCAAAGCTCGTGAACGAAATCCTTCCTGTCAATTTACCATTTTGGGTAATCCAAGCGATGAGACCCTGAAAAGTGGGGCGTCAGTGATAAGCATGCAGCTACCTATCTACCTATCCGAGATGCGGCATTTTAAATGCGCGATTTTGTCATTGGTCCCATGGTATATCCCATTTCTTGTCCGTTGACACATAGAGTGCTGATACGATCTCCGCATATCGAATCATGAATGATATCTCTCATTGCACTGAGGAATGATCGGACTTGGATCGGGGTTCCGAGGGAACGGGCTGTTCCGAAATCATCTTATCTGATCAAGTGGGGGTGTGCATCATCCATACCTACTATTAGGTATCTGTAGGTGAATCCACAGTGTGTCACCTCTTGTGTTTCTTGAATGGGTAGTTTTCTTCTTGTTTATCGTCAGTTCAGCGTTATGTAGGCAAACCAACCGTATTGTATCATACATGAACAGTACACTTGAGATAGGGCCAGTAGTGCGTGCACGTATCGTTCCGTGATCCGATTTAACCGGATGTAATTTTGGCAGGGCCGGCGGCCCGGGGGAATTCCGCTGGTGCCTTTCTTAGGGACCCATATTATCCCTACTGGGTGAATTCCTCGCTGTCGGTGGTCGTATGTATGTATCGTCGTTTCAGGTTCTTCTCGATGTATGTACTGGAATCAAACTGTTGCTCTTCAACCTGACTCGGTGTGCCCTAACTATCGCTCTAGACCTCAAGTCTGCCGTTGTCTCTATCTCGCAGACCACGTCGCTTGATCCTTCGACGCCCTTTACTCATTGTGGAGCGTGGTCAAAATGGGTGTGTCTCAGTCCATTGGTTCTGTTGTCACCACGTGGGCTCTCTCCCTAGCCCACCTTCTGAAGGAAGTGGCGACATCAAACGTAGGGTGCTGTCTCAATAGTCTAGAACGAGCGTAAAGGGGAGAAAAAGCGTATGAAAGTGGTATTCGTCAAATGAAGCAAGGAGATCTCCGAAGGGTTGGCGCTCTATCTAGTGCCCCAAACAGGCAGGTGCCAGGGGGCTGCCTGCTACAGGAAAGCCCGTAGTAGTCCGGGATCTTGTGGTCAAATCTAATGATGTTTCCCCCGGGCATCTTGACCACCAACCATCTCTGACAAACTAGGAAGCCAACAACGAAGAAGTCTCCTGAAGTAGATATCAGCTGGAAAGACAACAGACGACAGATTGACACGAGCCCTGGAACCGTGAACAACAAGCCATTACCGAAGCAAGAAGAACCACCACGGATTGCGCAGACCGCATTTTTGAGCCATTCTACCTATAAGTGTCCACTATACTCCGTACTATATTGACTACTAACTAGACTCCTTAATCCTTTCATACATGTCCGGTGTCCACCCCTCATGCTGGCTCTCCATCCAATCATACACCTGTCTCCAATCCCGACAGGTATGCACCGTTCCTACGCCCGTAGCGACTTTATCCCCATTAGCCAATTTCATATTGGTGCCGCCCGACTCTAGAGTTGTATCGGCGGCGCAGAGAATGCCCTGCCGGAGGTAATGGAAGCAGTGCGCCGTATGGTCCGACCCATCGTCCCCGTTCACAACCACCGCGCGGATGTGGTTGAGGCAGTGCATCTGGTGCCACATCGACACCCCAAATGCGTAGTGCTCCTCCCCTAGAAAAACGAACCCCTTGCCGGGAGGCCGGATTGCGTTCCATTCAGCCGTCGCCGTGATTCCTTCCATCCCGTAGTGGGACGGGTCGTCGTGGAAGGCCGCTTGGATGGTGCGGACCTTTAGGGGGAGCTCGCGAGGTCGGTCGCCCGCGAGGTACGCTACTGTGCGTTAGTTCATAATTTCGAGGAGAGAGGCTGGAATATGGCGCACTGTGTCCCCGTGTTCCGCGCGTTAAGATGCGGAGGGAGAAGAAGAGGGCGCCCAGGTTCAGGACGAGGCATATGCTCAGCGCGGCGAGCAGGCCGAGGGAGGGGCCGCGGAATTGGGGGGGCAGGGACTTGGGAAACATCATGGTGTGCTGGTAGTGTGGTGTGTTGATGGCAGATAGCAGAGAGAAGAGATTTTTCAACACATCTATGGCCCTATCTGCTGTCTCACTTGGGTGGGCAAGTCGCGATGGTCCCGAAGAGCAGGGAAACACACGCAGGGCAATTTGTGGCTCCACAAAATAATACGAAGAGATCTAGATAGATAGGATAGACATCAGGATCTTGCTTTGGTCTTCTTGCCCGCCACGTGTCTAGTCCATGAAGTTCGACGAGGTTTGCGCGATACCAGTTATGACCAAAGAGGAAGGTGGCAAGGAAGAAGGATTGAGGGTATTCAATTTATCTCTTCACTACTCATTCTCTAGCGGATTACACCATCTGCTCTACGAAGGAAGGATTTGAGTCGGCAACTTTAGTCGGCACTTCACCCTACTTCTACCTGTTCTCCTTCAGATTGCCAAACGCATAAATTCCCAAGCGCGTGAGAAGCACTACGTAACAACACCTCACCCACGAGTCCCCTCTTTGCCTCACCCAGCAAAAGCATCCACTCACTCCCAATCTCCTACAATGCGTTTCACTCCCTTGCTCGGCCTCGCCAGCCTCGGCCTGAACATCCTCCCTGTCCACTCCGCTCCCACCGCTGGTTTGGCTCGCCGCGCCGATGAGCCGATCAACCATGTCTATCGCTCTGACATGATCGAGAAGCGCCACTCCTATGAAGTGGATGACGACGAGATCCTCCAGAAGCGTCACACTTATACAGTGGATGATGATGAGGCCCTTCAGAAGCGCCATTCCTATGAGGTGGATGACGACGAGGTCCTCCAGAAGCGTCACACCTACGAGGTGGATGATGATGAGGCTCTCCAGAAGCGCCACACCTATGAGGTTGACGACGACGAGGCCCTCCAGAAGCGTCACACTTATACAGTGGATGATGATGAAGCCCTTCAGAAGCGCCATTCCTATGAGGTGGATGACGACGAGGTCCTCCAGAAGCGTCACACCTACGAGGTTGACGACGACGAGGCCCTCCAGAAGCGTCACACTTATACAGTGGATGATGATGAGGCCCTTCAGAAGCGCCATTCCTATGAGGTGGATGACGACGAGGCCCTCCAGAAGAGGCATACCTACGAAGTGGATGACGACGAGGTCCTCCAGAAGCGCCACACCTATACAGTGGATGATGATGAGATCGACATCTAGACACCGTTCGGCCGCGGATAACTGAAGCTTTGCATGGAATGAGCTTTAAAAATGTCTATAACATATTCTACAGACGAGCGCGGCAACCCAACAACCCCGCGCCCTCTTTGAGTGTGTCCTTTTCACCACGCTCGTTATATAGCAGTATACATGTACATAAACAGAGTATATCAAGCAGTATCCCGAGTATTTTTCTGCACGTATGTGTATTATGTCCAGTCTCTCTACACCGTGTACGACCTGCCAGAGCCTGGCGACTAAGACCCGATTGCTCTCTTCTCTGGAAAAAGGGAAAGAAAGAAAAAACGAATAGAGGAGCTAGCAAGCTAAATATCTGCTTCATTCAAAGCTAATAGAATTCCATTGCGTTGAGCCATTGTACATTAAGATGATAGAGGGACACAAAGTTGCACATTCAGAATTGAACCACACATGACAAAATCAGGACATGCCAGCACTCCAGCCCGCATCTACAAATACTCATCCGGCATGGGGATAAGCGTCTCGTTATTAGCCGCACACATAGCCGGATGCTCCTCAGGAAGAGCCTCCATATCAGCCATCTTAACATCGGAGCACTATCTTTGCATCAGCATCAACTCTACTATGCGTAAAACCAGAGCAACTAACATGATATTCTACATTTCCCGTCTTGGGATCCCTCGCCTCGAAGTACATGACTCCCATCTCATCCGGCTCGGTCTGAAATGGGATCGTGACGTTCACACACAGCTGCCCCGAAGGCTGGATGGGCACATCCTGCAGGATGATGTAGGGAAAGTCATCTCTCTTTCTAGGCACTCTATGTTGGGCATAGAGGACCGTCACAAGATCCCCCGGGTGGCCGGAGAACGAGAGGAAACTGCGGGAGCGCCGGGCGTATTTTTGGGGATTATGCACTATCTCCCCTTCTCGGTATCAGCCTATGCTGCTGCTAGACTGGAGACAGAAAGGAACTTACTGCAGAAAGGGTTGTACTGGTCTATCTCTGGTCGGGTGTTGGGGTTTGGGGCGCGGGTCATCCATGGGAATTGGACGTGGAAGCCGGCGTGCGCGGCGGATGTGAGGTTGATGCTGATGCTGAGGGCAACTAGGAGGGTGGTGAGGAGGGGGGGCATGGTTGAGAGAGGTCAGATTCAGCAAGTTGAGGCATGCTCAGAAGTTCTCTTTCTACCTGCCACGTGGACGGTTAAAGAGGTCGGCCGGTCCCCGCCTGTGATGCGCGCTTATCTGATAGGTGCATGAAGGCACAGGGTCTAGGGTTTAGTAGTAGTACTAGTAGTAGTAGTTTTTGGTCATGCTGAAGGGCCTAGTTCCTGATGGAATGTAGCCCTAGTGCTTTAATATTATCTGCTTTCGCCCATGGTGCGCCCTCTCTCTCTCTCTTCTCTCGCTCGCTCGGCGCTACTCATTGACCGCCCCTCCGCCATGTCCATGTCCTCCTCCAAAGCAAAGTCCAGCTCTTCCCAGTATGCGCCCCTTCCGCTACACGACGATGGCGAGGGCTCCAGCGCAACTCTTGAGAAGCGCTCCTCCTCCGAGGATGATCACTCTGCTCCCTTGCTGGAAGCCGAAGACAACCTCCCCGCCCTCGCGCCATCCAAGCCCTCCCAGCTGCCCAAGCTCGTGCTTTACTTCTCTTTCGCCCTAGCGCTGCTATCAGCTGTGAACATCGCTCTCCTTCCTCCTACACTATCAAAGTACCGAGCCTACCCCTTCTCTGACTCTGAACTCGAGGCCCTCCCCTATGGCGACGCTAGGCTGGGATTGGACAAGGCAGCGAGTTTCATCCCCCCACCTCAGGTCTACCATCGCTCTTGGCCGGATAGAATTGCACGAGTGAGCCGGAAGCTGAAAAATGCCGTGTGGGGTCAGGGCGTGCAGGTCTATGTAACTGTCGAGGTCTGTATTACCCCCCTTCTCAATAAACCATCCACCTATTCTCTGTGTCTCCCACTCTGTGTGCAGCTGCTGACAAGCAAGAAAAGGACTCGACAATTATGCGCTTCCCCATCCCCTCCACCGACGCCAACGCCTGCGGGCTCTCCTGGCAGCCGCCTCCCGAGTTCTCTGCGCATGCCAAGGACCTCACAACCAAGGGGGATGTTACGGAAATCGAAGTCTGGCAGCTTATCGCACCCTCGGCCACCGACTCTTCCAGTATGGACGGGCTCGACTATGACACCTTATCGTATTCAACCCTTCCTGTGCGCGGAGAGCTGCTCGGCGTGCTAGACCTCACAGCTACGCCGAACAGCACAACACTGGAGTTCGCCTGTCCCAGCGAGGCGGAGAGTCTAGTGGTGGAGATGAGGTGCCAGCGCGTGGCGTGTCATGTGGACTTTATGCAGATTGATATAGTGCCGAGATTTGGGTTTGAGTTGGTGAGAAGGAGGGAATGAGTGGGGGCAGGAAGGTTATGTTGCTTTCAACTAGCGTCGATATTCACATAGAATGGATCCTGTCTTAGGTATGTTTGGTAGTCACCTGTACCCCCAAGTACAATCACCTAACCCGGCGGCATACTCCGCTGGGGATTCTCCCGCACATGGAATTGGACCTATATGTTAAACACTGGTGAGCAGGTCCAATCTGTTAGGTAAGGAGATGTCTGATTCTAAGAACTCCATAGAAAGAGAGCAATTCAGGGGCTAAGCATCTTTACCACTTAGCCTTAAAGTACGATTTCGAGATCCGTGCTCAAACTCAGACGCTATACGTTTAGAGAACAAACGACCTTGTAAACCGCAATCGAGGTTCTTTCAATAAATGGATACAACCTGGTGCGACGGCGGCCTTGCCAAACGTCATGCAATCAGACATTGTGTCGGATGACTGTTGCGTGATGTGTTTTAAAACGCCAGCCCGGCGATGTGGGCGCTGTCGCAGCACACATTACTGTTCAAAAGATTGCCAAGCAAGAGATTTATTTGGGACTGACTAAATGTTTGACACACTAACCTTGCTGCGGCAGTTATCTAACCGCCTGCAGCAGCTGCCTGTAAACTACTTATCTTAATAATTCATATATAATCCTGTTTACTAGTATACCATGTTCTTTATTAAATAATATATAAATTTATTATTTTTTTAACATTTCAAATCAAGAATTCATGAAGTTATACAGATATATTAAGTCTCTTTTTTTTAATTATTTTTAGATATTTCTTTAATTAACTATCTTACTCTGTAGTTCTCCCGTGCTATTATCTAAATATTAAGTTTAATTCTGAATAATCTTAATTTATATAATTAGATCTAACTTAGCAGTCTTTACTTTAAGATTATAATACTTTTTAAGTAAGCTATTAAGAACTTTACAGACTTAAAACTTTTAATATAATAGAATTTCTATTTCTTAATTAACTGTTCTATTTATATAATTATATATTATTCTTTTATATAACTTAAAGCCTGACTTCCTTTATTTAAATTACCAGCAATCCGAGTATTCCGGTATTAAAATACTTTTAAAGATTCTTTTTTACTTTAAAATATAATAATATAATAATTATTGTTTTTAGTAAAATAAGTAACTACAAATAAGATTAACTCTAATCTTTATTATCTTATTATTATTTTCTATATTTTAAATCTCCGTATAAATTAATTTTCATATAGAATATAGAAATCTCTACAGAATCAGAATATTAATAAAGTTAATAAAAATTCTTGATTAAAATTCTTTAATCTTATTCTCTACGTGTAATAACCATTAATTAAAAATCTTAATTATATGATTCCCTATATTAAAAAGACTCTAACTTAATATTAAATTTAATACGTGTGTTACAGACCCCTGCTAGCTAAAACGACTAGTGAGGCGGTTACGTCAGGCAGAAGGCTACGCCCGGAAAGAAGACAACTCTTATCGGGTAGAACCCCGAGCTGGGCCGTCATGTGTCACACGTCACGTGAACATGGTATACAGACAAGCATGTAGTATACGGCATACTATCATGGTCTATGACTACCGCATGGGTATACGGCAGACCCGATGGTATATAGGATGGTATACGGAGAATAGGATATATAAGGACACTCCTTCATGTACTTAGCTAGTTCTGTTCTTCGTGCTCAATAACACTGTCTTTAAGTAACCATATGTTTTGGTAAAGCTTAGTGACAACACTCGTCCGCACTTACTTACGGATAGCTGCGCGGCACTATTCGGCCCTACTTCTCTTCTCTTGTCCAAGACCAGTTGTTCCTAGATAGTCATCAGCCTGATACCACCTCGATTCAGTTCGACGGTACGTATACCAGTGAAGCTAAGCTAACCGGGACAGGGAAGCGATCCTAGGGTTTGACAGGATCCTCATCTTATTAAGAGATAGTTCAACCTCGTTCGCAATACAGTCCAGAGATATGGCATTCTTGATAAAGATATATAGAATATGGATGAGACTGGATTTCAGATGGGAGTTGCTTCAACCGCTCATGTAATCTGTGGCTCAGAAACACGAGAATCGCGTGCCAAGTATATACAGCCAGGAAATCACGAATAGGTGACTTCGATTGTTGCAATCTCAGTCTCAGGAATAGTACTGCCACCGCAGATTATCTTTGCAGCGCAGGATCATCAATCAACATGGTATAAAGTCTGCCCAAGATCTTATCATCTGAGTGTCAGCGAAAATGGCTGAACTACCAATAAGCTTGGTTTTGACTGGCTTCAGAATGTGTTTGATCAGTATACAGCTTCAAAAACTGTTGGCGAGTATCGCATGTTGATTCTTGACGGCCACGGCAGTCATGCAACTCAGCAGTTTGATCAATTCTGTACAGCACAGAAAATTATTCCTTTATACGTGCCAGCCCATTCATCACATAAACTGCAGCCGCTTGATGTCGCTTGCTTTGGGCCGTTAAAGAAGTTATATGGCCAGCATATATCTAAGGCTATTCGGTATGGAGAGGAATCAATCACTAAGCTTGATTTTTTACAGCTATATCACAGCGTACATGCCAAGGCCTTCTCCAATATGAATATACTCAGTGGATTCCGTGCTACCGGCCTCGTTCCTTCAAATCCTCAAAAGGTGCTTTCAACGCTACGGATTCAATTAAAAACACCAACTCCACCAACATCCTCACATTCTAATCAGTCTTTCTATCTCGGGAAAATGCCTGCAAACTTATGTAAACTTAGAAGGCAGAGACAAGAACTATAAGAACTCGCAGATCAAGGCCTGGCATCAATGGTTTCACACAAAGTTATTAAGAAAGTGATTAAGGCTGCGGAACAGTCTATACAGAACGCAGTCCTGCTTCAACAACAAGTTAAGCAGTTCCAGTCTATACAAGCAAGTAAAAAAGAGAAGGGAAAGGCCTTACGTCATTATATACAGCATGGAGGCACTTTGACAGGCCAAGAGGGCTTTAATATAGCTCAGGCGCGAGAAGATGAAGCAATTCAGGCCGCAGCACCAAGGCCGCCCAGGGCACGCCGGCCAGCCCGCTGCAGTATATGTGGGAGTGAAGGACACAATCGTTTACAATCCCCTCATGAAAACAACAAGAATTGATGAATATAGCCTTTCATTGGTGGTTGAATAGCCTCAGGAAGCGGCCAGCGAGGCAGTCAGCGAGGCGGCGGCAGACCGCCGCCGGCTCGGTGTCCGATTACGTTAAAGATTTTGGATAACGTAAACCACAAGCGAGCCGCGAATCTAAGCGAGCCGCGAATTTTTAACCAAAATTCCACCCTCTTTATTCAATGCGTCATATCTTCAACACCACATATAATATGCCTTCTTCTAAAGAATCACATATCTAAATAGCTATTTCAGCTTATCAGAAGGGTCAAATTAAATCGGTATTACGTGCTGCACAGGTTTTTGCGATTCCTGAAAGTATTCTATATAATTGACTTAACAGTGTAACATCACGATCAGAAATACGCGCTAATAATCATAAACTTACTCAATTTGAAGAAGAAACGCTTGTTAAGCGATTATTAGATACAGATATGCGAGGATTTTCAATACAGCCTGAATTTCTATATAAAATGGCAGGAATACTACGTGCACGTCTCCGAAATTATACAGCAATTATTAGATCTAACTGGCCATATAATTTTACTAAACATCATCCTTAACTATAGATATAATATAATAGACGGATTACATATTAACGTGCAAAACAAGAAGATTTAAAGATTATAATACCATGGTTTCAAACTGTTCAGAAGACTATTCAAGAACACGGTATACACAAAGATAATATCTAGAATTTTAATAAAACTGGTTTTATAATAGGGCTCTGCTCAACTACTAAAGCTATTACTACAGTAGAATGCAGTGAGCGACCATGCAGAGTTATTCAGGGTAATCATGAATAGGTTACAATTATTGAAACAGTCAGTTCAAAAGGCGTGCATATACCACCAGTTATTATACTTAAAGCAGGCAACCAATAAGCTGCCTGGTTTCAAGAACCTAAGCTTGCTAGAGACTGGTGGATTGCAATAAGTCAAAATGGCTGGACCACCGATAAAATAAGTCTTCTTTGGCTAAAGAATGTCTTTAAACCCTTCTCTAAGCGCTATATGACCGGTGCAAAACACCTACTTATTCTGGACGGCCATAGTAGTCATTTGACTGCTGAATTTGATAATCTTTATAAACAGAATATAATAATATGTTTTTATATACCTGCCCACGCTTCGCACCTTCTTCAACCGCTTGATATAGGTATTTTTAACCCGCTTAAAAAAGTGTACGGGAAGCTTCTTGAAGGGCGTGTAATTAAAGGCAATAATTATATTAATAAAGAAGACTTTTTATCATTATATCCAGATATATGGGCTTAAGTCTTTACTTCTATAAATATCTGCAGTGGCTTTGCAGGAGCAGGGCTTAAGCCATTTGATTAAGAGCGTGTTCTTTCCAAGCTTACCTTTCAACTACGTACGCCTACATCTGCACCATCACTAGTTGAAGGATCAATTTCGTCTGCTTTCCAGACCCCATAAAATACTCGCCAGCTAGATCGAAAAGTACGCAGCCTGCAGAGTAGTCTTAATACTAAACAAAAGCTTTCTAGCAGTCAAGTTGCTCATATTCAACATCTTGAGAAAGCTGCTCAAATGGCTATACAAACAAATCTTCTTTTACAGTAAGAAATCAAGATTTTACGGGCTGAAAATGAGCGAAAATATAAAAAGAAATCAAGAAGGCGTGCTCTACTAGGAGATGATACCCTTTTATCTGTACAGGAAGGCCAAAATCACGTTCAGCAGCTAAATACGCAGCTTATTGAGCAACCTGAACAATCTACTCCTGTACCTCGTCGACGGGCTCCGCAACGCTGCAGTGGCTGTGGAACAGTTGGACATATAATTCAGAACTGCTCTAGTAAATAGCTACTTTTTCATATATTTATTTAATCAAATTTCATGAAGTTGGTGGTTGAAAAGCTTTAAGTAATGGTGGCTATAGCAAAGGATCCGCGGCTCGCTTAGATTCGCGGCTCGCTTGTGGTTTACGTTAGCGATAGGTATCGTCAACAAAAGCTGAATCGCGGTATTTTTAATTAGACTGATGAACGCGTCGCGTGGGCGCGTGTGGCAATTCTAGGACATGGTGCGTGGAGCTCAGCAGGTGGGGCTAGATTGGGCCAATAGAAATATAGAGAAGTCGGAGGGAGCCCTTCCTCCTTTAGAGCATTATGGATCAGAGATATCTGCAATCTCATCGACCATGGAGTGCTCAGGGCAGACGTCAACCCTCTCGATATCCGTCATTATCTACCACCAGAATTGCAATACTCCTGTCGGTACTGGATACATCATGTCATAAAATCCCGGGCCTCATCTTTTGAAATAGAACAGACACGATTATTCCTCCAGAAGCATTTTCTTCACTGGATGGAGGCAATGAGCCTGCTGGGTCTTATATCAGTACATCCTTCCAAAAAGCCAAAGCAATGTCGCGAGTATCGACTGTGATTATGCCATAGCACTGGAAAAAGAGAATAGACCGCTGTCAATGAGCATAATATTGACGACTAGCAGAATGATTATATTAAGGGATTTTCATCACGAAATATCTCCTCCCTAGAACGTCAGCGCTCAACTTCAATGTCCGCTCTCCCGTTACTCCACTTTGCGAATAATAGGCGGCGTCCAGGAGTCGTCAAGGATCCCTTCCTGGCCCCAGTAGGCACGGATATAGAGCGAGAACCGCCCATCGGGGGCCGGAAGCCAGTTGCTTTCCTTCTCCCCGCCCGGCGACTTCGCGCCCGTGTAGAGGGTGAGCGAGCCATCGGCGTTGCGCTGAAGCGTCTTGCTTTTAGTGCCCAACGAATAGCGCTTGAGGTCATTTGCGTGGAACAGGTGCTTGTCGTTGTAGAGCGTCAGCGACCAGAACCCGTCGACGGGAGGTTCTTCTCCCGCAGCAAATATGATTTCATAACTGCTGCTGCCCTCCAGCTCACCGCCCACGCTGTCAAAATCAGTATAGAAGTACTGCGTCTCTGTCGGCCTATTGTCGAACATGTTCGACTTTGAGGTGCCTGTCCGGTTGAAGTAGTCTACGCCAAACTGCGCGTTGTTCGTCGAGCGATTCCAGCTGTTGCCGGCCGGACGTCCATTGTGCTTCCACTCGAAGAACGGGGGAATGACCCTGTCCTCGGCTTCGACCGCAGTCGCAACCACTACCTTTTTCAGTTCGGGATCCTTGGCCGCTGCATCGAGCAGCAGACGGAACTGTCCATACAGCGCCTCTTCACCTTGCAGAGGCTCGACCGTGTTGAGCACGTCAGGGAGCTGATCAAAGAACTGCTCGGGGATCACCCACTTGGTCTCGCCGTCGCCACCGTCGCCTCCAGGGCCGGGAATGTCCTCCAGGTTCGCCCATTCGATCGTCTTCATTTTGCCGGTGAAATCCTCCAGCGGATAAAAAACGACGCTGTTAATTACCTTCTGGATCGCTTCTTTATCTTCGGGCGTATCATTCTGAAAGATGCGCGGGATAGCATTGGCGAGAGGTGTGGAACACCGAATCACCTCGCGAACGCCATCCGGCTTTAGACCGTTCCACCTCGGGCCCACTAGCAGATAGAATCCGGGCTTCGTGTTGTAAGGCTTGCCGAGCTGGCCGAACTGGTCGGTGCGTGCGTCATAGAGGGCGTAGACCCAGAAGCGGTCGCCAAAGTCAGGCACCTGTGCAATGACCGGCTGCTCGTCGAGCGAGAAGAAGCCAAGCCCATAGACGACGTCCTGGTTGGGACAGGTGACAAAAGTCTCTGCCGGCTCGATGTAATCATGCAGCATGCCAACTTGGCCGCGCGGCGCGACAGGTAAGATACCATCGAGCAGGCCGGGCCGCGGGGCTTGCGTGACGCTGGCTTCGCGATTGAGCATGTTCACCATCGGCCAGCCCCAGATATAAGCCATCTGCGCAATCGTTCGGGCATAGCTGGGAGTCATGATGATGCCCGTAGCAGGCGGCGTCACAGCTACGGATTCCGCATGATATTGCGCCTGCAGGGCATTAGTTGTGGCTGCGACAGAGGCTACTGCCGTTACAGCAGCAGGGATTGTCGCTCCGGCACTCACCATTGTAAAGGTTGGGGTTAAAATCAAGGTTGACAAGTCAAGAAAGATAGCTTCGACGATGTAAACAAATGAGCGCTTCGAGTTTACTTGCGTATACCTCCGATGTAGGCAAAAGTCATGCGTTTCGCAATATGTAGCTTATCGATGCTGTCAAAGTGCGGGAAATTATGGGATTTTATCCTCGAGGGGCGGTCGGGATAATGTGATTGAGGCCATTTGGCCGCGCATATCTGAGTTTCCACTGCTTTCGCAATTGGCCGAGGCCTATACTGACAGGGAACCTGCATATTTACCTGCAGATGCGTGGCTTCATAATATCCACTTCTCACAGCCTTGGCCAATAGTTGGACCAGATTTACCGCTTGGTTGAAGCTGTGTTTTGTCATGAAGCATATTGTTACAGTCATCCTGACGAATGTGGCGACGCATCCGTTACCCCTCACGATAATCGCTTTTTCCTTCCTGTAATAACCACGCGCAGACAGCCCAGAGTACTACAACACAGGGATGGAATCACCATGCCGTTTCCAGCCGACGGTAGTTGTTACTAAAGAGAAACCAGTCTGATATGGACTTTAATTAACTTTGATTAATTTTGATTAATCTGTCAAGTACTGTATCATCTGAATGTGCAGAGCATACAGGAGACCAATTGGAAGGCGCACCAAGATTAGACCTCACCAAGCCGCGGTTTGGGGTTTCACATCCTGGGCTTGCCCATGGTTCACCCAGGCTGGGGGCACATGTACACATGTATATTTACCTGGCTACCAGCCTCCCTGTATCTAACACACAAAATCCTCTACCATGAATGATACACACTGGTTGGTTGGTTGGTTGGTTGGTTGGTTGGTTGGTTGGTTGGTTGGTTGATTTCATTTACCCCGACTCCTCGCAAAGTAAGCGATATGCAGGCTACTTCAACTATATATAAACTTGTATGTACATGTAAATCGTACCACTTCCTAAAAACGAAATTAGAGCCTCGTCGCAGCCTTTTCTGGCCTAATTGCCGTTCCCTGTGTTAGGCTACCCCTCTGGCGCATGACTCCGAAACCGTTGTGACGCCTCAGCAAAGTCTAGCACAGCCTTGACTGTTCTAGCCCGCGAGATGATGTCTGGATTACCTTTCTTACCTTCGGTTGAGCCTCCCAGCAGACTCGAGACAGTACTGAATGCGTCTCCTATTTCTCTCCTCAACTTCCTTCACGGTTCCTTCAATCTTAGACAGTCCACCAGCACATAGATAACTGTCTCTTATGCGCCGCACGCGCACCAGTCATCCTCGCGGAAGCCAAAGGGTTTAGCGTGGCTAACTAGCCAATTATGGCCCGTGCGCAACTGCGTTAACAGGTACGCCTGGTTCCTGAATAGACTGCCATACCGCTTTCTGATATAGATCGCCAGTAAGGTGTTATCCATCTTCTTTAGGTGGTCACCTTTACTAGATACTCTCCATTCCTACTCCCACTGAGTAAAGATGGCGCTTTAAATACGCGCTCTCTCTCGAGAGAGTAACAGACAGAAAGGATAGATTTTCCCAGGATACGCAGCGTTCTTAGCGAGTCGATCTACAGTATCATTCCCTGGGTTATTGCAATGCCCTGGTACCCACTAGAGGTGGAGCACGACTCCCTTAGCTTAGATTTCAGTAACGGCCTGGAGGATCGCGTGAACGATCCACTGACCAGACTGATTCCTCACACTTTGGATTGCCCGCTGAGCTGACCTGCAGTCACAAAGGATTGTTGCTTTTATTTGTCTGCCCGCTGAGCCTCTTAAATGATGATAGGTGATTTTGAATACTATGCTGATAGCATAGAAGATGCCAACAAGCTCGGCTACATGGAAGTCCGGACCACCCATCCGTTGGTCCCACCTGGACCTGTCGGGATTCAATGATCTTTAGGTTGCTGTTGAGTGCCACCGCAGCAGCACCAAGGTGGCCTTCACGTCCGGATCCATCGGAGAAGACAACAATATCTGATGTAGTCCACATGGCTTCCGCTCACTCCCGAGCTGATTCTCGGTCTGATCCTATCTCAATCTCTATAAAAGGGTCCAATCGCCAAGGCAGTAGTGGGCATGTGCCGATAATCTCCAGTCTATTTAATCTTTCTAGTTCCATGGTTTTTAGTACTTCCGCTAGTGGGAATCAAGCAAATGTTACAGTATTATTTCTCCGCTTCTGGGCTCGTGAAAGCACGCTCCAGATAGGGTGATGGCAAAGAAGAGTATGAAGTTTTGCAATAGTGTTCTAGGTTCGGTGGCGGAGGCAGAGATATGTTGGAAGGATGTGTGCTTCCACTCTAGGATTGCTGTTGCCACTGTCCTAAACACCGACAGGATCCGGATTAAAGAGGTTCTTTGCACTGTATTCAGGTGTCATAAGTGCGTTTTATCCCGTAAGGGGTTATGCCAGACCGTCAACGCGTAGTCCACAATTGGTGTCACACATGCTTAATAGGTCTGGCGCATCTGCTCTGGGCATAGATACCGTAGCCCAATCATTGCAATAGTCACTTTGGTGGCCCGTTTAATGGCTTGCTGAACATGCTCTTTCCACCACATCTCATGGTCGAATACCACACCCAGTAGCTTGGCAACGGGCAAAAGTTTGACTGTTTCCCCGTTCATAACCACTTAGCCTTGTAGTTATTCGCTCTTTTTCCTAATTAAATAGATAAGTTCTGTCTTCTCAGCAGCAAAGCAGGAGCTTGTCTGCCGCACCCATGTTTCAATGCAGGAGATGTCCTCAGACTAGATCTTGGCTAAATTCTCCTCAGTTATGCGGCCTACCCGCCAGCAAAAGTAGTCATCAATAAAGACAGAAACACCACCGTGAAAGATGACGGGTTGGTCAACCAGGTCGGAGTTAAAGAACGCGAACAGAATAGATGAGAGGGATAAGCCCTGTGCTAATCCCGCGTTGGCTAGCAGTACAACCTCCGTTCGAAAGTCATCAAACCCTATACTCGCATGGCGGTCACTCATAAAGCTCGCGATCCATTTTCTTGCCACACTTAGGATTCCTCTTACCCGGAGGCGGGTGTCGAGGCTTGTTTTGTTAACCCCGTTAAAGGCTCCTTTTGGGTCAAACGCGATGAATATCACAATTTTATTCTTATACCAAGCTCGGTCAATCGCGTTGGAGAGGACCAACAGGGCCTGTTCCATGATTCTGCCTGGTCTTCCTCCAAACTATGTAGCAGGTAGAAGATCATGCTTTTCAGCAAGGTACAACAGTCATCGCGCTATAACTGCCTCGAGAAGTTTACCTAGTATATTAAGGAGTGATATCGGGCGATAGGCTCTTAAGATAGAGTAGTCTGGCTTCCTAGGTTTCCATAATACCACAATATTTACTCGCCACCATCGACTAGGGTGGTATCTGAGATTAATTAATGCTGTGAAAATTCTAGTAATAAGCTGTTTTAGGAAACTCTAGAGGTTTTTCCATATAAGGGTGGGTAGGCCATCCTCGCCGGATGCCGTAGAGCTTTTGGCTAATCTAAGAGATCTCTAGATTTCCAGTTTAGTAATTGGTGGCCAAAAAAGCTCTATTAGGACCTTAACTAGTGGTACTTCGTCTAGATCATCTATTTTGGGGAAAAAGGGGTCCAGGAAAGCCTATACCTTATCTTTATTCTCTATTAATTCGTGAGTGTTGACATATAAGGCCGGAACACACCCCCAGCCTTCTCGCGGTTTTATATAGGTGGCAGCCTTCCACAGTTTCTCTTCTCCAGCTGTATCCAGAAAATGTTTCCAGTATGATCTTTTGGCTTTTTCAATAGTGCGGGTCCAGTTCCGACGTTTTTGTTGCATCTCTTGGATTATAGAAAGCCATGTTTTTGTAATAATATATATTTAAGAAGTGAAACAAAAATCAATTAGAAAGTCTATGGATTGATTATTAAGGCAACTAGATAACGTAATCGGTAAGCGAGTGGCCACGGCAAGCGAGTGGCCACCCGCGTCCACCAAAACAGCCTTCCATGAAAAGATGAAGCTTTTATATACTATATATCAACAAAATAACGTGTTTATTTGGTGTTTTGACGTGTAGGACACCTTGTTCTTATATGCCCAATTGTTCCACACTCGCTGCAGCGAGGTGGTGCCCGGCGGCGAGGTTATTCCTCGCCAGCAGCTGATTCTTCAAGCTGACTTCCACCAACTTGATCAGCTTCATAAATTCTTTTAAACGCGTTTTTGGCCTCGTCAACGGTGAGGCCATTTAGACCAGCCATCTGGCGATGAGACCTCTTGTTCTTGGTATTTTGCCTCTCCAATCCAGTTCGTAATTCATCAACTTCCTGCTCAAGCAAGGCAGCCCGGTTGAAGGCGATTTCGCATCCTTTTACAATATAGGATAACACTGCTTTCATCTGCGAGGACGGGCTGATTGTACGTTCACAAAGAAGCCTTTCAATTATAGTTTCATGCCTCCGTAATTGCTTTGTATTCTTGGGCGTTTTTGGCACTGTTAATGTAGTAGTAATACTGCCGGTTAGAGTAGGCTCACGGAGCTGTATAACCAGCCTACCAAGAACCTCGTCCGGCTGGAATGGAACCAATCCTGAAGCCTTAAAGGCGTTGCGTATAGTTGGTTCTTTAAAGACAAGAGAACATGCTTCTGGGTACGTATCCAAAAAATCAACCTTATCAATATGGTGGATGCCCTGGCAGATCAACCGTTCTACCAAGCTTCTGTACGCTCGTTTTAACAGTGCAAAGCAAGCAACGTCAAGCGGTTGACAAAGATGTGAAGAATGCGGAGGCATACAGATAGGAATAACGCCGTTTTAACTATATATATTGTCAAATTCCGCAGTCAAATGAGAGTCATGTCCGTCAAGAATCAAGAGGCTATATTGCCCAATCCGCCGATCCTTGGTGGAAGGAATAAAGTGTTTACAAAGCCAATGTAAACCGATATCATTAAAAGTCCAACCGTTTGGTGATAGATTGATACACCAATCAGAGAGAAGAAGGCCTTGATACCATGCCTCTATATGAACTTTTCCCTTAAGAATCAAGTACGGTGACAACACCACACCGGCAGCGTTAATACACTTAATTGAAGTCACCCATTCTCGATT